AAACTCGTAACTAGCCCCTGTAAAAATGAATGAAACTGCTGTCAGTTCTATAGCCTCTACTTCCGGGTCACAATAAAAACGTTGGAGACAACTTCTAGTACAACACAAAACAAGTCTGAAGGCCGAAAGAACCTAAAAAGAAAAACTGCGATCCCAAAACGAAGTTCGAACGGGGCCGCCCTACACCCCTCCCGGGAACAAGTCGGTGATGAGACTCGTGGTGGGCAAGCATTGTCGCTTTTCGAAACATGAATTTTGAAATTTTATCAGCTCGGTATCCTCTGATTCCGGGTCACAATAAATTAAACGTTCTTTCTAAAAATCCCAAAACGAATTTGGGCTTCGCCACAGTATCCCTGCCGGGTATAAATCGGTGGTTGGCCTGGTGGTGACCGAGCATTGTCGATTTTCAAGCGTCATTGCAGCTACATTGTCTGCTCTATATCCTCTTATCTAGGGCCACAAAACACATAAAATCCGTTTCTGAGACTTTCGGGAGGTGATTTCTGTTGTGGTGTTTCATAAACATCCATTTGTGGCAATGGAACTTGTTCTGGCTGATCATCTTTTTGTCTGATCGTAGCCACTTCAAAGGATCACAAGATACAAAAATTAAACCAATCAAAAACCCGTTCCTGCCAATTTACGAAGAATCTTTTGATCTTTTCGAAAATGATTTCTGTCGTGGTAAATTAAAAAGTTCCCTTTTTAAAAGAGAACTTTTACTTTTGCTGAGCGTTGTTTAGCAAAACCCACTTTGGAGGATCACAAAATAAAACAAAGTTCAAGTCAATCCCTATCCGACTATTTCTCGCCCGTGATGATTGAAATTTTGGTGGCCGATCATGTTCCTCTTATGAAAGTATTTGGCAAGAGGGCTCGAAATGCCACTGGAACTATCGGTCGCCCTTGATCCGGGTCACAAAATGGAAGAAGTCGAGTCTAATCCAAACTCGAAATTGTTACAGATCGATCTAATTTTTAGATGTTTACAGTTGTGATGCGCCGCGAGAAGAGAGTTTTTGAGATAGTAGCGCTTTTTATACAGGCCAGCGCCGGGCTTGAAGAAGCAGTAAGGGAGGGTCACAATACTTGTGAAAAGGACAGAGCCAGAAGAGCAGACAATCCCGACCCTTGATGGTAGCGAGTATGATGCGTGAGCATCGTGAACTTATGAAGGTACAATCGCTGGGAGGACAAGTTCCCCGGGCCGCGTTTGAATGCACTTGCCGAACATTTATCAAGACAATCATCAGTCTTCTGCCAGAGACAAAGTGAAATCAAGATAAATGTTCCATTATAAAGATTAAAAGCATTTTTTTAAAACCTCATATAATCCGCAAGTCAATTATGAGTAGAAAATATACCATGAGTGAAAAAGTATAATTTTTTGAAAATCATCAATTATGCACCGGGTAAACTCGTAACTTGCCCTTGTAAAAATTCCCCCGCCCCACCCCTAGCTTCCAAAATAACCACGTCTCACATTCTATAAAGAAAAAGGATGGGCACGCTCCGCGTGCCATAAAAGAATAAAGAAAAATAGTATTATTTATTAGAAATTTTGAATTTTTGAATTTTAGAAATTTTGAATTTTAGAAATTTTGAATTTTTGAATTTTAGAAATTTTGAATTTTTGAATTTTAGAAATTTTGAAATTTTGAATTTTCGAATTTTTGAAATTTTGAATTTTTTAAAAATTGGTAATTTTTGAGATCGAATACTTCTCAGTTATAACTTTTTTGTTATAACACGTTATATTAAAAAAGTTTATAACCAAAAAGTTTTATATTAAAAAAGATTATAACCAAAAAGTTTTATATTAAAAAAGATTATAACGAAAAAGTTTTATATTAAAAAAGATTATAACTGAGAAGATTTATAACTGAGAAGACGAACTCTCTCTGATCTTTTTCCGCTCCTCTTCTTCGATGGGATTAAAAAGAAGACTCCAGGCAGACTTCCAGTCGCAGAGAATCAAAATATGAAGCGGCGATCCTTCTCCTCCAGTTTGACGACAAAGTTCATAACTTCCCGAAAAAGCAGCAGAACCAGCATCTTAAAAATCACGGAGAATTATTTCAAATAAACAAATTTAAAACTTACATAAAAATCTGCTGAATCTATATTTGCTTCCTCTCCGCGCGTAGCCCAGTTCGCGGTAGCTCCTTCTTCCAGTCGTTTCTGCCAAAGTTCCGTAATCGATCCATCTTGGTTCTGCATGTTTCAGGAGAACATTTTCGGGCTTCTTGTCGTGATGTTCGATTCCGACGCTCTTCAAATAAGCAAGTCCGTCTTGCACTCCAATTGCTATTTTCTTGCGTTCTTCCAAGTTAAGATCGTCATTTTTCAGTCGGCTTCGAAGATTACAGTCGCATTTTTCCATTATCGTGATCCATCCGAGGCAATCTTCATTTTTTCGTCTTTGCTCGAGTAAACTTCGATGTTGCAATAATTCTTGATGATGTTTGAATGAAAGGGGATCACGGGAACGTCATCTTTTTGTTCGTTTTCGGCGATTGCGTAACCTAAGAATGAAAAAATAGAAAATAAAATGATTAGTAGAGGAAATCACTAATAATTGAGCATTTTTTGGGCTTAGTGGGGTAGGCATATGATACAGTTTTAAAAAGCCCAGAAGCTGGGGATCATTTAAAAACCTAACCTCAAAGGATTTCTTAAACATTTTTCAATGAAAAATCATAGATAAAAAGTCTTTGGGAGGCATTTGTGACACAAATGGTGTACTTTTTATGAAAAAGTACTCATTTTTTGTCGAGTTCCCCAACTTCAAGAGCCTCTAGCTTCTCAGGAACCCCGGGTCTCAGTACTTTTCTTTATCTCAAAATGACCGTCAGAGCCTGGGCTACAATTCTAGCATAGTCGCTGGCTCTAAAAGGCCACTCCAAGCAAATTTCCGAAGTTGGCCAGATTTTGGGTCTTCGGAGGTACCTAAATGCCCTCAGGGTACAAGATAACCCCCTGGTATCAATAGTCAAAATGATCCCCAGCTTCTGGGCTTTCTAAAACTGTATCATATGCGGCATATGATATGCTTACACTACTAAGCCTCAAAAAATGCTCAATTATTAGTGATTTCGCCTAATGATTAGTCTTACCACTTGAAAGATGAATCTCAAATTTCAACTCCTCCTCTTTTCCTACAAATAGCGCCGAGTCAAAAGCCTGCACCCTCACCGCCACCTCGAGTTCATCAAACTTTTCTTCCAAAACAATCGCTTCTCCTCCTTCAGAAATCGATTTGAAAGATCTGTGGAAAATCCATTCTCCAGTTTCTTCTTTCAATTCTGATCGAGCGATTTTTCGAGTTTCCAAACTCGGAGTTTTGTTCAGAATCGTTCTTTGGAATGCAGTAATCGCCCATTTTTCTTTTTCTTCGCCACCACAAAAAACTTTTCCTTCTCCATTTTCAAAAACAACCTCCTCCCAATAAGCATGGAAATAATTTTCAAACTCGGCTCTCTCAACCGATAAAATCAGTCTGTCCAAATCATCTCTACTTGTCGTTCTTTTCAACTTTTTCTTAAAACCCTCCAGCCATTCCTCAACCGCTTCTCTCGTCAATTCTTTTGGATGCGTCGTAAATAGATTCATCCGCAGCTTCTTTTTCTTGAAAATTTTTCTCGAAAATAAAAAAAGGAGATGTTAAAATGGTCTCTCGATTGAAGAGGATAGGAAACCGGCAAAAAAGCGCTCTCGTGACTCTGAAATTACGATTGATTACGAGATCTATTCATTATTTAACAATTCTCATTATTCAACAATTGCCAATTTTCTAATCATTTCTAATCATTTAAGGAGGTAGTCCCTGCTTTTCGCGATTTCGGCACTTTTTGAACAGCGCTCAGGCAAATTTGGGCTGTAGTTGAAGGATAAAAACTATATGGGTAGAAAGGTCAAACCCTGTTATAGAGTTGCCAGTTCACAAAAGATATTTTTCTTGACCACTTTAGGAGCTAGGGTGCCATATTATAACTCAACCCGAGCAAAATCGTCATTTTTGCCTATTTTCGAACACACATAAAATCATGAAAATATTGAAATAAATTTTAACCAAAACTATTTTTAAGAAGCTTATTCCTTCGTCTAGAGTTGCCAAACGAAATTAAAAAACTCTAAAAAGTCATAATGTAAAACCTTTGAGCAAAAGTTGTCTCTCAAAATCTTGAAAAAATAAATTTTTTAAAGAAGATTTATCTTTTATTATCTTTATAACAGACATTTTATTAATTATTTTTATAATTTTAAGGTCATCAAAAATCAAATTAAAGCTAAAATTTTGGATAAAATTGTCAAAAAATTTCAAGTTTTTGAAATTTTTCATCAAAATCACACTTTTCAAGTGCGATTTTGGGGGCTTTTCTCTAACATTTAGAAAAAATGATTATTACGAAATTTGTAGCTCTTCTCACGAGCTTTTAGAATCTGTAAAGAAATTTTGAAGATTCCGGTTTTGTCCAAACCGAGGACTACCTCCTTAAATTAAACCATATTTACTCCGCGTTTAAGTTCTTTCGATTGAAGTTTATTGAATTTTATTGTCTTAATTACAGTGAAAACTCAAAATTTGCCTATTCGAAATTTGGCCCGTTTTGGTCGCAATTGACTGATTTTTGAATCTGAAAAAGACTCAAAAATTGGCCGCTTTTTCAAAAATAAAAAAAAATTGCATCAAAATTGCGCCCAAATTATGCAATTACTGAGCATTTTTAGCTTTTTTAAAGTGTTTTAATTAATTAAAATGACTAAATTTTAATAAAGATGACTTCAAACAAGCAAAAATTTGAAAATAATTCATAAAAAATGTGAAAATCATTCGAAATTTCGAAAATTTGCTTCTTTGAAGGGGACTCTTGGCTATCCGGTAAAAAACTCAAAATTTGGCCGCTTTTTTCTGGAATTTGGATCTAAAACCGGCCAATTTTTGAGTTTTCACTGTAGTTAGTAATGAAGTACTGGTAAACGAGCAGAAATTACAGTTACATGCGTGAATATTCATCAAAGATGTCTTTTTTCATCTCAACTTGGACGGAGAGCCGTGTTTTCTCCACTTGGACGTATCCATTGAAAAACGAGCAGGTCTTGTAGGTTCGTCTGCTTGTATATCGCGTCTCCGTCTGCACCAACATGCAGTCGGACATGAAAGCGCAGAGGTACGTGCAAGACAATGCGCGAGAGCCGGTTTTGTCGAGGTTGAATTTTTGCAAAGACGGAATTCCAGAAAGAAAGCATTGTCCATTGCGGTAAACATCGGGCAAATCGCACTGGGCATCGTACTGTCTTGTCGGGCTAATGAAAATCGAAGCAGATCGGCAGAGACCAACGCAGTCGGCCTTGGATGCAACCGCAATAGGACCGGCCAAATCGACCTCGGAGCCAACCAGCTTCTCGAATCGAGCCATTCGGATCTTTTCAAAGTGCTCGGCCGAAACGAAAGCGAAGATTGTCAAGGCAAAGATGACTTTCATAATTTGAGTTTGCTTGGTTTCTTTTTGATGGATTATTTTACTGTTGCTTACAGCCCTGTTACACTCGGTATATATTGAGGTTATCGTGCATCAATTAGTACGCTCCAGAGCTCTATCTTTAGCGCACTAGAGTTTGCTGTCCTTAATGACTCACGAGACCGTCAATCAAAGAATCAAGAATCAAACAACTACTAATTTCAAATGCTCGAATCTTGACTTTTCGCCCGATTTGATACGGTAAAACGAGTGGAAATCTTCAATCGGCTGCTTTGAGTAAACCGATTTGGCGACGACCGCGGGCGCCATTTTCGCCGCCGCAAACAACGGATCCCTCACTTGCATCCGCACGTTGCATTGTTAAGCTCTTCTTACATTCTTTAAGAAGGTACTTTCTGAGTAACAAAAAAGATCGTTTTCAAGAGGAAAATCAAGAGATGAGAACTTTCTGGCTGCTGATTTTAGAGATTTTTGCGAAGAAAGAATGCCCGTCGATTCAGGAATCGCATTTTGAAAACTTTAAAAATTTTTTCATGAGATTTCATGATAAAATGCGAAAAAGGGAAACTTGAGTCAAGATGGATTCTCCCCAACAAAAAACTACTATTTTCGTCCAATCGACACGCCTTACGATACTTTTTACAAAATCCCATCAGACGGTCTTCCCTGCGAACTTCATTGCTCCAACACTGCCGGCTGCCATGCTTTTAATACGCTAGAAACTGGAACTTGCGAACTCGTCCTTGGAATCTGGCAGGAGTACCCTAAGTCGTCGATTTCATCAGGCTTTTTTCATGATTTTTGTGTTCCTTATCAGACCTCTAGCTATCGAAAAATCACTGAATTTACGGTCGTTTTTACAGCAAATATAACGGACAAGATTTTATTGGAGAGAATAAGAAATCAAGTGACTGAGATTGAGTTTGATTCCTGGAAGATGGAAAGTGATCACATGATGGCTTCAGCGAAAAGGGTTGAAATTTCGACAAGAACAAGGGCAAACAGAAAACATATTCTCTACGCGAATTTCAGAATTTTAAGGTAAGGGCCAATTAGACGGCCGTATGTCTTGATTCGGCCAATCAGAGACCGCCAACTTTCCTTTTCCGAAAATCTTGCTTTCATGTCAGAAAATTGATTTTTAGCTACCTCAAATTGAAATATGGGAATGCAAAGAACACCCTTGGCCGATTGGACCGGGAAATTTCTCAATACCTTTCTTCAAAACTCAGCTATATCGAAGGAGCCAAACCAATCAGAAATTTTCCAAACCCAAAACTGATCGTCCGAATTCATGAAATCAACGGAGGAGGTGAAAATTAACGGATATTTTCATGAAAATGAACGATTTCTAAGTGAAAACGGGTGTTTGCTTCAAAGGCAAAAACTGCAAGTGCACTGATGTGGGCGAAGAAAATGAATTTCCTGTTCAAAATACCATGCTGAGAACCTCGCGGACGGGACCGCAAAACAAGTGTTCCCTCAAGTCAAGGGTTCTTTGATAATTTCAGAATAAAAGAAAGGCCAGTGAGTTTTTGAACCCAAAAAGACATGCGAAATTCCACAAGTCGACGCCAGTATCCAATCTGCAATTCTCAAGCTTAATTCTACTCTTTCTTTTTCGACAGAAAAACTGACACCGGCTGAAAAACTCGTTCGAATGATGAATATTGTTCATCAGCGAGGAAGAAGAAATTGCGGTGAGTACAGGCTAAAAGTCCCCGAAAGCATTGCCGGAAAAGACTGTGACTTTTGGAGTCATATGAAAGGAAAAAGCAAAGAAGAAATCGTGGAGAAATTTTGCTTCTTGTTTTGGAAATATCAAGATTGGCTTCATTTCGGTGAGAAAAAAGGAAGAATGAGATTTGAAATAATTCAGATTGCGACAATGAAATTCTCAGAGTCATGAGAACAGAAAGAAGATGCGAAGCTTTCAGCGAAAAAGAAAATGAAGAATTTGTATAGTTTTCAATTTCGACGCGTTTTTTTTAATTGTAAATAAAATATATCACTGCGGATTTTCCCTTGTTCTTCGAGGTTTGTTCCCTTATCATGATTTCTTATCACCAATTTCCAAAATCTCGTTTTGGTACCAATAAAACAAGATCCGCCTCTAATCCCTAATCCGGGCCGATTTTATGACCAAGTCCTAATTATGATGAAACAACAAAAAAAAAACTTCATCGTGATACGGATCGTAAAATCTATCCGACATATAAACCATCCCAAGTCGTGGAGAAAATCAGTTGTAGAGAGAGTTATGAACTTGTAGAATTTTCTTATTTTTTTCGATAATTTAACGCTACTCTGCAGAGGTAAAAAATCATCAACGACGAGAAAAAAAATTAGCACTTGAATCACTAAAAAACAGCACAAAAAAAGCACTAAAAACCGCAAAAGCACCGAAAAATCAACAGTAAGTTTCATTAATTATTTCTCAAAATTATGAAAATCTGCGCGAAATTCTCAATTTTCAAGTTTTTAATGATCTTCTGTTAGATGGTTTGCGAGCTGCATAATTTCTGGGAGTGGGTGTACAACGCCGCGGATCACTTCCACCGCGATCCCGTCGCCAACGTCGTCATCTATTCCTCCATCGGTCTCTTTTTCGCCACCGTTGCCTGGGTCCTCACGATTCCAGCCTACATCTTCCTTCAAGACGTCAACCCGCTCTTCGAATGCGGTGTTCACGAGAGCTCTTGTCACTTCATCATCTCGTTGGTTTTCGCCGCAGTGGTCAGCGTCATCTTCGCCATTGGCATCGCTGCTGGTGAAAAGCACAAACCGACATTGTACTCATTTTTCAATGGTTTGAAAAGCCGTTCGGTTAGATATAAACGTCTCTTTTTCAGGAATGGGATTTCTTGGAATGATCTTGGAGCTGTACTCCTGCATCGCTCTCACCCAAACCATCGTCAGCTACAACAAAAACACCTCTGTCCCCAACATCACGACCATGAACACGACTGGAAACAAGCAGCTTATCAACGGATTGACCTACACCGCGGTGGCGTGCCATTTCGTCGTTTTCTTCGCGCTTTTTATGGCGCTCAAGTTTTCGTTTTTGGTCAATTGGTACTTCACATACCAGGACAAGGTGAATTTTTACGATCGTTTTGAAAGGGGCGAATTTATTGGTAATCGATAGCCATGGATTTTGAATGAAAAATGCTAGCTTTAGGATTTTAACTCTTGAAAAGATCCATTCTAAAAGAAATTCTAGCTGATCTACGCTGATACCGTCCGACTCAAGCATGGCGGCATGGGCGGAATGCACGGAAACATCGATCTCGGCGTCGCTGAAATCAAAGACAACAACTTCAAAGCTGAGGGACTCGTCAAGGGAATGGGCAAAATCAAGAAGAGCACCGTTCAACCCACCAACGTCCCTGTTTGAAAACATCATGAGACCATCAAAATATCGCATTACCGTTTATCATTCTCTTCCTTGCTATCAAATTTCAAATTGAACTGTATTTCCCATTCTTTAGTTAGGCCCACTAGTAACTTCTGAAAGTTTTGATGAGTCCTTGTTGTCTCCTCAAGTCTTCTTCTCATCTTTATTTCCCGACAATGATGAGAAGGAAAAGATGGCAAAACTGACTGTTTGAAAAACTTTCCTCTCGACAACTGAAAACTCTATTTTTTGACAAAAGATAGAAATAAATATCCACAAGAACAAAAAAAATTTGACATCTCATCCTTTTTTCACCTTGAAACGAATTTATTTTTATAGAAATTTTCCGTTTAAATAAACAATTAATTCATCATTTTTTGCTTCATTTTCTACTAGTTTGGGTTGGTAAATGCATTTTTCTCTGAATTCTTAACCCTAAACCTGACCTCCAACCCTAACCCTGATGAAATTCCAGAAATAACATTAGCTGTTTGATTAATTGATGCAAGGCTTTCCCGAACATGTCTATCTCGTTGGTGGTAATGCCCAGTTCCTGCCAGCTCGAGTTCTAAAGACGCTGGTTTTCCGCCTATTTATTATGTCGCATATATCAAAACACAAGTTCTTGGATATTTTTATTGCAAAAGAAAGGATTATTTTTAATCTCACATCTGTTCTTCGTCATCTCTCAGCATTTTTCTTGTCAATTCAGGGTCACTATCAGTATTATTGACAAGATTTGGTAGCTCGAATTCTAAAAAATTTAGGTTTAAATGCTTGTTTGGCCTCGCTTTTGCCTAACTCCGGCTCCAGGAGGTCGAATTTCGAATAAAAACAACAAATCCTTGACAAAAACTTACGAACATGAAGATCTCCGTGTTGATTTTTCCTCGGTCTTTTGCCGTATCCGAAGTCGAAAAAGCTGTTTTTACGTTTGAAACCGTACCAAATATAAAAGGAAATATAGATAACCGTGGACCAGATGATTGTCAAGGCTTTTTGCGCTTTAAAAACAAGATTGTTTGTTAGAGGATTTATGTACAAAATAATTTGAAAGCAATTTTCCTAATGAAATAATAAGAATCTTGAAAATAATCGTCTTCTCTTGCATTTCTTTGCTTTAACTGGTCTTGCTTTGAATATTGATTGTTATCTAAAAAGTAGATTAATTTCTCCCGTCACTTTTATTTATTGCCAAAACACATGAATTGAATTCTTTAATTTAAAAGTGAATATAAGCAAGTTCTGCAATTATGATTATGAATTTACATGTATGATTCTTCTTTCAATTTGCTTTGCTTACATTGAAAGCCTTACAAGAAGTTTTCTTTGCCCTGGGCAAATATGGCTAAAGGGAACTCATTGATTTTTTACCTTGCTATTGCAACGCAGCAAAAAAATCGTACACCATAAAATGTCGACTGAAAATAACGATAAACCACCAGTTATATCGCAATTATCGCTTGAAGAGAAAATCGAAGGTTTTATGAACTCACAGGAAGCTCCAGAAAACGATGACGACATACAATCAACCCTTACAAACAGCTCGCTGGGCGACTTTAAAAACATGGAACTTCCTCAGCCAAGAGTTGCAAATTTGCAGAGATGACTGCTCAGCTCATCTCAGCTCAGTGCTTTTTGAAAATGATTTGATCAGCTCAGCTCAGTAACTGAGCCTCAGTTCAGCTCAGACAAATTTCACTCAGCTCAGCTCAATTATTTTAGAAGTTCGAAATTCGAACATGATGCTCGAACTGTTCTGCTCAGCTCAGACAATTATTACTTAGTTCAGCTCAGCTCAGCTCAATAATTTTAACACAATTTTACTTCTAAAAACACAGTAAAATCAGCTCAGCTCAGCTCAGCTCAACCAGCTCAGTTCAGCTCTTATTAGGGTCCGCTCAGCTCACCTCATCTCAACCACCTTAAAAAAAAATTTGCTCAGCTCAGCTCAATGATCTCAGAAAAAGGCCAGCTCGAGTGGAGATGACAGTAAATCAATCATGTCTGAGAGCTCTTGTGGAGACTACAAAAATGATGAACTGCCTGATCCACCGTCTTATATCAAACCTCCGAGAGACAATGAAGCTCAAGAAGAAAATCCACTAACTGATCATTTACCAAGAATCGAGAAAGAGCTTAACTCCATAAAAGAACATCTGGAAAAACCGATAAAACAGCCTAAAAATAAAATAATCCTGACTGCTGACGAGCTTCGTAAACTAACGGAGAAAAGGATGCTTCAGAAAATAGAGACGGATTCAAGAGATCCAAACTCGGAATCAGATGTTTTCTTATTTCTTAGAGCTGTTGCTGCTGGAATGAAAGAGGTCAACATTCGAATCGATTACGACCAACAACTCTCTTTGTCGGAATTCAGTCTTTTCGGTGTTATCGGTAATAAAACTCAGTATGTTTTCAAATACCCAACTGCTTTTGATGGCTGGAGCGTTCAGTTTTTAGCCGAGGCAGACTTCAGAAAAGTGTTCAGAAAAGTGTGTATTTCAATTTAAGGACCCCCCCCCCGTCAGCTTTTTCCTTCGAAAAATGGAAATTTTTAAAAACAGCATATTTTTGTTCCCTGCGTCCTCTGGTTAAACTTTCTTCATAAACTTGATAAGAGGAATTCTTGACCAAGAAAAATCAAAATTTAGGGCCAAAATTAGGGCAAAATAGTCAATTTGGTGAAAAATCTAATTTTCAAACGCGATTTTTGGGGTGAAGGAGTCGAGATAGACCCCCAAAAAATGGAGCCTCAAATTCGTTTTCTGACCCGTAGAATCCATTTCCGGGGTCAAAATTTTAAAATTCCAAAATTTAATTTTTCGAAAAAAGCTGACGGGGGTCCTTAAGAAAACCAAGTCAATGATAAAAACACAAAAAAAGAGAGCTGAATCCTGGGCGATCATTTTGGCAACGAGTTTGGCACAGTGATCCCCTTAGGGTCGAGGGAAGCTGCATCCATAAAATGGTACTGAAGTCTCCCGACAACCGAAAATTCAAAGTTCTTGCCTCTCCGTCATCACTCAAAACAAAATTGACGAAGAACAAAGATGGCAAAATTTTCGTAAACAATGCTCTTGCTGAAACAGAAAAGAATGTGTGGACAAATGATCGAGGAACGCAGGTGTTTGTCTGGGATGTTTGTCGAAGGCAGACAGTCACGTGGACTGTCATTCAAGAGAACGAAGAGGATTAAACTGTCTAATATTGATTCTTTCGGTGACATTATTTTTTGAAAATAAATCATAAACATTTTATTCGAGATAATATTGAAAATCTTCGACCACTTCAGAAATGATTGGCTGCAGGGATAAACTTGTTCGGCCGTATTCTATCGGCATGTCTCGGCCGATGTAGATTTGTTTGTAAATTCCGTCGAGCGAAATAAGGATGAAATCGTCATCGTCGTCGTTCCAGTCGTACTCGTATTTATCAGCTTTTTTCTCGTCTAAAAATGGGATTTCCGAGGACCAAATCGCTTTAAAAACAAACCAAGATGGATAAAATAAGTCTTGTCGACCATATAATCAATAACTTCTAAAATCGTCGTGTTCAGCGCTTGAGAATTATAAGCAGCGTGGAGATAGAGGCAGTAGAATTCGGAAAAACCATCCGTCATGTGTGGTGCTTCTTGAACGCGGTAGAGAAAGCCGGACCAAGGATCGCCCTGAGAATTGGTGGATCGGTTAGTTGGCAGTGGGTAAGATTGGAGGGTTAGGGTTAGGGGGTATTGATGGGTTGTATGCTTTTTTTAAGGTTAGACAGGTCTTTTTTATAAGAAAAAGAAAGCTTACATTTTGAGCCATAAATCGAGCCAAAAACTAACCTTTCCCTTGATCGCAAATTTCTGTTCTCCCAAAAGCGCCCTAATCTTCGCCTTTTTCTTCTCCCAATACGATCCTTCATCTTCATCGCCAAAAATCAGCTTGGCATCTTCTGGCGGGACTCGGTTTGAAAGTTCTGCTTCGACGAAATCAATCGCTCCTCCTTTGTGAACTTTTTTCAATTCTCGATAGGCTTTGTGAATCGCCCTGAAAACTTCTTCTTCTCCTCCATGATCTGGGTGGTGCTGTTTTGCCAGGTCGAAGTAAGATGTCGCTATTTCTGAAAGAAAGGGATTTTACGAAAGAAAATAGCAAGGTGGGGTATATTCAAAGGGGGAATTCCATAAAGATCTTCCTCCTCCCCCTGAATTTAGCAATGTTCCTAATTTAGGACCCCTTAATCCGAATAGCCTCCTTTTAAGGGGGGTCGACGAGAATTTTTTCAGGGGTGATCGTAATTTCGCTTGTACTCATAGTCTGGATATGAAACTTATATTTTTGGAATCTACAGATTCTCCCAAATCTTTTGAGCCTAAAATCATTTGATTAAAATGAGATTTAGAGGGTAAAATTAGGAAAAATGTAAAAAAAAATGACCATTTTTAGTGCATTTTCGCGAAAATGGCCCCACTTTGATGGGATTTTTGACCGATTTTTTCTTGCCAAATTTTTTTCTACTTTTCGCCGGTTAATTTTTTCAACCCTTTTCTATTCGCCACTAAATTCAGATTTCGCCTATCTTATCAGGTTTTCTCCCATTTTTGGTCACGGAAATCCCGATTCTCGTCGACCCGCCCCTTAAAGGGTGTCACAATGATATTCAGTCAACAGATGAAATACAGTATTTGTTTAATGAATTTTGATTGTGACACCCTTAAAAAGGGGGCTATCCGGATTAAGGGACCCTAAATTAGGAAGATTACTAAATTAAGGGGGAGAAGAAAATCCTTATGGAATTCGCTTATTAAGGGATCACCCCCCGATTTTTCAAAACTTTGGCACCGGTCATTATTGCCTATGATTAGATTCCTCGTGTTCTGAGGATCATTTTGATATATGATAGTACCCCTTTACCTAAATGCATCCACGAAATTTTGGCTCCCAAAGTTCGGGAAAATGCATGTAAATTGTACTTAGCGTGAAAATCGCAATTTTTTTCGATTTTTCATTGTCATCGAAATAGCACAAACAAGGACTCTTTCGAAAGCTTAGAATGTGAAGATTACGAATATAATAACCGCACTAGAATTTTCGGCCAATTGTTAGCGCTAGAGAGCATTCTAACACCCAAATAAGGCCAAAAATGGTTTCAAAAAGTTTTACAACTAGAATTTTTTTATTAACTTATCCGATCATGCTGATTCTACCAAAAAATAAAGATTAGCGTCTATACTTTTTGATAAACGAAAAAGATTTTGAATCCCAAAGCCCAAAAAAAAGTAGATACGATTTGAAAATGACTTAAAATGGCCATTTTTCAAAATGTTAATCACTTTGACGGCCTCTAATGCATAAGCGAATGTTTTGCTGGCAAGCTGATTCCACCAGAATTTGCTCCTTTCGAAGCAGGCTTTCTAATGCGCCCAAAACCAGCTTCCTACGTAAGCTCAAAAAAAAGTAGATAGAGGTCAAAGTTGGCGAGATCGGGGGGGATCCCTTAAATAGGCCTAAAAAGCTTCAAAACGTACCTTTTAATGACGAACTTTTCGAAACATTTAAAACTTTATAAAACTCTGCTAAATCTCCTTTTCTTCTCAAAACCGGCAGCAGAACTTTCCCAGCGCGCAGCATATTTTTCGAGAGATCTCTTTTTTAGAAAATTTTCATTTTTTTTCGCTGTCAGCAGAATGAGTCATCGACTCAGAATGACGAACCCACGCAGAAGTCGTTACTGATTTCGACGCAACTCGCAGAATTTACCATTTTTTTTTTTTGAAAAAAAATAACTAATTATTAAACTTATTCAATGAATTTATTTGCTTGTAAAGAAGAATAAAACTGTTGGTTGTTGCGATCTGACAATGATTACAGGGAGTTACAGGCGTCCGAAGATGTTCGATGTCCAAAATTGACATTTCGGTCGATGGGGGTTAACAATTCTTTATGCTTTGAATCGAGGGTCAATTTGAAAACAGAAAAGCACAATCGTAAAAAAAAGAGTATGAGCCCTTGAATCGGCCCCGCGGCGCGGCCACGCTTGATTTTCATGGTTCAAATCGTTCGTAGAGAAAATGGAGAAAAGACGTGTTCTTTTGGCTTCTGCTTGTTTCTTCGGAATCGTCGGGTTTTACCTTGCTTTCGGGATCGCCCAGGTACTAGAATTTATTTCCACCAACTCCAACGAAGCTTACAGGAAGCGGTGACAAAAGTTCCGTTTGACGGAGAAAGCTGGAAGTTTATGCTGACTCTGACCTGGCTTACTTGCTGTATAAATGCTATTATAACGAATATTATCCTCTCGATTTGCAAAAGAAAATGTCACGTGTTCAAAACTTCGAAGAATTATTTAGCGACTTCTGTGAGCAACGCAGCAGCCATTTTATGCACGAATAAATCGCTCCGTAAGTCCTTAAGGGTGTCAACAACGATTTGTCCATATCTCATTTTCTTTTCAGAATATGTAAGCTATCCAGCTCAAGTTCTGGGAAAAAGCTGTCGGCCAATTCCCGTCATTATTTTCGGCGCTTTGATTGCAAAGAAATTCCACTCGATTTGGAAATGGATTTCTGTCATTTTGATCACCATCGGAATTTCGCTGTTTATCTACGATGAAGACTCGAATGTGGAGAAAGAAGAAAAGAAAGGAGTTTATTTTGGGGACTTGCTTTTGGCGATTTCGTTAGTTTTTGATGGTGTGACTTCTGCTTTTCAGGAGAAGATCAGGAATGATTTGAAGGATGAACCAAAGGACAGGATCTTTTATTTCATTGATTTTCTCGAAATTAAGGGTATCACTATGTTAACTTCTTTTCAAGAGAATGATTATTTTTCCTTTTTTCTTGAGATTTGAGCATGCTCCACCCCCTTAAAATTGATCTAGAGATCCTTAAAAAGACGAATTTAAGCCCGATCGAACTGATGAACACCCTTAATTCCTGGGCTGCAATAATTTCTTTCCCCTTTACTTTCATCCAGCTCGAAATTATTCTGGCTTTTAAATTCATGGCGGCTCATCATGGCGTCATTTGGAAGATTTGTGTCATGGCTGTTTGCTCGTGTCTTGGTAAGAATGAGATTTGGAGTTTTTTTTTCATTTTATTTTCAAGGGCAAATGTTTATTTTTCTCTGCGTCGTCGAATTCGGCACCTTGACAACTTCAATAATCACAACCTTGCGAAAATTCTTCACGCTTCTCGGTTCAGCCCTGATTTTCGGCGATTCCTTCGATTTGAAAAAGAAAATCGGCGCCGGAATCGTCATGGCTGGAATTTGCCTCGACTTGTTTTTCAAAAAACGCGAAAGTTCGAAAAATCAAGTTTCGGCGGAAATGCAGCCGCTGGTGCTTGAAAGCGAAGAGGAAGAAGATGAAAATATGATTTTTAATATGGAAAAGACTTTTTCGCTGGATAGCTTGCGAAAATCAAGTATTTAGAATTTCGAACTCTGTATAGTTTCTCCTTTATTATTCAAAATAAATATATAAGCTTAAAAAATCATTCCGCCATTTTTGTCTTCTGAAAATATTTTTGCAGAGTTGTCTTTTCTAATTTTATGGCGCTTGAAAAAAAACGCCCAGGGCAGCAATATTTGCCGACAAATAAAAGTGCTCTTTGTATCTTTATTCAAACTGAAGAGAAAAGTGTAAAAAAATGCGGCTGGATTTCGAAGCGAGAAAAAAATTTTACGAAAAAGAACTTGCTTCTGGAGAAATTTTTGAGTCCAATGGAGACCTTTTTCTCTCAGCAACAGCGACAAGAGAAGGCATGGAAAAGCTCAAGAATACTGAATTTCCTGAAAACTCTGTGACGGTGTTAGGTTAAAAAAGCAAGCGTAACCATTTTTCAGCGTTTTTTAGGTTTTCCGAAATCGGGGTGTCATTTGATGATGTCGATTTTGGACGCAATCGGGGTAACGAGGTTGGAAGCGCTTTTGCCAAATGATAAAGTCTTCTTTTTTCCAATGGAGTTTACACCAAATGTTGCTGCTTTGGACGAGCAAATTGCTGCGATTCGTCGAAACCCTGATCTTGTTCATACGACACATTGCCATGTTCACCCGGGAAATTTTCCGCTTGGGCACAAGGAAGAGTTATTTTCATAGAAATAAGCCTTAATTCAAACCCTAACCCTTGATTCTGAACGAAAAAATTAACTCATTTTCAAGGGAAAAATCATCTTTGTCGAGCGAAATACTCCAGCTATTGCCGTCTCCGCTTTTCATTTCTTCAAAAAACTTCCTTTCCTCGAAGCGTACATAAAACAAAACCAAATTGACGAAGACATCAACAAATTTGCTCGATTCATGTTCGACGGAAAAAACTACATCGGCCACCCAGAGGACTACAATCAACAATGGAAACGATTTGCGAAGCAACATCCTCAACTCAAAATTGAATGTTAGTTCTATTTTAGCGATTTTTGAAAAAGACTTTTTTCTAGTTTTTAAATTTGAGGATGTCATGGCGGATAAAGAAAAAGAAATAGCAAGACTGTTGGATTTCCTTGAAATCAAAAATTCTGACGTGTCCGAAATTGCCGAAAAGGTGATTAATTAACATCTCGATTCAAGTAAAAAATATTTCTTCTAGAGCGGTATTCAAAAAGCGCGCGAAACACGAAAAACAGCAGCCGACAGGAAAGGGATGAAATTCGACGAAGACGTCATTTTTCGCTCAGGAACTACAAATGGATGGAAAGAAGAGTTTTCGAAAGAAACAATTGCTTACTATGAATCTCTGCAAAATCAAAATTAAAGAAAAATCAATCTCTAGAACAACTTCATTGACCAAAAAACAAAAAGCACTGCGGATCAGTTTATTTTTCATCAAAGACAAAAATGGCAAAAGCGAAGAATTTCGATTCTTTTTCAAGTTTTCTGCCGCAGGTTCTCAGGTCCATCCTCTTTCTTGTTTGCCTCGCATTCGTCGTTTACGTCTTTCCGATTTCCAGGAGCGGATTTTCAGACGAAAAATGTAGAATTTCTTCTTTCGACTAAAAAATCCGAAAACAGAGACTCGTGGTGCATTTTCAACTGCAGCATCATCAAGTGTCTTTACAACAACGTCCTCGCAGCTTATGAATTTTACCGAGAAAAAAGCGGAGTTCACGAAATTCTGTCGATTATGCTTGGAGATCTTTTGCCCCGATCCTTTGGCGCGTTTTTCTTTACCGCGGGAAAATTATATGTTGCTTTTGCAGTGTCGCTTTGGGCTTCGAAGATGCTAAAAAGACACGATGCAGTCATCGGATTAGAATCAAGAATTTTTTATGGTTTTTTCTGAGCATTTTTTATCCGATCAAAAGTCTCAAATCTTCATAAAAACGAGCTCTCAAAGAAACCAACTGGCTGGGCAGCTGGATATGAAAACAGGACCGGCTTTTTTCTGACAAGTAGAAAAAGCCTTTCTTCTATCAGTTAGAAAGCCCAATTCAAGCAATTATCAAAGCGGCTCTCCAAAACCGACAAAACTCAAGTTCAACGAAAACTTCAACATTTATGAAAAACGAAATTCTGCGCATTCTGGCCAAGACAATTGATGAAATTTTAATTTTTTTTCTTTGCATTTATCTGTTTTTCAATAAAATATCGTATTTTCATATTTGTAGTTGTTGATTTTTTGAAAAAAAAAACAGTTTTTCCGAATTTTGATTTTGTTTGAAAAGCTCAAAAGATGAAAAGTACTTGAATCTCGTTCAATAAGAACTTATTTGCAAAGTGGGGCAAGTCAAATTTGCATTCTTTTATGACCAGCCTTGCCCCTTTTTTCTCTCCTGATTAAGATCAAACCAGAGAAATGCTCAATCTCTTCCTATTCGGGCTCGTTTCGTGCGAGTACGCCTGGGACCACGGAATCGACGGAATCGAAAATGGGAGGCCGCTGATTGTGGCGCATCGAGGAGCTTCTGGAATTTATCCAGCGCATACAAGAGGGAGCTACGAAACGGCGATTGAACAAGGAGCAGATGTTATTGAATGCGATTTGGCGGTTTCGAAGGACTTGAAATTTGTTTGCCTCCACGATGAATTTTTAAGGAACAACCTCAAAATTTTCTTTAAAAAATCTTGAAAAAAATGTTCGAAAATTCCGAAAAGTTCCGTCACGGATGTTGCTGATCGACCAGAATTTAAAGATCGAAGGCGAAAAATTGGCACGAAAACCGACTGGTTTTCCATTGACTTTACTTTTGAAGAACTTACATCCCTAAAAGTCAAGGCAATTAGCTCACGTGATCAGCAGGTATGACCAGTCCTTGGTTCAAAGGGTTATTTTTCAGTACAACTTCAAATACAATGTCGTATCCTTCGACGAATATGTTCAAATCGCGAAATCAGCAAATCGAACAATCGGAATTTATCCAGAGACAAAAAAGCCTGACTGGTTCGAGACAAATATTGATTGGACTCGTTACGACATGGAAGAAGCAATAGTCGAAGTTCTGATCGAAAAAGGATACACGAAGCCGACGGATCCCTGCTTCGTTCAGTCTTTTAGCTGGGAGTCGCTGAATCAAATGAGAAACCTGACGGATCTGCCATTGAAATGAGTTTGAAATTAAGCCTTATAATGATTTTTTTATGATTCTTTTAAACTTGTCGAAGGTTTACTTGTTCAATAGAGCAAATATGTAAGTTGTTCATTTTCATTTTATTGTCCGGAAACCGACAAATAATTTCAAACTCTAATTTTTGATTTATCTCTTCAAATCATCAACAATGTATGAAAAAGTGTCTTTTTGACTGTTTTCATCAGTTTTTAGCCTTCCTGGATATCGACCTGATGATTTTTCGACCTTCGACTGGACTGAGTGGAAATTTTGGGAGGAGCTGGACAAGCTGAATATTTACGGAGTGGGGCCAGATAAAACTATGATTGTTGGAAAATCAGCGGACAATCATATTTCTTACGTTTCAAATCTCATTCAAGCGGCGCACGATCATAATATCGGGTAATCATCGGAATCGATTTCGTCAATGAGCAATTTAGGGTGCACCCGTACACTTTCAAAAATGACAATCTACTGTTCGACTACAAGTTCTCCGCGGAAAACGAGTACGAGCAGCTTATAAATCTCGATGTGGATGAATTCTTTAGTGATTTTCCTGAGACTCTTGTCCGATATCTCGAGAACAAGTTGAGAAATAGAAATTTTCGATCTTCATTATATCTCTAGAAAATGCAAAGAGCATCAATCTGAAGATGACAACAGCGAAGACTCAGCTAGAACTTTGAGCCTGACATTATCCCTGCTTTCAGTGATTCTTTTTTATGTCCAATAAAAGACAGTTTTTTTATCGCAAAATTTGCTTATTAAATTAAATACGAAAAATATTGAGTGTTTAAACAGTAACAGGATGTACTCCTCCTTGATTTCGCTGAGAAAGAGCATCTTGAATTCGCGGGTCGTCGAGGGGAACAACAGTGTCCGGGTCGATTTGATTGTCGATTCCACAGAAAAGAGCTGAGCAGCCATTTCTCCAATGCTGGCCCTTGTTCTTCATAAACGCGGCGGCGCGAACTTCGCACATGTGCAAGTAGATATCGATAAGAATTGTTACGACGAAGATTGTTGGAAAAATCGTGAAATCGCTAAAATAATAAGTTGACAAGCCTCTAGATTCTAGAGTCTAGAAACAGAAGAAATTACCCGTATGCGACCAAAAAGAACACAGCCTGGCCCAGAAACATCAGTAGCCAATTCGCTGCCGCTGCGAATTGCATTTTTCCACCAGCTTCTTTTATCTTTTTCGAATGAAAATCGACCGTTACTAGTCCCTCATCGCCGGTTGCAGCTAAAATTGCATACAAATCTCCTCTCTTTCCTCTTTTTTTACCTTTCCAACTAACAAGCCCGATCGTTGGTGTTTTAAAATACATAACGACGAGCCGCAGAACAAGATGAAGAATAACCCAGGAAAGCCATTCAGTAGATTTTGCAAATTCATATCCAGGTTTAATAAGAAGATAAATCATTGTCCCAAGCCGCTGAAAATCCATAATGAAGGACCAAAAAGGCGCGGCTTTCTTAAGTTTCTTCTAGTCGCTCTAGAATGCGGACCAAAGAACGAATTGCCAATAGAAAGAAACTTTCCTAGAGTTGCTTTTCCACAGCTATTGAATTCGAAAAATCCCGTTGTTGGAACAGTCGCATCAACATCAATCTATAATCTCTGAGAACCTATTCTCTCAAACTTTTCTCTTACCACTTGGAAACCCTGAATTTGACCGGGTTCTACATTTTGAGGGTTGACTATCATGCCGGAGGGGTCTGGAATCGTCTCTTTCTTTTTGCCGAACATTTTTTGCTCAAACTGATTATTTACTGAAAATTCCTTTCTATTGTTGTTCGATATCTAGAAAAAATCAACATCAAGACCGACTAGAGATTTTATTCGCAAATGACATTCTGAGGGAAATCACAGACAAGAACTTCAGGGTTGAAAAGCAGTCCAGGGGGGCAATCTTGGTCAGGCCATTGGATTCCGTTGGAGCATTGGTAGAACTTCGAGCAGTCGTTTTCGTTAGGGTAGATTCCATCTTCGCATTTTCCAGAGGCACTTGTTGTTGTTTCCTTTGTAGTTGTCGTTGTTGTTGTTCTTGTTGTTGTTGATGTAGTTGATGATGTCGCCGCTGGTGTGGAAGTTGTTGTGGATGCCTTTGTTGTTGTTGATTGCGCAGTTGATGTCATGATCGTTGAAGCTGTTGTCGTCGTTCGAGTCGTGGTCGCTCGAGTTGTCGTTGAACGAGTTGTAGTTGAACGAGTAGTCGTTGCTGGAGTCGTTGTAGTTCTTGATGTTTTCGTCGTCGTGGTTCTTGTCGGCCTAGTCGTTGTTGGAGAACTTGTTGTTGTTTCTTCTCCCCATCCAAAGCAAGCCCATTGGCACTTGTAGTCGTACCATTTGCACTCGTTCAGACATTGGGCCAGCTCAAATTCAGGTTTTTCCCAACCAAAGCATTCACTGAAAATGCAGAAGTATTTGGGGGAAAACTATCTTACCGTTGACATTTTGAATCGAACCAATCACAAGAATCAAGACATTTGGCAAGCTCAAAATTTCTTGCCTGAGGAAGAGCCGATGCAGAAATCGCGAGTGGAAAAAAAATTTTCATGGTGATTTTTCTGACAGAAAAAATAGCAATGAATTCTTCTGAACAGGAAGCGTATGGCGAACTCTCATGATTTTACCTGTCAATCGTAATAATTAGGTAACATTTTTACGAAAAAGATACGCATAAATTCGAGTGAGAAGATTTCGCAATAGAAAATTTATCTGCCAATTTATTTTTTAGGCATCATCAGAGATAATTTCAAAATGATCAAGTTTATCGGCATAAATCTTGAAGGAATCTGCAGAATTACTGATAAAATTTTCTTTGTAGCTTTTCGTTCCTTTCATGTAGTTTGCCTGCTGTTTCGTCCCTACAAATGGTTGATAGACAAAGTGGTCGTTTTGTCGCCAAGGACGCCAGACGCCATCTTTTGGGTTGGCGTTTTCGTCGGGGTTTTCATGCTGAGGCTTTGTTTGATCGTCCTAGAATCGATAGAGAGATGGAGGAAAGAAGATCTTACGTAATAATCAGCAAGTTTTAGCAGAAACTTATCAACAAGCTCGGGATGGAAGTCAGAAACATCATGGTTTTCGAAAGGATCATTCTCCATATCGTACAGACGGACAAGTTTATCGGGCTCCACCTCCTCCAGCGGCTTTCTTTCCATGATGTATTTCTCATTCTTTTCCCCGGAAAACGAGCAGCCCGAGTGACAAGGGCGGCCCGTGATCAGCTTCCAACTTTCAGATCTGATCGCGGCCTTGACGGTCACATCGAAGGTCCTGTTTTTCAGAACTTGAAATGGTCTCACATCAACATCTCTTCGTTCGACTTTGAGGGGGTCCATGAAGTGGAGGATGTGAGATCTTTTGAGCTTCGGCTCGAGGTGGAAAATATCTTGAGCAGCGCCATCAAGTGGGAGGGTTTTATCGGGAACTTTTCAGAGTTCTGATTGGTTGAAAAATACGGAAAGAAAAAGAAGAAATGGAGAACTCTTCCTGAACATCCTGAAAATCTCAGCAGAGTCGGGTACCAATCAGTCACGTGCATCACATACGGAAAGTTTTTTCCCACCAACTTTTTCGGCAAAATCGGACTGTGAATAAACGCTCTTGCTTTTATCCCTCCTTCAAAGACATTCCCTTTGCTCCCACGGAGGGGCCAGTTCGACGCTCCTTCTTTCGTCTGCCCGCCGTTATCAGAAGTGACGACCAAAATGGTATTCGACCAAAATCCTTTTTCTTTCAAAGCAGCGACGATTTTTCCAATGTAATGATCAACGATCGCTATTTTTCGCGACATAATTTTGCGATTATGGGTCCAGTCTTTTTCTTCAAAAAGGGATGAATACTCGTGAAGCCATTGGAGGGGACCATGGACATCTTGGAAGGAGAGAAATTCGAAAAGTGGGGTCTACTCTGGTCAAAATGACATTTCTTTCTTGAAATTTTGATGAAAAAAAATGTCATTGAAAACCACCCTGGGGATCATAATCATCCAATTTCGCGATAAAGTCTTCCGCGATAGCTTTTGTCGAGTAAGTCCCATTCAGATCAAATCTGACTTTTTCCGTCCCATTACTGTATGCTTCCCGAAAATCGTAGCCAGACGGTCGAAATTGTTTTTCATTTCTTTTTCCGATATGCTGCGAGGGTCCGTCACTCTCGCCTCGATCATTTCCCGAATCGTGGTAGAAATAGTCCTGTGAGCCGAGATAGAAGCCAAAGAAACGGTCGAAACCCCTGTTTTGCGGGCAATGCTCTTTCGTGTAAAATCCTAAGTGCCATTTTCCATGCATCGAGGTATTGTAACCACATTCTTTGAAAGCTTTGGGCAGGAGAGTTTCAGAAAGAGGGATGGCTTCTGGCTCGTCGGGCTTGATCACGCCTGAATAGGGTTTTGACGGAATTTTGACGAAAATGGATTACCGGACTGAAGGCCGTAGCGAATGTTGTATCGGCCGGTCATAAAAGCTGCCCTTGAAGGGGTACAAGACGGCTAAAAATAATTTTTTCCGGGGAGGACTCTTTTTAACCTGCTTCTCGGACACTAGCTCAGGGGATTTTTTTATCTGCAAACCTGATTGTAGTACTTTTCCAAATGAAGAGCATCTTTTGCCAAAAAATCGATATTTGGGCTCTTGATATCAGGATTGACGTATCCTTTTTCGGCTCAAAAAACACATTCACTGGCTAGGGTAGATGAAAACCTAACCCTTATCCTAACCCTAGCCCTATGAAAAATTTGAGCACAGCTCCCTAAGTCATCATATCCCAAATCGTCAATCATTATAAAAATCACATGTGGTTTCTTCTCAAAACTTCCATGCCCGCAGCAATCTCTTATAATTATCGAAAGAAAAAGAAAAATCAAGTTCTTCATTCAACGCATTTATTTTCCCTTGCCACTCGAAATTCTGAGGATCTATTTTTATCAACCTCTCTTTTTGTAGTTATATTTCTGTCCCGGTGGCGGTGATGGGGAGATAATAAAGACGGCTTAGGGGCTTGTGGAGTCATATTTGGGAGCTCGCGAAAAAAAAGCGTCGGGTTATTTAAAATTCCGACGGCTCTGTAATTTACTTTCAAGAGCATTCATCATTCATCATTTTTATAACAAAATATTTTTTGAAAGATGCTGAAAATCTTAATTTTCACAAGGGAAAATGGCATCATAGTTCAATATTTAACTTGTTCAAATATACGAACTGAGCAGGATCAAGAATTGAAAAACAAATTTCTTACTTTTTCAAGCATTATGTCTTACAACGACAGTCGGTACTGGTACGAGCCAGGTATGAAAAACAGCAATAAAGAGAAATAAGAAGAGATTTTAGGGCAGGGAAATCTTTCGGATTCCGGATATCACGATCAGTCTCAGAGAAATGATGTCCTTCAGGAAAATATTTTTCAATATTAAAATTTCGTTAGGGTTAGCTTGGGTTCCGGTAAGGTTGAGGGTAAGGGTAGGGTTATGATTGGGTAAGGGTTGAAAAAATTGATCACAGCAACGAGTAATAGCACTAGAAAATGAAGTCAGATGGCTCAAAAATGAACTTGAGCAACTCAAACGAGGAATGCAAAATCAACAAAATAGTAAGATCAGCTTTTAGACAGAAAATAAAATCTTTATCAGATCGAGCTGATGACCCGCAAGCCCAATTTCTCCGGCAACTCTCAGAAATGGCTCTTCATTCGGATCAAACCCAAAGACCAGGTAGAACTTCATCTTCAACCCGGACCAATCAAGAAATCACCGATTCTTTTGGCCTCCACAAGAAGCAAATAGAAATTCTCCAGGACAAAGGCTGCCTTGGCCATTTCAACGAAATCGACGCCAGCCCGACTCATGGAGGAAAGAAGCCATTTGATCGGAGCTGCATGGCGCTCATTTTGCAGGCGATGGACAATGGATTGAAGGATTTCACAATCAAGGTTTGATAAACAAAGAAAATTTGCTGACAGGTTTTATAGGGAGGGCATTCGGCGAATATTCTAGAAGTTGGAGAATCAATGATGATAATTACGAATGAGAAGGAAGAGCGAACTTTATTGCCTCAATGGACCACTCACATTTCCATCTTCCACAAAGGTAAGGTTTATCAAGAATAAGAGCGTCACAGAGAAAAGAGGCTTCAAATCGTTGTTTAGGAAAATATGTACGATTCAAGGCAAAATGCTTCGTGATCGATGCTTACGCCGGATTTGTCCAAAAGGAATACGACTGGAAAGAGACGAATTCAGATGGGCACTACATTCAATTGATTCTGCCGACTGATTTTCCCGACTGTGCATTTAACTATCGATTCCACGTGACTATTCTTTAATAAAACGATGGTTAGACTGAATCTGAAGAATGAGGCATTTTTTTGAATTTATTAGAATTTTATGCTCGATACGATGGTTATGATTTTCAATATCGATGGCTTGTTGAATATTAACTATTTCGACAGCTTACAGAAGAAATCGCGAGAGACAATCGAAGCTAAAATTTTTCGATGTCAGACGAAACAGAATTAAAAGCAGAAGTCAATAAATTGAAAGATGATATGAGAATGATACTATCGAAAGTGTCTGATGCAGAAATTCAACTTCTTGATTATAGAAAATGTACTGAGAAACTTGAAGAAAAAATTGAGAACCAAGAGTTAAAAATAAAACAACTTGAAGACTCTCTTGGACAAAAAGTCATCGAATCCGGAATGAAAGATGAGATAAAAAAGCCGCAAGCAGAGGTAAGGAATTGAAAAAGAAAACTTGATGAGTTAAAATTCTTCACAGAAAATCGAACGATTGAGAATCAACGAAAGAATCTACGAGTGGCCTTATCTTGGCTGGACGAGAGAAGAAGACGATGATGACGACTGCCAGTCCATTTCGACTTCGATGCAAGTTCAAGCAAATTACAACAGAAAAATTTACGAAAATAATGACTGCAACTAACTTTGACAGTTTCCTGACTTGATTTCCCAACGAATAAAATGCTAAAAATTCTAATGCAAATGATTTTGTTTTTGCTTGTCTTTTCAAAACGGTTATCAAGCCAAATCAATCAGGTCAAATTCAAAAACGCCCATTCACCCCCATTTTTTATCCTCCTCTCAATCTTCAACAAAACTACCGTGACTGACCCAGTTGGCGATTTTTCCCTTCGCGCTATAAAAATAAACCATCGTCGCCATTTTTTGGTTGCTTAGACAAAGAGTGACTAATTGTTTGAACTCGTATCGTATCGAGACTGAGAGAAGCTCTTTTTTCATTTTTATTCTTTTTCAAAAATTTCAACGAAAAAAACAAGAAAAAACAGAGAAAAATCGAAAAAATGCCCGTGGAAGGTCAAGTTTTAGGCTTCAAGAGTCAGACAGAAGAAGATTTTCTCTGCCCTCTTTGCATGTAAGAATTTTTCTTTGAAATAAGGATTACTTAAATTTCAGGTCAATAATTGGAGATCCTAAAGAAACTCCTTGTTGTCGTCAAATTTTCTGCGAATATTGCCTCAAAAAATCGCTCGAAAGGTGGGAGCAATTTTTTTTCTCCCATTTTTAATCAATTCTAGATCATCCGATTGCCCAGTCTGTAAAGCCCATCTTTGCGAATCCCGATTCCTCCCCCCTTCAAAATTTTTCCTCGCCGCCCTAAATGGACTGACGATTTCTTGCAAATTCGAAGCCTGCAAACATCCAGTAACATATGAATTCAGAGATAAGGAAGGTGCTCAAAAATGACCTTTCAAACGACTTTGCCATGAATAAAAAATGAGCACAAAAAAGCACCAAAATGAATGCGTCGCGGAAGTGAAGTGCGAATTCTGCGAAATAACGATTATGCGAAAAGAACTAGAAAACCACCATTCTGAATGCGTTGGATACTTACAGAACAAAATAAAATTAAAAGATGAAATGATCAAAAAACAAGCACAGGAAAGGATTTTCAACTATTACTTTGCTTATTCGAATATGGGGTGGTTGAAAATTCTGGTCAGAAAATTGAGAGAATGAGAATAAATGAAAGAATCTATGGACGAGGAAGACGATCAATAAGCCCTAGACGGCACCAAGGCGGGTGGGGAAGAGATGAAGACGATGACAGTGACTGTAAGTACTTCAAATCATCAAGAAATCACCTCTTATCATGAAATTTATGTAAAAATTTGGGGATGTGTCTGGAACCGACAAAAAATTTCGACAAATTTGCGTGAAAATTTTCAACCAATCAGAAGACTGGATTCGGCAAACCGGCCAATAAGAAGCCAAGAAGCCGCCCACGCGAAATTTGTCAGTTCCAGACGCCACCCCAAAAATTCATTTCATCCCCCATAAAATTTAGATTCTGAATTCTTATTTGATAAAATAATAATAAAATAGGGGTTCTTTCCTGGTCATGCGCGCGTTGCGAGCTTCACTCAGAACCCTGCTGTCCATCAGTCAATCTTATCCCTCGATGTTGATTCTAGTGCTGCAAAACAGTAGTTACAGCGTGTAGCTAAAACATGAATTTCCAGGGGGCGAGGGGGAACAACTCATCGAAGAAGCAAGAAATGCCATGAGAATTCACGAAAACTTCAACCAGGAATATGACGAAAACAACTATCCCCGACTGTACGGGCTAAGACATAGAGACGAAATCAACGAAATCAACGAAATAATGGAAGGGGTGGAGAGCGATGATGGATCGCACTTTTCGGAAAATTAAACTCAAAAACGGATTCCTACTGTAAATTATTTTCTTCAACAAAAAATTTTTGAAAATTGTAAATTGAAAACAAAAATAAATCTTAAAGAAAGTCGTTATCTTTGCTTTTATCCGCTTTGAATATTCCAGCAGGAAATAATTTTTTAGAAAGAAAAAGTATAATTTCCGATTTTTGTTTAGTGTTTTTTTGTGAACCTCACCGCTGATCCGTATTATTTGAATATTTCACTTGAATTTTTTATACTTTCCGTGGTTTTCACGTAAACATCGCTGGTCAATTTAAATTACGGCGCAAAACGATTTTTTATTCATTTTACTTTTTTCATCAAAACCAGTTCTGGCGGAAAAAACTATAGAGAAAGATTTTTACTCAAGCTTATCGCAATAAAATTCGCCAAGACAGATGATGATGAGAAAAATGCTGTATTTACCCACTTTCGTGTTTTACCTAAAATCAAGTAAGTTTTCTTCTCGTTGAAAAGCTAGAACCGTCCTTTTTCGATCCCAAAAAATAATATTTTTAGCTCGAGGAGACGAAAAATCACCAGAATCGGCCGACCACAACTTCGCACTCTTCGTCGAGTCACGTGACCAGTGCGAAGACAAAACGGCTTTCTACTGTAAGGATGGCGTTTCTTCTCGGAATTGTGGCGGATGGAACTGTCCAGACGGCCTTTCTGAGTTTTCAAAATGCACGGTTTTTGCGAAAAATTTCCGCGATTCAGAAACTCAAGAATATGAAAGGAACGGGCTTCGGCGTGATTTTCTCAATTTAGTTGAAAAAACAATAAGCCTTGAAAAGAACTTGCAACTGCCATACGAATGTAGGGCCTTTTAATGTTTTTACAGGATGCAAGTGGAAGATCAAAAAGATCTTGCCATTGACAAAGTCGACAACAAAAACGTCAACGCCCACGACCACGTCAACGACCACGTCAACGACAATGTCAACGACAACGTCAACGAAAACCTCAACGTCAACATCAACGACATCGACAATCACAACATCAACAACCACCTCAAAGTCAACGTCGACTTCAACAACGATTTCATCGAAAGCATCCACATCAACAACATCATTTGCATCCTCGTCCACAACAAAGATGGCTTCTTTTCCGTTTAAAATCGAGGAGTCTGAAAAGATGCTTTTTGATGTTCAACTTCTTGAAAGTGGCAAAAACTATATCGAGGACCGAGAATATGAAGAGCATCATGAAGACTTAGAAATACAGAATGAAAACAACGTGAGAGTTCACGAAAGTCATCCTCGAGCTTATCCGATCGGCAGCGCGAAAGAACATCTCCACACAAAGAAGTGGTTTAACAAGACGATCACCAAAAGAGGTTAAAACTATTACTTGAAACTAGAGTCCATTGCTCATTTTAGATGGAACATATGTTCATGCTTTCGATATGATGCAGAAAATACAGCGTATGATGTTTGAAGATGGTCTTTTTTCGATTTCTCCTCAGAAGACTAATCAACAACTTTAATGTGTGCCTTACAAATTTCTGTACAGTTAAGTAAAAAGGAAAAGAGAGCTTTATTTGTTTACAGTTTCGTGATCGTGTTTCCATTTTTGTATTCGGCCGCTGATTCTAGCGTGCATTGTCGTTTTAATTTCTTCCGATACCTTGAGACTGGAGCTTTTCCAGCGTCGCAAAATACTAGCTGCTCCGCAGTGCGTTTTTGCTCGAGCTCGAGTTTGTAGATCTTTTACTGGGTCAACCATCAATTTTTCCCTTTTTTATCTCTTTTCTTGGAGACACTGACCCAGATGCTAAAAGCGGCCGTGAGAATGAATGCAATTACAAATAAAAGCTGATAGTTTTTCATCTCGTTTTCATTCTTATGATCAAAAAACTCTGGAAACTCGCTTTTATTTAAAAAGCGAATATCCATCTCTGGATAAGAAAGCGACTGCTTTGGAGGAGGATTTGCTCTGCTCATATTTCGACTCGTTTGTGAAAAAATAGGAGAGCAAGTAGTTTTATGAGTTCAAAAGTTTACGCTTCAAGGTGCGTTTATTGAATAATCTGTCGATTTATAGACAGTAGTTGACTTTTGAATTAATAATTTGGATGAAGAAAAAACTTGACTCATTTTGATTCTTGAAAAATGAATTGACGGGATATGAGATAGCATTTTCCATGAAGAGTTTATTTGATAATTCAGAATCGTTGAATTCAGAAAAAGAAAAGAAATGAAAGATCAATTTCCTTGAAAGAGACAAGAGAAAGGACAAGTAAGATTGTAGGGCATAAATGCGGTCTATTCAACCGTTCGATGAAGAACTGTAAAGAAGGAAGATTCGCCTTCGAAAGACCCTTTACAGGTCGCCGTTGAGGAAGGCCTGGAACATGTCATAGGCGGGGATGGGCTTGTCGGTGGGGACCATGTGGCCGGCGCCCTTGACCGTGACCCACGAGAGTCGGTGGAATTTTTTGTACCAACCGCCCACTTGTTTGGTCTTGTCGGCGGCGATGTAGGTCCATTCGCTGTACTTCTCCTCGAGCTACAAACAGAATAAGAAATTGATAGAAGATCAATGATCTTACAGGGAGGTTGAGAGCATCAGCGAACATTTCACCACCGAGGAAGTTGCAGGCCATGTCGACGTCACCGGCGTAGAGCATGATTCTGCTGTCTGGAACGGTGTTCATTGCGTGTTCGATGTATTGAGACACATCCTAAGAAAAATCTTGATAAAAGAAGAATCGGAAACAAGATATACCTGGACAGTTGTTTGGTAGTCCAGATCTTCAGCGCAAAGGACCCAGTTGATGTCAGAGTCAACATGGAGGGCGGATTTGACGGCAGCGGTGTTGAAGTAGTTCTCAAGTGCGTTGTCGTCGGTGCATGGTGGACCATCGAAGCGAGGAGTGAACGACATGTTCAAAGTCGACTTGGAGAGGATGTTTTCCATTGTTTTCTTGAATGAGAGGTTGAAAATACGGGAGAAAGGGAAAGACGATTTACCTGTTTGGAAATGCCGCCAGCGCATTCAGCGTAGAGATTGTAGACATCGAGGCCGCCGGACCAGGTGAGATTGACAACGCTTTCGACGTCGTTCTTGCACGAGTCATTGGGGTAGTTGAAGAAATCGCACTTGGACTCGTCGCCGTTGGTGCAGCAGTTTTTGACGAGAGAAGCCCAGTTGGCTGTGGAGATGAGTCCGTGATACTTGGCAAAGTAGACGATCGACTGCTGGTTCTTTTCCCAAGAGTAGAGACCGTTTCCGATAGCAGCTCCCTAAAGGACATGAGGAAAAGATAAGAAGGAGAAACGGGGTGTACCTTGAAATGAGGGCTGAGAACATCATCATCGACGATCTTGGAAATGAGAGTTGGAACGTAGATACCAGCGTAGGATTCACCGGAGACGTAAAGTCCGTTGGGGAGGTACTGTGGGAACTTCTTGAAAAAGACTTTCAACGCGTCTCGGTTGTCAGAAGATGTGGTGTCGTCAGAAATGTGCTTCATGTCCTCCGCAGATCCTGAGAGAATAATGATGTCGAAGAATAATTTCTCCTTGCTTTACCTTTGCTGAATCCAACTCCAATGGGTGCTTCCATGTAAATCATGTTCGCGTTCATATTCCACGCCCAGGGATTCATCGAAATCGTTTCGTCGTCGTTGAGATGAAGAGGACCATGCTCGGCAAAGAAGCCTTCCATGGAAGAGCAGCCAGGGCCGCCGTTGAGCCAGAGAACGACGGGATCGGTGGCTGGATTACCCTGAGATTCGACGAACCAGTAGTGCAGTTTTTTCGTATCGGTGACAGACAAGTAGCCGGAATACATGTCGAAGTCGGGGAGGCTGTCAAGGCCGGGGAGGGAGGTGATCTTATCGGCGTCAGCAGCTGTAGTGAGCTTTTTCGAGTGGTGGTGCTCCATCTCCACGACATTGTTGGCGACGAAGGCCGAAGCCGAAGCGGCTGAAAGAAAAATTCGTCATTCAATTTATTAAATAAGAGGTAACTCGACTATTTAATCATCTGTTAATCTTGACAAGATAAGCATCTAACCCTAAGGAGTGTTAAAATCCTTGATTTCCTGTTCCTCTATTTCCCTAAAAATTAAGGTATTGACCCCCTTATTTTTTATCAATTGATCTTCAGAATTTTGACTCTTAATCTATTCAATATTTTTGTTATCAAAGAATACTCACCAAATGCAAAAAGCTTCATTTTCCCGTTTCTCTTATTCTCGAATTGATGATTCCGAAAATGGCCAAATAAAAATCACGCCAGCAGGAGAAAAAGCGTATTTTCACACCAAGTATCTAAAAAATAGCAATAAAGCAACGCGATTGCGTTGGCAGAAAAAAGATGCTCTTGAAGAATGTTCCAGACGTCTGGGGCTCTGAGTGTGTCTGATGGCTCAATACGAGCGTTGTTTTTATTTTCAATGGCAGCTTTTTCGAAAGGAAATTCAGAATAAATTATAGCACGTGATAATCAAAATTTCGCGAGGAAATGAGAGGATGACTTCCTTAGCTCTGGAATAAAAAAAAAGCCGGGCTAAAATTATCGAGAAATCTTTAATTAAAGATTTCATGGGAAACACGGATATCAGTCTATTTTTATCAACTATCTTTGAGACTGAAAGACAGGAAAATCTGTGCCACAGATTCTATGGGTTGATGAAAAGTGGCCGGATTCGGTCTTCCTGAATTCATGTCATTTTTGAGCGACAATTTTAAACTTCAGCGATGTTTAATTAGATCTGGATTATTCTGCGACAAGAAGAGCTGGTCAATTGAGCAAACCTAATTTCGAGTGCCAATAAAACCAAAAAACAAATCTGCAAGTTAATTGCCCGAGAAAGAAATCAAGTAGACAGTATATTCAAGAACTTCAGTATTTATAGGACAGCAGTCTGTATTGATGTGTTATAAACAGAATCGAGTATTCAAAATGCATGAGAATCTCATGATGAGATGATACAACTTGCGGTCTGTTCATTCTGACGTTGCGGCCGACATCGCGTTCACAACTAAACAACTTTTTTAAATTCAAAAAGACGAAATCAATTTTAATTAATTTGGCTTCATATTCTGTAAAAATGGGTAACCATTCATGAATGATAAATGAGAATAAAGAGCGACTTGTTGAGGTCAAATACATTCTAATTTCGATGATTATGTTTCTGAATTTCTCGTCCAATGGCGAGATATCCCAAAAAATGGGTAGAACCAATTTTCGGAACAGATTTTTATGGAAAGGGTTTTGATTGGCCAGTAGGCCAAAAACAGCATAAGATTCTTATTGGCAATCCAAAAATTCACTTCCAATAATTGGTTTAGTCCCAAAAAATCCACAAAGTGGATGAAAAATTCATGACGACTATAACATCTTACAGTGGTTGATCTATCTTCATTAAATTAACCATTTATCATGATAGAAACATCATCAATGATTTGATTTCAGTCTAGTCTCCTTTTTCATGATGAATTCATGGTAATTATTTCTCTTATCAATACATAAATCAAGATCATCCTGATCCTGGCCTAATAATAAAAGCTCAAAAAACGTACCAGAAACCGCATAAGCCAACAAACAAATCGTCGTCACCATCAACATCGCTCCCAAACCCGCTAGAATAACGTCTTATTCGAGCTTTCAAAAATCTTCTATTTCACAAAAAAAAAGAAAAGAAAAAAGCCCTGACAGAAGGATAAACTTCAGCAAGAAAACTTTGGCTCATATTATTTTTCTCTGGTCTCATTCTCTTTCACCAAACGAGCACGAAAATAAACGCGAAAAGTGTGAAGGAAAAAAGAACTATGTGGCGCTAAAGGGAGTGTATTTTCAAAGGGGAAATCGGTGAAATAGGTGCTCCGAATTTAAGATGATTCTCAGAGGAAGAATAATAAAAACAGATTTAAAAATTCATAAGAATAAAAACATGAAGGCCCTCAATATCGACCATTTAGACAAAACAACATGATGACCATCAGCTTTTTATTTTATCAAAATATTTTTTGAATATTGAAGCCAATGTCCGCCTCGGTCAAAATTGAAATAATTTCCGTGTTAAAGCTTACCTTAAGAAAAATCGTCATTTTCTATGTCTTCGGAATCCTCTCCTTCCCCTCCGTTGTTTTTCTTCAATAATATCTTGCTGATTTTTCATTCCATACAGTTCCTCCCATCTTTGCTTCGGAAGATTTTTTCCAGTCATGCTCCAAGCAAGTTTATCCAAGTCGACTTCATCGGTGTCCGAAGAATATTCTTCGGTTTCTTGTCGATTTTGATTTTCGAATTTTTGTTTTTGCTTCGCTTTTATTGCTTCGTTTGACATCTCTCTTGATAATGATTCATTATTCATGATGGAAGAAAAATGGGCTCAAGAACTAACCTCAGCTTTGTCACATCTCTGTTCTTGATGGCAATCTTCCTCTCCTCCTTCTTCCATCCTCTCTTCTTCTTTCCGACGTTTTCATCTTGAATACCGAATAAGCAATGATCGCTTAATAATTGAGTACCTATCACAAGTCCGTCTTCCCGATCCCATTTGGCGAGGAGCATTTCGACGCAATCGGCAGCGCGCGCCTGCCCATCAAAGTGCGGTGGATCCACGTCGCTGTAAATAAACGCCATGGCGTCGAATTTGTCCGAAAAGATATCGGTCTTTTCTTTCACGTCTGGGTCCGTTTTGATCGAATACTCTTCGAGTTTCTTGTCTAAATAAGTTTTTTCGGCTTCATGGTTCGTCTTTTCTATCAGGCAATTTTCCTCTTTGTTTTCAGGCTCTTTTCTGCCTCTACTTCTAGGAGGAGTACGATATCGATAGCTGCGAGACCGATCTCCTCGTCGAGAAGAATCTTCGTTAAAGCGCTTTCGGGGTGATCGCCGGAGAGGAGGAGCGCCCGGATCCCGTAATTCGCGACGCGAGCTCATGTTTTTTCTACATTGAAAGTAGCCTCGTTTCTATAATTAATTTTTACGGAGCTTTTAGGGATCTTTGGAGCGCCTATCATTTGACAAGAAGTAAGGAACAAGACATTTCGAGTAAAAAGAATAAAATATGTATTTGAAAAAATAAGGATTGATTACAAAGGGTAGTATACAAGCAGTACAGTAGTTGTACAAGTAGATACAGAGAGTCAATTTAAAAGCATTTGCGCGCGATGATGGACGGCCCAGCTTCCTGAAGCTCCTGCTTTGTGATGTAATTTGAGTGGTCATAGCTTGGCAGGGAGCAGACCATCGTTGCTCCGATAAACGCTGCGCAGGATCTGTGTTTTTTCGCGATGACGCCAGCTTTTGCTTCGGAAGGAATTATCTTCTGCACCTCGTTTTGCAGTCTCTTGTCGATTCCTTTGAACATGGAGCTACCGCCGGAGAGGAAAATGTTCTTGTACAAATCGGTGCGCAGATCAACGTCTACCTTGGCGACTGTGTCCGCTACCATGGAGTGGACGCCTGGTTGATCTTTTCCGACAAGCTCGGGATTGAAAAGGACTTCAGGAACGCGAGTTTGTTGCTCGTTGATCGTTATCGTCTGAAATTTTTATTAGAGAGGGTAAGAATCCAGGTCTGGGTTTGATGTCTCATTTTTCTTAGGTAAGAAGCTGTGATAAATCGTTTATGTTCTTGAATAGAACTGAAATTTCAAGCAGCTGCTATTTTCTAGCGCCATCCAGCTGTTTTTGACAGAATAAAAGCGCGAAGAAAATCGATTTACTTATATTTCGTTAAAATGAATTTCAAATAAGAAGAAATTTTTGTGAATTTAATCGTTGAATGATTATATTCATGAAAAGTTTTTATTCTTAGCTCTTATGTCCGCCGACAAAGATGGCAACTTCTAGACTTTTCTGATCTTTTCAAAATGAATAAAAATAAAACTTAAAAACTTTATCGACTCTAAAATGATTTACTTACAGTTCCGTCTGGAAGAACATGTTTCTGCGGCTTGCTTTCCGAAGCTCCAGCTTTACTTGCGACGAAGCAGTATTTTTCTAAATAACATTGTTTATCATCTATTTAGATTTCAAACGACTAAGAAAGTGTACCTTTGAGATCTCGTACGATTTGAAACTCGGCAGATGACGATAAATTGACTCCTTCCTCCATGAGCAGCTTTTGAAGATAAGTTGTGAGATCGCGGCCGGCGTTGTCGACTCGATTGACAGCGTGTGGCATGCAGAACCCGTCGAAAATGGGGATCGTGTGTGTCACTCCGTCGCCGATTTCCACGATTGTGCCGGTTACTTGTCCGTATGAATATAGCGACAATACACCTACAAACAAAATAACACCCTTGAATTCTTGAAAAAAAACCTTGAACTTGGAGTGAAACAGCTTTGGCGACGAGTTTTTCAAGCGCAACTTCGACCATGGTCTCTCTATTTTTATTCGAATTGAGCGGCGGCTCCGTCAGTACCAGTCCTCTGTCTTTTATCTGATTCAGTCCGTTTGGAACGCCTCTGAGCGCTTCTAGCCACATCAGATACGTATCGTCCACGCTTTTTATATAACTAAAAAGGGGTAATTTTTAACAGTAAAACGGTATTCTTACCCTTGTTCAATTGGATAGGACACTTTGCAAAGACCTCGCTTCTTATCAGCTTCATTACCAACGAAAATAGCAGCTTGCTTGGCTCCGATTTGACCAAGGCCCTTATGCCTTGGACGGGCGATAATTGAGGGGAATTCTATGGGAGGTCCTGACTGATTTTCTGAGTTCGCGTATCCGGCCTAAACTGGTGTTATCAACCTATTTTTCAAGTTTTTTACCTTTATCGTGCCGGATCCATTGTCGATAATAAACGGTTCTAGCTGATCAAACATGCTCCAGAGGAGGTTCTTATAAACTGAAGAGACTTTTCTTGGGGGAACAACATTGAGGATGTTCTAGAGATTCTAGAGAGTTTCCAAGAATTCGTAACAATTGTCATTCTGAAAGAAAGAGATTCTAAAAAGGGTAATTCATTGAAATTTGCTCAGGAAGGCTTTCGACTTCTGATTGGCAGTTTCGCCAATACCAAGATTCTGATTGGCTTGAAATTCCAGGATGAGATATTTATCAAATTTTCAATTATTGGTAATGATAATGAATTTGATGATCAGTTTCGTCACTTTTTCGCAATAAAAATGTTGTTCAGCAATCAAAATGCTGCTGATGATGATCCAGGGTGCCAAATCGCGTGTCCTAGTTGGCGCGTTGCCAGCTCGTGGACTTAATTTCTGGCGCCGGGGGCCGTCAAGGCCTGGACCAAGCTTGGAAACCTTGATTACAACAATCAAGAGTGTAATTTTCGCGATCAAAAAATAATTCAGAGTTTTTAGCTCAGAGGATGGATTGTCTCTGGCCTTTCGAGCACATTTTGCTTCAAATTTGCGAGAAACTAGAATTCGAAGATCTTTCAAAGATGGAAGAAGTCGACCCGGTTTTTGAAGAATTGAGCAGAAGCGGAAGATTGTGGCACAAGTACTTGAAGTACAAAAGAAAAGTGTGCCCGTTTCATAGAGATTATATGAAGAGAGCGAATGTGAAGCTGACTCGGCCGTCGGAATTGTCGAGGAGAATCGCGGAGAAAATTCACGACGCAGAGGAAGTTTCAAGGTTGAACATGGAAAAGGGCACTTTCCAGGAACTGTTCCTGTACAAAGACGAGGAACTGAGCTGGCTACCTGAACTCGAATCCGCCAAAATCATATCTGCATTTACAGTCACTGAAAACCGCCTAATTACGTGTTCAAAATTCCTGACTTTCTGGGACGAGAAAAGCAGAAAAGTCACGAAACGATTTCTATTCCCGCACAACGCCGGAAAAGTGATGCAAATAAAAGTGCTCGAAAACGACCAAAAAATCATCACGCAGCATTTTTCGCTTTTTAACTCGACTATCACATTCTTGGAATTCGACATTCTCAAAGAAGAGTTTCGAAAAATATTCTCCAAGGTGGTTAATTTGGTGCATTCTGTGACGTTGCAAGAAAAATTCGGAATTATCGTGGGTCAAAATATAACACGGCTGTATTGGGAGAATGGAGAACACGAATTTCTAGCGCCGGAATTGTATGGAAGCTCTCCTTCGAGTATCAAGGCCGATTTTTATGACGACTCATTGTTGACTGTTTTTAATCAACGGTAGGTTTCTTAGATACTTCTTAGATATAAGAAAATATATGTTGAACCAAAGTATTAAGTTGTCTAAATGCGACTGTTATTAGAGACATCACGTGGTCACCAAAAATCATTTTCCGAAAACTAGACGAAAAGTTCCCTCTCTGGTCGCAAAAACTGACGGAGACGCAATTCGTCTACGACGCAAAATTTAGCGAAAAGGGGAATCAAGTCATAATCGCAAATCTGAGCCAGTGCAAAAGATCCGACATTGAGATTCGAATTTTGAGTGCGAAAGATGGGACTGCTCTTCAAACACTAGATATCATTTTTCCGTTCAAAGGTTTGAAGAAAAATTTGATCAGGAAAAAAGGTTGTTTTAGTTGTTTCGATTGGATACGAATTTATAGCTCTTGGGGGACGAGATAATGTGCTGCTTTTGAACACGAAAAATATCAAGGAAAAAGTCAGAATTTGAACAAAAAAAGTAGACAGTCTAGTAGGCTATCAACTGAAGACTTTTGAAAAAGGATATGAAAATAGTGCGCAACCGAGGATTCCTAACGAACGATATTGGCTACAAAAGTGTCTCTTCAATTCAAATTTTCATGAATTCTGTAACAGTTCTGCATCAAGGTGACAAGGAAATATACAAGTATAAATTCTAGAAATTTGTCACAGCTGCTCTATTTCGCAGAGAAAATCATTCAAAAGAGCTTTTGTTTCTTCTTCTTTTTGCTCTTCGTGAATTTCAGATAAAAGCTCGAAATCGGTAAGGAAATCAGAAAGAAGAACAGTTGAAGTTGATGCCGATGTTACTTTATTCGTTGTATGGTCGTAAATCCGGACGATTTTCTGAAGAAACAATATTGAATTAGTCTAAAAAGACGAATATTTTAGTAACCTGTGAGATGTCATTTTCCAATTCAGCCTTCGTATTCTGAAAATCTCGCTCTTCCAGCTCTCTTATTCTCTTCTTCATGACATCAACCGCTTCATTCATATTCTGCTGCTTGTTTCCCACCCCATCGTAAGTCAAATGCAGCCCATAAACTGGATCGTGAAGGTTCAATCGGATCCTTACTCCGCCATCTGCATTTCCGCCGCGAATTCCGCGCGTAGAAATCACTCTCAAATCTCGTTTTATTTCTTCTTTCGAGCGCTTTTCTTTCGTTATCAGGGGGCGGCAGTGGACAGCGACGGAGAATTTCAGATTGATGCCGATTTTGGTGTTGAACGATTGACGCTTGTGCTGGTGGATACCCTTAAAAAGCTGTTTTAGAGGATTTGAACAGGGATTGAAGAGTTTCGCGCACTAAAGGAACTTCGAAAAAATACCTTTTCTCTGGCCAAAATTTCGAGCGCCCCTTCTCCCTGAACAGTAAACTGGACCAGCTCCATTGGATCGCCCTGCGTCTTTGTATTTGATCCCCCGTAAGGGACTTCCTTGTAGCTCAAGATCTCCCAGTCTTGGTACTCGAAAAACTTCTCGTAGAACTCGGCCATGTGGCGAACTGTTATTCCCGATTCTAGGCCGCCTTCTTGTTTGACTGTGTGGATGCTGAAGACGACTGTTTGTGTTGAAGATGGAGATGATTGGTGAGAAGAAACGAGGGACGAGAAGATGTCTTCAGACTTTTGGGTGATTTCTGATGTGAAACCTTCGATTTCTTCGCGACACATTTCTTTCAAATCATCGTCTTCTTCAATTTTCAGCATCTCTTTCAAATCACTACAGAAAGATTATTTACGTTTGACAAAGAACATGCCTTACTTGATGGTCCAAATCGTTGATTATTTGCAGATTTTCTGAAGAAGGAAGATTGATGCTGTAGTCTTTCATGATAGTTTGAGTTCGAGGACATTTTTCAGCGATTTTCTTTGCCAAATTTACAATTCTTTCGCCTTCTTTTGTCGACAATCGCCTGACTAAAAGGCTCCCTCCGGCCCGAATCATATCTGAAATTTTCATTTAAACTGGAACTTATTACTGTATCGAAAAGAAAAGCCACTTAGTGATAGCTTTTCCATCTTTATTCACAGTTTGGTAGGGTAAAAAGCAGAAATCGTCAACAAACTGGGGTCGAACATCCAGCTCGTTTTTAAAGTAATCGAGGCGGATGCCCTTATATCTGTCAATCAAATGAAAGAGGACTTTTTCCCGGAACTTTGGGCTCAACATTCTTCTCCACTCGTCTCTCGCGTTTTCGATTTTTTCCGCTTCGTCCCTTTTCGCCCTGGCGGAACTCATGAACGCAGAGTATGGCTCCAAATAGCCGCGCTTCAGATGATACGGGAAGATGTTTTGAAACTTGTCTTCGGAAATCAATAGTGCGTTTTCAAAAAGTGAGGCCGCCAAGAGCGCGAAAAAATCATCGAAATGGAGAATCAGGGAAGACGATTCTTGGGTTTTCTCAGTTTGGCCCTTTCGAATGCGATTTTTGGAGGTTTTTCGGAGCTTTGGAGTTTTGAAACAGGTAATGTCCACATCTGGGTCTAAAATTCTATATTTAAGAAGAAAGACTTTGAGAGGCATTCTCCACCCTCAATCTGATATCTTCAAGAAAATTACCTGTAGAGAAGCTTTGAATAAGAGAGGAGATATTTGCGCCTTCAGGAGTCAACACCAAAACCTTCAATTCTTTCCTTTCCTCTTTACTCTTGAACTTCTGTCTCGCATGATTCATCACAACTTCGAATCCTTTCCCTAACGCTTCGTAGAATAGCTCCGCTTCTCCTTGATAGAATTCCTGCTCGCTGGAAAAGAGATGAAGAAGAAAGTGCTTCGGAAAAGTCGAGCAATGATACGGCCGATTCGGGGGACTTTTCAAAACGCGATGCGCAAAGTTTTGAAGGTCGATGATGACGTCTACTTGCGAAATGGAATCGGCGAAGTTGAGGAAGTTTTCCATCGAGGAATTGAGCTCTTTTACATTTTCTGCATCGGGCTTTGATAAGAGGTCTTTTTAAGAGGGTCAAAAAGTTGGTCCAAAAAGTGGGTCAAAAAGTTGGTCCTTTTCTATCCTTTGTTAGGAGGTGTGGCCATGTCGTACCGGTTTTTACCCTTTCCTAATTGAGAAACTTGCGACAGCGAAATGATTTCGTAAATCTTCATCAAATAATCGGTCAATTTTCTCTCGCACAACGAAAACTTGTGGTCCAAAATCACATTCGAAACGACGCATTTTCTCGAATTCTCGTCGATTTCAGTTGGCTGCAATTGAATTCCAATCGAAGATAGAGAGAGTCGAAGACGATTGACGAAATCGGTCGGGAGAATCACTTCGTTTTCAGAAGAGCTTTTTTAGAGGTCGAAAAGGCCATATTAGACGATCTCATTTTACATTTTTGATGATTATTTGACATTTTTTACGACCTTGAACCTATGGAATCGCACATTTCTTCCAAACAAGCCTTCAAAATCACCCTTTTTTCATCTGTCTCGAAATCTCCATTTTCCAGCGAGCTGAGGAGCCGTCGAAAATTTGAAAGAATCAACTCTGGCGTCATTTGCTCTTCGATTTCTGCCGCTTCTTTCCAGTAAAGATTACTCTGGATGTGCTGATTTCCTCGATAGTTGCCGTTGTAGTCGAAGTTTTCTGCGCGACCGCGGTTTGTTGTCACCAAATAGCCGTAATCTAAAAAAGAAATGAAGAAGGGCAATCTGAAACTTGCCAAGAAAACCTGAGTCAGGCTCCGGAAAAGCTTAAAAAAAGAAGCCGCCTTTTAATGAAGCTTGTTCAGAACCCTGACTCAGCTTTCCAATACAGGTTTTTGAGCCCAGGAAGAAGACAAACCTGAATTTCTGAACTCCATTTGCCTGGATCTTTCTTCGTCAATCGCCGAAAACTCCTCCTTCGGTTTTTCGTCAATCATGTTCTGCAAAAGGGGATGATTCTGTGCTCCAGGAGTGCCTTCCAATGGAATGAAGGAGTCGACGATTCTCGTTTTTCTTTGAAATTTTGAGTCTTTTCTCGCTTCTTTTTCTCGTTCCATCATTTCGGGCGGCGATTCTAGCGGATTTCCGTCGAAGCGGTTTTTCGGAATTGCTTTTTGAAAACGAGCTCGGTATCGGACATTCGGACGGACAATTCGAATTCGAAGGAACATTCTTTTCTTGAAAGTTAATGTTAAAAATAAGAAAAATAAGGTTTTTTTTCGATAGATATTTTATGTTTTCTCAAAATTTAAATTTCCTCTTCTCTTCATTTCTTTTTCTTATTTTAGAAAATTCTGATCAAAAAAGCGCGCGCAATTTGAAAATCTGTTTCCATCGGAGGACGAGAAAAATGTTCCCACGCTCTTTTGCGCCCTCCGCGGCCCATATTATTTTTTCTGGGAATCATTATTTTTATTTACAGATGAAGCAAATGATTAAAAAAAAACATATTTACAGTAAGACACATTTCCGACTCTTTTTCGGTTTTTCATTTTTCGGCGGGGACTTTTCCTCTTCTTTCGTTTTTATCGGTTCTTTTGCGCCTTCTGGAACTCGACCTGCTTTGAGAAGGCTATCTTCGAGCTCTTCCAGAAGAAGTTGGCCTTCTGAAATAAATAAAGTAAAGAAAGAAGATTTGTTCGAGACTCGGCAACCTGTGAAGAAAACCTGAGTCAGGGTCCGAAAAGAGGACCTTTATATGGTCTTCCATGACCCTGACTCAGGTTTTATGCACAGGTTTCCCAGGTAAGGATTTCGTACCTTTTCCAGCTTTGTTTTGGCCAGTAACATATTTTCCTTCTTCTGGAATGTGGATTATTTGAATTTCTTCGTCTCTGACTAACTCTGAAAATTAATTTTCTAACATTTTTTTCATCGGAGGCTCCTTACTAAGCAATTTGTCGGTATTCGGCTCATACGAAAAAGCAACGGAATAAAACGAGCCAGCATCGTATCTGACCATTTTTTCCTCGATATTCAAATATTTCTTAGGCCAATTTCAATAAGGAATAGAAATTCCAAATCCTAACCCCCCATGTTTTTGTGCTCGTTAGAAAGAGCGTAAAAAGTTACGTCAGAAAAAAATAGTTTTAGGGGCTGAGTCATCATTAATGACGTCATGGCGGCTGGTTGAAGTTCCAAAAGTCCCAAACGTTGGGTCCCCTCTCATTTTTTTTCTAGAAATGGAAAATTTGAGTTCAATATATCAAAATGATCGCCTTGACCTACTCTAGGTGAAGAGCTATATATGAAAGATCCAACTCTAGAAAAAAATTTGTTTTTTCGATTTTTTCAAAATTTTTTCCGAAAAATATAGCTCTTCACCTAGAGTAGGTCAAGGCGATCATTTTCCTGTATTTAACTCAAATTTTCCATTTGTGGAAAAAAAATGAGAGGGGACCCAACCTTTGGGCTTTTGGAACTTCAACCAGCCGCCATGACGTCATTTGTGATGACTCAGCCTCTAGAAATATATTTTTCTGACGTAACTTTTTACGCTCTTTCCAACGATCATAAATACATGGGAGGTAAGAATTTGGAATTTCTATTCCTTATTGAAATTGGCCTTAGGAAAATTGCCGCTTTCGTCTGTCCTTGGAATTCGAATTTCGAGAACGTCAGCTTCGGCGGAAAAATATAAAATTTGCACTTTGTCGCCTTTTTGCAATTTCAACTCGTTTTTGATTCTTGTATTGACGAGGCCGTAGTATTTTTTGACCTCTCGGTAGGCCATTCCCGCATCTTTTTTGGCGATAGGTTTTGATTTCTCTGTGGGTTCTTCGGATTTCTCAACGTCTTTTGTTTCTATTTCGGGGGTTTCAGCATTGTCTTCCTTGATTTCGTCGATTTCGTCAGCTGAGTTTTCGTCGAGAGCAAATTCTTCTTTCGACTGGCTATCCTAGATAATTGTCTCTCCGTATTTTCGCGTCAAAAGAAAACAGTACCTGCGTCAGGATCGAGCCCTGACTGTCGACAGAAAGAGTCTTCTGCGCGCGTAACTGAATCGGGCTCGGTGCCAAACTCAACCTTCTAGGCTTCGGCGGAGGTGGTGACTCATTTTCTTGCTCTTCCTTTTTTTCTCCGGATTCTTCTGATTCTGATCGGGTTTTTCATTGAAAAAGTTAAAAAAAAACTGTTAAATTTGAAAAACAAAGACTAGGGATGTTTTCATCAGTTCTTTTTCAGGGTCGAAATCGACGCTAGAATCGGTGCTGCTGGAGCTGCTACTGCTTGAGCTTAGCCTTTTTGTTTGAAACTGCTCGTTTGATGATTTTTGCCGCTCGATTTCTGGTTTTTCTTTTTCTTCACTTTCTGCTGATTCTTTTTCAGTTGGAATTTCGTTTAAATCTGGAGCTTCGTTTTCTTCAAATTCTAAAAAAAATTCCAAAAGACGATCTTTTGTTGGTTCTTTTTTTACCTTTCACGCTTTCTTTTCTCTCGAAATTTTCTTGTTCTTTTTCTTTTTTCTCTTCAATTTTTGTTCCCAAAATTTGCGCCTCGAAGTCTCTCTGCCCCTCGGAATCATCCGACGAAGAACTCGAGTCAGAATCCATCGGAACTCGAATTTTCGGCAAAGTCATGTCAAAATCATGCTCTAAAGCTTCTTCATAAATCATGAAAAAAATCAACGATTCGAGGTTCAAACCTTCGGGTTTTTCAGAATTCGCCGGTTCCGACTCTTTCGGCTCAGACTCAGGTTGCTTCTCGGGCAGGGGTATTTGAGGTTGAGCGCTAGAAAAAATCAAGTAATTAAATTGGTGAAAAGTTGTTGAAGGCTTACGCAGCGGTTTTCGTATCGGTGGATGGTGGGGAGCTCGGGATCAATTGACTGTTTCAAGATCAAAATATAGAAAAGAAAAATTTTCAATGATCAGAGTGAATATCTAATTCTTTATTTTTTGTTTTTTTTTCTCGAAAAATTGGTCCGAAAGTAATCTTGATTTCGACCCTTTTTCAGAAATCCATCGGAATCAACCCTTCTTCCCCCCTTTCATTCCTTCCCGTCACCCATCCATTCTCGTCCACTTCATCCACCAACTCGAGCTTCTCCCCTTCCACAATCGTCAATTCATCATCCTCCTCTTTTTCATATTTATAAGTGCAAATCACAAAAACGCCAGACATTCTTTCTTATTTTGATTTGCGGGGCGCCGGAAAAAAAGAAGCGTCTTTTTTCACAACTTCGTTGAAAAACAAACTTTCTGAGCAAATCGACATGTACATGCGTTTTATCGAAATTATCATTTTTCAAAAAAAAAAATTTTTTATTTCAACATTTATTTTGAAAATGGCGAGACGGAAAAAATTTTTGCAGAATGATTTTTTTATTGAATCTTATATTTTCATGATGTCTTCATTTTCTTCCATCAACTTCATCGCAAATTGCAGCATTCCCCTGAGAGCTGATCCTGGCTGAGCTTCTTCTTCAGTCAGTTGGAGGTACTTTTGCGAGCTACGGCTTCTTTTAAATTGCTTCTGCCCCGAAGAGAGGATATTTTGGATCGAGTGGTCGGTGAAATTGTTGTTCATTTTTCGCATTTTTTTCGACTTTTGGAATGAAAACTTGTGATCTTTAGAAAGAAAACCGGGCTTGTTTTATACGCCACGGATTTAATTCCCAGTGACGAGATTCATCATTCAGCAAGGAAATATTCCTCAAGCAAATGAGCTGGAAAAGAATATTACGAAAGTGTCTATATTTTTCTCCATTTTTGTAAGACTGTTCTTCCTGATTGTTTGTTTATTTATTTATTTACAGTTTTGGCTGAAAGAAATCAACAAGGAATCAAATATACGGACTCTTTTTTGATTTTTTCTTCTTTCCTTTTTTCGTTTTTTGCGGCTTAAAAATGTTTTTCGACTCGAAAATTGCGAAAATTTTTCTTACCGGGTAGGCACTTTGACTCGTCATATACATTTGTTGATTCATCATTTGAGGATTCATCTGCGAGTGCATTTGCGGATTCATCTGCATTTGCGGATTATACGGCATGCTTGCGTATGGATTTCCATACATCATCTGCTGAGTGCTCATTGGAATCGGTTGAATGCTCTGCATCGTGGAATAGGGAGGAGCTTGCTGCATCATTGGCTGTTGAGGTAGTTGATTGATTGGAGTCATGGCGGGAGGAATCGTCGGGTTTTGAGAGGACTGGACGCTTGGGGCTTGGCTTTGAAGGTCGTTTGCTAAAAGAGGTTGTTACAAAAAGACCTCGATCGGATTTTATCGTCACCAATAGAGTCTCCTTCCCCATTTTCGTCCTGGACATAAGCTTGATTTTCCTGCTCAGCTTGGCGCTCACCCATTTCCATATTTTCCTCCTTCGCATCTGCATCTGCGTACATATCGATTCGATTATTTTCGTCAGATTCCTTCTTCTTCCTCAAAACGAAAAACCAGTAAAAGAAATATCCAACACCGCCAATGACCCCGACGCCGAAGAGAATTATCAAGAGCCACATCCACCAAGTTATCTCAGTTTCTCCGGGTTGGCAGTCGAAAACGGGGTAGCTCTGATTATTTTGCAGCTTGATCTCATTTTCAGCCAGGATGTGTTCGAGTGTTTTTTCTAAAAAATATATTGAGTTAAGATCGAAAATAAACATAAAGATTGAATTTTCTTTCCTATTGTTAGGGATCCTTAGGTCATAAGGGTTAGGGTTACTCATTGCCAATAGCCTATTGCCAATAGGTGTAACGGTCTAAAAATCAGCTTACCCTTATCTCTTTTAAAGGCTTTAGTTTTTTCTTAATTATGAATCGCCAGGTTCCAGCGATCATTTTGATGGTAATATCATCCAAATTGGCCAAGATAAATGGATTTTAGGACTAGGCTAATGTCCCGGATTACGCACTAAAATTGTTCTAGCGCTCGGAAGAGGGTGATTAATCCATCAATCAGCCCGTCGTTACTCTCTGAACTCGTTACTCACATAAGTTGTTTGTGGCCGCCGCAGCGAGCTTCAAGGGCTCAAGAAGTATGAAAAAAGAAGCAAAATTGAGGGTCAATTGGTTTGAGTACAGCTTGAATAGCACTTTTTTGGCCCTTCTTTGATGCTTCTTGAGCACTTGGTGCTCGCTACGGCGGCCACAATCAACTTCTGTGAATTGTTTCTAGTAGAACAAAGCGTGTTCTAAAGTCTGAGAGTAACGACGGGCTGATTGATGGAGTAATCACCCTCTTCCGAGCGCTAGAACAATTTTAGTGCGTAATCCGGGACATTAGCCTAGTCCTAAAATCCATTTATCTTGGCCAATTTGGATGATATTACCATCAAAATGATCGCTGGAACCTGGCGATTCATAATTAAGAAAAAACTAAAGCCTTTAAAAGAGATAAGGGTAAGCTGATTTTTAGACCGTTACACCAATAAGTTATTGGGCAAGGGTTGTTATTCTAATCCTTTTTGAATGACCAAGAAAGGCTTTGATACCATACTTACTCCTTTGAAGAAATATACAAAAGTATCAAAATATCGTCCGTTACGCTTGAATTGAGACTGTTCCTCATCAATTCATTATCCAAATCGTGAATAATCTCATGATGACGCGCTATTCTCTATCTTTCAAATTAAAGAATCTCACCTGGTTGTAATGGATCGACGCAAAACCCACTCGCTGGTGCTTGAATAATGACTTCTTCGCCCATTTCAGAAAAGAAATTCATGCAGAATGTCCTCGCTCCCGGAAACTGCGTTCCAAAATCCCGGCAAAAATTTGGGTCAATGTCTTCGCCATCAGGTTCGCATTTCTGGGAGAAATTCGGACTCGGCCAGTATTTGTGATCTTTAAAGGTGCAAGTAGGGACGTTTTTGCAAGCATCGAACCAGCCGGAGCAGAAATCAGCGCAGAGGGGATAATCTTTTAGCGCGTTTTTTGTTGGATTCAGCCAGAGGAAATTATTGGGCGAGCATGTCAGGTCGAGGTGGATTTGTTTGGAGAGATTTATGCATTCTTCATCTAAAGATTCAAGACTGAAAAAGAGTCACGAGTCGAAGACTTACGGTTGACAATTTCAGTCTCGTTCGAGCACCCTGAAAATGCCCAGACATCGATTGAGGCCGTATCTTCTACCTGACTGTACATTTCTTCTGTACAGCAAGAATCGCATCCGTAGAAATATTCATTTCCTTCGGGCAATGCTTCTGGCGCACCATCTTTATAAGGACACACATCTGCCGGGTCGATGAGAATTTCGATTTCTCTGCTTGACATATTTTTTTCACGGAAATTTCATTTTTCGGCTCAAAAAAGATCGATCGAATGAAAATGTATAAAATATTCTGAAGTGGAAAGAAAATCAAATGCTTGGTGAGGATTTTTATTGGACGGAAAATATTTGCGCAGGAATGTCGTTACACTTCTCCAAATGCGAGTGAGATATTCAAGCATGCCAATTGTGCAAATAATGCAGATACTTAACTTTTACGCATCAAATACAGTAATGACTACAGATGGCGCTTTTTAATGAATCCGAGCGAAGTTTGAATCTCGAAAGTTGAAGAAATTATTACGATTTTTTGATCAATCGTTCTGGTATTTTCGACCGTTTGCAATAAAAAAAGATAATTTTACCGGGATCCTGATTATCTTTATCTTGAGTTCGGCGTTTAGGGAACACGGCGTGATTCTCAAACGAGGCTTCTGGAACATCATAAACAAACACAAGTTTTATTTTGAATCAGAACGCAAACAAAATTGAATGATGTGCAGCCAATCTGGAATTCTGGGCAGAAGTTCTAAGCTCAGATAAATTATCTATGCCCCCGGGAGCCCCAACCTAATGCGTAAAATAGGGGCTCCGACTCCGGACCCCGTTTGAGGTTTTCAGTCCCTAACCATACCAACTTACTCAAAAGATATTGGAGGGCTCAAATCATTGGCTTCAATCATAGTGGCTATGACATAGCCTCTATCTACGATACTTGATCTTAGCAAGAAAAGCCCGAAAAATTGGATAGTTTTTAGTAGTTCTATTATTATAAGTTTATAACTAAAAAGACAAAAATGTCCAAATTCTGGCAAACTATCCAATTTTTCGGGCTTTTCTCGCTAAAATCAAGTATCGTAGAGGGGAACCATGCCAAAGCCGCGATGATTGGAGCCTATTATTTAAGCCCTCCAATATCTATTAAGGAACTTGGTATTGTTAGGGACTCAAAACCTCAAACGGGGTCCGAGGGCGAAACCTAGCCCTCTGGGTTAGGTTTAATTTTCGGGAGACCCTAGCTTAGGGTCAGCTCGAGTAATAAGTTATCATTGATAACCCCTTACAGTCTCAATGTTTCATACATCTAACTCCCTAACGCACTCAGAACCAAAAATTTGGGTGCTTCAAAATTTTCGATATTTTCATCGAGAACGTTGATGAGGGGTATTCTCGTTGTATCCAAATATTCTGGATTCCCGTTGGATCTTGCTTCGAACATCGTCAAATGATCTTTATCATGCTCGGCGCTTCCATCGCTCGCCGAAATGCATTCGAAATTAGAGAGATATCTATGAAAAAATAAGAAATGAAATCCAGCAGGATATTTTTACTGCTGTATTATCAGTTTTGGATACGAAAAGAGAGCATTAAGAGAGTCATTTTCAGAAGAAATCTTGTAAAAAAAAGTTGTTCATTGTTGTTAAAATTTTCATATCCAAAGTAAGATACTCAATAATTTCCTTGTATCAGCTGATCACCCGGACACTCTTAATGATATTGGATGTGCAGGGGCCATCGCAAGACGAGGCAAACATCATGAATGTACATTATTCGAGTCATTGACGAGTTACGGAGGCAGTTGTGCTTCTACTCGAACATTCGCTCAAGATGCGTCGATTCTACCAGATGAAACGGAATTGACAGATACTTGGGAAAATTTGGAGTCGTCGAATGGTTGGCGGTTTACTGAATTTGATATAAATGGGTAAGAAAAGAAATGCATTTCCTTTCTGAAAGACGTTTTTCTGGGCGGGTGTCAGGAACCGACAAAAAAAATTCGACAAATTTTGCGTGAAAATTTTCGACCAATTAGAAGCTTGGATTCGGCATACCGACCAATCAGCAGCCGAGAAGCCGCCCACGCAAAATTTGTCGAATTTTTTGTCGGTTCATGACGTCAGCCCATTTTTTTATCTGAGAAAAATTTATGGACCGTCCTTCACTTTTTTCAAAAAGCAAATTATGAATTCTAAAAATTTTGAAAAAGAATCAAAAAAATAATATTAGGGAGAGCGTGACCGGGCTGGATGAAAATGGAGCAGACAGAACCTACACTGCCTATGGTCAAACGAATATCAAACTTACTGTTCGTGGAGATGCAATTCTGACGCAAGATGAGATCACCTATTTGACCGACGGGGATCCTGCGACTGCTCTTGTCTTCGATGGTTTCACCGCTGCAGACAGACCTGCTGACGACTTTCACAGCTTGAAATACGAGTTTTTCAGCAACAAAATTTTGAAGACCCCGAAAAGGATGCTAATTCAGAAAGTTGAATTGACGGTGGTAGATCCTGATCAACAAACATTCGTTGATTTGTCCAACGTTCTCTATTCCGGCTACAGTGGAGCGAAGGCTGATCTGTCTCTTGGTGCTATCACTCTCGTAGCAAAAGACAGCAACGGAGATTACGCCGAATACGCGAAAAGCGAATATGATTCCAACACCGAAATTTTCACCCTCCAGCATCGATCAAGTCTCTACGCAATGGTCACAGACAACATTGAGGTCCGAATCCGCGACCCAAAGGTAAAAATCAGCAGTTTGAAAATATTCGTGTTCGACTGTGAGAACCCGGCAATTGAGTCTACTGGAACGTCGGAAGAGGTCTCAAAGCTGATTGCTTTTGCGAATCCAAACTATGAAAATGCAATGATTGGTGACATCTCGAATAATGTCCTGAACATGTGTCTTCGATTAGGCCTGGGCTCGGCAACCTGTGTGGAAAACTTGATTCAGGGTTTAATCGGGATCCTGACTCAGGCCTTCCATAAAGGTTGCCGAGCCCAAAGTAAGGCGCTAGTGCAATAAATGCTGATGGTAGCCCTATTCCTCTTGCTGACCATACACCGGTCTACACCCTTCTCGAAGAAGACGGAGGCCCGAGTGAAACCGAATGGCTGACCGAGGGTCCATGCAATCGCGCAGGCGCCGCCGTAGACGTGTTTTACACCGATGATTGCCTCGAAGACGATAAATCCATGGCCGACCTCAAAGTCGCTCTTATCCAATCAGATGAAGCGATCGACAGCGTTACGAAAGCAAAAGCGGCATGTGCTGCTTATGGAATGTACCCCGCTTATTCTGATATGACGATGGTCCCTTTTTCGGGCGACAATGGAATTGAAATGGGAACCCTCTATCGAATCTTCAAAAAATGGGTTGAAAAATACAGAAGCATGGGGAACGCGATTCAAATTGTTCAAGAAGACACCCTTCACACGCAATTCATCGGATGGGTCCTTGGCGCGCAACTCGGCGAGCACACATCATCTCAGAATAATCCTGTTACGGAAGTGAGAGTGATGGGGACGAAGAAACAAATATTTGGCCCGTCGGGCTCGCCAGAAGGCTCTGAAGAAACTGGTGGATTTGGACTATGCAGTGAGGGTCTCTATTTTAGGTGAGTTTAAGATTATTTCTTTTGAAATTTATGCCTTTTTATTTCAGTGATAAATGGGGCGGAAGTGCAGATGGGAGTTTTGGCTTTGATCAAGCATGGTTGAATTATGTTAGTGGAAGCAGTGTTGCCGCCGCTGCTGAGAAAGGAGTCATCATGGATGTCACTTTCGATGGTCTTGGAAATGAAGGTGCCTATTGCAGCTACTGGATCAACGATTTCAGCTACCAAGCGATCATGTGCGCATCACGTGACGAGCCAACACCAGACTGCTCCTCGCTCCAGTTCTGCGACGATGCGACCTTTACCGCTTCCAACCCTGAAGCAAATCTGCGAGAACAGACATTCACTTTTTGCTGTGGAAGAATTCCTAATGACAAGTCAGAGGGAAACTCGCAATCGAGAAATGTAAATGCGGATCACCCAATGGTCTTGGAATGGCAGTTCAACCTCGATTTCTGCTTGAATGTTGACCCCTGTGCTTTGGACCCAGGGCCATGTGGAAACGGAATTTGCACGCCGGTGACATCTGATAGGAACAGGCTTCATTAAAACTATGTGTCATTTTGGAGCGCACTGGTTATGTCGCCGAATATCGCTGAATGTCGCGGAATGTCCCTGAATGTCGCCAAATGTCGCTAAATGTCGCCAAATGTCGCTGAATGTCGTTTTTTTTCTATTTTTGGCGACATTTGACGATACGTAGCGAAATTCGGCGATTTTTTGCGACATTCAGCGACATTTAGCGACATTCGGCGACATTCGGCGACATAACCAGTGTCGCCCGTCATTTTAAGCTTTTTTTGTAAAAAATAATTTTGACGAAAGAAAAGCCGATTTTAAGATACTTTGAAGGGATATTAGAATCCGGGCAGCACAGCATGTATTACACCTGCGAATGTCCTGTTGGAACAAAACTTGAAAAAGGAGACCCCTTTACTTATGTTTACGACAATCCAAGCGGAGAAGCCATCAATGATTTTCAAGATTACACGACAACCATTGGTTATGAATACAGTTGCGTTGATGTTAATGATTGCGAGTTCACGACTTGTTCTGATTATGGCCTGACATGTGTTGAGGGAGCAATGGGTGGCTCGACCTGCGAATGCGCGGATAAATCAGTGAACGCTGTTTGGGATGGAGCACAATGGACTTGTGGCGAGCCGGAGGTCGAAGTTGGATACTGCGAGGGACTTGAGCGAGAGCGAATGCCAGTGGGTTTTCGAAAAGTTTGGCCGACCAATTGGGTGAATGGAGGAGCAAGTTGTTCAGCTCCTCCTTGCTATCCTGATTCCTCCCTCATTGAAGACCAGACTTGGAAGGGAATGTGGATTTCTCCAATGTGGGCGGATAAGGACCCGGAAAATCATGCAGCCATTCGATTCGACATCATTGGAGATCGAAAAATAAAACAATGGACTCTTGCCGACAATTCGATAGAGTACGAAGTAGATCATCTTTTCGACGACGACCCAAACACTTTCTTTGAGTTTGATCATTTCAACCAATCATACCAAGCTTCCGATATTCCTGATTCGCATGACTTTCAGCTTAATTTTTATTTTTTCGAAAAAGATGACTATGTAACGCGGAAAAAGATGCTTTTCGATCGTGTTGAAATCACTCTTCACCAATCAACAATTGATCGACTCCAGTTCGGCGGAATTTCAGAGCCAAGTAATTTGCCAGGAGCTGAATATAGAGGGCCAAAAATCGAATTTGACCGAACCAGGATTTATGCACACATCAATGATGTTGGCTTTGGCGATATATTGGACACTCGATGGGACTTGAGCGGCGAAGGAGATGCGCCAAATACATACGAGATCAGCGTTGGCTCAACTAACCATTCGATCGTGACTGATGCCGTCTTTTTGGTTGTCACTGATCCGGCAATCAGAATCGCAGAAGTCAAATTTCACTTTTTTGACTGCGAAAGTCTTGAGCCGAAGCAATATGTGAACCCAAACTATGAATTTGGAAAAATCCTCGACATGTCATCATTAGATCATTCTGCTTGCGGAGCCTTTCCTCTCGACCCAGCAATACTTGACAAAGAAGTTCCCCTTGCGATTTCGGACGGAAACCTTGGTCTCGCAGACGCTGTCAACTCTTATCACCATTTTGAGTATAGCAACTTTGGAGGGGATCCGACTTACACTGTTGATCTGATGGGATACAAATACGCAATTATTGAAAACATCAACAGCGGTCCAAATGACATCGATGACCTCGAAGGCATCTGCGCCCAATACGATATGACACTGCCTTTTGGAACTGGCATGGAAAGCTTTTCAACAAGCGGGATTGGACAAGCAATCGATTATTTTCAAAATACTCCACATGCTTCATGGTCTGAAACAGTCCCAACTTTCCGGGTTTTTCTTGGCATAAAAGCTGATGGCGCTGATTCCTTGATTCTATCTGCGCCCTCTGCGACTCCAGTTTATTATGGAGGATTGCCGAATCATAACGATCCGGGTGAATGGGGAACGGATCTCTGTTTGGATGACTTTTTGCCCGGTGATGTTGTCGAGAACGAATTTAAACTTTGCTTGGATCAATGTGCTAGCGAAGACGTTTACGCTGCGCTTTTTGACACTGGAACCGGAGAATACGCAATTGAGTACACGAGAGGAGCAAGTGGCGAATGCGGAATGACTATCGAACAAATAGCCAATTCTCCCACAAGCGCAATAATGTGCATGAAAAAAGTTCAAACGGAATATCTCTGTGGGAGCTCAATCAATTGCATTGACGAAACAGTAGATAGCAATTTTAACACTTACGACACTCAGTGCTGTGGGATCGCTGGCGTTACTTCAGCTGGATCTGGCTATGATGCTCATATCTGTGGCCCTTCCGATCCTTGCTCTCTTCACTCATGTGGAACTGATCACACTTGCGAGGAGCACTTGGAATCGAGGAAAATTTGGGACTACCACGGAGACTACAAGTGCAATTGCAAAAATGGCGGTTTCTACTACGACTTTGACGGGAAAGAATGCCTCTTGGTCAATGAATGCGCAGATGATTTCCACTCCTGTGGATGCACTCTTTGCGTAGATGAAGAAGAGGGGTACTCTTGTGCGTGTGAGACCGCCCAAAGTGTTCAAATTGACGAACAAGGTGATGCGACGTGCTTTGAATGCCCATGTGACATGACTTGTGACAACGGCCCGGGGCTGTGTACAAAGAGAGAGGATTGCTCAGTTGATGCTGGTCAGACTTGCAGTGGAGATCCATGCGATGCATTTGGCCTCAAATGCCCAGTTGGAGGTCCTTATGTCAAGCCCGGCTCGCCTGGCTGGGTTTTGCCAGATCCATCCGTACTCACCTGCGATGGAGCAGCTTCTTCCGACATTTGCGCATGGGACTGTGAAGGTGAAGGCGTCGGCTGGAGCTGTGAGCAAGAGTATTGTTTTTCGAAATCGGACTGTATCTTCCGTTGCCCTCACGGGACAACATGCATGAAGGCGAATTTTTGGGAATGCACTCATCCTTCTGAATGTACTCAAATTTGCACGGAGGAATTCAATCTGGACTGCGATTGCCCAGAGGCACATACATGCCAGTCCTCCTTTGAACATCCGAATAATGCTGATGCATTTATCTGTGGAACAATTGATCAATGCTCCGAAGATCCGAAAATCACGTGTCAAGATGTCTTCAAATGGGAAATCAATTCGCACCTCTACAAGTGCTTTTTTGACGGATCACCAAATTACGAATGTTTGGACGACACTTGGGACTATCTTCAAGAAAATTGCTACCCGCCGGAGTGTGAGCCAGTTCCATGCACTGCGACCTTTGAAAACAAAGAACGCTGTGTAATGGGATTGAACGGCACTGTTGATGGAGTCCATACTTGGGAAGAGTATTGGGCACAGTACGAGGCCGGAAACATCGAGTCATCAAGAAGAAGGAGAGAAACCGGGTCTTGGGGAACGATCGGAGTGACAATCAACTGCATCCAGGGTTACAAACGAGACACTGATGCTGGCGTTTGCAACGATGTTGATGAGTGTTCAGCTGATTGTGTAGCTGACGAGCTTTACGGTCTTTGGGACTGTTTCAACACAAACGCGCTGTACACTGGTTTCACCGACATTACATGTACTGATACAGTCAACAACGATTGTAACGTCGGCTTTTGTAAAAACATCGAGGATACAAATGGCGCTGCTACTGCTGATAACATCTGCGTGAAAATTGAGTCGGAAAACGAGACAATCAACGTCAATAATAAAAACGATCATCGATTAACTCCGTTCAAATGTGTCAATACACTTGGATCATACTACATTGATTGCGCTCATGGATACATGAAAGATCCGAACACTGGACTCGACCCGACAAGCCCAGATATTGAGTGCATCGATATCAACGAGTGCGCCGATAGTGTAAATAATGAAGCTGCGACTACATCTGTCGCGAATCCGCTATGGAATGATGTTTCTATCGAATGTACTTCAGCCAGTCTTTGCACTGATAACGAAGGAAGTTACTCGTGCACTTGGGAATGTGCAGCTGGCGTCGATTGTACTGGAGATCATACGTACTGTGAATTCGACGCAACAGCGGGACCTCAGTGCCACTGTAAAACGGGATATGTTTACAATGCCGGAAGTGCTCTTTCTCCGGACTGGAAAACAAAGGATGTTGGTGATGTTAGCTGCGTAGACGTCGATGAATGTCAAGGACTCGATGTTGATAGCGACACGGTCAGAATCACTCATAACTGCAACTTTGATAACCTTGATGACCATGGTCACCAGAGTCAACTGTGTACCAATACTGATGGGAGTTTTTACTGCTCATGTCTTCCTGGCTATGATTTATCATACGATGAAATCACTCAACAATACAGCTGCACTGACATCGATGAATGTGATGAAATAACCTATAATAATCAAGTTCTTCATAATTGTCTTAGCGCCGATTACTGCATCAACTTGGATGGATCATACACATGCGATAACGAGTGTACTGATCATACGGTTTGCGGGGATCATGGTCGATGCGTTGTTGATCATGATGGTAATCTTTTCTATCTGATGGGAATTCACAATGGATACGTGGATCCCTCCACTGACAAAACCGCAAAAGGAGAAAAATGTATATGTGATGAAGGATATGAGTTTAATGGCTCAATATGTGATGACATCAATGAGTGCTCAACGCTTAACTATTGTGACGCTACCGACGCTGGTGGGGCAATCACTGGAGCTATCGAAGCAGAATGTGAAAATCTCGATGGGGGAGTAAATTGCTACTGTCCAAAAGGATATTACGACAATGAAAAAGATCCAGCTACTCCTTACCTTGAGTGTGTAGACATAAACGAGTGCGAAGACGGCATCGCGAATGATCCTCAAGATGGAGACACCGATGCTTGCAATCCTGATTGGGCCTCTTTGACTTCAGTCACTTTCTTAGATGGAACTTCTGTCAGCTCAGCACTCGGTGGACTGCATTGCATTAATACTGATGGATCATACGAATGTTTGAAACTTTGCAGCGTCGACACTTGCGTTGATTCGACTGTAGCCAATCACCCACCTTCAGAGTGCGAGGTTCAGATCATAGGAGATGCAGCGACAGAAATTTGTATCTGTCCGTCTGGATTCGAGTACGATGGAGCACTTGGCTGTGTTGATATAAACGAGTGTGACAATGATCCATGTGATTTGACTGTCACGGGATCAAAGTGTGTCAATGACATTGGCTACTATCACTGCGAGTGTGATAACATAGTTGGAAATACTTTGATCGGATGGACAGTTGGTGTCGGAGAAAATGCAGTCACTTGCACAAATATCAACGAGTGCACTGTCGACTCAGATAATGAGTGTTATAGTATGGAGTACTGCACTGATACTGACGGTGGCTACGATTGCATTGATCCCATTTGCACCGATACAAGTTTCTGCGGCACTTACGCACCTCTAGCTGATCCAAATACTCTTGAGTGCTTTATGACCGTCGACACAGGCGTTGCCGGCTCAGCAGTCAAGGACTGCCGCTGTATCGACGGCTACGAAGCCAAAGGAACATCTGGAAATGGTCTTATTTGCTACAATATCGATGAATGCGCTACCGATCAGCACACTTGCACTGCAGCAGATGAAGAATGTGTCGATATCATGGGATCATTTTTCTGCCGTTGTCCAGAAGGATACGAGTACAATGCAGCGGAAACAGAATGTGTCAAGATAGATATCTGCGATGCAACAACTTATCCTGGCCGATATCCTTGTGGTGCGGATCAATCATGCAACTGGCTCAGTTCTAGCTCTGGCTCCTGGCAAGAAGTTAGCCTTGATCAAGGTGATGCGAAGTGTGGCTGTCCAATTTGCCCTGATTGCAAAGCAAGACATGGCGATTATTCCAAGTGTAATAGTAATCTACTAAGCACTGATTCGACTCTTGTTGATGCGAATGGATATTCAGACAGCATGAATTACTATGATTGCGACTGTCAAGAAGGATACGAGTGGGAACGAGATGGGGATTATGTACTGATACCATACTCAACCTGTATTGACATCAACGAGTGTGAGACAGAACAAGATCCTTGTGGAATCATGCCCATGCCTAGTCGACCTGGTCGCTCTGCTGTAAGCTTATTCAGTAGATCTGGCGCCCGTTTGCAGGTAGTTGAATCAAGAGAGCTCCGCCCAGTTCCAGCATATCAAGCCGTGGACAGCATGTGCTACAGTAAGAAGAATCCGTCTGTTTTCCTTGAGTGCCCCGCTGGATCAACAATTTCCGTAACTTACGCTGCTCACGGTCGATGGGATGAAGAAACCTGCTGTTTCTCTTCTTCTGGTTGTCCAACTTGCGACATCAACAACGATTTCAATCTCATTCCATACATCAATGCTGCTTGTAAGGGTCAAGAATCTTGCGAATTCATCGTTAATGGACAGACTTTCATCCCTGATTGCATCGACAGTTCTACTGGTGACTCCGTTAGAGCATATGTTGATATCAAGTGGGACTGCGTAGCCGAAGTGCGGATCGAAGAATCAGTCAATTCCGGAAGCGACTATACTCAAGATAGAATTTGCATTAATTACCCTGGATACTACGTATGCGAATGCGCCCTTGGATACGAGCTTGTAAATGGAGTTTGTGAAGATATTCCCGAATGTACTCGAGATCTGCATACTTGCACTCACGATGTAGATGAATGTGTCGAAACTGACGGCTCTTATTACTGTCAGGGTGATTGCGCGACGGATACTGACGGGGATGGCTATGTCTCCAAAGCTGACTGTATTTGTCTCGAGTGCGAAGCTGGCTGTGGCGATGCAGGGTCATTTTCTTACTGCGAAGTCTCAGATCATGCGGATGCCCGAAAACCAACCCAATGTGTTTGCCAACTTGGATATGAAAAAGCATCGGCTGATCCGCTCGAGACTCAGTGTGTTGACATTCCTGAATGTGACGACGCAACGATTTGTGGTAGATCGACAGAAAATTGCGATACCTCGGTCAACCCTGATTGCGCCCTGTATGACTGCATCGAATTCAGTGGATCTTATGAATGTCGATGTCCACATGGTTACGAACCTGATCAAAATGATCCCGACCTCTGTATTGATATCAACGAGTGTACCTCCAACAACCATGTTTGCATCGACGCGAAGTTCTGTCAAAACACGATGGGCTCGTATGAATGCATTCTCGTCTGCGACGATTGCAGCGGAATCGAAAATTCTCATTGCGAAATGAACGTCGCTGAAGATGACTTAATTTGCGTTTGTGATGTTGGTTTCAGAAGCGAAGCTGCGCCAGGTGATAAACTTGCGCCAGGAGATTGTGTTGATATCGATGAATGTGATACTACAAACATTTGCACGGACAGCAACGCGCTGTGCGACAATACATTCGGTAGCTATAACTGCAAATGTCCTGAAGGATACGAGCTTATTGTTGATTTCGACTCGTCTGATCCAACTACAACTGAATATTGTGTAAACATAAATGAGTGCGACCTTAGCCGAGAGTTCATTCATCACTGTTTTGACAATCAGACGTGCGTTGACAGCGATCCAGGTCTTGACGGAAGCGGTCAGCTCTACACTTGCGAGGATAACTACTCTTGTCTGTGCACGGACGATTGCAATAACGCTCCCCATACCGTTTGCAAAATGGAATACATCGCCGCGGCAAATCAAGGCGCCACTTGTGAGTGTGAAGTTGGCTACGACTGGATCACCACTGGTGTCATTGCTGATGGATGTGAAGATGTTGATGAATGTAGTGATCCAACATTGAACGATTGCGCTGGTGATCACAAAATTTGTGATAACACGATTGGATCGTATGAGTGTATTTGCCCCAGTGGGTATGAATACGGCATTCCTACCGGTGTAGAGACGCTCAATACAGTTCCGTGCATTGATATTAATGAGTGCACTGATGATACCCACACTTGCGACCCGAATGCTCAATGTGACAATACAATCACTCCCGGCAGCTACGATTGCTCTTGCAATGCTGGTTTTTGGGACAGCGATCCTGCTAATCCTGGACACAAGTGCTACCCAGACTGCCCCAATTGCTCCGCTCGACCCTTTATGAAATGCAATAACGATTTGACCAATCCCGAATGTGTTTGCATCGACGATACATATTTCCGACTTGCTGATCCAAATGATCTCTCTGCTGGCTGCGTTGACATCAACGAGTGCGAAGAACAGACAGATGACTGTAGTTCCATTCAAGTTGGCATTCCAAGAGAGTGCCAAAATGAGCTCTTTGGGTTTTCATGTTGTTGTCCAGCCGGTAGTCAGCTCAATGAGCTGACGGGAGATTGCGAAGATATTGACGAATGTGCTCTAGATATCCATCACTGTCATATTAACGCTGACTGTGACAACCGCATCTTCCCCACTGCGAGCTATGACTGCACTTGCAAAACTGGTTATCGCGGAAACGGATATGAATGCTTCAAAATCGAATGCCCGACAACTTGCGATCCTGTCAGCCAAGAGTGCACTTTCATCAACGATCCAATTCACAACCCACATATTTGGGAGCCAAGCTGTATCTGCAACGAACCAGGATTCGAACAAAATGGCGTTGACGCGAGCAATAATCCAATTTGCGACGACGTTGACGAGTGCAGTACTGGCGATCACAATTGCGATGCTCTTTTCACTACAGGTGGAGGACCGCAAGCTGGCAATTTGCCCCTCATCTGTAAGAACACAATTGGCTCTTTCTCCTGCGAGTGTCCGTATGGCTTTGATAGACTAAGCCACGACGGTGACTGCGAGTGGATCCCACTTGAATGCGCGGAGACATGTACGGCTGAGCAATATTGTGGCCCAAGAGATGATGGAGCTGGACTTGAGTGCAGATGCAATGATGGCCTCAAGACATTTGTTGATGCTAATGGCACTGTCACATGCGAAGATGATGACGAATGCCAAGATTCAAGCAAGAATGACTGTGACGCGATTACGGAAGTTTGCTACAATACTCTTGGAAGTTATGTCTGTCCATGCGCAATCGGCTATAAACAACAAGTTGCTACTAATGGAAGTATAAGCTGTGTAGATGTTAATGAGTGCGACATAAACGAAACCGGAATTGATCCATGTGACATCAATGCCGAGTGCACCAACACGCAGGGAAGCTATTTCTGCGAGTGCGATGAGTGGTACATTGGAACAGGCGATATTTGCATCTTCCACACGCAACTTCCTTGCGAGCTAGACTGCGATCCTGATTGTGGCGACAACGCTGAATGTATCGTTGATGGCAGTTTAATTGGCCCAGCTGAATGCGCTTGCTGGCCTGGTTTCGAAGGCGACCCTGTTGCTGGATGTATTGATATAAACGAGTGCAATATTACTGATATTTGTGACGCCACAGAGATCTGTGTTAACATCATTGGATCATACTCTTGTGTTGAGTGCCCAGAGTGCGTTGACTACGCTCACTGCGCAGTGATGCCTGATGCTTCTATGGGTTGCTATTGCGACGAAGGCTTTGCCCCTTTCTTCGACCCCGATACTTTAGAGATCACTAGATGCGTAGATATTAACGAATGTGAAGATAATACGATCGTAACCGGCTGTACAATCACTGAATACTGCGAAAACACACATGGTGAGTTTGAATGCCGCTGCAAAACTGGATATCGACGGAATGCCGCGGGCGATTGTGAAGACATCGACGAGTGTCAAGATCAAACTCATCAATGTGGTCCGAATTCTATTTGCGACAATATTCCCTATGACATCACTCTTTTCCGCGGATATGAGTGTAGCTGCCCACCAGATTTCATCGGAAACGGATTCGACTGTCTACCAGACTGCGAGCTCTGCGGAGTGAATACGGACTGTGTTGTTCTCCCGGACCGATCAGACAAGGAATGCAATTGCAAACCTGGATATGAACTTGACGCTTCAGGAGAATGCATCGATATCAATGAATGTGAACGAGAGCCACTTACTTCTTGCGGTACCAATACAGAGTGCTACAATTGTGATGGCGACTATACATGCGATTGTAAAGACGGATATCAATTTGATACAAACGGCTTTGATTGCATCGACATTCACGAGTGCGCCGATGTCAATCTTCACGGATGCGCTGCGATCGCCGACTGTATTGAGCTCCCAGGTTCGTGGAACTGCGAATGTCCAGCTGGATTCGAAGGAAATGGATTCATTTGCCACGAGATTTGCCCAGTTATCGGCTGTGGCGATAACGAGTTCTGTACGACAATGACTTCAACATCCGCCGGAACAATTTTCGAAACCCAGTGCCTTTGCAACCCTGGTTTTGAGCGCGATGCCACGGGTGATTGCATTGATATCAATGAGTGCGATGATCCGACGCAGAACATTTGCGACGATGCTATTCCTGTTGAAGTTTGTATTAATACTGCTGGTTCTTACGCCTGCGGCTGCCCGGCCGGATATGCTGTTGGTGGCGAACCGATGTTGGGATTAGTAAGGGCCACGACTGGAGACTGCTTGAATATAAACGAGTGTGATTACGACCACCGGTGTCATCCAAGAGCTGACTGTATCGATACTGATGGCAGTTACACATGCTCTTGCACAGGAGAGACTTATGGAAATGGAAAAGATTGCCCTTGCCTTGATGGATTTGCTGCTGTTAATGAGACATCAGAATGTTTGGACATTCACGAGTGTGATCTGGGAATTCACTTCTGCGATGTCAACGCTGATTGTGAGAACACTTACGGCAGCTACGACTGTGAATGCAAGGAAAATTACTTTGGAGACGGGCTCAGGTGCTTCGAGACTTGCCCCGTCTGTGGAGTCAACGCTTTCTGCTCATTCATTCAAAATACTCCAACATGCGAATGTCACACTGGATACGCAGGAAATCCTGCTACCATTTGCGATGACATAGACGAGTGTGAAACTGGAGCTCACATTTGTGATAGCTACCTCATCCCGGAAAGATGCGTGAATACCATCGGAGCGCATACCTGCGAGTGCCCAATTGGCTACAAAGGTGAAGGTGATGGAGATTGTGTCAATATCAACGAATGCGTCGATGATCTGCACAACTGTGACGTCGATGCTGACTGCATTGATACTGAAGGCTCTTTCGCGTGCGAATGCAAAGATGGCTTCCTCGGCAACGGATGCTTCTGCCACCCAATTTGCACTAATACAACCTGTGGTCCAAACGCTCACTGCACTCTTGCTGATAATCCTGGAAATACCGATGGCGACTTGGAATGCCGCTGCAACAATGGTTTCGAAGAGGTCTTTGGGTCGAACCCGCTCGAGTGCGTCGACATCAATGAATGTCTCGTAGACGTTCTTTCATGTGATCCTCTTCTAGAAGATTGTGTCAACAATGTTGGCGGCTTTGAGTGCAAGTGTAAAGATGGTTTCAAATATCCCGAAGGGGAAAATAGCGGATCCGCAGATTGCATCAACATCAATGAGTGTGAAGATCAGACCGATGATTGTCATAGATCATCACTCTGTGAGGATACTTTTGGAAGCTACACATGCACTTGTGTCAATGGCTTCATTGGGAACGGCAAAGACTGCCAGCCAGAATGCCCAGATTGCGGCGAAAATGGCAGATGTGTTATCATTTCCCAGGTTTCTACTCTATTTACTATTAAATTTACTACGAAATTATTTCAAGGACTTGCCAACTGGAGGTACCGGTCTCTTCACTTATTGTAAATGCGCAGACGGCTACACGACCAACGCCGATGGCAAATGCGAAGATGTCGATGAATGTCTCCTGGATCTTTGCGGACCTAATACGGACTGCGAAAATTTCCCTGGCAGCTACCTCTGTCCATGCGCTGATGGTTTCACTGAGAACGCAGTTGGCATCTGCGATGATGTCGATGAGTGTTCTCTTGATCCGAATCCATGTGATGGGAACGCGGACTGTCTTAATACTTTTGGCTCGTATTTGTAAGTTTTATTGATAACCATATCTGTTTGATTTTTTATATTTGTATATATTTCAAGAGTTTCTCTTCTACGAGAGCTAAAAATATATTATGCAAAATTATTCAATAAAACGCCGGATTAACATTTTAGCTAAATTTTCGAAATAAGGTCTTTATCAATATTTTAAGGTGCACTTGCAACGAAGGATATGCCGGCGACGGCGAATGCTGCAAGCCAGAGTGCCCCGACTGCGGCATCAACGCACATTGCGTTATTGAAAATAACCAGTCTTCATGCGTTTGCAAAGCTGGCTACGATGGAGATCCACTTGTCGAGTGTGAGGACGTTGATGAATGCGACAATCTTATGAATGATTGCTGGATCACAAATGATCTGTGCGTCAATTTGCCGGGCAGCTATCTTTGTACTTGTCCAGATGGGTTTGCTCGCGATCCTGATACAGGTTTGAAGTCTGAAAAAATAAATGCTGATTTTTGTCTCAGGAATTTGCGAGGACCGTGATGAATGCAGCGACACCACTCACAACTGCGGAACAAACGCTATCTGTGAAAACACCGAGGGCTCATGGACTTGCGAATGTCCAACTGGATACGAAGGAAACGGACTTTTCTGTGTTTCCAAGAAGGAAATTGTCCGCTGCACCGAGGATTGTCTCGATACCGAACAATGCGTCTACGACCTGGACAGCGACGAGTACCGATGCGAATGCGCCGCTGGGTATGAAGCCGATGTTGATGGCGTTTGCGTGGATATCAACGAGTGCAAGGCTGTCGTTTGCGATGCTGGATACACTTGCACAAATTATCCCGGAGGATACGATTGCGTCTGCCCACCCGGATTCGAGCACGATCCGATTACTTCAACATGTATCGATATTGATGAGTGTCTGACAAAACAGCATGACTGCGCGGAAACGGCTTTCTGTACAAATTTATCAGGCACAGGGCTCATCGAATTCCAGACAAATCTGAAATATTTGAAATCAAATGTTTTGAAAAGCCCTTTTCTCAGGAAGCTATCTCTGTACTTGTGAAACTGGCTACACCGGAAACGGCAGAACTTGCGAAAAAACCGTCATCTGCGGCGAGATCGACCTGTGCCATCCAACCGCAACTTGCGATGAGCTGACATCTGCACAGGATCTTTACAGCTGTACTTGTCCGCCGGGAACGACTGGAAACGGATTTGACAAATGCGAAGATAATGTTGCCGTCTGCGAACCAAGCTGTGGAACTGGCAAGATGTGTGTTCTCGGATCGAATGGACAGGGAATCTGTATTTGCCAGGAAGGATACGAAGCTAAGGCGGATGGAAGCTGCTCTGATGTTGATGAGTGCGAGACGATTGGCTGCTCGAACGGCATGGAATGTGTCAATCTTCCTGGAAGCTTCCAGGTATTTTTTTTCTTGGAAATGTTTTTTTTAATCTTTCTCTTAGTGTCTTTGCGCTCCAGGAACAGAAGCAAAGATCTCATCCACAGGCGACGTCGTCTGTGGCGACACAAACGAATGTTCCGCCGACAACATGTGTTCCAGCAACGCCAACTGCATCGACTTGAATATGGCTGTCGACGGAGAGCCTTATCGCTGCGAGTGTAAGGAAGGCTACCACGGAACAGGCACAACATGCTGCGATACTAACGAGTGCGGCGATGAGAGTCACAATTGCGACGAAAACGCGACGTGCAAGAATACAGAGGGCAGCTACGAGTGCTACTGCAAGACGGGATGGGAAGGCAATGGGAAACAATGCAATCCAATTTGCCCTGAAAAGCAAAAGATCGGCGCTGACGGAGAAACTTGCGAGTGCAAAAATGGCTACAGACCGGTCGATCCGCCAGGAGACGAGCTGGAATGCGAGGATATCGACGAATGCACGGAAGGTACACTCATTCTTTTCCTTTCTTACCTTTTCATTCTCGATTCTAGAGCTTCATAATTGCGACGTCAATGGAATCTGTCTCAATACTGACGGTTCTTACATCTGCGACGGTTGCGTCGATCCCTGGCACGGAAGTGGCTACAAAAATGAGTGCTGCGAGGAAGAATGCGGCTCCAACCAGGCCTGTTTCTTCATGGAGTGCAAATGCAAGCCCGGTTATTACAAGGACTACATTACTGGTATGAATTTCTAAAAACAAACATGTTCTAACGAAAATTTCAGGCGAGTGCTTCCCCTACTGTGATCCAGTCTGTAGCCGCTTGGAAGTCTGCGACAAGGGCCGCTGCGTCTGCAAAAAGGGCTACACAAGAAACATCCTTGGAGAGTGCGAAAAAGTACCTTGCGATTGCCATGATCTTGCCCAGTGCGAAGTCACTACTAACTCTCTCGGACAGGTGCCACTTTCTCCTAAATCTATTTTTATCACTGTTCAGATGCTTGATGCGGAGTGCGTTTGCAATTCCGGCTTCGAAGGCGACGGTGTCGACAGTTGCGAAGACATCAACGAGTGCGACGTCGATCCGACCATTTGCGGCGAGAATATTGCTTGCTGCAATCTTTACGGTAAAGTGACTTTGAGAAACATTTCGCAACGGTCTTTCCTTAGGTGATTTCGTCTGCGTCTGTCCTTGTGGATACCAGTACGTAGAAGAGACTCAGAGCTGCATTGACATCGATGAATGCGCATCAGGATCGCACGCTTGTGACGAAACTCAGGATTGCTTCAATCAAGACGGGTAAAAAGAATTTTCTTTTTTCAAAAAACTAGAATTTTTTCTCAGTTACCACGAGTGCGCATGCCGACCCGAAGATTGCGGACTCGTCCTGGCCAACAAGCGAATCGAAATGCGACTTCCTTGCGTCAAACCCGAGCCTTACAATCCCTAAGTCAAAAATAGACTTGATCACTTTACTTAATAAATTTACCGTACTTTTCCGCTGTAAATACATGTGTACAGAATCTCGCTTTTGAACAAGTTTATTCTACAAAACCCGAGTGCCCTATTTTAAGAGTTTTTGAGTCAACTAGGTCAAAAGGTGAAACCAATTCGAGAGTTTTATTTTACGAGAGGGGCTCATCATAAATGTCAGAATAATAAATTATAGTTGATGAATCTAAGTTAGAGTGTTAAAAATAGCCTAAACTCAAAAACAACACACCCATTTTTATTTTCCTTTATATAATCTGGAGTAGAAAATAAGGAATTTCGACAAACAAAATCGACAATTTTCCGAACTAAATTCCACAAAATTTTCGACCAATCAAAGGGACGGATTCGGGGATACCGGTTGGGAGGCAGCCAATCAGATTTCAGTATTTCAAATTTTCAAAAATAATGTCGAGATAATTACTTCGACCGTTCATGGACGTTTTTTAAATTTACCAGGGTTTTGCGACAAAAAATGTCGGCCGAAAATTGTCGACTCATGAACGCCCCGAAAATAACTCTGTATAATAAAGAAAAATATTTCAAAATTAAATAATATTTCCATAAAAACGTAATTTGGCAAAAAAAAATCAATATGGGCAATGTCGACTGGATTGTTCGTACGAAATCAACTTCAGTAATAAGCGCTATAAAAAGGCGTCAATCATGAATTTGGCGCATGATAATGCTCTATAAAAGCAGCGCAGAACAAAAACCTTCCACGCCTTGTCGCAGCTTTTTTTCAAAAACAGACTCAAAAACAACCGCTTTTTGGAGTTTCAAAAAGTCAAATTCTCTTTCCAGGGAAGAGCCAAAGAAAAAAAAGAACAAAAGTCACGTGAGAAACGGGCTGAGAGCAGTCAGAGTGTGAGATTGTCAAAAATAGCGACTCAATTAGTCAGAGAGTTTCAGACTGAATTTGCGCCTCGCACTGAATTGAGAGTTATTAATGGTAGGTCAGCTTGTTTTTTTTTATTTTTGGGTTGAAAAATTTATTGAAAATTAAGAAACTCGTTAATTTTAGGCCCAAAAATTTTTTGCCAGATTTTTAGTCAAATAAATTTTGAAAAAATAAATAAGGGTGTCATAATGATAATTTTCGTTTTTGACCAAATTTCTTAAATTTCCTATAAAAATTTAAACAATCGACAATCTGTTGTTTTTCTTTTGAAGCATTTTCAAAAATGACCAAAAATTTCAGACAAATTTGAAGTACTGCAACAATGTAGCGTCACGCCGCCCCTCGGGCTTCCGATTGAGCCAGGTCAAGGAAGAGACCGAAGACGATCTATTCGTCTACAACAGTCACGTGGAACTTCTCGAATCGTCCTCCAGCTCGATTGAAAACAACAACGACAAAAACTGCCAGCACAAGAGCCGAGAAAACAAACGAAAGCAAAGTATGGAGAAGAAAATGTTGAAGCTTTTGACTCTTCTTTGCTCAGGTACAAAATCGATTTTAGTAAAAAAAATTGACCAAATTTTTGATGAATTAAAAAAAAATTAATTAATTTATTCAGAAAAAATCATAAAATCGACGATTTTTTGAAGTTTTTAGTCAAAAAATCGATAAAAATTCCAAAAAAATCAAATTTTTTTTTGGCTAAAATTTTGAGTCGAAAATTATTTTTTACCTTTATTTTTAGCCTCAACAGACCAAATCGACTAGAAAACGCTCGTTCCGCAGCTTGGAAAAGTTTATTATCGATAAATTCAGATAACCAAATTCAGTGTGCAAACAATCAATTCTGTCCAAACACGAAAAATGGAATTTTGAATAAATAGACCAATGACGAGCATCTTTTCTTGTCTTTTATTGTCTTCCTGAGATCCAAGGGCAACCACTCTACTTTCACTCTTTTCTGCTTTTTCTTCGAAAATTATTATGAAATCCTAAAAATTCTAAAAATTTTGAATTTCAAGCGAGACAAAAATGACGGAAGACGGAAAAATACTCACAAGACATGTTTTGATGAGGCAAAAATACTGCAGGGATATTCACTCTGCTGTAGATTCAGGTACGTAGATTAAGGTTCAAGCCTTGAAAGAAGAATTTTTTTGAAAAAAATAATTCTTAAAAAAATATTTCCGAAAAACAAATTTTCAAAAAATTTGATCAAAAAAATTAATTTTTTGAAAGAGAAAAAAAAATTTCTAGATTGAAAAATTGACCAACTCATAAAAATAATTGAACAGCCAGTTTTGGCTTATTTGTTGCTGAGCACAGAAAAATGAGCTCTGTGTTCACAGGCTTGGTTCGAAAGATTTCTTTTTAAATATGTTGTCAGTAAATTCCCAAATTCATAAATGAGCCAAATTCAAAGCAAATAACATTGTAGCCGCAAATGTCCGAAGGAAGGACATTCTTTACGCTGTTGAAGGAGGTTTCGAGGCCTTTTTTCGAGTCGAAAGTTTTCTTGTTTATAAATGATTGTGTTCAGGCGATGTGAGTTGGTTGGAACTGTCCCTGGCGCATCAGAACAACAGTACAGTAATTGGCTCAAACGGCGAAACCGCGCTCCACCGAGCTGCGAAAAAGGCCAATTATCAAGTGATTCAAAAGCTCCTCGACCATGGTTTTTCCCCACTCGCCGTAGGAAAGGGTTCGAAAAGAAGAATTCTTCCTCTTCGATTTCACTGATCAAAACCCTCTAAAAAGACAACAACGGAAGAAACGCCCTATTTTGGTTTGCTGAAAACGCGCCGCTGAGGCGAAAACTGACAAAAGCCAGCAAGGAGACAATTTCAAAGTTGACGAAACCGCACTTTTCTTCCGACAAACGACACATCCAGGTCCGGTTCCAACATGCTAAGCAGCTCACTTAAAACCAGAAAAATCTTGTTTACGTGAAGAAAAATTGTAACTTGGATTTTTAGACCACTTTTTTCGGCTGATTTTTTGGGTTAATGATAAAAAAGACGAATTAAGCATTCAAGGAACCTAAAATAAGGGAATCAACTTCGATCTCCAAGATCAAGACGGCTACACCGTCATGCATGTCGCTGCCAAGAACGGCAACTGGCCCCTCTGCGAACATTTTTCCAGCCTGGACCGCACCCTCTTCCTCGTCAAAGACAACAACGGAAACACCCCCGAAGACATCGCCGTTCTATTCAATCGACGAGAGTGCTCCAAGCAGCTCAAACACGCGACCGCAGAGTACGTCCGGGAGCGAAAAACGGAAGAATACAGGAAGCTTCAATTGTTCAAGAAAAAATTCTGCGATCTCCAAAACGAAGCTCTTTCCGATTTACTGAACTCGAGATCTGATCGCTCGAGAGAAGCATTTGTCGATTTTACCAGCTCCCTAAAGGTCCTTATTTCATCCCCTTTTTTCCTTATTCAATGATTTTTGAAGGGGTCCTCCGCCAACCCGAGCGCGAAAAGTCTTCCACGAGAAGAACTCCTCCACGGTCTTCGAAGCCGACTGCGAATAGCTGGAAAAGTAGACGCTTGCGAAAATGGCGAATTCGAGTCAAAAGAAGCAACTGAAGGTTTGACCGTTGTAACTCCCCAAAAGCCTCGAGAAAGGAACGGTCAGATAAGAATTTAAGAAAAGTCCAATTTTATGTTTTCAAAATTGCCCCTTTAGAAGCTGCGAGATAAGGCCGCAGAAAAATGAACACTCCTTGCAAGTAGCGATAAGAGATATCTCTCAACGTTTGGGGTAAGGGGAAATTTCTGTGTGTACTCCAGGATGCAAGTATCCTTAGTACTTAGAGCCTCTTTGAAAATTTCTGACCTCTAGAAAGAAAATTGACAGAGGACTTCCAAGCGCCTCTTCCGCCTTCCTCGGGGCTTCCTGTTCAAGTAAGTAGATGAACTTAACCCGTTAACAGGGTGGTCGATTTCGCCTACGCTTTTGCCTGTCGATGATTGAGTGAAATCAAGGATCCGAGGTTGTGATTGGCTACCCGTTTCCACGCGTGCAGGTCAAACCTGCACGCCCCTGTTAACGGGTTAAGGGAATGGCTTAGGATAGATGAGAATGACTTCTGCGGAGCAAAATCGGGACCCCAATATTTTTTGTGCTGATCTTGTAGCGCAGGTTCTGAGGAGTCGATTGGTACAATTTTTATGTGTCCAAGCCACGGAATATCTCAAATTCTAGTGCTTAAAGTACCTGAAAATGTCAGGTCATGTCCCCCTGTATCTCCGAAAATTCTCAGAAATATAAAGAGATTTTGATATCGTTGGAAAGCCCAGCTCAAACTGATTATGAGCACTAGTTGCGCAATAAAAAATTCCGAAAAAATTTTTTTTGAGAAAAGTTCTTGTCCCAAAAAATTTTTTTTTCGTCGAAATTTTTTCTTGCACACCTTGTGCTCATAACCAGTTTGAGCTGGGCTTTCTAACGATGCCCAAATCTCCATATATTTCTGAAAATTTTCGGAGATACAGGGGGACATGCCCATTTTTCAAAGGGGGCCCTTGTGACGTCATAGGTGATGACTCAGACCCTAAAAACTATACCATTCGACTCCTTAGGAGTTGCTCTATCTAATGAGCACAAGAAATATGGGGGTTAGAATTTTGCTCCGCAAAAGTGATTTTCAAGTATCTAGGGTTAGGGCTAGGGTAAGCGTTAACGTAAGGGTTAGGGTTAGTGTAAGGGTTAGTGTTCATAAATTGGAAGGTCATTTGATGAACCGTTAATTTAATCCAATTATAAACGCCAATCATTCTTGTAGTTGGCGCGGACAAAAGCCGGACGACCCTTAATTTTGGCCAAATCCGCCAAAGTGCGCGGTCCCGAGCTGCCCATGGACACGGTGAAAACAAAACTCGGCGATGGACTTCCCTTTCGCCCGTTGAATAACGGATCTCACTGGCAGGTAAGCATTTTATAATCGCCATCTTCAATTGTTCGAATTTTCAATTTTAAGCCGCGCCACGTTGATGATAATTCCAAGAGGCAACACAGCGAGGAAAAGTACGAGACGACGGTTCAATTCCACTTGAAAAGATAAAATCAACGATGTCCGTTTTTCGATATTGCTGAAGATCATAATAAATGCATAAAGCTAAAAATAAATCAGCTTTTATCATCCGCTCAAAAAGTTGGAGCCTTTGGGAGATTCGCTCGCCTGTGATTGGTTGAACCAGAAAATACTTGTTTCTTATTGGCTGAGAGAAATTTACGAGTCCCTTCATTCTACGACCTTGAGAAAAGCCCGAGAATTCCGTATTTGAAACACGTTTTAGTTTACGCAAGATATGATATCGCTTTTCAAAAGTGGAGGTTTTAAAATTGGCCAGTTTTGAAGCCCTTGAAGCTGGCTTCTTTTCATTTGCGGTCGGCGCAAATTTTAGCAGAAGACCATATTTCTGTCATTTTCATTTCTCCATATCTTGAATTTTGGGCCAATTTTTCCGGCGATTATGACGAGCCAAAGTCAAAGGATGAAGATCGAATTCGCAGCTCAAAACTTCTAATACCATATTTATGTGCTCGCCGAAAGAAAACTGATCCCATTAATCTGACGCGAATCTCCAGACTGAGTTTTCAATCTCCTCTTACGCAAAAAATTCTTTGCTCGTGGCATTAATAGGATTTGGCGGAAGAAGATAATGATGCGTTTTCATGAACTTTTTCGACACAAAAAATGAGCCGTTCGAAAGGGGACTCTTTTGTGGTAAATTCAGGGGTCTAAAAGGAATGTCGACACAGTTGGGAGTGGTCAATTTTGCGGTTTGAATTTTCCCCAAAATCTGGTGAAGAATTTTGACCCCAGTGCTTTTTCAAACGAATTTTTCATCGAATTAGATTTTTGATTTTGAAAATCAACCGAATTTTTAGCAAAAAAAATCTGATGGCGAGTCGAAAATTGCGGAAACCTAAAATTTGACCAAAATTTTGGCAAAAATTGTCGCAATTTTTTTTTGGATTCGAGCCATTTTTCGTGAAAAATGAGACTTGTTTGGGAAAAACGCGGAAGTTCTTCAAATTATCGGAAGTTTGAAGAGTAAAGAAAATACGGTAAAAAACGCTGAGCTGTCCTCATACAAACAAAATTAAGCCCGTTTATCGGATGTATTTTTTCTTTATCAAGAATTATCCTTGCCCCCTTGGAAAGCGGATTTGCGATATTCGTTGATAAAACCCATCAGTACCTCCGAAAATTGTAGATAAGAGAAAAGAACCTTAGGCAAAACACAGATATCAAAAAAGAACATTTAGAGCACGTTTTTCTTGCGCACCGTTGTTAAAATTAGAAATTAATCGGGTCTTCAAAACCACCTTTTTTATCTTTTTTTATCTTTAAGGTATAAAATTTAACCTATAAATTCCAATTTTCTGTCTTGAACTTTCAATAATTGGCAAAGAGTAACTTATAACTATTGAATTATTTGTAACACCAAATTAATTATCTAGACCTCAGGGGGGCGTCAATATTGATTTTCAGGGGTGACCATTATTTAATAATTATATAATTAAATTCTTATTTATACATATATTCCGCATATGAATTATACATTTTTGGAATCTAAAGATTTTGCCGAGTCTCTTAAGCATAAAATTATCTGATAAAAATAAGTTTTAGGGGTTGAAATTGAGAAAATTGTTTGAAAAATGACGAATTTTTGGAAATTTTTGCGAAAATGGCCCTAATTTCACGGCATTTTTGTCCGAATCTTGCGTGCAAACTTTTTTTCTACTTTTTGCCGGTGAATTCATCCAACCCTTGTCTATTCACTGGTAAATTCGAATTTCTCCCATTCAATCATATTTTCCCGGTTTTTTGTTTTTCCATAATCCGAATATTGACGACCCTCCCCTTAATTCCAAGATGATACCCATGTTAAATGTTTATTATTCTATATCGACTGTTGAATCTCTTTTATTACGCTTATTTTGGCGAATAAGCAGAACTCAGCCTTATCTGGCGCGAGCTTATCAAATTTAATGGCGGGCTAGTACTTATGCCCTCTTCTAAAGTAGGGCTCGCCAAAAAAAAGTCGATGTCAATTCTCCCCTACGAATTGCACCTTAAAATGATCCCCGTTTTTTCCTGATTCGAATGATATGTCTCTGTTAGGCATAAGTCTTGGGGAAAAAATTCTAGAGCTAGGTCCAAAATCCTGTTTTTGGGACTTCGATCACGTGCCATCACGTCATTTCTCCGGAAATTTCAACATTTTTTCAATTTTTCGAGGATAACTTATTCTGCTCTTTTAAATAAGCTATTTACGAAGTTGGGATCAAGATTTTGTCCAGAAATCCCAATAAAATCCTACTAAAAATCCCTCAAATTCACAGTTTTTCGGCCTAATTTTAACCAGAAAACCTTGGATATCTCGAGTTCCCCAAGTTTTCCCGACCAGGCAAAGTACTTGAAAGAAGCGCAAGGCTTCATTCTACAAGAGTCTAGTCTCAGATCTGGGGAGAATCGAAGTAAACTACCGAAAAAAATTAAATGATTGATAAAAAATAATATCAAATATAAGGAGTTTTGAGAGGTTTTCTTTGTTTATTTTTTCGGTTAAGCAATGAGACCCCGAAAAAGAGCCATTTTTATCGAAAATTCGCTCTAAAATTTTTTTGGCTGAGTTTAAGGGTGTGGTTATATGGAGACTTTTGGGTTTTAGAACATGGGGAATCAGAAAAACATACTCGCTCGCGACTTCAAGATTTCATGGCGAGCCCTATTCTAAAGCTTCTGCTTTCTTTTCAATTTTCCGTGCCAAATCGTAACCGTGTTAAACAAGAAGAACAAAAAGCGGTTTTTGGTCGACGATAAAATCCAAGAATTGAATTTATCTTCTTCTAAATGATTATTCAACAGACTCTCAAGTTGAGAGACAAATCAATTCTTATTGAGCTCTAGAATAATGCTACTATTTTATTTATATCTCTGGCGAAAATAAAGTCTTCTTTGTTGTTTTTTTTTAAATAATTTTGATGCGGAAGTCGACTTTTGAATTCAAGTCTCCTTTCACCCTTCCCTCGAGAAGATCGACAATTAGACGCGAAAAAGCCAATTTGTCGGAAAATGAAGATGAGCAGGACGAACTCAGCAGGACGCCGATAAGGCTCAAAGCTCCTAAAAGCGGGAGGCTCTTTGATAAGCAAGGTTTAATTGAAATGACTGTGGCTTTGACAGCTGATGAATAATGCTGTTGAATCATCGTTGTACTTTTCAGAAAAAAATTGAAAATGAAAAACCTAGAAAAGGATGAAGACGAAGAATTTGAGCCAAAAAGAGTTCTTTATGAAAAATTGAATGACTGGGAAAATTATGACAGGTAAAAAGATGAGCGAAAAAAATTATTTTTTGAAACGTTTTTCTCTCTGAAATCTGATTGGCCTACACGCCGATTGCAAAAATCTGATTGGTCTAAAACGGCTTATTATCCCCTCAATAAATTCTTTTAGTGAATCAATTCTCGGCTTGATAAAAACGGCGGATTCCGGCTTTATTTTTCCATCAGGCCGCGCGGCAGTCCATCTAGCGGCAATTGATCGAAGAGAGAAGGAACGGGCGACTCGGACTATGTCGTCGAATGTCGTCGAATGTCGTCAATGAATCTCTAGAAATAAATCTCTAGAACAGATATGTTTTCAAAATTTTGATTTTTTTTCCATTTTTGAAGAAAAATCTGACGACATTCGACGACATTGACGACATTCGACGACATTGACGACATTCGACGACATAGTCCGGGCCCCCCGAAGGAACTTCGTTTGATGCTTCGACAAAATCCTGATTTGGTCAACTTGAAATCGTCTTCTGGAATGATCCCCTTGGCATATGCATTTTCCTCCGAAGCGGTTTTAATCGACAAAAATTCTAATGGTAGTTTTTCATTAATTTTTCTCAAAAATAATCAAATTCTAGGGCCGATTTCGAAGCTCCTTCTTTCTCTTGGAAGCCCCAACCCTTTTTTCTACGCCTTTTGCATTTGCTCGTCTTGGGAACAATTCGCCTCTTTGTGCGAATTTATTCAGAAGAATTTGAAGAAAGATTTATCGCTGAGAAAAGTTCTGAAAGAAGACTTGTGGATGATGCTCAAAACTCAAAATGAAAATAGATCTGACAAGGTAATTTTTTCATTTCAAAATTGAGCGTGAAATCGAAATCAGATTTTCTCCAATTTATTTTAATTTGAAGTCTCGAAGATTGGATTAGAGAAAGATTATCAATATTTTTACTTTCTGAGAAAATTATCTAGAAAAAATTAAATAATACATCGTAATTACGAAGAATTACCTGATACAAAAGAGAGGGTAAGATTTAGTTATGGGTTAGGGTTAGGATTGGATAAGGGTTGGGTTTGGGTTAGGGTTAGCTTATGGCTTCTTTACAGCGAATCAGAGGCCTGATTTTTCGCGTCAGCCAATCACAGCCCAGCGAATTCGAAAGGGTTAAGGTTAGGGTTTCCTTATGGCTTTTTTCTAGCGAATCACAGAGCTGATTTTTCCCGTCAGCCAATCACGGCCAAGCAAAAATCCCTCGTAAATCCCTCACCGATAAAGAGTCTTCCCACTTATTTCATTTTAGGAGTCATTTGAAAAAGCCGTGATAACTATCGTTGCAATTTTCTCCGAGCTTGAAACCCTCGATACACGTGATCTTCTCAAATCCTTCCTTTCCTACATTTTCAAAAGCAAAACGCTCTTCCTCTCCACCAGCGATTTCGAAAAGCTTATGTCAATGCTCCCCATGCTCGCTGGTTATGACATGGAGCCGCAGATGCTGCTGGCGATGAAATTTCTAAACCGACAAGTTGATGATAATCTCATCAATTTGGACGAAAACGGAAGAAAATTGAAATTGCTGAAGGTGCTGGGGAATTATGAGAAGATGGTGAAACTGGCTCAAAATTTGGATCTGGTCGAATTTAAAAACCAAGCGATGTGGATTCTCAATTATCTTTTTCATGTTCTGGTATGTTTCAAAGAATCCATTGATCCCATATATTATTCATTAGAGAGATGAAGACACAATCCTCCCGGAAGAAGTGATCAACCATTGCCTCATCATCACCAATTGCCTTCTCCCTCCCGACTTTCGAAAACTCGTCAAAAATGTCTTTTCCGTCGACATTATCGCCAACGATGAAAAATTAGAAAACATGTTCAAAGGTATCCTTTTCAAGAAAAAAGAATTCTCAACCCTTTCTAGTAATTCCAAAAGGCGTAATAATCAAGGAGCTGATTTTGCCGCTCAGACAGAAGTTCAAATCTACATTTCTTTTCCAGCGCTGGCCGAGTATTTCTGACGCATCAAAGTCGGAAAAGAGCGAAATAAGCGCTGCTTCGAGTTCCCTCAGTCTGACCAGCTCTTTTTCAATGAATGAAGCACTGCAGAACGATGTTACTTTCGACATGTAATACCAATAAATTTATTTAAAAGTCGGTTCTAAAATTCTGTTATATAAAATTTTCTTCCTGAGTTAATTTTGAAATGTCCGTTTCCGCTTCTCATTTGACCTGGCAAAAGGTCGCCGGTCAAAATTCCCAACCGCGAGCGCTGCACTGAGCGCTCACGATTGCTCCGCAGCGCCATCATAAAAACGCTTAAGCGCGTATAAATATTCAGCGATTAATAGCACTCATCATCACACACACAGTATGATATTGAAAAAATATATCATGGTAAGACACTTTTTTATATCAAAAGAGAGATTAGGATTCATAAACGAAGATTGTCTTTTTCATTACTTTTTTTTCATTTTCAGAAGCTGACAATTTCTTCCCTCCTCTCCCTCGCCGCTGCGGAAAAATCTTTCGCCGACAGATTCGACTCCGCAATCGAGCGAAACATTCAGGGCAACTGGGTCAGCGAGAACTTCGGCGGTCGAATCCGACGAGATGCCACCGATCAAGCTACCACTACTTTTGCCCCCATCGCCGCCATGATCTCTTACTTGAGAGGTGATGGGCTGGACGGACAAGAGCCTGCCAACGATAGCACTTTGAAGACCATCGAGGTTTGTTTTTATAGATAAGGGAAAAATCTTTCTTATTTTTTCGTAACCCTTTCGTTCAAATAATTTTTTTCAGGATACCTACACGAGCTATGGCTGCTACTGCTGGGCGAACGGTCCCGAAAATCCGCAATCTTTCGGTGGTGGACGAACTAAGGACATGGTTGACCGAGCTTGCTCAGTTCTCTACAGGTAAAACCACTTTATGATTCCCCACCTCATCTCATTCTCCCCTAGATGCTACAAATGCATCGATTTGGACTACTCCGCCGACTACACCACTCTCTCCTACACCGCCGTCTTCACCACCGATGCCACCGGCGAACGAATGATCGACTGCTCTTCCGGCAACGCTCAGAGCTCTGGCGAAAATCTGTGCCTCTGCGACTTGGAATACGTCAAATCCGTCGTCCAAGCCAAGCAAAATTGCGATGCCGGCATCCTAACCGAGCCACTTCGAAACAACAAATCCTATTGCATCAACAATGCCGCTTACCAGACCATCTCTGGCGGTGGAACCTTTGATCATACTGATCGAGTCAACAACTGTCCTTTGGAAGGAATTTCTCAGGCAAAGAATCAGTGCTGCGGAAGATACCCACACCGACGATCGTATGATGATACTCGACGAGAATGCTGCGAATTCACGTAAGTTTTAAGCAAGACCACTAAATTTCCTGTGCAATCCTTTGAATCATTCCTTATCCCCTTTGTTCAGTCTTGAAGATTTCGAAGGCAACCAAGTGACAACCTGGAGAGACACCGTCATTAACCGATGCGAGCCCCAAAAAGGAGGAACCGTTGTCGTCAACGATCCCAACTCCGACAATCCTCATGCTTACATCCCATCAAACTAAGCTTATCGTGAAGATTATTTTTCAAATATCATGAAAGCTGTGTGAATCCTGCTCATTTTTACCTGCTATTTTACCAATTGCCATCTTTGAATAGTCAAAGAGAGGCTTGTCTTTTTAACTTTTGTACAAATATTTCTTAATAAATCATCATTAAAAAATTTCTTATTTTTTATTCTTTATCAATTTTTTTTATTCTTGAATAACAGATAAATTTCTTTTTCGATCCGAAGTTCTTTCAAAATAATCCGAGCCAGTTTGAATCCTCGATGCTCTTGAAACCCCCGACGATCGTTTCTGCCAGACGTTTCTTTCAAACCCAGCACCAACAATGGGCCTTGGCGGATATCGTCGCTCTAAAATGTTTATTGGTAGATGTCTTCCGCGGCAATGAACTCAATTTTCACATGGAAGTGCGTTTTAATGGAAGGATGTTTTTATGATCAACTTTGTCGTTTCAGTTTTGAAAACAAGGAAGAGCTTTATTTTCCGAAAATAAAAACGCTTCTCAAATATCGTGATTTTTTTTTTCGCTGAATTTTCAAGATGAGAAATTTTCGATCATATAAAATGATGTCTAGTGGACAAATCCGATTTTAACGATGATATATTTTTCACAATTAACCAATCGCTATAAATTATTCCGTCAAAACTTTTCAATGAAAATTTACACGAAGCAATATTTCATTCGAAGCTCAGTTTAGTCTAAGCTCACTTAAAATTTCCCGAATATCCAAATACTTCTTCTCTAAAACTGTTATCTTCACATGTCAAGCCTCAATCTTACCGTAAGACACAGCTGATCCAGCCTTCTCAAGTCTTTCATTGACGATTTGAAGCTTTCGGCGAAGCTGATCTCTTTTCATAATTACGTTTTTCTCGTACCCTCCGAATCGCATCCACCAGATCATCACAGTCGTAACTTATTTGGTCACCAAAAGGGTTGAAAAATAAAGACCTACAGATAGTCGTAGCAACGCAAAAAACACCAATAGCAATATTTATCTGCCATTGCTTGTAATAAACGAATTTTGATTCTCCATTTAGCAAATTTTGAAAGTCGATCATTTTTTTTCTTCAATTTTTGTAAATTTCCGAATTTTCTTTCCGTTACTTACCTTGTTTCTTCTCTTTGAAGCTGTTGGAAATATGAGCGCTTAGACAGAACGATTATGCTCTTCCGAAGGTCAGAGTCGTTAAGTCAGAAGCATTTACTAAAAATCTTGAGCCCGTGATTATCCGCTCGAAAAGGAGCTTTTCTGTCTTTTCTTTTCGGTGAATTCAACGTTGATTTTCAACTTGACTTTTCCATTTTCGACATTCACGATTAAAAAAAATAATTCGATAAAAAAATTTTTTTTGAAATTATCATTTCAATTATAATTTTTTTTTAAATAAAAATTTAAATTATTTTTTTGATAATATTTAAAATTTTACTAAAATAATAATTTATTCTTTATTTTTTTTTCAATTTAAAATTAAAGATAATGAGTTTTCAAGCGAGTTTACGTCCCTTGACGGAGCACTGATAACACTCGTCTCGGCAGGGGATGACTGGCGCGGCGGGTGATTCGTTGCCCGGAATTAGTTGTAAAGCGCCGCGGGCAAGGAACATGCGCCAAATCTACTTTTGACATTCATTCTTCAAATAGTCAGTAACAAATTCCGCATTTACCTGTTTTGCCTTCTTTCAAAAAGAGTGATGGAAAAGAAAAGGAAGAAATGAAATTTTCAAATTTCCCTAAAGTCGCTTTTTTGGCGCTGAGCTTTGGGCTGATAAGAGAAACAGACGCTCAGGCAGAATTGACAAATCCGACTAGTTATGATATTTCGCAGTTTTGGCCCGGAGGATTTTCTGCGAAAATTACCATCGGTAATTTTAACCGGCAAAGGCCAAGCTGACCAATTTTTAGGCATCAAAAGAGAAATCAGATTCGGATGGCTGATGAAATTGACTTTCACTTCTCCTGTCACTTCGATTGAGATTTTCGACGCTCAAGTGGCCGAAGTCAGCGCGGATGGACAAGTCTATCTCCTCAAAAATCAAAACTACAATGGTCGACTTCAAACTCATCAAGGCGAAGTGTCAATGTTTTTCACCGGAACGCAGCCTGATGGTTCCAACGGGCCGCCAAACTCGGATCTTCTGTTGATTGAGCTGATCAACACTTTTGAGACGATAGAAGAGGCGCTGAAAAGAGTCGGAACAACATTGGAAAGAGACGGAACTGGCAACACTCTCGATACAACACCATCAAGGTAAGAAAACAAAGAATTAAGAGGTCGAAAAATCGGGTTAAGAATTTTGCCAGATCCTGCTGATACGTAAGACTGTTTTTGATTGACGGAATTTTTGGCTTCAACGTTTTTGCTCTTCAAAAATCTTTCTTTTCGTTTTGTTTTGTTGCATAATATTTTATTATGAATTGATGCCTAAGATTTAATCTAAAGATTGACAGTGAAATAATTATAAATACATCATCATATGTTTTTATATGAATCATTCGGGAAGATTGGTCGAGTTTTTGGTCATTTATTTGGTCTTTTTTGCTTCGTCTTCTGATGAAGATTCTTCATTGTCGGATCTGAACGGGTCAGGGAGCTTGGTAAAATTGTTGGTAGTACCTGTTATCCGCAATTTGGTCTCCCTTGATCAGTTTCCAAGCAAGGTCGCAAATTAAATAAAACCAGTAAAGGTGGAGACATAAAAGAGTACCCAACAAAGCGTTGAAAATAAAGTACCCAGGAAAGAGGCCAAAAAGACCGATGGGTTTGACCAAAGTTGTGTGAATCACGACAAAGGGAAAGTACACGATTCGGCTGAGAGAAATGATAAAGATGGGGAAGTAGGGGGTTTTTACCTGATGAAAAAGGCGAGGGCGAAAATTGTGAAGAAAATATCCGCAAGGAACTGTTTCTTGAGATAAACGAGAGATTTTGCGATTTCGAGGTAGAAATCAGAACCATCATGGAGCCACATAACTAAAAAATTGGCTGTCATTCTTTCCTACAAGAGACTCTCGTCGTTAAAATTTCATCAAGGACCAAATACATTTGTTAGTCACAACTTTTTCATTCGCTGCTAAGATTTTTTATGGTAGTATTTTCTATTCGAACTTAGACAAAATTTTAAGATAAAACATGAACAAGAGTAATAAAATTTACGGTTTTTGATATGCGTCTCTAGAAATGCTTACCGAGCGCTCCGACTCTTGTATACCCACAAACATAAGAAAACACCAACAAACTAAGCGTAGCCGCGTGGTGAACAATTTTCGCTTTGAAGTCCTTCCTCACATTATCCGTCAGCAAGGTCAGACAAAGCGACAGAGCATGCCCACAGCCAAGAAAATAGTATTTCTGGACATCGGGCGTGAGCTCCTGCATCGGGTAGTTTTCCCAACATTCGATCGTGTTCCAAAACCAACTTTTGTTGATGACGACGCTAGTTCCGTAGCTGCGCTTTTTGTTGTTCAAATGATTCAAGAAAGATTAAACATTCCTCTCAGAGTGAGCAAATACAGCACTTCAAATAATACCGTATTTGAAGAGAACTAAATTCCCTCACAAGAATTTTCCACTAGAATGGAGGCAAGGACTCTTAAACTGTTGATAAATTACATGCGAAATTCCTAAATTGTCGATTTTCAATCAATTTTTAGTTCGAGGGCCTTAGATGCAAGCATAAAAAAAATTTCTGAACATCCCTGAAAGCAAAAATGTAGTAAACGGCTCTCCACATGGTTTCCCCAAATTTCCCAATTTTCGGCTTGATTGTTAGTCTTCGCTGATTTCGAAACCATCTTTCGATTTTCCCCTCGTCCCATGATTCTCCAAGTTTTTCAAGAATTCGCGCTTAAAAATCTAAGAAAAATGGCGCCATAAAATTATAAGCCCATTTGAAAGTTTTTACCGCTTTTGACCGCTTAAAGATATTAACTTAGCGAGGGCTTATTTCAATATTTGATCGGGAAATGTTTTCTTGGAATTTAGACCCGTTTCCGTGAATTTATTGCTTATAAAAAGCGAACTTACCTTTGTCCTCTTCTTTCAAATTTTTTTCTTGAAAGATTTGATTTGAAAGAAAATATTTTTCCAAGATTTCGTTTGGCACATTCGTTTTGCGGGTTCTGTCTTTCAGGCCAAAATAGCGGCTTTTAACGGATAACAAAATGATATAAGAAATTCTTCCCAGTTGAAAAATATTATTCATGTTTTCTCCAAAAAATTTTAAAAATTCTTATCAATGATTTTAAAAATTAAAATATATTTTTTAAAATTATTGATAAGAATTTTTAAAAATTTTTTGGTGAAACTCAAAGTTCACCTAGGGTCGGCACTGACCAAAAAATTGACCTGATCGGGTCTGATTGGTCGACCAAAAGCTGACCCGACCGAACAAACGGACCATGGATTTCGCCTATTTCGAAATGACCGGCCAAATTGACCTAGGAAATCGGCGGTCAGTGCTGACCCTAAAAGCTCATCAAACTCGAAGACCTAAATGTTAATTTTTTTCTCTTAAAAAAATCTTTTATCCGTGACCAATTGGTTTAAAAACAATCTTCTCTAAGGTCTTTCTTAGCACAAGAATCGCTATCGACAGTGGAAAAATGATATACAGATCTTCAAAAACTGGGATTTTTCCTCCATCATTTTGAAATTTCTCTAAGTCGGTCCATTTTATTCCCGGCGGAAGCCAAATAGAATCGCTCCAGAAAAAGTCGCTCATGTCTGATTTGAAGATCTCTGCTGACTGGGACCAGCGCAGTCGGCTTAAAAACGAGAAACTTCAATATTGACACGCGTGTAAACTAACTCGTACGATTGTTACATCGATTCTCGCAGACTGTAAAATTGCAGTTGAAATTTTAAACGTTTTGGAATAGAATGAAGGCCTCTTGTTTTCGCGGTTGAATTGCTTGCGCTTATTTTATGACAGTTTATTATTTCAGGAAACAAAAGGGGGAGAGGAAGTGAAGGGTGATTCTTGGAGGCGAAAATTTTGACACTTCAGGGATAATTTATATATTTTTTTCTTTTTTTGGAAAATAAAAAAGAAAAAAATAGAAAAAAAATTTTGTTCAAAAAGAAAAAAATTTTTCAAAAATAAAAAAATATTTTTCAAGAAGAAATTAGTAACAATGGATTTCTAGCCGAGTAAACCCTGTCTTCAACGGCGCAAACGTCGCTGTCAACACTCCTCCACCACCAAACCCTACTGCCTTTTCCGTCATCACGACCACCACCCCTCCATACGTCCACGATGTCGCCCATGCTATCCACCTCTCCTTTCTTTTTTTCGAAGCCCAGCGAAGCGGAGAACTCAGCATGCATCCAAAACGAATCGACTGGCGCCAAGATTCCGGCTTGACGGACGGAGGATATCACAAAGTAAATCTCGTCGGTGGATATTTCGTCGACCACGATTTTGTCAAGTTCGGATTCCCGATGGCCAGCGCGATGACTCTTCTTGCCTGGAGTGTGGTTGAGTTTAAAGAAGCGTACGTCCAGGCGAACGAGTATCGAGTAGCTATGGACGCCCTTAAATGGGCGGCAGACTACTTCATCAAATGCCACACTAACCCCTTCGAGTTCTACGGCCAAGTCGGCCAGACAAAAGACACGAATGAGTACTGGGGGCGACCGGAAGATATGCTCGAAGCTTTCGACGAAATTTCGTTCAAATGCACGAACAAGCGTCCCTGCTCTGATCTCATCGCCGAAACAGCCGCTGCCTTGGCCGCAACATCCATGGTTTTTCGCGGATTCGACGAGAAATTCCAACGCCGATGCATGGAAAAAGCAATGCAGCTCTACAAATTCGCCAATCAGTACCAAGGCAGTTATCACGAATCGATCCTCGACGCCGCCAATCGCTACAAATCATACAACGGCTTTCACGACGAACTCGCTTGGGCAGCGCTCTGGATCGCCAAGGCCGTTCAAAATCGAGAGGCCCGGCCAATTTGGATCAAAAAAGCGACTGCTCATATGAAAAAATTCAACAAGCGCCAGCCGATGGAGTATTACAACTGGGATGATAAACGAATCGCTGTTCACACGATGCTGGCAAGTTTGACGAAAGCTGAGCCGCATTGGGGCCCAACCATTCGATTTTGCGATAAATTGTTGCCCGGTGGCGGGGCGGATTACACACCGGCGGGGCTTCTTTTCCTGACAGAATGGGGCACTCTTGAAGCAACGACGTCTTCCTGCTTTTTGTGCCTCATCGCAGCGGAAAATAACATCCGGCCGAATGTATACCGGCTTCTCGCGAAAAAGCAACTGTACTACGTTCTCGGAGAAAACACCGGGCAATCCTTTGTCGTCGGCTACGGGAAGAACGGAGGCCCCCAGCGGCCGTACCACAAGGCCAGTTCGTGTCCCTACAAACCGGCAAAATGCGGCTGGGCGCAGAAAGACTCGGAAGACCCGAATCCTCACATTTTGCACGGCGCTGTCGTCGCCGGTCCGAATCCGCTCGATGAGTTTCTCGATGACCGAAGCGACTACCAACATTCGACGGTTACGCTGAACACTAACGCTGGATTTACAGCCCTCGCCGCTGGAGTGCTAACGCTAGAAATCGAAGGAACACTGATTGAAGACAAAAGTACGCTGTCAGTGGGAGACTCGAAAGTAGGGCAGAAGTTGCTTGCGATGGGGACTTTTGCACCTGACTATGGAGAGTTGATAGGAATGGAATGACGAATGTTTGAAGCATTTGGTAAACAGCGGAACGTGTTTTTTTTATTAAAATGAACCATTTTAAATGAGGGATTGATAAGTGGCCAGAACAGTGTAAAGATTCAACCAGCCTTTTTCGGCTTAAAGTGAGTGAATGAGAAGGCACTAATTTTTTGTCGTCCGTGATTCCGTCCTCGTCATAGTAATCCATGACGGTGATCTCAGTTCCACCGCTGGTTACTAACATCGCAGCTCTTCTCCCTCGTCTAAAAATATTGTGAGAAATAGATCTCTAGTAACCTATCCTTATTAGTAATAAGTTATTACAGTACTGACCGTAAAAATCTCGCTCTCGGACCTCTCCTTTGTTGGAGAATTTCTCTTACCCAGCCGGAGCTGAGGCAGAATGATGTCGAAATGAAACTTTTGTCAAGCGAGCCGGTAGATCTAGAGAAAAAAGTTGATGTTCTGGAAGCACGAAATTGGTGCGCCAGGGCTCTAATGCGCCGCATCTAGAGATTTTCGTGCTAGCGTTTTCGTTATTCCATGAAAGGTCTCTCTCTTCTCTTCTACGAAGCCCAACGCTCCGGGAAAAAAGGCGACTCCCGGATCGTCTGGCGCGGAGACGCTGCCCTTCAAGATTTCGGCGATGACAACGAAGATTTAACTGGTGGTTATTTCGACGCCGGTGATTTCATGAAATTCAATTTTCCGATGGCTTACAGTATGACCACGCTCGCTTGGGGAGGAGTCCAGTACAGAGAACAATACGTAGAGGCGGGAGAGCTGGATAATTTGAAAAAGGCTCTGCGACACGGAGCGGAGTACCTGATCAACTGTCATCCGGAAAAGTACAAGCTCTACGGACAAGTGGGCATCGGAGAAATCGACCACAAGCGCTGGGGAAGACCAGAAGACATCACTTGGGCGCGAAAAGCATTTGCGATTACTGACGAGCGGCCGGGAACAGATCTAGCTGGTCAAACAGCGGCGGCTCTAGCTTCGGCGAGCATTTTGCTCCAAGAAGACGACCCTCAATTCGCCGCGAAATGCCTGAAACACGCTCGGGACTTGTACGAATTCGCGGATCGATATCGCGACTATTACCACCGAGCGATTCCAGACGCTGAAAAGTATTACAAATCCTCTGGCTTCGGCGACGAACTAACTTGGGCGGCGCTTTGGATTTACTACGCTACTTCTGACAGTTGGTATCTCAGAGCGGCGCAGAAAAAGTACGAAGAGTTCGCGCTTTCCACCGCTGATCCGTTTGCTTATTTCTGGGACGACGTGACGATCGGAGCGCAAGTTTTGCTCAAGAACATGACTGCCAGTGCTGATTATGATATTCCAATCAAGCGGTTTTGCGACAAGTTTATGAAGGACAGCGGAAAAGCTTTCACCCCAAAAGGTTTGCTTTTCCTGGCAGAGTGGGGACCAAATCGCTACGCGGCAAATATCGCATTTGTTTGTGGAATCGCCGCGGATCTCGGAATCAATAGTTGCCGCTATCGCGAGTTCGCCAAGTCGCAAATCGACTACTTTCTCGGAAAAGACGTTCGCTCCTACATCGTCGGCTGGGGGCGCAATCCGCCGACAAAATATCACCACCGAGCCAGTTCTTGTCCTCCCAAGCCAGTTGCATGCACGAAAGTAGCAGAAACGAGCCCTGATCCGAATCCGCACGTTCTCCTTGGCGCTCTTGTTGGTGGGCCGGATATTAACGATCGTTACTACAATGAGCGCTCGAATTATAAACAATCAGAAGTGGCGCTGGACTACAATGCTGGTTATCAAGGAGCACTGGCGGCTCAACTGTACTTAGAGATGAATCCTCCGCCGCCCTGTATCACGACAACTACGACGACAACGACGACAACAACGACAGCTTCTACGATTTCAACAAAAGGTTTTCTAATTTTCATATCAATCATTTGATCACATTTTGCTCTCTAGCGGAAAGCGAAGTCGGAATCAACGATGTCATGTCCGGCGGAATGTGCTACGACCCCCAAATCGGCTGGGTAAGATGCAATAACGGAGCATCCCAGCCAGCGGCAGGCGCTTCCGATGACGCAGGATTACCAGCTGACATTGTGAACGACTACTTGGGGTTAGACGACTATGATGATTATGATAGTCTTCCTGGACTGGACTACGACTTTCAAAACTACGATTTCGACATTTCCGATTACTACTACAATCCTTTGCCGGGATTATCCAATCAAATGCGAGAGAAAAATATTCTCCCAGGTACGTTTTATCTGTCAACTACATAAGCTATCTTTCACTTTTCAGAAAATACAGGCAAGCCGAGTTTACCGTCGCGTCCTTATTCCAACATCTCTCCCGGTCAAAAAGACGAAGAAATCACATTCGAGCAGCTCGAGCGCGAAATCGAAAAAATCAAAGCCGGCGTTGATCCAAAGGAAATCTTCAGAATAACAACCACAAAAGCCACTCCTTACATCCCTCCCAACCCGTTCACCGTTCCTGAATCGATGGGTCTTCCTCGAAACAATCAAGCAACCCCAGCAGCGACGACGAAGCCGACAACAAAAACGACAACAGTTTATGTTCCCCCAGCAAAACAATATCGAATCACGACAAAATCGACAACGACAACGACAACAGCCTCCACTACAGATGAAACAACAACGACGACGGAGCCGAAAGAGGAAACGACAAAAGCGCCGATTAAAATCAGCAGGCGGCCGATCAAAAAAGTGAAGTTGCGGGAAGGAATTCCGGAAAAGAAAGAAACTGGACTGAATCCGGAGCTCGAGGAATTGATCGAAGAAAGGGTCAATTGCGAGATTGGCTCTATTACGGTAAGTTTTTTAAAAATAAGTCATAAAAGGACATTTTCATCTTGTGAAAAATCCTCAAAATCTGATATTCAGGACGCAATTAAAACCTGTGCCCTGACAGACAATCCAGAAAGCTCCTGTAGATATTCTTCCTTTGACAGTAAGTTTAACCCCCTCATTCTACAGAGACAAAAAATTAAGGATGCGTTCAAATACGCGCAGGGCACTGCGAGGATACCCCTGAAATTTTCACTTTCTGGAACAATGACGAAAAGAATGACTTGCGATTCGAACTCGATGAAATGATTTGTACAAAAGACGCGCTTCGGGCTGGCAAAGATTTCTGCCCAGTTGCCGAAATCATTTTTACGTTTGATAACTGCCTAGTTGAAGCAGATGATGGAAGGGATGAGCCGAGTGACAGTCCTTGTCGGTAAGATTCCTGATTTTCTGATCGAAAATATTAATTTTTTCTTGAAGTTTTTCGACTTTTGAGCGATGCGTCAATCGAAAAATCATCAATTGCTACATGCTCTGGGATATTTTCGGCCAATGGAATGCGAAAGTAACTCCTGTCGAGAAGCAAATCTGGCCTGATACAGCGTGCTCTCAATACAAAATCTTCATTGCTACAATTTTGGTTGTAATTCTAAGTTTGCTGCACCTTGTTTAGATTCAGCAAATGTTTTTAACTGTAAATATTGTGACTAACATTTATTTATCTTCAATAAATTCGAAATGCAGATATAACGAATATTTTTCGATCTTTCAAAAGAATTTGGTGACGGCGTAACCCGAAAATTAGTCGACAGTCAAAAAAACCACTCAACTGCACCATCTATGTAACTACATAAAATCTAAAAATTCTTTGTGATGGAATTAAAGACATGTAATTCGGCCTTCAAGCCGAAGAATTAGACTGTATCACACTGAAAAAAGAGATGGATTATATTCACGATGGTATTGAAAGAGTGGATGACAATGCAGAATATGGAATTTTTGCTCTTTCTATCAGTACCTCAGCTTTGCAATTAGGATTTGTAGCTTGGTATTTTACAGTTGCGAAAATGAACTATGAAATATTCATTGATGCGATTGAGAAAAAAATTGGAGTTGGTGCTAGCAAAACTTTACCAGCATATTACGAAGAAAATTTTACATCAATGAAAATCGTCTTGATATTGGGCGTAATTACTCCGATTATCCATTGGATCGGAATTATAAGGAAAATTTTATTGCAATGAGTAAACATAAAAAATAGCATCTTTAGTTGTGGGGTGGTGTCTCGAATCGACAGAAAAATCCATTTCTTGTAAGTTATTAGTCAATACTGTAACCAGATCAAACTTTGATCATGTCCATAAAATTAAATGAAGTATGCTCATGGTGATGATTTGTAATGTTATTGTTGTAGGGCCTTTCATTCCTCTAAATGCATTTTACGAATTTTTTCTTTTCTTTTATTTTAGAAATTACAAGTTTATAAAAAATTTAACTATCCGTCAACTGGTGACTATCTTCAGAATTGTTAAAGAAGCAAAATTAAGATTAGGGCATAAAAAAATTTATCATAATACTACTGGAATACGAAAATCCATTTCTGGGGTCAAAATTATGAAATTTCGATTTTTGATTTTTCGAAAATTGTTGACGGGGGGCCTTTACTTGTTGATCGAGAGACAATCATAAAGGGAAAATTAATGGGCACAAACTAAAAAAAGGAAGTATAAAAATAGGAAGCGACAAAAAAGGAAGTGCATTTTTTGAAGACCAATAAGATCGCTGCATTTGGCCTACCGGCCAATAAAAACCCATATCAAAAGTATTACTTCCTTTTTTGTCACTTCCCATCTTTATACTTCCTGATTTTGGTTTGGCCCAATTAATGCCTAGTGAATGATCACCTGCTCTAGAAATGAAAGGTCCTTCAATGTGAAACATCCTTGTTATAAGGTATTACTTTGTCTTCTAATTTTTCTTGGACTTGGTGGTTTGCAGGTATAAAATATCCAGTGTTATAAAGAGATTCGGTTATATTTCAAGTCATTTCTTTTTATTCATCTTCATTATTGGAAGAAATTTGTCGACAGTATTCAGCTTATGTTCTTAAATTACCGAAGCACAGAATTTGTAGGTTCGTTCACTGGTAAACATATTTGAGCAACCGATTTATGCGGAATTATAATTAATGTTAGGCGATCCTGTGTACGATGCAGTTTTGGTTGAAACAATACAAGAAAAATTTTCCTGTTGTTTTTTTCTTCCAAACGACCAAAAATGGGTGAATGGTAATTGCATTTGCAAGTAGGTTAACCTACTTGCTATTTTTTCCAAAAATGTAAATGAATTAAAGGTGTGCCTCCATCATGTTTATGCCTTGACTATGACGAAAGATGCGTTGAATTTATTGGCCAGCAAATATGGGCTAAAACTTGTGCGAGTGAAATAACATCAAGTATCGATTGGGCTGGTCCCGAAATCGCCGCAGTTCTTATAAACGACGTTTTCAATATTCTTGCATTTTTCTTTTTTATCTGTTACGTTTGTTATAAATCAATGTATTAGTTTTTGGCAGCCAACGGCTCGTTTATAATAACGCATTTTGTCATTTTATTAATATAATACTTTATATTATCAATGAGTCCATTGCCCAGGAGAAAATATCCTGTAGTTCACGCGTCAACTTGAAAATAACAAAATATGAAAGGAACCTCTCGTCGTTGTTTCAAACTCCTAATTTCCAAAAGTCGTAATGAAAATCCTTGAAATAACGCCGTCGGCATGATACCCTTGAAGATTTCGCTGGCCCTTTGATGGTGCACCAGCTGACCGTTTTTCTCCACTTGCGAATTGCTGATTTACAAGTTGCTAACAGAGCTAATGATTTTTTAACAATCTGATAACGAGTTTCGCTGCAAAGTGCTCCCCAATTTTCGCGCAGCTAAGAGAGCAGCTGAAGACCAAACTATAAAATTTGTTTATTGCGTCGTTTGTTTTATTGACTTTTATTTCCGGGCACGAAAATGGACAGTCACAGGTTCAATCAGCATATGGCGCAAAGCCAGAGTTCTAGAATCGTTCTTGTCAGTAAGTACTTTACATACTCGATAAATATGATAAAAAAAAAGATTTGATTATTAAGATAAATATCCCTCTCCCCCCCCCGTCAGCTTTTTTCAAAAAATCAAATTTCGGAACTTTAAAATTTTGACCCCGGAAATGGATTCTACGGGTCAAAAAACGATTTTGAGGCTTCATTTTCTGAGGGTCTATCTCGACTCCTTCAACCCCAAAATCGCATCTGAGAATTGGGCCATTCGCCGAAAATTGACGAATTTGCCCTAATTTTGACGATAATATTGATTATTCTTGGTCAAAAATTCCTCTTATCAAGTTTTTGAGGCAAGTTTATCCTGGGGACGCATTTCGAACCAAAAATATGGCGTTTTTAGAAATTTCAATTTTTCGGAGGAAAAAGCTGCCGGGGGTGGGTGGTCCTTAAATAAAATATTCTGATTATTTTTTAAGAAAAACCGTTAAAATCGCTAACAGTCCGAAAATATTTCGAAAGACCAAAAGTTGTGTAAAAACTAAAAAATGAACTCTGCCACAGTTGCTGGCCGTATATCTTCGACGCGCAAAATATGCTCGGCCAAAACGCGAACGTTGCAATCAATCCCGCCACTGCCTCGTTTCCCCCCGTCCATCCCTTTCCGCAGCCTACAAACTATCTGCCGCAGTTCTCGCAAATGAGGTTTTTTATTTACGAGCTGATAATGCACCTCTCTTCAGGTGCTTCATTTGCAATCACTTTTTTCACGCGAACTTTTTCAGCTCGAACTGGGAGAGTCAGCCTTCTCCTTCGGCGCTGGAACGATATTTGCTGCCGACGGGGCCGATCGCGCAACTTTACCAAATTGCCAATTTTGGAAGCTTAAATGTAAAAGCAATATTTTTCTTCTGAATAATCGAAATTTCAGGGCTCCGACAAAAGAAGAAAACGAAAACCAAAGCAAAAAGCGGAGGAAACAGCGCAAAATGAAGAGTTGAATTCAGAAGAAGATCCGACTCAAAAATGGCTTAAAGCTGGTGGTCGCCGGAAGAGAACTGTAAGTATCTGTTTTTTGCCGAAATTGAGAAAAGGCGATTTGAATAAAAATATAAGCAACCAAAATTTTGACAAAAATTTGGTCAAATTTTTGAGTCAAAAATTTACACAATCGAAATTTTCGCTCTACCCACATTTTTTTCGAATTGAAATTTTGATCTCTCCGAAATTCGACCAAAAATAACCAAAATTTGCCCAAAAATCAGGAAAAGTAACTTTTCATATTTCTAGCCTTACAATTCCCGTCAGTTGATGGAGCTTGAAGCTGAATTCTGCCTCCATCCTTACCTCACTGCTGACAGAAGAGTTCAACTTTCAAACATCACTAGATTGTCCGAGCGACAGGTCAAAATCTGGTTTCAAAACAGAAGGTAAGATTCAAAAGTTGAAATCAAGGAAGACTCACTTTTTTCATTTCAAAAGAATGAAGTGGAAAAGAGAAAAGAAAGGAAAATCAATCGAGTCGAAAATTTATGAAGAATAAAAAAATGGTCTTTTTTCTGTACATTTATTGAGAAAATAAAATATTTAAATTAATAATGAAGGGATATTTTATTGAATCGTTTAGCACCCACAAGGCGATAAGACACGTTTTCTTATCATTCTTTTGCACGCCCCTCTTTTTTGATAAAAATCAAGAGATGGAGCTTTTGGACGATTTATTTGAAGATTATGTGACGCCCTTATGCGACGTTTTCGTTGGATTTATTCCTCAGGAACTCGTTTTCAAAGCGATTTCAAACAGAAAGTACCTAGGCCCGGCAACTTGTGTTGAAAACCTGAGTCAGGGTCTGAATGAGCTGAAATTTATAGCCGCGTAGAGGCTTTTTTTAAGAACGAACGTGAATATTTCATAGATAAAAACGGTAATATTATATTACCAAAGCCGCTTCGCGGCTTCGTTCTTTTAAAAAGCCGCTACGCGGCTTTTAATTTCAGTTCTATCAGATCCTGACTCAGGTTTTCAATTCAGGTTGCCGAGCCCAGGAAAGTACATCCCTATTTTCTACAATAATAAAACGGTATAAGGTGATGCTTCCAATGGAAATTGCCCATGGAATCTTGACTGCCAAGATGGCTAAAAATCCTGGACGGAGGATTCTCTCAGGGAGGCGTTGGGAACTGTGTTTTTGTTCGGATTACTATTTCGCGTCAGAAAATAACGTCAAAAAGGAAGTTTCCATTGATTTCTTTCGTTCTCTTCCTTCTTGTTGCTGGTGGAAATTCAGTTTTGCTCAACTTTTTGACATTCAGGAAATTTTTCTTCCAGTAAAAGTCCGATTTATAAGCTTTTTTCCTGAAGAAAAATAAAGAAATCCGATTTTATCTGGATTCATGTCCGCACGGACGATTTTTATCAATTCCGTCTCCTGGTGGCTGATTTGCTTCACTCCTGAAAATGCATTTGAAAAACTTTGCTCCAACAAAATTTCGCTTTTTATCCTGGCGTTTTTCAAAGAACTGTTCCGGGCGAAGAAAGTTCTTTATGCGGCGGAAATTGGTTTCGTCGTCTATAATGGTATTTTTATCCATTTGCGTATTGGTGAATTCGCTTTAGGAAACTTGCTGCTCTCCATCCTCCTTGGCCTCGTCGGTGCTATGGGTTGTGAATTCATCCTCAATCTCGGATCGAGCCTTTCTTCCGCCCAAGAAAAGCAAATCGAAAAACTGACACCAAGCGATTTTACGAAAATGGCCTTTTTCTTTTCTTCACTTCATGTTTTCGCCCTCTCAGGTAGTTTCAAACTTAAGTTGAAAATAAACGACTTTGAAAGGCTGCGAAATTGCTCCAGGAAAAAATATGATCATCACTTGCCAAGCACTGCTTATGTTTGCGCTCGCTTTTCTGTCGAAGATTGGTAAACCTGTTTCTGTTTTTGATCGACTGGATTCGCTGATGATGAGAATTCTGACTTTCGGAGCTGATAATAAAGAAAAACAAGAATGAAAAACGCAAATTCAGCTCCACAGAACCATACTAGAACAACGAAAGCCCTCATCCTATCCCTTGATTGGTCGATTTAGAGAATTATCAGAAAGGACCAATTAGAGGATTGGATGAAGATATTCGTTATCAGATGGAGATTCTGTAGGAAAATATGGGTAAAAAAACCTTAAAATTTCAAGCCTTCTTTTTTTTATTCGAAAAAGGAAAAAAGTAAAAATCAGGTTAAATTTGAATTGAGAATTGTGCAAAGAAAAAAATTCAGGAGATTGAAGACAATGTCGAGTTGTGTTGGCGAATAAATATGCAGCTGAGGGTTGTTTCTAGAGTTCAACTTCCACCGAAACGTAGCTTTCGTCGATTGCATCAGATACTGAAGGCGCTTCTTTTCCGTTGAACCAGTACCACGCGCCGATTCCGACTGCTATTCCGACGCCAATCGCAATAACTGCAAAAAAGGAGTTTAATAAAGAGAACGAACTAATTTTGAGCGGATTTGAGCTAAGATCGAGCATTTTGAGCGAGCTCAGCTCAATCAGAGCTGGCTTATATTGAGCCGACGGGCTCCACTCGCTCAGAAAGCTTGAGCTTGAAGCTCAAAGAAACCTTATGCCGGTCAAGCTGACTTACAGAGTTTAGGTCTCCTTATTTTTGCTTCTTCTCTTTGTCGGTCAACCTCTCTCATTTTGTTCTTGATCATGGCGACGCGCTCTCGCAGCTCCATTATTTTCTCTAAAATCAATTAGTGTTAAAGCTTAAAACTATTTCGTTATTTTTTTCAATTTCGACAGTTGTAAGATTGAGTCGCTATTTTTTTTCTTGATTTTTGAAGCTTAGGGCAAGCAAAGTACGTAAGGAGAGAAGCGCATTTATATTTTTATCGATCTAGGAAGACCCGTAAACGAAAATAAACTGTATTAACTGCTGATAAGGCCATGAAGGATACAGGAAGCGAGAAAAACAAGGAGGGAGGACTATTTCTCAGTTTGTGACTTTTTGATTGGGTGCTGGTAAAAGCTCGTATCAACTACTACTTGGGTTAAGTTTTCGAATTTTACCCTGTTCAGGTTTTCTTTTTGGAGAGTCGCCAGCTTCGCAGGGTGGAGATGTCATTGAAGTTTCACCTGAACAAAAAATTTAAAATTATAAACACCGCTATATACCCGTTTCAAAGACTCTCAGTCTAACCTCCCTCTCAATATGTGTCCGAAATCTGAGTCAGGGGCTAAAGCAAGGAGCCTACTGACTCAGATTTCGGGGAAAACTTGCAGAGCTACAGTGTGGGAGTCCTCAGTCAGGACTCCTGAGTCAGGATCTGCATAAATTGTCCATAAGAAGCAGGTATCCCGGTGAACGTAAAGATTTCTTACCTTGAATTTCATCTTGAGTTTCGACAGTAGCTTCTGAAGTAGCTGGCTCTTCATCTGAAGTTTCTGTTGTTTCTGATGATGAGGAAAAGTCAATTTTTTCTTTGCCCGAAAGTTCCTCCGGTTTTCCGTTTGAAGCATCTTCAGTTGTTGTTGGTGGTGGAGTATTTTCAACTTGGTCGTTGAGAGTTAACAAGTACTCGTTGTAGAGGACTTCGATTGAACTGATTGAGAATTCTAGTTGATCCGCTGTCTGAAAGTGGATTGAGTTAGGAGTCGAGAAAGGAGTCTACCTGAATGAGACCAGCGCGGAATTGTCGGAGATAGAGCACTTCGCGATATGCCATGTCAATGAGATCGGCTTGCTCGACCTTGTCACATTTCTGCTTCGACAAAAGCTTGAGGCATGAATCGACAAGAATTAGCGTCCCTGTTCGACCGATTCCAGCGGAGCAGTGAACAATGCTAAGTCAGAATAAATGCTTTTTCCCTTGATTAAATCTTTACCTAGGACGTGAGGCGGAACTGAAGCAATCATGTTTATTTAAAAGATGGAAGAAATCGCCAAAGTCTCTGGTAGTTTCTGGGACGCCAAAATCCGGCCAGGCGATGTAATGGAACTGTGTGATGGTTCTCATTTCCGTCGAGTTTTGAGAAGAGTCGCTCCGCTCGAGTTCGAATTGACGCACCACGAAGCGATCGTGCTCGTCGTGTTTTTCATCTGAACGGAAATTTGATGATTTGAAACAAGGGTGAAATGGAAAAATATGAACCAGTCTAACTGGATTGACATTCAAATGTCATACGGAAGTGGGCTAGAGTCCAGCCGCTCGACAGAATTCCGAGTTGTGACAACAGGAGAAAAAATCTGGGCCAGCCCGGTGTTCGCTTGACTCTTTCGGGTCAAAGCACCCTCTTTCAGTAGAGCTTACCTTTGAGCGTAATTTTATAAGTGATGTCCGGCCCGGCCGAGCAATTCATATACAATCCAACGAGCTCTGGCCAGTACTGTTCACATTTTTTCCTTCCATTTTCAAAGAGTTTATTCAGCATCACAATGTTTGTCACGTTTTTCTCCCACGCCATTCGCCAGAAATCATCTACTGTCGATCTGAGTGGGCCTTGAGCTGAAAAAAAACAGGTTAAAAATCGGAAAACCGGGGTTCGGAACTTACTTAAAATATAGGTTAGTTGAGGTTCTGCGCTGGAATGTGCGAGGTTTGCATTAATGTAGTCGGTGCCGTCTACTTCCGAAAGGATGATTCGTGTCGAATCGTACGGGCTTACGTTACTGTAGCGATTCAGGCGGAGATTGCGCTCCGAGCGGGCGATATCACAGGAGAGGCCCTTAATTTACGGATAAGAGGGGGATTCCAAGGAGAAAACTAACGCTATATAGCCGCCTGGCTTCTCCATGCATGTGGCGAAAAAGTGAGCGAAAGTTGAATAAGTCTTCGTCATTTTCTGAGTCTTCTTCTTGTTCAAGGTTAAAAAAAGTTATCAAATTAGGATCTGACATTGGAAAAAATCTCCCTTCATAGAAGAAAAATCCCTATCCCTTTCGAAATATTCAGGTGCATTTCCGAGCCCAGATAATGGCAAATGCCACAGGTATTACCTAAAGTTCATTTAACCCATTCCTGTCCCCCGCCCGTCAACCTGGGCGGCGGGCTGGATCATATCTCGTGTTCGCTTACTTCCAGCCAGGTTATCTGACTGACCAGAGGTCTAAAATATAAAATTCGCTACAGTCCTTTTTATCAAAACTCAGGTCGGGTTTTTTATCAATAAATCAGGGACACTGGTAGTTTTACTTTTTTGGTTGCTTACAGAAAATTTGAAAGAGAAGGCAAGATTATTTTATTTGAAACTTTTCTGTTTTAGATATAAGTGGTATCTGCGTCAAGAGATAGAAAAAACTTTGAGACTGGAGGAGATATTTGGAAATTAATAATTACTCAATTTACGGGAGAAAATGAGTCGCTCTTTTTATAATTCTCTATCTTTTCTAAATGAGAACGGGAGGAAAATGAGGATCATTTATAATCATCATTTAACAAACCAGTGCTCGAGGAGAATCATGACGGAAAAAGTATCGTCGTAGCAAATACTATATAAATGGGGAGGGGTCACAATTATAACGTAACAGTAACAGGTAAACAGAGAAACTATCTCTATACTTCTGGCCTCACGAGCCTTAGTAGAAAACCTGAGTCAGGGTCGTTAAAGAGCTTGACGGATTCATATTCAAATGATGCGCTTTAAGCTCTTTGAAAGAGCCTCTTTCAGGAAACTGGTAAGGTTTTCTTTAAAGGTTGCCAAGTCCAACATCCAGTTATCCAGCAATACCCATATTTTTTCTGCGAAGGCATATTTTATTCGAAAAAACTCCTTCGCGAATTAGAAAATATCATAAAAAAGCGACTCAGTTTGAACTCAAGAAATAAAAGGGAGAAAGAGAATTTTTGAACAGTGGATGCAACATAATTATTTATTGAAAATAAGAATAAAAAGGCAGTGTGTGCCTGAAATGCATTTGGGAAGAGCAAATAGCACCAGATACAGAAAATAAGAATTCGAGTAGGGAAAAAATCGACGCAGATAAAATCGGGCAGAAGTTCTTTGTTTTCGGCGAGGGTTGGATTAAATGTTCTTTCTGAAAAAAGGGAGTAAAGGGTTGATTTAAACCATGAACTTACCTCTTATTATTAGATCTCCTCCTTGTTTCGCGTTTGATCTTGCCGCTCTCGTCAAAGATCTGTGATTGGTGCTCGGTGAGGCGCTTGGTAACGGTGGGTTTGAGGACGGGCCCGTGCGTGCTGATGCGTTCGCGCGTGCACTCGTGCCCGTAATGCTGCCCTGCGCAGTTGTAGCACGACGGCACTTTCGCATTCGCGCTGTTATCGAACGGGGTGAATTTGGAACTGGTCGTCCGGTGGAATTGACGCCAGTGATCTGGACAGTTGCGCCCTAGATGCCCCTAAATATCATTGTCAATACAGGAAAAAATGGAGATTTTTAGACGCTAAATATTGAGAGTCACAAGGAATGCATTTAATCTGGATGGTTTATTCAAAAAATAATGGCTTGCGATTGACGGATTGATACGTATCATACGATCGTGATAATTTTTACCAAACTGGTCTCCCCTGTCTTTACCCTGATGTACCCGTATTTCCATAGCTGGCATCTGTCATGAATCAGAGCGGAAGGAAAACTGGGCACCCCTGTTAGTTATCCCAGCACAGAATGCCGGGTGTATTTTTTCCACTGTCCGAGAGCCGGTAAAACGCCGCCTAATGCCTGGGAGTAAGGCGCAAAGACGTTATTATAAGGGCTGAAATTTTTAACCGTATTGTGCTCTGACTTAGGAGCTCTAGCTAGGCGGCCTAAGCCCTAGGGTGGTCGTTCTGTTTACAATTTTTAATTCGATCTACTTACAGCTTGTCTACAATGAAAGCAAGGAATGACGAAGTTCTTGTACTCCAATTCGCACGTATCTGGGCAGTAATTATGATGATGATCGTATGCGCCGCATAGGACGCATTTTTCACTGGGCGGACTTGTGCAGTTGATGACCGTGTGTCCTTTCTGGCCGCACTTGCGACAAGGCATCCCGTGCTCCGGGTAGTCTTCGCACCATTGTTGGTCGCCGGCAGCGTAGCGGTTAAGGAAGGTCAGGCTCAAGCGCTGGAGATCGTCTTCGGGGATGTGTTCGAGATCGCTAGAATTTACGATAAGAAACGGGAAGAATCATCAAATATGAACAGATAAGAATATCAACTAATCTTCGTCCCAACTTGGGAAGAGAAGCAAGAAAAATCAATCAGAAAAAGGAATCACTGCATGAATATAAATGGAAGAGAAATTCTTCTATCATAATGATCAAATAATTCTCTCCTCCCATGGGATTCGTATATGATAATTTCGGATCAATTTAAAACATCTTGAATCGCGATGTGTGGCAAAATAATTACCTGAGAGAATCAAGCGAGTCTGACGTATAATTTCCATCCATTCCATTTTCTCCCGCATGTCCGTTCGACTCAAACTCGTTTGTCAACAAACCGGACTTTCCCGTGGCGAGGGTGTGAAAGTCAATTTTCTGTCGAGTGTTCGAATCGGCGTTGGAATCAACCGGTTTTCCGAAAATCTTCGATTGATCTGGATTCGCCATTTGAAACGGTGTAAGAGTGGTCAGGGATGAAAGGGGGATAAGTTTTTGGAGCGCTTCGGGAATCGGCTTTTGATGGACGGGACGACTGGGAGCGGCGGCTTTTGCCGGTTTTCCGGGTGGCGATGGCAGCTGATCTGGCTCTGACTCGTTGTCGGTGTAGTGTTCTGGCTCAGCGAGCTGAAAAAAGTATGAGTTTTGATAGTTATCTATAGAAAATATGCGAACCCGAATGACCGTCTCGTTAAAAGTCACCGCAAAGGCTCTTGTAAGAGGTAAATCTTGCGGTGAAGTTTAACCTGGGCGCCACGATATGCGAAAACCTGAGTAAGGGTCCTGAGTTACATGAATTTCTATCAAAGGTTTTCAGTTAATTCTACTAAAGTAGAATTAACAGGTTTTTTATAAGTGTGCCCAAAAATGGTGGAGCCTTTTTGAAGGTGTTAGAGTCGAGATATTTCGATTCTCTCTTTTGCACCTTGTTGGGGAGGGTCTGTAGTGTGTTAAATAAGCTTTTGCTGCTATTTGCACCAGCTTTTATAAGAATCCTGAATCAGGACCTGACTATCAGGTATCTACACAGATTCCCTAGCGTAGCTTTTTAGTTGAAATTTCGACCCTTTTTTAGATGTTTCTTCTTTACCTGAGAAATATTCGACAAAGGAGATCTACTACTGCTCGGCGAGTCCATGTTAATTTCCCTCTTAATCTCTTTGAGCATTTTGTGGCTCTTCGAATCCGACCCGCCACTACGGCCATTTCTACTCTCGCTTTTTGAACTATTTGAGTTATGAAAACTGCTGCTCTTCTTGCTCGATTTTTCTTTCGATTTCTTTTTCGATGATTTGGAGCTTTTCTCCCTTTTCCGCGGCTGGTCCAGATCCGTTGATTTTCTCTTTACGCCTCTTCCTGAGCTTGAATCTTTGTTGGTGACGGAAATGACGCTGCGAATCGATGGATTGTGGCGCGGAGAGTTGCATGGTGATCCATCGCGGCTCCTCCCGTCAATCAGCATCGGCGAATTGTTTGGCGACGAGCGCGGCGTTGAACTCGCAGAGTTTGTTCGCGCTAAAAGACAAGATTATTGTATGAATGCTCATTTGACAGAAGATAGGGAAAATAGAAACCTGAGTTAGGGTTCTGCAAGAGATTTAACAGAATTGCCGCAAAAATCAAAAGAAGATTGGTATAACCTAGGATCGACAAATGCCCCCGAAATCCGGATCGGGTTTTCGTCGGATTTTCTTGAAGTCTGATTTTTCCGATCGGGTTTTTGTCGGGTTTTCGTCGGGTTTTTGTCGGGTTTTAATCGGATTTTTGTAGGGCATTTTTCGGGTTTTTGTAGGGTATTTTTCGGGTTTTTATCGGGTCTTTGTAGGGTTCTTGTCGGGTTTTCACAACACTGAAGTTGAATCAAGTAAAATGAATTCAAATCGGCGAAAAAAGACATAATTTTTGGCTAACAGAATTTCGGGTACTATCTTTAACCAAACTGATAAGTAGATCCGAAGAAAAACCCGACGAAAATACCCTACAAAAATCCGATAAATGACCCTATAAAAACCCGATTTTGTAGGGTCGCCAAAATTTTAGCGTCGGGTTTTTGTAGGGTCGGGAGAATCCAACAAAAACCCGACAAAACGTCGGTTTTCGATCGGGTGTCGGGTGGGACTTGTCGATCCTAGGGTATAACGCGGCTCTTCTTTATATAATCAAAGCTCTTTCAAGACCTTGACTCAGGTTTTTTCCACAGGAATGCTCTTTAAATTGTTCATGTGATGGTCTTTCAAAAGTCATTTGAGTCTCGTGGTTTGACTTGAAGACTCCGCATATGCTAAATTCCGGAGCTTAATTTTGCCCAGACGGGCGATTTCCGCCTAGTCAAAATCTTCATCGGATGGCTTAAAATTATGATTGGAAAATATATTCCCCTCATTGCACGAGTCGTATTCATTTCGAAAGTTTCCGGAGTCCTGTCAATTTCCCCCAAAATATTAAATATCGAGGAACCTCGTGATCATTTGACTTACCATGGGCAATAACAACAGATTTCGGAAAGCGTTTGCGATTCAAATTTCCTTTCGCTTCTTTTGCGTATCTCTGATTCATCAACCCTTTTTTCTTCTTTTTTTTCTTACGAAACGAAAACTTGCAACTTCGTGGACTTCATTTCAAGACATTGCTGAACTTGTCACTTTTTAAAATAAATAAATATCTTCTTTTTGGCGGAAGAAGAAAAACAGGCGATGACAACGAAAAAGGGTTGAAATTCAAGGGATTCGCTGCAATCGACGTGCCCGCGGGGAGAATATTTGGTAAAAGATGAGAATTGAGCCCAATTTATTTTTTAAGGAGGGAGACATCTGTAATCACCATTTTCCGGCAGCTTTTTCTTCCGGAAATAAAATAGTGATACCCTTATTTTTTTCACAAAAATCACAAAAAATGTTGTGAAAATCGATTTTTTTTTGTTATAATTTTCGACACTTTGCGCTGTCATCCCGAATAAATTGATTTCTTGCCCCCCTACAAAATTCCCACAAGAAATATTTTTAAAAACTGTCGTAGTAAATGGAAGTTTTATTATAAATAGTTATCAGTGAGTTAAAGGAACAGAAAGGAGAATTAAGCTTTAAAAGCTCGCTTTTTGCTGACTAAAAAGATGGCAAAATAAATGGCTGAAAAAATGAAAAAAAAAAGAATCGAGAAAGAAAATAGTTAAAAAATTCAGTTGGCAGCGAATTTCGCGAAGGATTGACGAAGAGTGTTTCTGAATTGATTTCGAAGCTCGCTTTGTTGACGATTTTTTATTGAATGTTTGTGTGAAAATTTTCATTCGAAAAAATATTCATTTAATATTTGAAAATTTTGAAGATCGTTTCCTGTCAAAAGTGTTGTTTTTCGCGTTGGAAGGGACGTTGAACTTGATTTCTGGCAATTTCTTGGCTTCGAATGTGTAATCTGGCTTTGCGTCGTTGTGGTTTACCAAAAGAATCCCGTCGAATGCATCGTCAATCTTGAAAAAAGGGAATTTGTAGTGGCCTTGTTTGTCACTTAGGCCACGTAGCCTTCATATATTCATAAATATATAACTTCAAGTACCTGTCTTGATTCAGACCAGCTAAAAAGTCTGATGAAAATCTTGGATTGATCCTTGATCACGTGGACCATGTCAGAATCGAGTCCAAGATGCGCTTTGATCCAGGGAACCCAAGCGACGGGAGAAAGAATGACGAAGCGGCATTTTATCGCTGTTGAGATTCCGTCCATGAGTTCGTTATCGAGAAGTTTTTCGGCGAGAATTTCTTCCAAATTGATGCGCTCGTTTTCTGGGACTGTGAATTCGTGGAATCTTAAAAGAATAATTTTGAAATCAAAAGAGGCCTTCTCTGTCACTAACGTTGGAGGCAGTGCATTAATCTTCGAGCTTATCATCGAGGCAACGTCCATTTCTTCCTGCATGCTTTCTTGAATCTTCGAATGCTTCTGCAGTTTCTTCATCAACGCCCCTCGTTCCGACAAGCCCGTCACAGAAGTCGCTGCGATCGACATTTCCTCAGCGTCGTCGAGCATCAGCGAATCTTCCAGCGACTTTGTCGAAGCATTTTCTTGATCTTTTGCCGAGGCGAAAGAAAATGACCCTAAAAACTGTTTAATTTAGATTTTTTCTTTTGTCGGAACCTGCTAAATTGGCTAAATCAGCGAGTTCTTCGTCAAGATTTGGAGCGATGGAAACTGATCTTTCATCCTTTCCGTATTTCAAGTAGATATTTGGCCATTCTTTGAAGAGTTTTTTGTTCGATCGGACTTTGATCGCGTCGTCTTGGTGGCGAAATCGAACCTTGATTGCTAAAAAATGAAGGTTTTATGAGTCAGTCTTTGAAAAAGAGGGCTTTTGACAGTACTCCTCCCCGATTTGTGTAATTTGTACCTTGTTTTTTCTTGATAATTGTTATCGTTTCGATCTTTCCCTGTGTGCACAGATGATCCTTGACAAATTCAGCCGTCTTCTGCTCCTCTGTGAGGCCCCAAACAACCACAGTTCTTGTGAAAAATGTCGGAAGCTTTTGCTTCTTCAGTTTCTAGGATCGACAAGTCCCACCCGACACTCGATCGAAAACCGACGTTTTTGTCGGGTTTTTGTTGGATTCCGCCTACCCTACAAAAACCCGACGTTGAAATTTTGGCGACCCTAGAAAATCGGGTTTTTGTAGGGTCATTTATCGGGTTTTTGTAGGGTATTTTTGTCGGGTTTCTCATCGTATCTACTCATCAGTTTCTTTAAAGAGAGCACCAAAACTTCTGTTAGCCAAAAATTATGTCCATTTTCGCCGATTTGGATTCAATTTATTTGATTTAACTTCAGTGTTGTGAAAACCCGACGAGAACCCGACAAAGACCCGATAAAAACCCGAAAAATACCCGACAAAAACCCGAAAAAAATCCTACAAAAACCCGATAAAAAACCCGACAAAAACCCGACGAAAACCCGACAAAAACCCGATCGGAAAAATCAGAGCTCAAGAAAATCCGATGAAAACCCGATCCGGATTTCGGGGGCATTTGTCGATCCTAGTTCAGTTTCTTGGGCTTCTTTACATCGACCCTCCAAGACATTTTTTCCTGAAGAAAAAGTATTCAATAACGGATAGAATAGAATAAAATAGAATAAAAAATAGAGAAAAAAGCTGAACTGAAAAATGAAAAACAAAAAAGCACACCGGAAACAAAAGATGAAAGTTGAGTGAAAATAACTTAAATATCGTATCCCCTCTCCTTAGATGGTGAGGTGTTCAAAGCGTTTTTTTTTAAAGATTTTTGGAATGTTTTAGGGCATTCGTAAAACATTAGGACTGGTCGAGTGATGTGTACTTGAAAGTTTTTAACAGTGGAAGTTTTTTAGGGTTGAAATGAGATCGGGAAGTACAGTAAGAATTATTCGGTTTCGACTGCAAGGACTGTGAATATGAAATGAAGTGATAGTAAGCAATTATTGATCGGAAGTGAGCTCGATTAGATTTTGAAAATCCGGTAAGTTCTGGATTTCTGAGATTCCAAGATTATTCAATCGCTGAAGAAAGCCTAGAAAGCAGTAAGTTCCTGATCGTAAGAATAAAGAAAAACCTTGGAACTTGCTAAAAGTAGCTTCGATATTTTCCAGAAAATTCTCGTCGACAAGGACGTGGCCGATTTGATCTTCTTTCAAGTGGCGAATTTCGGTGTTCTTTGCGCTGACGATTTCTTCCATTTCGGTCATTCGTTTTGACATAAGCTGGAATTTATCTAAAAATGGTTGTTAACGAGCAAGGGTAAACTACAGTAGCTTTCAGTTACTGTAAGATTTACCTTGTAAAAGCTTATTCTTCCTCTCCTCATCTTTCCTTTTCTCTTTCTCCTCGTTATATAATTTTTCCCAATCAGTTTTCTCCGCCTTGTTCGGACTCGAACTACTCGACCCGGGAAGATCAATAAATTCCATATCTTCCAATTCGAAATCATCGGATAAATCGCTGTCCGAGCCGGTCTCGGCTGAATTGGGGAACTTTTTGTGCGCCGCGCTGGGTTTTCTTTTGCTCTGTTTGGCGGAAGGGACAGGGATGACTTCGTAGGTCGCGGAGAGGTTTCTTGGCTTCAGATTCGTGTTGATTTTTGCTTCAAACTGGTTGTTCAATATAAGGGATAGGGAAAGGTGCCCTCTATACCGAGACCATGCTAATTTTAACAATCAGTTCCTGAGGCAATCTTATTATTATTATTATTTTTCGGCGAAAAGCTTGTTCTCGATCCCGTCAAAGATTCGTAATCATCATTTGGGTGATTTTCTATCAGTGTCGCCATCAAAAGCTGCACCAACGCCCGGCTAAAAGCACATTTCCTCGACCTTTCCCGGAGACAGAAAGTTACCTTGTATCATTGTCAAGAATTGGATTTTGGCGGAGATCGAAAACAGACAGCTTTTGGGGGACGTTTTCGATGAGTTCTCTCAGCGCGTAGTCGACTTCGCGGTTCGATGGGATTCCGCAGTTTCGCAGCTCTACTCGCTCCAGGCAGCGGATATCGTCTTCGCTGATCGAGGAAAACAGGGCGACCACAGATGAACCGATTCTTTTTAAAGGGATGTCTTTTATTGGCAAAGAAAAATAGTCTTTGTTATTCTTGCCGAGGAAGTAATTATCAGACTGTTTATCCTTAGACAGCCGTGCAGCTTGGGAACGTGTGTAGAAAACCTGAGTCAGGGCCTAAATGATCGTGAATGAAAAGCCGCGTAGCCGGAATCCGAACATTCGAAAGGTATTTTTGCGGCATATTTTTGAAATAAGCCGCAACAAACTTTTCGTTAATGATCCTTTAGACCCTGACCCAGGTTTTTTACACAGGTTGCCAAGCTTAAGCCGAGCTTAGGCGCTGAAATAGACCCCTCCCTTGGATTTTTGTTTATTTTAATCGTCTGTAATCCAGAAGAATACGTGCTCGATACATTTCTTTCCTCCTCCCGCAAGTTCTCTTCCCAGTTCTTTCCGTGTCCCATCATGAACTGGCTCTTCAGCGTATCGACGATCATACTCATCGCGACGGCGCTCAAATCGCACGAAGAAACGTCGAGTTTTCGAAGAATCGAGTTTCCACGCAAAAAATTCTGCAATCGCGAGTAGCCCAAATCGCCAATCGAGCAATCTCGCAAGGAAAGGGACGAAATTTCGCAGAATTGGCCGAGAAGAGCTTCGCCGAGAGCAGTCACTAAAAGATTTCTTTCTGCCTCAAATCGTTTTTTGGCAAAACTTACTTGAAGCGCCCTTGATCGGGAAATGCTCAAAGCTCAATTCGTTCAGGTCATTTTTCTTTGAAAACAGTTTCTTCAGCGAGTTTGCAATTTGCGTCTGAATCTGTGCCGCTTCTTGATGAATGACAGGAACTGGCTTCGAATTGAGCCAGCTCGAGCTGAAGCGGATTTTTTGAATCGTCTTCGCCGTCGCGAGGGAATTCAAAAGCGGCGACCAATCTTCGTATCTGAGTTTTGAAACGTCGAGAGCGAGGCAATTCGATTGATAGGAGTCCTTGACGAGTTTGAGTGGAATCGTGTCTTGGAGAATGCAGTTGTGTTCGTAGGAAGTGAGGAAATCGGTGACGCCGCGTTTTCGAATTCGAGTTGAAGAAAACTCCATCGCATTTAATTCCGATTCTACAGTCTGATTTTTTGCAATTAGGGTTTGACGATCCGAGGAAATGTGAAGGAACAGACCAAAGTATAATGAAAATCTGACTTAGGTATAAAATCAATCGAAATCCTTGTTTTGGCGAAGCCGCTTCGCGGCTGTTCATTGAAGCTCTTTGGGGATAACAGGTTTGCTACAGCAAATAGTACAGTATAACTGTATATTATATACAGAGTCCTGACTCAGGAATCCTGAGCTCATCGAATCTGATTTTGATTTTGCTAGAAATAGGCTTTTTTTTATAAAATATACGATTTTTAAAATAACAGAAATACTTTATTTTCATACAAAAATAAAAAAATTTTGAAACAGTTTCTGAATTAACGAGAACGCTTGTAGTTCGAGTTGATTTTCTGGAAAGCTTCTTGCGCTTCTTTGACGAAGACATCCACGCTTATTTGATTCAGGCCGATGAAGAGTTCTTCCTCGATTCCGAGCTTTTTCAGCGACGAAATTGCTTCTTCACGGCTGATTCTGAAAGTATAAATTAATAAACAGAAGCTTGCGGCTTCGAGAAACTAATAATTTAGCCGCGACCTTGCTGGCTCAAAGTTTTCATTCTTACTTACTTTCCGCGGTTGTTAATGTCGATAAGTCCGAAAATCGAGGCAAAATTGGTGACGTCCAACAAACTTGGCGGTTCTACTCCGAGTTCTCGAGCTTCAACGATCAGTTTCAGTTGCTCAATGATGAATTGACGCAGATCTGTCGGCTGGAAATGAAGTTGAGGGGAATTTCTAACGATTGATCCGTTTACCTGGTGATAAGTGGCGAGCTCTATGAGCTGGGTCATCAGACCTTCTAGCTTGTGTTCTTTCACATAATCGAGTGTTTCTTGCTCTCGAGACAACATAACTAAAGTTAATTTAAAAATTACGTAGAAACTTTTACGAATTAAAGTTTTCTCAAGTTAATTTCAACTTACTGTTATCATTTCAGATGTCAATTATTTCTTATCAATCATTTATTTCTCTATCAAGTTCATTTTCACAAATTTCTGCATTTCTGAGCTCAATTTGAGCCAATTGGCGCAGCGCTTCGCCGTGGGAACTTTTAGTGGCGCCCAAATCTTACCTTTGTGGTTTTTTGAGAAAAACTTTTTTTCACTCTTTTCAGAGGTTCCTTTCTGTAACTGAAGAAAGAGGGGAAATAATAATGTTGGTTAGTTAGAATCTAGAAAATTGAAAAAATTGAGTTACATTCGTTTAGTTTTGCGATAGGGGAAATTTTAGTGGCTAAAAGTTTTTTATTTTGCCCGAGTAATCTGATTGGACCAGAATTTTTTACCATTTTTTTGGAAAAATCAAATGATTTGAGTTAAATATTTTCTCTATTTTAGATTTGATCGAAATCGGCGGGAAAATGCAGAAAAAAGGGCCAGTCTGTTCGGGATGTATCGATCTTCTGACGGAGGAGATGAAAGATCAGTTCGTTCTTCCGGAGCTCGGATATTCGCAGAAATACAAGCAGCTACAGTTTTGCTCCGAAGAATGCAAAAACGAACGAGTCAGGATAGGATCGCAAACTGCCCGTTTCGGCATGATTTTGGGCAAAATTTTTTCTTTCTGTTTTTCTCTTGAATTTCCGAATTCTTGCGAAAAATGCCTTTTTACCACGTTTTTTGTCAATTTTCGATACCAAGCAAAGAATATGCGAATCATTGGAGCTCGACGCAAACGTCTACTTCCAAGAATACTCCGACTTCAAACGAGATGAACTTGTGTAAGTCAAAAAATTACCATCGAAAAAAACGCCCTTATTCTCATTCTTTCATTCAACTCCCCTTTTTCTGTCTGTTTCAAAAAGCGAGAAAACATCTTCTTTCTCTAGGAAGCAACTGTCCGCAGCTCGCTTCAAGCGAGCCAAACCGGCACGCATGACAACATGCTTTCTCTGCCGAATTTCTTTCAATGAAAATATCTTTGCTCCAGAGGAGAAATACCGCGAGTGCGGATCGTTGCTCTGCTCGTCCAAATGCGCCAAAGCTAAAGGTTCACGATCCACGACAACTAGAGATTGTATTGAAAGATCCACCGGTAGTAGGGGGCTATTATTCGAGCTGCCCCTAACCCTAATCCTGACCCAGGGGGCTCCGCCACCCGGACCACCCCCCTTCTATTTGAACCTTGCAAAGCCATGCTCTCACTGCTAGAGGAAATCGGCGCAAGCGCTGACGACTGGCCCCTAACGAAAAATCAACGGATTATGTTCACCGGCGCCGCCTCCAAATATCGCGTGCGTTACGAAATTCTTCAGTTTTCGCTCATTGTAACTTATCTTTTGATTTATACGCCTCCTGTGCGTGTTCAATTTCGCTAACACTGTAAAAAGACACGATGTTCTCGGCTTGCCCAAAGCCGGAGTTCCGCGAAAGAAGTCTTCTGATCACCAAAAAGTTGAAACTTTGCAGCAACAAACAGCCACTTCTTCATCGATTACTCATGGGGGCTTGACACTGAAGGTTTTCGACGAAAATAAGCAGCTTTTTGAAGAAATTCAACGGGCTCAAAGCTCTATCCCGCCTCCTACAGCTTCTGATCCAGGTTTCTGAAATTTCTGCAAAAATAATTTCAAGCCAACCATTGGCGTTTGTGGCGGAAACCTGTGCACAAATCTGACTCTGAGATCTGAAGCCGAGGTTTTGTACGAACTTCATCAGGACCCTGAGACAGGTTTCTACTCAGTTTGCTGAGCCAAAAGCCATTTGTTGGCCATTTCTCACTGTTTTTTCCATTTATAACTGATTTTCTTCAGCTGTACCACCTCCATCTTTCGGAGGATATCCACCAGCCGGACCACCACCAGGTTTTCCTCCCGGAATGCCCGGCTTTCCTCCCCTCGGTTTTCCGCCTGCTTTTCCACCTGGAATTCCTCCACCAACCGGTATCGCTCCACCACAAGAAAGCGAATACAGAAAGTCCCTACGCGAAAAACGATCTCGCTCACGCTCGCGATCTCGTGAAAGAGACCGGCGACGATCAAGGCGATCGAGTCGATCGCGCTCACGTTCGAGGGACAGGAGAAGACGAAGATCTCGATCGAGAAGTAGAGATCGGCGCAGTAGAAGATCGCGAAGCAGAAGTCGAAAGAGATCGAAACGCAGCCGCACGCCAGAACGACGATCTTCAGATATTTCCACGACAAGTAATTTCTATCTTTACTTTTCTCCTTCTAGGATATGTATATCTTGCTGTTCGTACATTTATTCTCCATTTTACCCTCAATGATGGAATTGTCATTAATCAGGGGCTTTCGACCGAAATCTTGTTTCTTCATTTTTCATCCTCGCTCTCTAGCGGGTAGAACTAAGCCTGCTTTCTTTCACATAAATTTCTATAGATACGGGCTTTTCAGGAAGAAAGCCTGTCACAAAAATCCTAAGGAAAGTATGGAGAAGATGGCATAATTCGATATCATGTGACTTCAATAAGATCACTCAAACCCATTAACGTATATCGAAGGATCTTAGCCTTCTTAAAGATGTGATACTTATTCATTTTCTTTTGCCTAACTTTCATTTTAAAGAAGCCTTGGTCCCTGTGCCAGCGATTGATCCAATCTACGACAACTATGATGTACCCCTTACGATGGACGACAATGATGACCGGCAAAATCTTTCGCTGAGAGGTCAAATATCCGAGCTAGAACGCGTCATTCAGCTGAAAGATGAGCAGATTCGAATGAAAGAGGAGCGAGCAGCGATCAAAGAGCAGCAAATCGAAGAACTCAAAGTCGAAATGGCTGCTCAGTACGAATCTGATGGCAAAAAGATTGCGTGAGTACCTGTTGTTGATTCTGAGGATCTAAAACGATAGATTCAGGGAACTGGAAGCGAGGATCAAAGAACTCTGTGCGGCGGAAAAGCTGCTTGTGGATGATCCAGAGAAACTTTCAGGAGGGGAGAAGTTGACTGTAATTCAAGATTTGCGAGCGAAGACCAAGCAAATCCGGTTAGTTCATGATCGAAAAAAAGTGAAATAACTGATGGTTAAGTGAGCTTGAAGAAAAAATTGAAACATTCAAGCGCCGAGAAACGCAGTTTCGCGAAACCGTTGACGCTTGGAAAGATGAAGTTGAATTCGTAAGACAAGAGTATGAGCAGAAATGCGCAGAATTATCTTCGAAGCTCGAAGAGGTAAGCCAACCATCACTTTTCTTTAGTAACTGATAATCGTTAAGGCCGAGAAAAAGCGCCAGAACTTTACGAAAACGATGGAAATCGCGACTGAAGCAAGCTCCCACCATCTCAAAACGCAAATTACCGATCTGGAAGAGCGCCTCCGCCTCACAAACGAAAATAATGATCTTTTGCGGAAGCAGCTTTTGGACCGGACCGCCGCGCCGGCTCACAACGGACCGCACAGTGGACCGCGCGGGCCAAGTTATCCATACACAGGGGCGCCTGTATTTCCAGGACTGTCAACGCTGCCTCAATTTCCGCCAAGTCCGGCTCAGCCACCAAGTGGGCCTACTGGAATATTCAATCAGCCACCACCGCCACTGCCAGGGACCGTTGTTGTGCCCAAATCTGGACATCGACCAGCAAGTAAGTCACCAAGAAGATCTGTTGATCTCTTACCATGTTTTTTTAGAAGTCGTCAATAAGAATAGCGCCCCAATCGACCTCACTGAAGATGCTCCAGCACAAAAAACTCCACCGAAACGAGAATACTCAGAGTCTCAATCGAACAAGCGCAAAGAAAAGCTTCTTATTCGTCTTTTGAAACGATCGTTTACTGAAGGCAAGACGTTTGCTCCAGAGAAAGGCGGCGGACTCGAAAGCGTTTGGATCGAGAGAGGATTTGATAAGGAGCCGCCGACTCAGGAAGAAATCATGGGAGGAGTTTTGCCTGATCGAAGAGTTCGGTAAGAAAGACCTCAATAATAGCCTTGGTTGAAGATATTCTTTTAGAAAAACGAGTGGAGTCACAATGCCCTCACGAACAAAACCCATGGATCCGAATCTCGGCGTCATCGACGATTCCAAAAAGCCAAAGCCGATGGGCAGCGGGAGCACTTCTCCAGCCGCTTCAGGAAAAATTTACGGCGCAACTGGTAATCAAGGATATGCTCAAGCTGCTTCTCAGAACGACTGGTCCAAAGACGTGCAATTCTAAACAGCCCCTCTCTCCCATTTAGACAAAGTTACTCTTCACATTTTCTTCATTTTTACTTTTGATCTCTCCCTGACTGTCTTTGGAGATTAATAAATTATTATTGGAACATGAATACTTTCGCTCTTTCAGCCATTTTTGATGGTTGGATGAAAGTCTTTTATTGATGAAATTGAGCAGATATGAAAAGAAAACAGTCTAGAATTTGTAATGCTTTACCGTTTTTCTCAGCTTTGGGCTTTTCAAAACCGATCTTCTCACCTTAAAATCTTCATAAAAACAAAGGATTTTTCGTCCAAATACCTTTCGATGAAAAGTATGCCGAAATTTAGCAGAAAGATAACCCTTCCAATCGACCATTAGCCAGAGCAGGGAGATGATGAGAAAAACAGGCGCGATTACAAATAAAAATCGGACGCTGAAGACTTCTGTGTTTGTATCGTAACTGAACTCGTGCGTATCATCACGGTGCTTTTTTCAGATTTTTTCAAGGTCCCTTAGAAGCAACAAAAGAAGAGGTATTTTCTTAATCTTTCCTGGGCGGAGTCATGAACTCTTTTAAAATCGTGGTCATGTGCGTCTGGGCTTTTCATTTTTCCACTTCTCTTTCGGTTCGAACGAGATCTGACAGTATGATATGTTTAGGAACTATGTGTTCGCGGCGCGAACTTCATAGCTTTATTCATAATTCTATGAAATATTCACGGACGCAAGACATACCGTTTTTGCTACCCTTCTTTGCCATATTCTGACGCTTGTTTAATTTGAGTGAGTGTTTCAAAAGTTTGAAAGGTAGTATTTAATAATGAGGCGCGTGAGTGTTTTCCTACGATCTTTTTTTCACTATAAATTAAAGTGGCACTTTCTTAGGCGGTATTTTTGGGGATAAGAATAAATGATCATTTGGCTCTGTTTTCTGTCGAACCGTTTCTTTCTTTTTCTGCTCGATGAAAGTGGCGAAAACCGTTCCAGACAAACTCTTCCTTGATTCCCGTTTTAACATTTTTTCAAATCAAATTTACTTATTTTCTTTAATAAGATGTTAAAAACATTCATATTGGTCCAGCTCATGATCCATGATGAAGAATCTCTGGTGCAATCGTTTTTTGGTCAAAAATGAACAAGAAAGGTTTACAAGGTCAAAATAAAAAATATTATTTTGAGGAAGAGTTGTATACTTTTTCGCATGCATCGAGTATCTGTTCGTATATCAAATTGGATTAGGCGCGCTCGATACTGTTTCTATAAGACACTTCCCCCGCGGATGAACAAATAATCCTTTTTATACCTCTTTTTATCTGAGGGTGAACGGCGAATATTGACAGGAATATTTATTTTTCTGATGGTCCGCGCGAAATATAAGCACAAATACGCATGTCATCGTTGTCGTTGACTGCATCGAAATTTGACCGTGAATGCTTTTAGCCTGCCAGATTAGAATTATTTTAACGAAATTGGTGGATATCAAGAATTCTGATCGCCAAGCAGACTTGATTTTTTTTTAAAGTTCTTGACACCCTTAAATAATGAATTTTCGATTGCTTCAAATTACCGGTCAGGAATAATCTGGCAATCTTCGCATGATAAGACCCCTCGCCGCTAGTCAAATCAAAATAGATGCGAAAACTTCTGCCTTTTCTGATATTTTTGTTTCTTAGAGAATGTTTTGGACACGGAAGTTTCGCGAAAAAGCCACATGTTATTTTTATTCTCATCGATGATTTGGGCTTTGATGATTTAGGACAGTATTGAAGGATGTTATTTTTGAGCATCGGTAATTCACGATGACAGGTTTGCAAAATGCGAACAAAGGCTATGTCAACCCCGATGTCAAAAGTCCCAATATTGATTACCTCGCGAAAAATGCACTGCATATCGACAAGTATTACAATCAACCTTCCTGTACTCCCTCTCGAGCAGCTCTAATGACAGGCCGGTACAATATTCGATATGGTCTTCAATCAGGTCCGAAGCCAAATTCAACCAAAAATGATATTTCCCAAGGAGTGATAAAGCCCGATGAACCAGAAGCAATTCCCTTGTCCGAGACTCTCCTTCCTGAAGCATTCAAACAGTGTGGCTATCAAACCTCAATGCATGGCAAATGGCATCTTGGATTTTATACCAAATATCATTGCCCGCAAAATCGAGGTTTCGACAGATTCTTCGGCTTCTATCTCGGCTCACAGGATTATTTTTATCACGACTCGGGAAACAACTGCTATCTCTACTCCCCGTGTTACAGAGGCGAAATTGAAGGACCGCCAAAGAAGATGGAACTTATGGAGAAAAAAATATACAGACCAGCTGGTTTTGATTTTAGGGAAGTTTACAGTAATGGAACCGAGAAAATAAGATTCGATCTGAACGGCACTTATTCGACAAAGGCGATTGCGGATGATTTCATCGCAAAACTCGATGATTTCGATCCTGAAACACCCCTTTTTGAATTTCTTTCTTTCCAAGAAGTTCACGGTCCGCTGCAATGGCTTCCCGAGTTCTCGACCCTTTTCAAGGAAACACCTTGGACGCATTATCGAAAAATGCTCTCTAGAAAAATCGCCGTCGTAGATCACTTTATCGGGGAAATCGTGAAAGCGCTGAAGGAAAAGGGATTTTGGAAAGATACACTTTTGATCATCACTTCTGACAATGGCGGTCAAACAAGAGAAGGAGCTTCAAACTGGCCCTTGAGAGGAAAAAAGGGGAATATCTTCGAAGGGGGAATCAGAAGTCGAGCTTTTGTTCACTCGCCCAAGCTGCCAGAAAGTCTCAAGGGAAAGTCCTTTCCTTACGTCATGCACGTGACCGATTGGCTTCCGACTCTCCTTCGATCTGCTGGCTGCGAAGTTCCTCCTGAAACGCTGCCTCTCGATGGCGTTGCTCAAGATCTCTTCCATTTACGACCCGTTCCAAAACGCTCCCACCTCCTCAACTTCATGGATCCGCTCAAAAGGGCAAAGCGCGAACTCGACAGCCGGGAATTTCAAGTCCTGTCGAACAGGACTTTCGACGTGACCGTCAAAGCCGCCATCCGTTCAGAAAATTGGAAGCTGATTACCGGCCGCCCTTGTCACTGGGGCTGCTCTTTTTCGCAAAAAAAGAATTTGAAATATGAACCGGACAAAGTTGCGCTCGAAGATGTAGAAGAAGATAAACTGGTGAGGCTCTACGCGATCACGGAGGACGAAGGAGAAAGGAATGATGTTTCGGATTCGTATCCAGAGTTGGTCGACAAGTTTCTTCTCAAATTAGCTGATTACTACGTAAGATTTATTGAAAGTTTTGCTTCCTAAAAATTCAGGACGAGCAAGTCAAGCCCCAACAAGAAGCATCCGACCCTGCTGCACTCCCAATCGACGGAGTTTGGCGACCTTGGAGAAAAAGAGAAACATTCGTCTACGAAAAACTCAGAAAGAAAACTGTTTTTTCAAATAATCAAGCTCGAGAAACAGATTTGAATTATTTTGAATCGACTGTTGATAAATAAGAATTCTACTAAATTTATTCATCCAAAATTTTCAGTATCAATAAACAGTTTCGCCGAGAATTCGCACAATGAACTCGTTTTCTTCGTACGAGAAGAGTTTTGCATCTTCCGCTCCTAAATTGATGAAAATTGAGTAATTCGAGGAAAAAGCTTACCCAGATTGTTATTTTGCTCGGCGAAAAAATTACAGAGCGCCTCTTGAAGGTCGAATTCCTCGCCGTTCGACTTGATCCACTGGACTCTTCGCGCTTTTTTGTCTCTTGGATGCCAGAACCTGTTTCGTTGATCTTTTCCGATGTGAAGAATTTCGTGTGTTTTGTCAGCAACGACTACGATTTCGTCGATTATTCTTTGGAAAAGGGAGAAAAAAACATACCAATCGAAAAAAGAGCCGCAATCGCAAACGCTTTCTTTTCCCGCTGAACACTCATCGCTTGATTACCAAATCGAAGGTTGAGAATTTCGTCGACTGTGTAATACTTTTCGTCGTCGATTTTGATTCCAGAGCGGCCAAGGCGAGTGTAGAAATCCGGTGTCATTTCAACAGCATTTTCGTCGCTCGTTTCAACCCAGATTTTCCAGTTGCTCCAGTTTGTTCCGATCGGTGGATATTCCGCGGGCTTGAATAATGGGCTCGTTAAAACTTCAAAACCAAGTTTTCGGAGAAAAAATAGTCAATCAAATTTCAAGACAAATAAGGCAAAAGTCTGTTAGACACTTTGTCTACCAGACAAATCTTCAAGAGGAGTCCTTAAATCGGCAAAAAGATCAAAACTTGCTAATCCCCTTGGGAGCAGGGCTGGATATTTTGAAATCAAGAAAAATCTCAAACCCCGAAAAAAAACATGAATCATCATCTCATCCATTTCAAAAATGCAATCTCAGAAAATTTTCTGTCTGAGATCTCAATTTTCGATTTTGCAATATTATGATATTTGAAATGCTGAGATCTCAATTATCTCAAAAAAAGGCGCGAGTTGGATACGCGCGTTGCAATGAAATGAAATTTGAAATTCTGAGATCTCAAGCATTTCAGGTCCATCTGAACCAATCACAAGTCTTGCTCTAAGCCCGCGACGTTTGTCCGCGGCCCTTGCGCTGTTTGCAAAATTTTGAGATTTGAGATCTCGAGATCTCAGCAATCTCAAGAATGGAAAAATTATGACGAGGGAGTTGCAATAATATTGAAATTTGAGATTTGTTGAGATGGTGCAAAATTTTGAGATAGAAATGAGATTTCACACAAAAATTGATTTGAAATTTTTGCTGATTTCAAAATATCCAGCCCTGCTTGGGAGACTGTATCTTACCTTGAGCGCGTCTTTTTCCTCTTGCGTCTTTTTTCTCAACAGTTTGTTCAAAAACCCCATTTTCCTCTTCTCTCTTTACAAATTTTGAAACTTGATAATTTCCCCGACAATCACAAACGGCGCCGACTCAAATTATATTCACAAACTTTTGACGAGGAGCAAATCTCTGTGACCTTTGAGACTGTTGAAAAGGCAGAAAAAAAAGAGGGAATTGTGTTCAGACGCGCAAATATATTGGATGAAAGGGGGTGATAGAAACAATGAATCAGCATGGCAGATGACCCCTCACACAAAAGAGCTTTGCATGCATTTTTTCTGAATAAGTGTTTTTGGAAATTATTTGAATTTTTTTTTTTTTTGCTCAATAAATTTTAATTCATCATATAAGTCTTTATTTACATTTCTCGAAGAGAGATAGTTGGTGATTTTAAAAGTCGCTGGTTTTCCTCCTTGTTTTTGGTCGATTGAAGTCCTTTGTAGCTGAATATGTTGAATAATGCAGTATTTTTGATGAAAAACTAACAATTCCACTACTGCATTCGTCAAGATCATCATGATGAAAAGCAATAATATTAGCACAAAAACGAGTCCGACAACTAAGTAAATATCCGCTCTTGAATGGATGGAACTTGCCCAAATGATTATAAATAATAAGCAGTTTTAATCCATTTTCACTTTTTGCATCGTGTTCTTTTTCTCCCCTCAATTCAATTCTCGGAATCTCTTGTTTCCCAAAATCTTCGTATTGATTGAAAAGTCGCTCCAATTCTAGCTCTTCATTGTACTAGAAAAATTTAAAAAAAAATTAAAAAAAAACGATAAACTTACGGTGAACTTGTCCTCGATATTCAGAGTGTAAGCTCTTTTCATCGGCCTTTTTTCCAATCGAGAGGGAATGGAACTTCATTCGAAGATTCATATTATATTAAGCGGATAGTTCGCAACAAATTTATAATTCAGTAACGCTAATCTGTCGTGTTACTTACTCATTTCAATAAAAAAACACGATGTTCGTTTGAACTTGCAGTCTGTTTGACCGAAAAACCTGTTTTTTTTTCATAATTTTGCTCCATATTTTTGTCAAAGTTTTTTTCAAACCTGCGGTGCAGTTTTCAATATCTGTCAATTTCGTGATATTTGGATGTTCAAATTCGTAAATTGGGAGTTTTCCAAATTGTCGTCTTCCATTGTCGCAATCTATGGTTCAATTTGAGCATGGAAAATTCTCTCAAAAAAAATAACTTACATTTTTTGCACGGTCTGACTCTCGTTCTCGTCCAAGTAGCAGGAGCAGTGGCGTTTTGTGAAATTTCGAATTTGCTTGGACTGCATTGAGTCCATTCTTCCCAGGGCTTATGTTGAGCTGAAAATAAGGCAAGAAATTAGTAATAATATTGTTTATAATTACTTACGGCACATAGGAATATAATTGCACTCGTGTTTTTTCTCACCAAGGCCTATACAAGCGCCTGGTTGAGAACAGGTCCGTACTTTGTATCTATAAAGCATGTTTTTTCTATTTCCTGAAAATGAGGTTTTCGATTTTTCTTCTTGAATTCTTTCTTATTTCGCCGAAAACCATTCCTGCACCGTCATAAGGTTTTTCCGCACATGGTGGGCAGATACCCCGTTCATCATTACTCCAATGCCATTCCGTCCAAAACGGTTTCGCCATGTTCAATTTGCAGATCGAAATCGCTTTTGTTAGAAAATTCGGGACCTTTTCTCGCTCCCCATTTTCTGCGTACCGCAACTGATTGTTTTTATTCATGTACCAAAAAAATATTGCTGTCGTCGGCGGCTAAATCCATCGAATTTCGAACTTGCCAAAGAACAGCTCCGGCTAAAAGGGCTCAAAAAACGATCGCAAACGAAGTTGTTTCATAGAACTGTGTTGAAATCCTGTGTTGATACCTGTGTTGAAACCTGTGTTGAAACCTTAGCTGAAAACCTGTGTTCAAAACCTGTGTTGAAAACTGTATTGAAACCTGTTTTGAAAACTTTTGTTGAAACCTGTGTCGAAAACCTGTGTTTAAACTTGTTTTGAAAACCTGTTTTAAAACCTGTGTTGAAAACCTGTGTTGACAACCTGTGTTCAAAACCTGTGTTCAAAACCTGTGTTGAAACCTGTGTTAAAACCTGTGTTCAAAACCTGACTCAGGCTTTTACTAATTGATTTGAGCCCTGTCTGTATCGAGATCTCGATAATTGATTATTTCCAAGCTTTTTTCTTCTTCGCAAACTGCTTTGTGATGTCTTAAGAATTTATTTATATAATTTATTTATGCAAAAAACTCACTGATTAGTTGTCAGAAAGCTCGACGCATAATAGCAAGTAAGTCCTTTTCTCCACTGCCGATCAAATGTTGGAATGTTGTATGGCGCGATATCGACTCCTTCAACGAAAGCGTAGTCGTATCCTTCGTACAAAAACGGTTCCACATTTGTCGCTTCTTTTGGACATTTGAGAACCGTGTCGTTTAACTTTTTAAATCTGAAGCCTGCAGCAGGATCGACTCCATTTTGACCAGCGAGTGAAAATTCTCTGAAAAGAAGAAATATCAACCAGATCATTTCTGATCACAATTTTCATTTGAAGCACTTTTTAGGCACTTTCATTCTATGGATCGATTCACATGATTGACTATTTGCGCATTATTTTGAGCGAGTTCTTCGTAAAGAGGAAGAATTAAAGTGATACGTCGGAATAATTGGTTATTGTGATTGTGTATCCGTACAAAGATGAATGAAAATTGGAGGAAAGCCCCGAAAATTGGCCAAAAAGGAGCAAAAATCGAAAAAAATTCTCAAAATTTTCGAAAAACGCGATTTCAGCTCCACTTTGACGATAAATTTCGACAATTTTCCGTGGAAATTTTTTTTCAGACCATGTCGCCCACTAATTTTGTCAAAAAAAGTCTCATTTTTGACCACCACCCCTTAAGGTATTTCTAGAGCCTGACACTCCCCTCGACCTTTGTGCTTATTCAGTCACCATTATTTACACAGGCAAGAGAAGTGACAACTGACTAAAATAAAATTACAGAAGACTGATTGAATGATTCGACTAATCAGTATTCCAGGTAATAAATAACTGCTTTTCCCTTCAAATGTTTAACTCAACTGATAAAAATTTAAGTCGCTTTGGCTGGATATATTTACGGCCTGTGGTCAATATTTGCCTTCACGTTTTTCCTCATCAATGCTCAAAAATTCTCTCCGGCTCTTTCTGTAATCTTCCCTTATTCAATCGGTAACTACCTCTAATCGATAAGTTAGGCCATAACTTCGAAAAAAAAATTAAGATGACGAATCAACAAATTTTGGTCAAACAGGCGACAAAATGATGAACAACGCTCTTTTCTTCGGCTTATGGGCGTTTTTCCACTCTCTTTTTGCCAGACCAGGTTTCAAGCAGATTCTGAACTTGCCCAAGGTGCGATTTTTGACCATATTTCTTGATCATTATCCCTTTTAGGAGCTTGAAAGACCGATCTACTGCTTCCAATCCGGTTTCTTTCTCCACCAGGCTCTGAAAAATTGGCAATCAATGCCTGTTGTTCTTTTCGAGCCTCCAGAAATGCTGAAAAATTTCATGATCGGAGGATACGTAATTGGCGTTTTATGGCTTGTCAGTTCTACATTTGCGATCGACCATTTCGAGCTTTTCGGCCTCCGACAAGGACTTGGAATGGGGAATCTCCTCAAATTTGTGCCTGATGGATTTGTGACGATTTTGCATTATCGACTCGTTCGGCACCCGATTATGACTGGTTTCTTCATGATGCTCTTTTCGATCGTTGAATTTACCGCTGGAAGGGTCTTCATCGCTGCTTTTATTGCTTCTTACATTTTGGTTTGAAAATTTTTTTATGAATGATTTTCAGTCGAGTTTCAGTTCGCGATCAAATTTTTGGAAGAGCCGGATTTGGTCTCTGAAATCGGACCAACTTACGAAGAATACATGAAAAGGACTCCATCTTTCATCCCTTTCCTGAAAAGCTGCCCTTTCTCAAAGAAATCACTGAACAAAGATGAATAAATCGAACGGCTTTTTTTTTAATTTAGCCGCGAATCGGCTTCGGAGCATTCCCACTTCAATTATTCTTTAATATTCTATAATATGTAATTTGTTTTCTTTAAAGTTATTCGATCTTTATTCCTATTCAAGGAACAATACTGATTTTGGCTGCTATTTTGGTCCCAAACAAAACGTACAGCGATATTGCCTCGGGCAATAGTTGCGGTAGAAAATTGCAACTAGAAATTAAATTTAAAATGCAATTGAAAGATCGTCAAATTTCAGTGATGGGGAGGTGGGAGTTTTTCCACAAATATCTTCCCTGGGCCTGTTGCATCTTTTTATCGCTCTTGTTGTACATAAGAGAATACGAAGTGCTGTCGCTCGACTTTCAATGGATCACCGACGAATTTCCTCGTGCAAAGGCTCCTTCGAAAAGATTGCCGCAAAAAAGTTCGTCGAGCCAACCAGGAAAGTGGTTTTAGTGAACTTTATAATTAATTCAATAATTACCCCCAGTACAAAAACATCCTTTATTGAAGGCTCGACAACCTGTGTAGAAAACCTGAGTCAGGATCAAATATTTTATTTCAAATCCTAACTTTCTACCCAAATTGCCAGACCCCCAATTTTAGACCTCGAATATCTCGAGACACGTGATAAGCCAAGAATGTCCAATTTCATTTTAAGACATTTCAACTCTTTTTCTAGCAACATCTTTGAGGAAATTTCGTTATCATAAGTAAAAACAGGTTTTATTTTAAGTAAATAATATTTAAAGTGGCCCCAGAAAATAACTCACTTTCGAAAAATCTAGTTCTACCCCCTTAAAGAAGTTGACCACCGAAAAAGCCGACAGTGTATTTTTCCTGAAAACATACAAAACTGGCAGTTCGACGCTCGCAACAATATTCTCCCGCTACTGCTACACTCACAATAAGTCGATGCTTTTGACAAGTCAAAATAAAGGATGTAAGTGCTTGAATTTAAAGAGACGAGAATTGATATACGACTTGATTCGGCATGGGCTGATTGCATCTTTAGCGCATTTGTTTCCTCGCGGGGAGGCGGATTTAGCTGAGCCATTGAATCCTGACGGACTTGGAATTATTGGCTGGCAGAAGAAGTCAAAACAATATGATTTCGTCGCTAATCATATGACGTACAATTTCACATTCGCGGACGAGTATCTTCCAACGGCAAAGAAGATCTCGATTTTGAGACACCCTTCCACTCACATGACCAGCACGTGGAAGTACTACTTCAAACCAAACATGGGGGATAAGGAAAGCGGAGAAATTCTTTACTAACAATAGTACTAATTTACTTATGTGGACATGACAACCTGTGTCAAACCTCATTTTAACGACCCCCTCTCGTCAGCTTTTTCCTGGGGGAGGAGAGGGGTGTCCTTAATCGAAAAAGATTGCCTTCTCTATCTTTTCTTTAAACCTCCTGAGACTGTATAAATTTTAGACTCTAAAATAACTCATCCGCTATGAAAGCAAGTTCGTACTATCTTCGCTTCGCTTTTCAAAAAGGAGAATAAAAAAAAAGAACGCATTTCTTTTCTTTACGAGCTTTTATCAGACCCAGTTGATTTCTACAAAAAATCCATGCTCTTGCAGGACCCTTCCATGTGGAAAAGGCACTTTCTGAGGCCTCAGCTGTGGAGCTTCTTTGGACCAGAAGTGGCGACGATGAACTTGGATAGAGACGTTGTCAAAGCTTACATAGGAAGGGGGATCTTTTCCGAATTGAAATCAAGGAAGAGAAGAAAAAGATCCTCGTAAAGAGAAAATCCACGGGCATTTTGACCTAATCCTGATCATGGAATATTTCGATCTTGGTCTGGCTCTTCTGTCATTTGAGCTCAACTGGCCGCCGTCCGAGCTCGCCTACTTGCCGATGAATAGCGGAAGAAAACACAGCCAAGAGGCGAAGGAGTATCACGAGGAATTGGTGCGCGTGATCAACTATCCCGATTTTATGCTGTACGAGCATTTCAACAGAACCTTCTGGGCGAGAATAGACGAGATAGGGCTAGACATCGTGCAACGTCGAGCTGATGTGATAAAGTATCAATCTGAGCAGCTTGCAGATGCCTGCCAAGATGGCTTCCGACCCTTCAGGAAAGCGCTTTTCAATTTTGCAAAAATTGCGAGCTTATAAATTAAAGAATTGTAAACTGGACTAGGCAACCTGTGTAAAAGACCTGAGTCAGGTTCTCACAGATCTTGAATGAAAAGCCGCGTAGCGGCTTTTTTTTAACGAAGCCGCAAAGCTCCTATATCAAATTTTGAAATAGAAATATATTCGCGGCTTCGTTTTTAAAAAAGCCGCTCTGCGGTTTTTCATCTAAGCTTTTTCAAAATTTGACTCAGGTTTTCTGCACTGTTCGTCCAGCTCAGATTTGAAATTTTATTGAACAATTGAAAGAACTTAAAAACAAGGAACTGGGCCGGAGACTGGATCTCGCTCCCAAAGCTACAAAAAGCAAAAGAAAACGACACTTACTGCAGATTATCGACAATGCAGGGAAATGAGCTTTCAAGATTCATGGTGGAACGGCAAAACAGACTCGTTTCGGGCTGGACTTAGTTATTTTGAAAGATAATGATTATTATTAGGCTTGTTTATAAATTATTCCTGAACTCTTTCTCTCTCAATTCTGCATCTTCAAGCTTCCTCAACTGTTCAAAACAATACGCACAAACAACAATTTAAAAAGTAAAAAATAACTGCTAACCGTGGAATCGACATTTTCTTTTCTAGAACTAAAAAAAATAAAGATTTTCTTTCTTTTGGTTTTGACTTTATTCAATGAAATTCGAAAGATTCATGTTCAGGGAAAATAAAAGCTTGTTCCGCGTAAGCCTGCAGCTTCTTATCTTGATATTCATGGCCCTGCTCGTGGTATCCGCCGCACCAGACTCTTCCATGCGACCAGCCCCAGAACTAAACATACCAAAAGGTGATTTGAAGTCGATTCTGATCTCTACCTGAACAAGTTCTTTTCTTCCTGTGGCCTTTTTTCTTCCACTTTCATACGCGCAAATGAATTTCCAATACTTTGTCTTTTTATTAACTGCTCCTTCTACGACTTCAAAAGCTTGGTTGTTCGCAAAATGAAACCCGCTGCCAGTAAACTCAGTTCGATCGTCGTTGAATTTCAGCTCCAGTTTGATGTAATTCGGCTTTGGTCTAAGCAAAAAATGTCACTTGAAAAAGAGAAAGATGAATTCGAACCCTTCAAAAGTGTCTTCGTAGAAAAATCCGACGCGAGTTTCTTGAGCTTCTGGTGGATTTTGCTGCTGGAGCATGATCAGCTGCGCCATTTCGTCGAGCTTCGAGTCGTTAAAGAGAGCATCTAGGGTTGGTCGAGCTTCTCTAGAATTAGTGTTAGCTGGGTTTAACCTTCTCAGAATGCCCTGTTGTCGTTCTTACTTAGATTTGTCCTGGAAAACGATATGATCCCCCATTTTTTTCTCTTGAATTCTTGAGCGCTAGAAACTGATCGTGACCTTTCTCAAAAAGTGACAAAAGTTTTTTTCAAGTGGCTTATCACTATTTGCGCGCTCTCCGCATTGTATAGTTAATTTATCGCAGACGGAAATGAGACAGATTTTTTTTGCCTCGCTGTATTTTTATTAAAAAGTTCTTTGTTACAGTAAAATTGTAAGTGATTCCGAGAATCTTACGCTGTTTCTTTCGCAGTGGATTTTCATTAGAGATTGAAGAGATAGCTTCCTGCAGCGGGGTCCAAATATTGTTCAGGATCAGAAAGGACGGCGCTTATTTATGGTTTTCAATTTGTATAACGACGGATTGTACTGAGGAAAGTAAAACCCTAGCCTGATAACTGCTGTTTTATAAACATTTCCGCCGCTTTGGAAATAGTCGTTGCTGAGTGGATCACCAGCTGGTAGGCAAAAAGCACATTCTGCTCCGTTCAGCCAGCGAGAGGGAAATCGATTGGATTTGCATTTGTCATCTTTCAAAAAAATTATGAAGAGAATGGGATAAAGAGAGCTTACGAATTTTAGCGCCGCCGAGGAAGTTTTCGTCTTGTTGAGTAATGCAGGGTTGTTCAGACTTGCAGCCGGACCAGTAGAGTGGAGCGCCGTTTACATATCGATATTGGACCAAACAAGCGCTAGAATTTTCATAATACGAAGATTGATTATATTATCGAACCTCTGAGCATTATTGCAAGCTTCGTAAGTACTAGCGCTGCAAGACGCGTAGTCGACGCCATCGCATTTTGGGCAGTAAGTTTGAGGAATTTGAACGACGAAGTTTTTCTCAGCCGCTTCAGGGAGAATATTTGGTCGATTTCCGAAGGCTTTTTCTGCAGCTGCGTCGTCCTCGAAATTGAAGGCGTCTGGTAGACTGCCGGCTTGGCTGTTGGAAAGATCGACTTGGCTGAGGAGATCTTCGAAGGAAAGCGATGGAGGAGGAGTTGTAGTGCTTCGAGTAGTTGTCGTCGTCGTTGTCGATGTTGTCGATGTTGTTGTTGTAGTTGTTGTTGAAGTGGTAGTTGTGGTGCCAGTAGTGGTTGTTTCTTCAGCCAATTCTGCTTCTCTCTGAGCTTGAATCGCCGCCAAAAGACCAGCTCGAAATGCCTGGACATCAAGCTGTCCATTGACGACGTAGTCATAAATGTTGAACCCTGGTGGAACTCGCCGAGGATCAAATCCTTGGGATCGACCGAGTGATCCTCCTCTCGGACCTTGAGGAGCGTCGTTTCCGGAGATGGATGCGAGAACGGAGAGGATTTCGGATGATTCGGGGCCTAGGTCTTCACTCAGGTCGAAATTGAGCGCGCTCAATGACTAAAAAGAAGCCGTAAATCAGCGATTTGAGCGCTATTTTCAAGTTTTCTTGGCAATTTCCGGCGATAAAATCGATTCTAGCTAACTCGTCTCTTTAATATCAGAAAAATATCAGAAAAAAACTTACATTAGGGTCGATTGAAATTGGAGTTGTTTGAACATCTCCGGTTGAAGTCGCTAAATAGTCAAATCCGTCGTAATCATACTGTGCAAGAGCGACTGCAAAAAGAGTATTTGACAATTTCATCTTTTTGTAGGAGTAGTTATTTTTCCTCGAGAGTCTCTGAGTGAGATGTCTTTTCTGATGCAAAAGAGGGTTAAATAGAAAAACGGAAAAGGTCACGAAACCGCCGATTTTCTAGCGAGGTTCCCATCACTAAGCACTTTTGGTCAGATTGATTATGAAACAACAACAAAGATGAATGCCACTTGCGTTTCTAATGTTTCCGATCGCGGCCCGCATTTGACTGACAAGGCACTTTCGCGGAAAAGTTTGCAAAGAACAAAAATTGAAACAAAAGTTATATAAAAATTCTCGCCAAAATCTCCCATGATTTCAACCATACTTGAGTCTGCAGAAGAGCCACATCATAAACATTGGTTAACCCAATAAAATTTCATTATGATGATTTTTATGACAAAGCTTTTAAGCTAAACAATGACCGCTGATGATCGTAAACTGCCGAGAAAGAGGTCGTTTGGGGTTCATTTCAAGTCACAAGAGATACGAAATCATGAAAATCTCGAGTTTTTTACCAATTATTTTGGGTAGAAAATATGCCGAAAAATATACTTCGTATTATAATAATAAATTATCAGCTCTAGAATTAATAAATTGATTGAAGGTATTGAGGGTCAAAAGCCAAAGTGTTCGTTGGACTCATATTTTGACGAATTCGGATCGACGGAGAGTGGAGATGGCTGGATTTGCAAGCAGAAAGGAAAGAAAATTCGGTGCAAATTTCTTTGTGGCGAAGGCAGAGTAAAGCTTTTCAACAAATACTTCGCGACGGCCAAGTGCAAGAAAAATGGAGAGGTCAAGATCAACAAGTAAGAACGGTTAAAACAGAAGATTGAAGAGGAAAAATTTCTTAGATACGAAATTTCACCACCACGTGACGAGGAGGACAAAACACCATTTTGCGTTGAAAACAAATGCGATAGAAAATCTGAAAGCAAAATGGTAAAATCTGGATTTCAATCATTTACATTGTACAAGCGTCAAAATAATAGATCCCTGGCGGTTTTCTGAAAACGAAAAAGGTGGTTGATCAGTCAATAGTTTACGACGTAAAATGCTCTGATGGAAAACGCCATAAACAGGCAGCATCGTGCGATCCGAGGTTGGTCAATTCATGTAGTTAGGAAAATTGATTGGTTTTGATCCTAGCACTGGCGTTTTTGAAGATCCAGATTCATATCGAAATCTTTGCCTACCAAGTAAGTTTCTTACTAAAATTACTAAGCTCTCAACAAGGACAGAATATGGTGGTTTTATACTGAAAGTAATTGGAACACGGGAATCAATCTCGAATATGTTTATTAACCCTGATAGGTGTGAGCAGAAAATAGTAAAATATATATATTATATTTTATGTTATACCTGTGAAGTCAGGGAAAAGAATGATAAAATTATAGAGGTTCAGTCGTTTTTATAGTGTAGGACACCACCCATCGGTGGCACGGACTTAGACTTGGTCGTATGAACTCGGCGTTGGCCATATCGCCAACGCTGGAATAGAGAGGGGCGAGCTGTCAAGGTATGATGGAGTGAAAGCCTTGGCGTTGGGCGCGTCACGGCTCACTGAGCATAATTACGTCGACCACGCGCGCTAGAATCCCATATTTCGAAGCGAAAACAGTAGGAAAACCACTACATATTTTCCCCTTTTTATTTTTGAAGCGAAGCGTCCGTTGAGCGTAGAAATTTAGTGATTTTCGATGAAGTCGAAAACATTTTCTGGTAGAGAGTCGTGCTGGATGGAGTTTACGACTTGAAGAGATTCCGAATGTGAAGTTTCTGCATGATTGATTCGGTAAGTCGAGTATTTGTGAGCAAGATCATTTGTGAAAATTTTGATGTGAGTTCTCGCGTATTCGAGCTGGTCGGAAAACGATTTTGAATCGGCTTCTAGAAATTTGAAAGCGATCCTTGAGGTGTAATATCGTTTTTCATAGATTGTTTGAAATTGTCTCATCAATTCGATGCGAGTGTTTTTATCGACCAAAAGCTGATAGAGAATTGCTGTCTCACTTATCCAGTTGAGCAAACTGTCATGATTTTCAAAAAGCAATTCCTGGAGGTGGTTGATATCAAAGTGAAAGTGATCTTTAAGGGACTTAGCTTCGTTTTTCAATTCTTGCAAAAAGTCGAGCAGCGATTGCAAGTTTTCTTTTGAAATTGAGTTCGGTAAGAAGTGGATTGGAATGGTGACATCAAAGAGAGCAGGAATGATAAAGCGTTGAATGAGCCGCTTTGGAGGAGCGTCGTTGAGCACGAAGAAATCATTTTGAAGAGAGGTCATTTTCGATTTTTTTCTCTTTTAAAAATGAGTATTGGACCAACCAGTACTCCGTTCAGAACCATTTTTTTTAAGGCTAGAATGCGCCATCGAGTGTTTCTTCCGGACGTTGTGAGGTCATTCCGATGTCTTTTCTTGTGAACATTTGTGACCAGTGATAAGTAGTCAAAGTCGTGAATCGGGCCTATTGTGATGGGTATTTTTCTGTTTACTTCTTTCCCCTTTTTATTTTTGAGCGGATGATCTTCACGAGCAGGAGATCGTTAATGAGCGCCAATTATTGAGCATTTGATCATCACGAGCAGGTGATCGTTAATTTGTACCTGTTATCGGACCAGTAATCTAGTAGAACTTAACAGACTATATATAGAACTAAGAGCGAGTTCCAACAAGAAGAGAGTGTTACATTATGAGTGATATAAAGCTGTGAACAGAGCTGTGAGATTGTGAATAATTTGCTTGTGATTAGAATATTTAAGCAAATATGAATAACAAATACTCTCTTGTGATAAACTTTGAAGCAAGTGAGCGATATTGCTTCCAATAAACTTTTAGGCATGTGATTAAAATAGTAGAGCAATAGAGCAAAATTGCTGCGAACAGAACGATAGGTTACTTGAGCAAGGTTAACTTCGTGAAAGTATTGTAATAGGGATTTATATGGCCTACGAGAAGGGCGTGAATTAGAATTGATAAAGAGTAATAACCCTATTCTTAAGAATATGTAAAGCTATTGAGCAAAGCTTTGAGCGGAACCTGTGAGTTAGATGCCTAATTATTCATAAATGGACTTTCTGTGTGTGATTTTGGCAACTGCACCCATTGCCAAACATCTGCAGAAGGCTGGACCAAAGTTCAGAAAAGAGGTACTTATCGTGTGGCCAATTAATAAGTACATTAGCTGGGTCATGAGAACAAAAATCCACAGAGGCCTGCATGTAAACTTCGTAATAACGGTCTGGTTGAGCATTACCAGTAAGCTGGATTCCCATTTGAGCTTGATCGGGGGAGTTAATATTCTAGTGAGCCAATTTCCAGTTGTGCATTGAACCGCCGAAGTTGTGAGGAACCAATTAAACCTTTGACATGCATGTCGTGAGAGCAGGTCTTTAGACTACAGAGTGAGCGAGCAATCCAAATATGAGTGAACGGTGGCTAGATAATGGGAACGCATATCTGAGCACCACCACGTCGTGAAAATGTGACGATTTGAGAGCGAGATAGTCGAGCAGCTATCTGTGAACAGGTCGAGTTATGAGCGAAACTTCTAGACCATTATAAGGATTAGTCGAGCAGCTTATCACAGGACAACACTATCGTCATGAGCGGAGACGATCTTTCCAATTGTTGTCGTGAGCTGAGTCATCTCTATCACTTGGCTCTTTATGATCTTTATGACTCGTTAACATCTTTTCATTCTTCTGAGCAGGAATGATCTTATCTCTATCAACAAGGAGCGATTGATCTTTATGAGAGCTAATTTTTGAATTTCTTTTCTTCTGAGCAGGAATGATCTCATCTCTATCAAAAAGGAGCGGTTGATCTTTATGAGAGCTAATTTTTGACTTTTCATTCTTCTGAGCAGGAATGATCTCATCTCTATCAACAAGGAGCAGTTGATCTTTATGAGAGCTAATTTTTGACTTTTCATTCTTCTGAGCAGGAATGATCTCATCTCTATCAACAAGGAGCGGTTGATCTTTATGAGAGTTAACTTTAGACTTGTTCTTAACTTCGTCTTTTAGGACTTTCCCTTGTGATTCGGCCACGTCATCTTCCTTGATAAATTCTGTTCTTAAGGCAGTCTTTCGTTTGAGCGGTCGAATCAGACTGATATGACGCCGATATTTTTCTTCGTGAATGGATATTTAATTGCAATCAGTTTGTGCATAATCGACTTGATATATGAAGACATTTTCTAAGGGTAATTGAGCGAATATTCTGTCCTTATGAGCGAGCGACGAAGTTCTTTGAGCGGTGTAATCAGACGCGTATATCACACGAGCAGGTGATCGTTCTGACTCTTTCCATGATTGACGAAAAACCTTCTGAGCAGTTGCACTGGCTAATGATTTCTAGCGTGAGCAATGTGCAAGTATCGTTTTCAATCGTCAACGTGCAATTATTGGAGAACAAGTTGATCACGAGAAAAGATAGCTTGTGATATTTGAGTTAAAAACTTCTCGTGAGTAGACAGGCATTGCGAGCAGTAGCCATAATTTGTATGTCCAGTTTCTATCTAAGAGCTTCTTAGAGCTGAGATAGCCTTCTTTCTGATCCACTTATAAATCAACTCTTATTAATTTGCCTATTTAAAGAGCTAAAGATCTTAGATTTGGAAAGGCATTTTTTGGAGCATAGATCATCTTTCCGTTAATACGTAAGATAATAATTTCTACCAGAGTCTCAATTTTTCCGTTCTGATTACATCTGATGAGCAGGGATCGTTAACATTATTGGACATGTGAGGTTCTGAACGACGAGCAGGTTCAGCTTTACTTTGGTGATGAAGATTGAAGTGTGGCCTCAATGAGTGAGTCGAAATTTGCACACTTTTGTGGCACATTTGACGGTTCTTGATAAGAGGTGCAAGTAGAAGAGCGGGAACATCTGAGCGGATGCTTGTTCTACTGCAACCAAAATTGATGAGCAGCATATCGGAGTCCATTAAGCAAGATTGTTTTAAACCAAATTTGTATTGCGCTTGTGATGAAATGTCCGTCATTTTTCTTCATCATTTCTTGGTTAATTCTTCGTCTCATAATTTTTGATATCTTCTTTTTATATCATTAGATGCAATAAAGACGATTTTTCGAGCTTCGAGCAGAGCTGTGAATGTTTTGAGCTTTAAACTCTTGATTGATCATTAGCGCCTATTATATTCTGTTAATGAGAATAGATCATTCTGTAGCACGCTGAGAAATATTTCGAAGATTGAGCAATATTATTTCCCGTTTGACCAGTTCCATGGGCCGAGGTTCATTTGCATAGCAGAACCGTACACGAATTTCGGCACCTCTTTGGAATGAGTTTCTATGTGAATTCAAATCTAAAGTCTTCCCGGAATGATAATTAAAATCAAGGAACTTTGAATTTCTTCTTTCAGGATTTGGAACATGACGACCTTGATGATTTCTTCTGAGATAAGCGATCATTTGATTGGTAATTATCATGAAGAACACATTGATTTTAAGTTGTCGTTTTCAGGGATTTGATCATCAGTTTGATTTCCGGTTGAGGTGATTTTTTTTCGATTTTCGGATTTGAGAGCAATGAGATTCCGTTTTTCGAATTAAAAAAATATCAACTTTATTCCGGAAGTAAAACTTATTATCATACTAATCGAGAAAATCGGGTAAAATTGCCTAAGGATTCAAAACAATGCCCGTTTTATCGAATAAAAAATGATAAATAAGTATGTATTCACGGATCGTCATTGATAAATTTACGGATGTTTTATCTCTTGTATCTTTTTTATATCTCTCTTGTTGGGCGTACCGATTAATTCAGTCACCAAAATATATGGTGGTTTTATACTGAAAGTAATTGGAACACGGGAATCAATCTCGAATATGTTTATTAACCCTGATAGGTGTGAGCAGAAAATAGTAAAATATATATATTATATTTTATGTTATACCTGTGAAGTCAGGGAAAAGAATGATAAAATTATAGAGGTTCAGTCGTTTTTATAGTGTAGGACACCACCCATCGGTGGCACGGACTTAGACTTGGTCGTATGAACTCGGCGTTGGCCATATCGCCAACGCTGGAATAGAGAGGGGCGAGCTGTCAAGGTATGATGGAGTGAAAGCCTTGGCGTTGGGCGCGTCACGGCTCACTGAGCATAATTACGTCGACCACGCGCGCTAGAATCCCATATTTCGAAGCGAAAACAGTAGGAAAACCACTACAAGAAGTCCTTGATTGACAGTTGTCAGGGAACGTCATTTTTTGCATGACAAGATCATTAATTCTTCGTTTTTTAGCCTTGCCAGAATAAACACAAATTCTGTCGAGGATTTCTGTCTCAAAACAAATTTTCAAATTGACCTTGTTTTATTTCTTCAAAGCCACGTGCCTCACTAAAATTATAGATGACGGAGCTTTTCCAGCTTTGTCAAGATACCGCTGCGATTTTGTTCCTGGCCAAGTTCAAGTAAACGGAACGATTCATTTGCAAGAAACCATGATTGATGGTCTCCGAGGAGTTCATATCAACGGAACGATTTTCTCCTCTGACCCTGCTTTTGTCGACGGAGACCACGGTTTCCACGTCCATTCGTCTAGCGATCCATCTGACAAATGCGCCGCTACGGGTGGCCACTTTGCTTCCAATCCCGATCAAATTCATGGGCCTCCAATAGCCGCGCTCCCAGATCGGTACATTATTTGTAGTCGGAAAAAATCCGGATCAGTTTATTTTTAGACATGCTGGAGACCTTGGAAACATTTTGGTTGATGCTGGCGCAGCGACGATTGATATTTTTGATCAGGAAATGGTTCAAGCCGTGCAGACATTATTTTTAGATTCGTGCTCTAGAAATAGCCCTAGAAATGACCATCTTGTTCTTGGTTGAACAAAAATTATATTATATTATATCAGAGTTGCAAATTCGCTGAGCTGAGTGAGCTGAGCTGGCTGAGTGAGTTGAACAGTGGCTTAGCTCAGCTCAGCTCAGTAATTTTGGAAAATGATCTGATCTGCTCAGCTCAGCTCAGACAGCTTTCACTCAGCTCAGCTCAGCTCAATTTTTTTTGAACATGATCTATTCTGCTCAGCTCAGCTCAGACAATTATCGCTTAGCTCAGCTCAGCTCAGCTCAATGATTTTAATACAAGTTTACTCCCAAAAAATAGTAAAAAAACAGCTCAGCTCAGCTCAATCAGCTCAGCTCTAATTATGGTCCGCTCAGCTCAACTCTCCTAAAAATGGTCTGTTCAGCTCAGCTCCGCTCAATGACCTCTGAAAAAGACCAGCTTAGCTCAGCTCAGCTCAATGACCTCCAAAATAGGCCAGCTCAGCTCAGAAAAATTAATCAAAATTTGCAACTCTGTATTATATGGCAAAAAAATCATCAAAAAGATACTTTCTCTAGACGAAGAAAGTCCAGTTTTCATCGGCGACCGGGGCATCGTCCTCCATGCCGCGCCTGATGATGGAAATCCCGACCGCGATCCAGGCCAGGGTTCGAAAAATCAATCAAAAACTTTTCTTTTCTTTGAATTTTGAAAATTCTGAATATATATCTTTGCTAAACCCAAAAAGCTTCAACAGGTGCAGCTGGCGCTCGTCTTGCTTGTTGCGCAATAACCAAAGATGACCATTAAAAACTGACTATTTCTCACTTCTCATCTTTGTTGAAAATAAACGATTCTCGGTCAATGCTCTTTTCTATTTTAGAAACGGAAGCTTAAAAATTAGCGAATTTGGTTATGTTTTGTGTTTTGAAGGACTAATCCGAATCGCTAAAACCTGCGTTCTATTGGGCCAGATTTTCACACTCATTTTTGAGTGAAAATTGAACAATCAGCAAACTATGAAAATGAAAAATTTTAATAAAAAAGCCTGAAAATTGAACTGTTACGAAATCGAGCTAGAAAGTAATATTACGAGCCGAAATTCCAGCGATATTTTTCTCACAGTTTCAATCACGTTTTTTTCCACCGCTAGAATTCTTTATCGTCCAAGAAGCTACTTAGAGGGTTGTAAGCGGTCATGAGGGTATTTATACCAGCGTTCAGTGATTTCTCGAACGAGGGTATTAATACCCACGTTCGCTCAAATGTCCGAATGCGGGTATAAATACCCACGTTCAATAAATGAAATTTTGTTTGAACGGTGGTATATAAAATAACTTGCTCTAGAAACATAAGATGAATTTAAAAAACTTTTTGCAGGCAAAATTCTGACTTTGCCTATTTTCATAGCTAGCAGAAAGCCCGTAAAATTTCGAGTTGACTGGACTAGATTTGGGCCTAAACCGTCAGACGATGACGTCATAAATGACGTATGAAGTTGGCAAAAATGGCGATTTCGGCCAAACTTTGAGTCAGTTTTTAGAGGCTTTTTTGAAGGAATTTTTCGGTGTTTTACAGCTCAAATTGATCCTTGTGAAAAACTGAACTAAGGTTTTCAAGATTTTTTTATTTGGTTGAAAATTTTTTTTCGCGAAATTCTAGAGCCCAGTTTTTCAAAATTTTTTTTAAACCCTCAAGAACCTTAGTTCAATTTTTAATAAGCTTTCATCTGAGCTGTAGAAAACTCCTTAATTCTATCGGGAAGGCAATTAAAATAAGACTCAAAGTTTTGCGTATTTGGGACCTTCTGACGTCATTTGTGACGTCATTCTCTAGAAAATTTCAAAAACGGTTTGGTCGAATCGACTCAAAATTTTGCGGGCTTTCATAAGGGTACAAAATCTGGCCAGGTCAGAAATTTGCCTGCAAAAAGTTTTTTAAATTCATCTAACTTTTAACCTCAAAAAGACAAGTCCAGCGTTAAGAGTGCAGGACAGCCCGGTCAGCGGCCGAAGCTGGTTCTCAAGTCGGTCTTGAAGGATTCTCCAAAATTTTTCAAGTTAGAGCTGTAAAATGAACCTTTTTGTACGTCCGGTAATCGGTGTGTTTCCCGCCTTCATCGAAACAGATGAGGCTCTAGAACAGAACTGTTCTCAAAACGCCTGGAAAATACCCACGTTCGCCAGTAAGTGTGAACGTGGGTATCGAATACCCATGTTCGGAAGAAAGAGTGAACGTGGGTATAAATACCCACGTTCGGGGGGAACAGTGAACGCGGGTATAATACCCACATGACCGCATACCACCACTTAGAGACTCTGTCAATTATTCAAAGTCACGAATTCCAATTCCTTCTTTTCTCTCTCATCAATTTTCCAAATTTGGTATTGAAGACGGTATATAATAAGGAAATAAAGCCTCCTTAGGGCTTGAGTCCACTTGGACTCTGCTGAGTCCTCGTGGATAATTGTGTACTCCCTGTCTTTTTCTAATAATGCTGGCTTCTGCAGGATAAAAAGAGATTGTTGTTTATATAGCGCTTTATTAGACCGATGTTGAAGGTCTTTGATAAGCTCATATGTCGACAGTGAAGTACAGGCTTTATATAGTCAGTGAATGGTGGGGGTACAGAGTAAGGTGGCGTTGTTGAGTGACTCGTTATCGCCATCGTTGAGAATCTGGTTGGAGAATCTTGTTGGTGTGTTGGCGGTAAGAGCGCGATGAGTCATGCTTTGACTGATCTTGATTTATCAAAGATTGAAATGAGTCATCCTTGGGAATCATCATGATCCATCATATATGAGAATATCAGTGCAACATCAAAGCGGTGCGCGGAACTGATAAGGCTTTTATGACGCATTTAATCGGCGCACGGAAGTGACGCGCGCTTCCCATAGGGATGAATGAGTCAAACAAAGGATCAATTGAGAATCTGGGATTCGGCGCCAATAGTATACAGTGAAAGAAAACGAATCACGGGATTTTGGGTGCAAAAAAGAATGATTTAGAAATTCAAAAACTCTTGTATAAATCAAGTGCTCCTAGAAATGACGTCATTCGGGAATCTTGTTTGAGATGAACTACAGTTTTTGAGGAAAGCTTTACGAAGTAGGAGTTATTATCATAATTTCTGATTATTTTTGGGTTTCGTTTATTAAGGGTATCCCCAGTATAAATGATTTTTTTAACAATTTTTTTGCATAATTAAATAGTTAATTATTTTAATTATTGTTTTAAAATCTAATTATTATTTAAAATAATCGAAAATTTCGACTAAAATTTTCGACTCGAAATTTTCAAAACTTCTTCAATTGTATCAAATTGAATGGTTCTTCCAGGAAGCGTCGCGTCTTTCGCAAAAGTACTACCGCTGCGGGGCTCGCGCGCGCCCTCTGAGAATGCGCGATTCTAGAATTTCGCGCTCTGCGCTGCTCTAATATAACTTCAATTCAGCAGATTCGAGAAAAAATAATAAGAATAAAAATCTACACTCGTATTTCATTTGTCTCAACTATAATCACAAAAAAAGAGAAAGAAAGGAAGAAAAATGAAGATTTACAAAATGATGATGGTTCTTGGTCAAACGGGCTCGGGTTTTCAAATTCCACCGGCGAATTCACCGGTTGCTAGTACTGGCGATTACAGTCAGTATGAAGCCGGAACGCCGATGGTGAATTTGAAGGGCGCTAGAAAACCTTTCAATTGCGGCCCGCAGGAATGGATTACACATTTTTGAATCCTTCGTCTGACTTGTTTTACGGAATTTCTTCAGCCCCGAATTATCCTCAAATTCTTGATTATCGTCCATTATCAGAAAATCGCTTTTAAAAAAGGGTTTTCAATTGCCCAAAAAAGGGCAAAAAGAATATTTTTGTGTTTGACTTGCATTGACAAAATAAAGATTTGCAAAGAAAAGTCAACCCTACTGCTTTTGTGTTCAAGTTCTTAGTCGACCTTTTCACTTTTTCAATGATTTTCTAACCCGTTATTCTGAATTATTCACAATTATTTTAAATAATTTATTTAAATCAATTGTTAAATTAGGTCAGTTTATCCCCGAAATAAGGTAATCATACTTTATTGAGGTTAATGACCTTTTATAAATGATGTTATTAAAATAATTCCTTTTCAAAAAGGGTATTATTGCTCCGAGAAAAGTTGTCAGCGAAATAATTTTATTTAGGTTAATGTTTAAAATTTAAACTTTAAACGATAAAGTACAGCTTTCAGCAAAGGAATAACAAAAGCTCAAAGCCTCTCAAATGTTCAATTTCGACCTTGTTTTATTTCCTTATAAGTTATAACCTTTTAGGATTTTACAGTGAGCTTTTTGAGCCAAAATACTAAAGATTTAATTACTAGATGAATGTATAAATGTGTGTTTTCAATCAAGCATTGGTGCTTGAGATTTTTTAAAAATGTAATCCTCGACAAGATCATCAAAGTACAGCCTGGCCGAGAAGAGATCCTCCAGACACCTAATTTCCCGAAGAAAATCAACACCGGCATGAATTGCGTTTTACGGTAATTTTCAGCTTATTGGTCATCGTTTTTTTCATTCAATAATCAAGGCGACGAAAAGATGATCTGGCGGCTTAACCCCGCTTCGTAATCTACTAATTGAGCAATCCCCTGATCCCGCAAACCCTTTTCTATCTAAAATAAGATCGGTTCTAAAATAGACCTATCCACGTGGAAATCCAGAGTTATTTCAGATGCTCGATCTGGATATTTTGTTTTCTGATCGGATCCGATTCGCTTACCTTCTGCAGATTTGCGAAGAAAAGCTTGAAATAAAAAAGACTCAAAACGAAACTAAGAAAAATTCGAAATTAAAAAAAAAATCCCAGACAATTTCTAAGAAAAATTTTTTTTTGCCAAAAAAATCGTGGATTGGAATGCAATTTTGTCTGACAGACAAAACGTCTGATTTTTTTTTAATTTTGTCTGAGCGACAAAAAAGAAATGTGACCCTAAAATTATCTTGAAATAAAATTTCGAAAAGCGAGGTCTAAAAGCAGTAAATATTTACAGTACTTCTCGGAGGTTCCGAAAAAACGGTCTATCAAAAATTAAGCACCTCGATATTTAGGTGCTTCTCGTTCGTTTTCGTAAGCGCTTATGATAAGGAACTGATAACAGCATGCGCTTCGAGTAGAACTGGTTCTCGTGTTACCCTGTTCTCGGGGTTCTTTTATCTTCTGGAATTTGAGGTAGATTAATGTAACGTCTATTTGCGTCTGACAGACAAATTCTTCGGACACTCGAGATTCGAGATTTTTTTTTCTGTTAGAATTCTCAAGAATTTTTTTCTTCTCTTCAAGAAGCGCTAACCGAACGGACGGCAATGTTAACCTGTTAAAGAACGATGAGACTAAATGAGCTTATGCGGGGGCTGAGCATGTTACGCTTACGTCAGCGCGTTCTAGCGTTGTTTTCTTAAAGAATCAGTCACGTGTTGAAATCTTTATTATTTCTTAAAATATTCATTTTCGTCCATTTTCTTTAAAAACCCTTTTTGACAGGCCATATTTACCATAATAAAACTAAGTTTTTATTCAATTTAGACTTCGACGCCTAGAATAAAAGTCACATGATATAGGTGACGTCATAGCACTAGAAAAATGACGTTTCGTTAATAATTAAAAGAACCTTTGATTCAAGTACCCTTCGTTCGAAAATAGGGTGAGTGTGAACAAGAGCTTATTTTCAGTAAAAACACTACAGGATAAAAATGGAGTCTACCATTAATATGGTTGCATAAGCCTCCCCCCACCCCCATTTTTGATCAAAATTTCTGATGCAAGAAACATCCAAAAACCCGCTACCACACGTCAACCTCCGAAATCTACGGCATTCAACTTTCGAAAGACGCCTAATTGTCGAAAATGTCGTCAAATTGGACCCCCTTCTTTTCGCTTTTTCTAGAGGCCGTTCACTTCAATTGCTGCAGTTCTTTTTCTAAAGAAAGATTTCGCAGAAATTGAAAGAGGGACAGTCTGGTTTGCGGAGGTTATAGCTTCAGCTGTGGGTTCAGAAGTGTTTAGACTGGCTGACCGCACGCTGCATTCCAAAAGTAACTGAACGGTCTTTCTTTTTTCACAAGCTCAGCAGTTATTGAAGAATGAGTTGTTCTGACGAGATTTGCATTCTTTATCAATCCACTGTACTTTTTCACATTAAAATAGGGGTAGCAAGAAGGAATGGTGTCTGGAACCGACAAAAAAATTCGACAAATTTTGCGTGGGCGGCTACTCGGCTGCTGATAGGCCGGTTTGCCGGATACAGGCTTCTGATTGGTTGAAAATTTCCACGCAAAATTTGTCGAAATTTTTTGTCGGTTCCAGACACCTCCCCAGTAAGAAGTCTGTTTAAAAAAAATAAAAGTTTTAAGAAAAACTCAGTCAAAATATATAAAATAATAAATTTAAACAAAATAGCTAATAACTGATATTTGTAACTGAATTTTGGTTGCTCGACGCTCTTTTTTTAAAAACGCTTTTTTTAATATTCATTTGAATATCTGTTTTTAGCTTGCAAACGTTGCCTGGACACAAAATCATTCTGAAGTGGTACGGCTTCGTGGTAGATGGATGTCACGAAGGCAACAAAGTGCGAATAGTTGATGGCGATCAACAGGAACATGGTTTCGCCGCTCGCTAATCTCACATCAAATCATAAACATTCTGCTGTTACCCCTAAATTTTTCACGATAGGGATGTTTAGGGCGGTTTAAAATTATAAAATGATGTAAAAAGAGGGACTTTTAGCTGACAGGTGCTTGAATTTTAAGCAAACTAGCTGAATTAAAATCGACTCTTGAGAAACATTAATTCTGACCTTTTTTTGGAAAATCAGTAGGCTTTCATCAAATATGCCTGAAAATCAGCAGAATAAATAAGGGTGTCAAGAGGTTAATTTTTTTATGAAAAACTATTTCATTAAGGGTGTCCCCAACGATCGGATTCGACTAATCTTAGTCTGATGACCAAATTTTTTTCAGTTAATTAAAGGAAGCTGATTCTAGAACTTTTTTCAGATCTGAAATATCTCATCTGATTCTCGAGATATTGCTGTTTCTATGACAGCGCTAATGCATTACGGCTCGATAGAAATGCACTGTAAAAAGTGTCATTTTCAAACTTTCGATTTTATATATCGACCTGTATATTTTCTGAGAGCTTGAAAAATTCTCTATTCAATGATACCTATATCAATACGATAGCACAAATTTTTCACTTTCAAACAGTGCGCCAAAAGTCGCAAACACCTGCACTTTGGCGCCGGAAAAAGGGATTAAGGGTCTTATCAACGCAAAATATGAGCGAACCGGGAGACTGAAAATAGATCAAACTATTATTCCTGTAAAAATGAGAAAAATTGAATTTCAGGAACAGCGCTAGAATCGAGCTCAAACTTCAGCATAATCGTTACTTCAAAGAATGCATCGTATCAGATGCATACAGATAAATTTTAAAAATCCGTCAAATTTATGGCATAGAGGAGCGTTCAAGGAATCAGGATCTGTTCGAAATTTAAAAATTGAATTTGTAGAACTCGAGAAAAACGATCTCAAAGATTGGTCAGAATAGAAAAATCAGAACTCTTTGAAGAAGCGGTAGGGGATTAAAAGATTACAATTTCAAAATTCTGCCAAATTTATGGCATAGAAAAGGGTCTAAATAATAGTGAGTATATTTCTTTTAGCCGAAAAGCCTTCAGAAAGTTCTATAAAAAATAGCTCAAAGTATAGCCTGTTTTAAAAAAATCGTTGGGGACACCCTTAAGAGTACTACCTTTGATTTCCGCAACTTCATCATTTTGGAAATCGAAGGTAGTACCCTTAAGAAAGGCACCTAAATGATCCTCAAAACTTGGATCGAATCGATGTTGACGCCCTTAATAAGATACTATTTTCCCCTTTTTTGTTTTATTTCACAGTTGCGTTGTTCAGAGCACCTTTGAACAACAAGTTGTTATTTTCAAATTCCTCCGGAGCTGAGCCTCGCAGCCACGTACGAGTCATTTCGTGTTTTTCCACTAATCTCCGCGTATTTTGAAATTTTCGCCGAGATATATTTTGTAAAACACGTGATAAATTATGTATATCGCTGATAAGGTTCATTAGACGATACATTCTGTAAAAAAAGCACTGATAAAAAAAATTGATCACGTGGAAAGAGCATAAGGTGCTCCTGTTTACAGCATTTTTATCTTTTGATAAGAAATTTTTTTTGGCGAGTTACAGGAAGAAAATACTGTAATACTTTACCAAACAATTTGGATATTGTAAGTTTTGCTATTGTGCAACTGTAATAACCAAAACCCTGTCTGTGAGCCAAAGTCTGCAAATTATAAATTCATAAACAATTTTTCGCGGGAGCTAGAACTCAGCCCATTTTCTGGCCCAATAGGGGTTGACGGGACCAAATCGGTAGCGATTAATGAACTTAACGTGTCCTTCCTTTTTCTTGGGCCCGTCACTAATTGCCTGCACGTAATAAATTGTCGGTAAAGAGGCAGTTGATTGAAGAATTATTCGAAATGGCTTCTTCACCTGTCGAGCGTGCGGCGAGAACCTATTCAAAGCAATTTCACTGTGGCGACAAACGCCCTCCAAATTACGTCTCTTCAACGAACGAGGTAAGCTTCTTTCACGTTTTCCCAGGAGAGAATTTTGAAGACAATTTTCCGAGTTTTTCTAGCTCTTTTTCAAGATTTTCTGAATAAAATAAATTATATTATATAATATTATATAATCAGAGTTGGGGTTTTGGTAAGCTGAGTGAGCTGAGCTGGCTGAGTGAGCTGAGCGACGAGTGATTTTCATAAATGATCTCGTCTACTCAGCTCAGCTCAGCTCAGACAATTACCACTCATTTCAGCTCACCTCAGCTCAATGATTTTGGACATGACTCTGTTCTGATCAGCTCAGCTCAGCTCAGCTCGCACAATTGTCACTCAGCTCAGATGAGCATCATAACATTATTCTAGTAGTAAAAATACAGTAAAAAAACAGCTCAGCTCAACCAGCTAAGCTCTAAAGTCGGTCTGCTCAGCTCAATGACTTCTGTAAAAGACCAGCTCAGCTCAGCTCAGCTCAATGATTTCTCAAAAAAGCCCGCTCAGCTTAGGTCAGAGAAATATTCACTCAGCTCAGCTCAGCTCAGTAGAAATAAAGCAAAGTTTACGACTCTGAATATAATCAAATATATTGGTATAATTTTCGGGAAAATTAAGGATCCAGAAGCGTTCTTTTTTATCTAAACTTTAGGGCCTCTATTTGACAGTTAGAATAGCCCCTGTCAAAACTTGAAGTCACAAATCTTTTTTTTTTTCTCCGAGCTCGATGAACCACTGACAGGCGGATTCGAACTTCGAGGATTGATAAAGACAAATACGATTTTGAAAGAAAAAAGCGGAATGAGCTGACACGGAGCTTGTATTTCACGAAATAAGAGCATGCTTGAAAAATCGTGAGCGCACTTAGAAAACCATAATCTCTTAGGCTCACTAGCAATTTTTCGCATTGCGAGACTGCAATTTGCAGCCTGAGAGCTGGGGTTTCTTTATTAGGTTGCGCTTTCGCATACATTTTATAAATAATGAGACAAAGATTTTTAATCGAGAGTTTTCAGGTCGAAATCGCTTTTTCCGTGGTAGACATGATGCGAAACGACCGCGGAATAATTTACAAATTCGGCGTCGAAGGCTCGCTGAGAAGAGGCGTGCCGATGCACTTGCAAGGTAAGCAACTTAGCTCCAAATACGATTTCAGCACAGAAGGAACAGAAGTGCAAGGCCAAATGGGCAGACCTGTGAAAGCAATTCAAGCCCAACAGCCGCAGATTTCTCAACAAAAACCGCAGCACTCACAACAACAAAACTCCCAGCAGAATAATCAAAATCAACAGCAACAACAAGGGCAGCAAAATTTTCAACAAAAACACAATTTGAGAAGCCCAGTTGGAGTTTTTGGCGAAAAAATGATCAGGTAACGAGTTGGGGTGAAAATTTTTGCGGTGAATTTTGAAAGATGAATGCTGTTGTTCCAGACTGTCTGTGATGCCCTTTGCGCGCACTTTTCGCGACTTTGAACAGTCAAGAGACCCACTCTTTCTGATCTGGATCGACTCTTGAAACTGACCATTTCGAGTGTACGTAAAAGCACAATTTTTATCTCCCCGTCTTTAGAAAGATTTTTTATTCGAGGGTTAAAACAACTCTAAAAAAAGTTTTATTTCACTCTTTTTGACGTTTTTTTTACTAAAAATCAAAATTTTTTCCTCAAAAATATTAATTTTGGTCAAAAAAGGTTGAAATTTAAGGGTAGAACCAATTTTTAGAACAGATTTTTAAAGAAAGGGTTTTGATTGGCCGGTAGGTCAAATACAGCAATCTTATTGGTAATCCGAAAATTCACTTCAAAAGATTGGTTTAGTCCGAAATTTTTAATTACTTAAAACTTCAGACGACCAATGCGCCAACAAAACCTCCAAAACAATCAAAACGATCAAATGATGTACTCAATCACTCAAGAAATCGAAGACACCGAGCATCGTCAAATGAAAGTCCTTACCGAAGAAGAAAGTAAATTCGCAGAATACCGATCGATGATCCTCCTTGGGCTTGGAATCGTCGGCGTTCTCATCCCTCTCGCATTGCTGATCAAAATTGTGAGTAATAAGAAGAAGAACAAGGAGCATGAAGTTTCGGGATGAAAATTTCGATTGTTTCTGTGTATAAATTATTCTTGTCGCCAATTTGTTGGAATTTGTAAATATATGTTCTCTTCCTTGATTTCAAAAAATTAACTTCGGTTTCGATTTTTTTATTTGTGTAAAAAGGTGCAGTTTTAGACGCATTTTGGATCCGTACAGACCATTCTTTTCTCAAGTTTCTGAAAATTTTTCGAAAAAAAAAATTTTTCGAAAAAAATAGAAAATTTTTCGAAAAAAAAATTTTCAAAAAAATAGAAAATTTTTCGCCAAAAAAAAATTTTGATAAATTAATTTTTGAAACTTTTCCTTCTCTCGTAAGGATTTGGTCCTGCCCTTTCGACCTCCTTCTTGATCCAGTTGTAGTATTGCGAGACAGGAACATAGACTCCAGGGAAGTCTTCCTGAAAAAATTCCTAGAAGATTTTTTTTATGAAGATTTTACCCTTGCACAGCCATTTCCAAAGCTGACGACACCGGTCAAATATCCTCGGTCGCCAACGAATTCGCAGTTTCCTTCGCATTCCTGGGCGTTTTTGTAGCAAACAAGTGGTCCTCCAGAGTCGGACTGAAGTTTGTTTAAATCCTTTTTTCTCTGCAAGAGAAGTCCATTTTTCAATTTTACCTGGCAAGTGTCGACTCCAGGAGCGCTAGCGCACATGTGCATTTTTGGCTTGAGATATCGCTTCACATCACGGTACGATTTTGCGCAGTTTTTGAAGTCTTTTATGTCGACATTCGCTGTCTGCAGCGTGTGGGCCAGTTGAATTCCTTCTGTTTCGACGCTTGTATCGCCCCAGCCAGAGATTGAGCATTTGTCGCCTTCTCCGAATCGGAAGCTTAAAAAAAAGATGAAAACAAGGATGACTCTAGGTCAGAGTTCCAAATTCACCCTTTCAGCTTCACCTAAGGGTGAGGTAAAATAGATTCACCCAAACTTCACCTTTGGGTGAACTAAGGTGAAAGCAGATTTTCAAAAAAATTAGGTGAGGTGAGGTGAAAATTTTCACCTAATTTCACTTAAAGGTGAATTTGGGTCAAAAACGATTTTTGAAAATTTCAGGTGAGGTAAGGTGATATGAAAAATTTAAGGTGAATACATTGGTAGGTGAACAAAGGTGAAATTGGGTGAGAGCCGATTTTCGAAAATTTTAGGTGAGGTGAGGTGAGGTGAAAACTTTTCACCATATTTCCCCTAAAGGTGACTTTGGGTGAAATCTAATTTTTGAAAATTTCAGTTGAGGTGAGGTGAAAAATTTTTGGTGAATGATAGGTGAACCAAGGTGAAATTGGGTGAAAGCCGATTTTTAGGTGAGGTGAGGTGGGGTGAAAATTGATGAATCTTGGGTGAGGTGACTCTGCTCTAGGTTATTGATTCATACTTGTCAGTATTGATACAGGCAGGCTGAGTGTGATCGTCGAAGACAATACAAGTACCGTCTTCTTTGCTCGGGAAAAGTTGGATGAGTGTTAAATCGTTGTTTGGATGCTTGTATCGCTAGAATTGTGATTTGTCAGTATTTGCCACAATAAACGGGGATAAAGACCTGATGCATGATGACATCTTTGACACGGAAGCTTTGGAAGGTCTTGGCATCTTCGAATTTTTCGGGGTGCTCTGTGATGACATCCAGATTAGCGCTAAAATATCTAATCAGCGGGTTATCTTTCGATTGTTTGTCTTACTCTGAGTAGAAGAATCTCGAACCAACATCGACTCTGAACCAATCTTGTCCACCTTGACCAACATTTTTGCCTCCAGTGAACCAATCCTCTGTCGGAATGCAATGCGCCGCGGTCAAAACCCAACAACTCGAGATAATCGTCGCACCGCATTGATGATCTGTCCTTTGTCCTCCAAAGTTGAGCTGCTGCTTGTATCTCAAGCGAGCTTGGTATGGGATTTCTCCCAATTTGGCATCTCGGCCTCCAATGATTCTTTCCGCGTCTTGCTTCAATGGTCGTTTTCCGCAAGCAGCTTGATCGCGGAGAAACTCATTTTCGGGCTCTTTGCATTGTGGAACTGGGCATCTATCCCACTTTTAACAGTTCTCTTAGTGTTAATTTCGGAACAAAAAGGGGGCTTGGGACTGGGGAATTCGGGATAGGTAGAAACAATGGTTAAGGGTGTCAACATCGATTGAGTAAGGGTATCTCTTAAAAATGCGAAAATCGATGTTGACACCCTTAAGGCCTTGGTTGGAGGGTTAGGGTTAGGGTTTGGGTTAGAGTTACTAGCAAATAAAACTGTTCCTTCTCATCAGGACTATCAGTGTAGCACCAAGGACCATCTTCATCATTCGTAGGATTTCGACAGAAATTATGCGTTGCCCCCTGAAATCAGTGATAACAATCTCCTTCATCCTTTTTACGGGATGGTGTCTGGAACCGACAAAAAGATTTCGACAAATTTTGCGTGGGCGGCTACTCGGCTGCTGATTGGCCGGTTTGCCAAGTCCAAGCTTCTGATTGGTTGAAAATTTCCACCCAAAATTTGTCGAAATTTTTTGTCGGTTCCAGACACCTTCCCCTTTTTCCCTCACATTTTCCTTGTAGGCATGTGGCCAAACACTTTCATCATTCCACGCTGCGCATTTGTACCCCATCTCCGTCGTGTCCATTTCTCCATCGTACTTAATCTCGTCGCAGAGCAAACTTTCCCGCTGATAGCAATATCTAGAATCGCCACAGACGATCTTTTGTTTCGGAATTTCACAAAGAGATTTTCCGAAAAACGACTTCAACGAAGGACTCGTCAGCTGAAATTGCCCCTTGTTCATTCGGATGAACTTCATATCATTTTTCGCGACAAGACCAGCGTTCAACAGCGACTTCGTTTTTCGGATCCAGACTCGGGCCATGCCCGGATCAGTCATAGCTTCGGGGGCATCCGAGCCGGTAAAATACTGAATCCTGGGCTCGGCAACCTGAATGGAAAACCTGAGTCAGGGTCTGAAAGAGCAAAAATGAAAAGCCGCGTAGCGGCATTTTTAGAAACGAAGCCGCAAGGCGGCTTCGCAAGATTATTTTTCAATCTTATATTTAAATTCTGGCGAAGCCGCTTTGCGGCTTCGTTTCTAAAAAAAGCCGCTACGCGGCTTTTCATTTTTGCTCTTTCAGACCCTGACTCAGGTTTTCTATTCAGGTTGCCGAGCCCAAACTGAAGCTGTGGAGGAAATTTCCGAGCGCTAGAATTTTCCAATTTGTAGGCGACCCAGACGTACATCTGCGCCCAGTTGAGACCAAAGCTTTGCTTCTGCGCGAGAGTCTTTACTTCTTGAATTTCTTTCGGGCTAGATGGCGTAAACAGGCGAGAATCGCCGCCAAGTCCTTTGCAAGCAATACCAGCGTCTCTCAGTTTCACGCCTCGTCCTGGAATGACTTTGAAGCATTTATCTTTTCCGGGCGTCCAGCCGGCTGGGCAGGCTGTATCTTGCCCCTGGGATGCACCCAGGAACAAGAACATTTTTAAAAGCTTCATTTTCTAGTTTTTCTCTCTTTTGAGCCATCTCCAGACTCTGGAGCAGTACTGAATCTTGTTTATTTACAGAAGGTCAGACTGCGCAAATAAGGAAGGGATCGACAAGATTCTCAATTAAAAATGGACATGATATTTTTTCGGGATTTTTTTCGGAATTTTTTTTCGGGGATTTTTTAGGGAGGTGTCTGGAACCGAAAAAAAATTTCGACAAAATTTGCGTGGAAATTTTCAACGAATACGAAACCTGGATTCGGCAAACCGACCAATCAGCAGCCGAGTAGCCGCCCACGCAAAATTTGTCGAAATTTTTTTGTCGGTTCCAGACACTATCCCGATTTTTTCGTGATTTTCTTCGGGATTTTTTTTGGGAAATGATTTTTTTCGGGATTTTATTCAATTTGAAAGCAGATTTTATAAATTACAGAAAAGTTTTAAACTTCGACCAAATATTCAGACTCGGCCAAATTTTCCTGCCAGCCGCGGATTGTTCTTGGCCCGTATCCGTTTCTTCCTTCTCTGAGAACTTTGAGCCCGCAGTATTTGTCTCCATTACAGCATTGTCGGCAGACGGACGGTTTGTTCAAAGACCACGGTTTGCATTGGTACTCGGCAAATTCCCGGTCGCCATCTGGCCCCGCGAAGTTTTGAACCTTGTTGTCTTGGCAGGCGTTGGCCCACTTGCAGCCCATGATGATTTCTCGAACGCTGCCGTTGCGGGAGCGGACCTCGACTTCGCAGACTTGCTCGTTGTCCATGCACCGTTCGACGCGACCGTTTCGGTTGCACTCATCCAACGTCATCGAGTTGCAAGTGAAGCAAGAACCGACCGGGATCGGAAAAGGCACGAGTGGTGAGCCAGATCCTTCTTGAGCCTGAAATAAAAATGAGACCGTGTTTTTTTGTAAAACTCACATAAGAAGCAGCAATAATCGCGACGAAAAGTTTCATGTTGATGGAAAGAAAGGAGTTTTTTCTTGCTTTTTATTATCTAAAAAGCTTTTGAAATCGGAAAATTTCTTGATTTTTGTTGATTTTTCCCCTGTATTTATTGAACTCGACAACGCATGAACACTCGGTGGCGACAAATATCACTGATGCAACCTTTTTCAAACAGAAAGGCCCTAAGTCCCCAAAAACAAACTCAGGGCAACAAAAAGGGGGGTCAGAGGTTATCCCGATCGTGGAGCGCTTTACGAGGAATTTCGCGCAAAATTTCAAGGAAAAAAGTCAGCAAAGAAGAAAAAAGTTTTTTGTTTTTGATTTTATTCACATGGCGAAATTGAAATCAACATAATCGTTGTTTGCAGAATGAGATGAAAGTGAGCTGATTTCTTCCAGCGAAGATTCTGAGGAGGACATTCCCCAAATCAGCTTCTGAAGATTAACCGGGATGAAATTCGACGATTCCGGCAGAATATCCAGAAGTTCTGACTCTTTCTCATCCTGAAAAAAAATGAGAAAAGGAGTTCAAAAAATGATATGAATGGTACTTTTTGAATTTTTCGACAATCGTCTTCGTAAATTATGATTTTCGGCTTTTGACACTTCGTTTTTCTTTTGACCTTTTTGACGTAGCGAAACAGACTGAAAAAAACCTCCTTTGAAAAAGAAATTTCCAATTTTTCGTCGCTTACCAGGCGAAAATGGCGACAGAAAGAATGAAAATTGAGAAGAAAATTCCAGCCATGGTAATTTCCAGCGCGATTGAGTCAATTTTCATCTTATGAACCGGTCCACAAATCGTTTCATTTCCATTTTGACCGGTTGATGACCAAATAAACACCTCTTTTGGCTCCTTCTTTTCGTCAATTTTCCAATCGACAAATTTTTCGCTCGAATTTGACTGGAAAATGAAGTCATGTGACTTCGCCAAGGAACATCTACAGTGAGAACATGTTGTATTTGGCTGACTGTAACTTCCAAAGACTGTGAATGAGTCGGATTGGTTGGGTAATAAGGGTATCCTTGCTGAATTGCTGAAACTTTTGATGGATTTTATAAGATCAGGGAGTCGGAAACCTGCGTTAAAAACCTGAGTCAGGGCTTTCCCGACGCTTTAAAAAAAGCCGCGTCGCGAAAACCCTGAGTCAGGATATCTGAACAGGTTTTTGAGGCAAGATTATTCTAAAAAAAATAATAAAATCCGACCTTAGTTGAATCTTTTTATGAGCATTAACAACTTCGTCTGCTTTTTCGATCTTTATTCCAGCTATTTGCAATTCTGAATGCCCATCAATAAAGATCTTGTTTGATCGTCCATAACTTATTTCCGGTCCATTCAATTTTACGGAAGCTAGAAAATAAAATTTCACCTTCTTTCAATGCAAATTCTGACCTTGTCTGAGCTCAATTGAATGGACTGAGTCCAGATTTTCGATCGGGAAGGAAATCAGTTTTTCTTTTGGTTTGATGGTTTTCCATTTTAGGGAAAGAATTTCACCGCTAGAATCAAGGAAAAGAGCGGAGACTTGAAAGTGTCGGTTTTCGCCGCCAGAGTATCGTTTTTCTTCGTTGTTGATAAGTGAATGGAAGCAAAGAGAGAATTGGACAAGAGAAGGGTCGAATTGGACCAAGGAAGCATGAAGAACAAACGTCTCTTCCCAAAAGTCTTTGACCAAAATTTTCGGCGGCGAAGATTTTCGCGTTGAAATTTCAAGTTTTTCTTCGCTAAAAAGCGTTTTTTGACAAGCTTAGCTGGAAAAGAGCTCAAGTTCCGGACTTAACCAATTTATGGAAATGTATTTTTGGATAACCAATAAGATTGCTGTATTTTGTCTACTGGCCAATCAGAATCTTGATCCATAAAATCACTTCCAAAAATAGGTTTAACCCCGATTTCGACTTATTTTTTACCTTGTTTCTTCAAATTCGAACAGAAAATCGCCCACCATTCCATCCGAATAAAACTCGTCCCCAAAAAGATGCCCAAAAACAAAATCATACGCTTCATTGTGGCAAATCTGATCTGCTTCCGCCATGAATTCTTTCCAAACTAAAACGCTTTCTTTCGCATTTTCGACTGTTTTCTCTGTTTTTCGGCATCTATGGCGATTAATGAATAGTTTTTTGCTTTTCGAAGCGAGAATATACGGGTTTTTCGCAGTGGGTTCTTCTTCAAAAACGCTCTAGAAAAAAATTAAAACGGGAAAAATGGGAAATCGTACAAGTAAAAAATCGTCAATTTTTAGCTGATTTTCGACTTCCATAAAAGCTGAAATTTAAATTGTGTCTCTTTGAAAAACATAAATGACCAAAAGTGATGGTAGTAGGAGTAGCTGTCCGTTCTCAGGGGCCTTATTTGACTTAGTAGCATTGCTTCTAGACGGTTGTGCGCGGTCACTAGGAGAATTTGCTCTAAGCTCAAGAATTTACGAGCTAGGGGACAATTTTCTTTTGCGAAAATACGAGGATGAATTTTCTCCTTGTGATAGGATATGATATTACCTAGACAAATTAGTTTGAAAAAATTAATTTGAAATTACTTATTAAGGACCCCCGTCAGCTTTTTTCTTAAAATCAAATTTCGGAATTTTAAAATTTTGACCCCGGAAATGGATTATGCGGGTCAAAAAATGAATTTGAGGCTGCATTTTTCGGGGGTTTATTGCGACTCCTTCACCCCCAAAATCGCATTTGCCCTAATTTTTGCAAAAATATTGATTTTTCTTGGTCGAAAATCGTTCTTCAAAAGAAATGCGGGGTTGTCAATATCCTTGTTTTTCTCGCGAATAAAAATAATTCCACAAATCTAAGCAAGGCCTTTACTCAAAATATTATCGAATAATTATTTCATGAAGCCGTCTGAGTATAAATAGGGCTAATAAAATAGAGCAATCTAGAATGAAGATCACATTGCTGATTTTAAACTTTGTATTTTCTGCTTTTGGGAAGCCAATAACGATTTACGATTTGAATATCATCTACACAAATTGCATGAAAGGTAATTATGTCTTTTCTGCTGTGTCCCTGTTCCTTATGTTAAGGACTTCTCTCAAACAACGAGCAATATGCAAAGTTGATGGCAAATCCGGAGTCGAATTCATTTCTCAATCTTGAAAAAACTTGCGACAAGTATATTAATCTTATTATTAGAAATAAAGGCTTTGCTTTGTAAGTCTCATTTTTCCTTATTCTAAGATATACTGCTATTGATTTTGAATAGAATCGTTGATCCCTCACTAACTCAATTTTCATCCGTCGCCCATCTGTCATGATCATTCTTCAAAAAAGCGCTGACAGAAGCAATTTTCAAAACAAGATCCTGAAATTCCTTCTAGCCGGAGGTTTTGAATAATTTCCGAAAATCGCCTGGTCCTGGCTCATTAAATTTTTCAAAGAGTAATTGGAGCCGATGAGACAGAGGGGGCCTCTTTATAGTCGCGCCTGGTGAGGTCTGAGAATGTTTACGATCGAGCAAAGTCATTTTCCAAACGAGAGAAATAGGTTTTCGCAAATTTGATCAAGATCTTTCTCTTCCTTGATTTCAAGAGAAAATGTCAGAACTGATGATTTTTCCAAAATATGAGATGATCGAGAAAACGATTCATAAAATTAACACTTATGGCGAAGACCGAATGGAAAATAGGTGATTTAAACATGTTAATATAATATAATATAATATAATATAATATATGTTCGTATCACATTGACACCGTTATTAGAAATATGAATGATACGCTTGCAACTTGCGATAGAACTCAAAAGGGTCAAATTCGTTGGAAAAAGTGCACAGTAGCCGGCTGCCAAGAGGTCAATAGATGTGAAAATTGCTTCTCCCTCGACCTCGATTCGGAAAGATGGACATTTTCTCAAGGTAGATCTGAGACTCTTCTAATTTTTGATTGATATCTTGATAGATTATCCGGTTCACTTCAAGTGTTTCAACGAAAATTCCGAAGAAACTCTTCCAGAAGTCGGCAATATCGGCTTTTTCGAATGCTGCGGCGGCGATTATTTTCTTTACTACGTTCCAGTTAAAAATGAAACTGCTGAAAATTTGCCAAAGCGAAAAGCAGCTTTTTCAAAAGACACCCTTAGGTAAATATCTTTTTTAACAGCTTGAAGCATTATTTTTCCTTAGAAATATCGGTTATGGAACTTTGACGGGTCTCTTTATCTTTGGAGCGATCGTGATTATTTGCTGGTTTTTGCGAAATCGGTCGGAAAGAATCAAACAGAAAGAAAAGGAGCTTGAAAGAGCCAAGGCGGAGAAATCGAGAAGAGATAAAGAGAAAAAATCAGCAAAACCCGAATAAAAGAAAATCATTCGAAATTGAGGATTTTATTTCTTTTGCTTAAATAATAATGATTATTCCTCTTCGTTCGAGGCATCTTCTGAGACTGACATTCTAGACGAAATTGTTAAAAAACAAACAGGGGAAATTTTACCTTCTCGGTGAACCTGGGGGTGAACCTTGAGGGCTGATGGCGTCAAGTCCTTTTGTAACAAAATCTGGCACATGCGGAACGTAGATTTCGAGGAAACTTCTGATTCTGTTCACTTGAGCTTCTTTAAAATTCGTGTAAATCTAGAATCATTAGAAAATCGACGATGATGATAATTTTCCCGACCTCTTTAGTTTGCTCGATTGCTTCTTTGATGACATTTTCTGTCTTCAGCCTCGCTAGAAAAAGACCATTTTAGTCGAAAAGAGTTAAATTTTCTACCAGAATGGACAGGGCCAACATTGAGTTCCCTCCTATTGTATCCTCTGGAAAGATTTCTTCTGATGTATCCATCGTAGTTTTTCACGACTCTGGTGATCATATCGCTCGTACTGATTCCTTCGGTTCGTTCAGTTGGGCAGAACATGTTGAGACTCTTTGGCAATGCATACGAATCTAAAGAGAACGTAGAAGAGGACAGAAAAAGCGAAGAAAAAGATTACCGTCTTGGCCACCAAGAGTGTAAGGAGCTTCATCATGGGCGATAAAGTCGATTTTGTGCTTGTCGAAGAATTCTAGAGACGAAATTTTATGGAGCGAAAAAGTTGAAAAACTACCTTTTGAATAAGTCCACGGAGCGTCGGGCAGGACAATATCAACATATTTACAATGTCTAATTGCTTCGTATCTTTCCTCGTCTGTACAAACAGTCTGGCCTTTTTGACGAGTTCAAATGCTGAGTTCAACTTTGAGTTCGAAAAAATTGACGATTTTGAACTCGATTGCCTTTGAATTTGTGAACAAGCCCATCGTTTGAAACTCCAACGATCAGCGTCACATTCGGAAAGTAATTTTTCGCTTGCATCAATTGCCTGGCGTGACCAGCATGGAAGACGTCGTAAACGCCATCGGCATAGACTCGGCAAGGGGCGCCGGCGAGGGCTTCTTCTTTTGTCACTCGTTTGTATTCGCCCTTGCAAAAGTCTTTCGGGTCAAAAAACTCCGCTGGGCCAACATTTTCATATTTGACTTAAAAAAATTTGTGGACCAAAATTTCAATTTTGCTGATTTTTACCAACTGGTTTCCAGTCGTTGTTCTGCGCGTCTCGGCACTTTCCTTCCATCTTCTTAATTTCTCTCTTTCTTTTCAATTTGAATTGAAGCAAATCTTTTGTTCGAAAGTTGATTTGTCAAAAAACCGCTTTGTGTGACTGGAATTTTGAAAATATTATGGCGCGTTATTTGGACGGCCCAAAGGTAGAAGATTCTGTATACCAAGTAAACAAATTCACGGGACATGCGGATTACACAACTCGAAAGGTCAGTGTTTAGTCCGCGGCCAATAAGCGAACTCGTTAGTGGACTTGTAATAATTATGATTGTCTGTTGATAAAAAGTGCATCGTTGGGCATTTCTTTTGGGATTTCTAGAGCCTCATTCAGTCTCTATTTACTCATGGTCGAGAATATTAGTTTATACGATGTCAAACTCTCAGGAGGAAAAGCCAAAAGACGACCCCTGGAGCGCATACTCTTCTCAACCAAGCATGACAGGATATTACTTCAGCGACCAAGCTGCTTCAAATCCTATGTCTTCATTACACTCCCCAACAAACAATTTTTCAGCTGATGTTCCAGCTCCACATCAGTCTGAGAAAGCTTCGAATACAAGTTTCCCTGATTCTGGACCCATTCATGTCCCGATTGAAAATAGAGTTTCTCCAGAACCAATTCTCAAGAAAAAGCGATTTCTAACTATCAGTAAATCAACCTTTTCTGGGGCCGAAGAAAAAGCGTCAAAATCCTTTGCTCCTGAATCAAAAGAAATCCCTGGTAAGTTTCCTCAAAATACAGACTCCAGAGAAAAAAAGACAGGTAAAATGATCATAAACTAAGAATAACAATTGACAACTTTGATGGACATATCATTCTAGGTTACAAAGATACTGGTCGAAGCAATACAATTCCTGGTTATCCTGGGCTCAGCGACCTGAGTAGAAAACCTGAGCCATGATCTGAAAGATCCCTCAAAAAAAAAAGACGCCCAAATAACACCTTCAATAGATTTGTGACTACAGACACTTTGGGTATTTTTATTAGATCATTCAGATTCTGGCTAAGGTTTTCTACACAGGCTGCCGAGCCCAATGCCTATCTCGACGAAGAAAAGAAAGAACCGATGCCGAAATGTTTAAAAATCTTCCTCGTTGTGTTTTATCTTTTTGTATGTCTTATAGTTTTCAGTTCGATCTTCTTAGGTTAATCGAAGAGGAGTCAGAGTCAAGTAATCAAATTGAATGAATAATTTCGTTGAAATAAAAGTTGCACCTGAAAATATCCATTTGGCAAGAAAATTTTCGGACATATCTCTTTCAAGAAAATTTATTAGTTCGTTGTCACTTTCGGTTTCTTTCAGTGTGAAACAAATAATTACAGAGCAGGTGAACAAAGCTTTTTGGCAGCAATTACTTGGATTTCTTCTTTTGCTTATTCTTTTCGGCTTTCAGCTAAAAAATCGTAAAATGGGCGAAAAAGCTGAATGTCTTACTCTGGCGAACTTTCGGATAGCTCTCGAACGGAAGTATTTATTCTTTTGAGCTTCTGTCATGTTGGAAACGTCTTGCCAGCCGTTTTTGTTGCGCTTTCCGCCGCGGCCTTTCTTTTGAGTTTCTGTCTTTTCTTGGTTTGCAATTCAAGTTACACATGAAAAAAACAGGTTTTTTTTAACGTTGCACATAATTGGTGGAGCGTTTTTGATGGTGTTAGATTCAAGATATTTCAATTTTCTCTTTTGGACCTTAATTGGGAGGGTCTGTAGTATGTTAAATAAGCTTTTGGTGTCGGCACCATCACTGGTGGTGGAGTAATCACGACATCCAAAATACACTAAAATCATAGGAAAAAATCTTGATGACGTCATTACTCTAGCACCAACCTTGGTGCTGGCACCAAAAACTATCAGGATTATTTCGCATACATGTAGGAAACATCCCTGTATGATAAAAAACATATCTGGTGCTTTTAAGGACTTTTCAAATTTTCTCCCACCATTCGCGCTTTGCCGCGAATTCCCAATGAATGACGTCATTACTCCACCACCAGTAATGCTACCGACACAAAAAGCTTATTTAACATACTACAGACCGTCCCCTACATGCTGCAAAAGAGATAACCAAAATATCTCAACTCTAACCCACTGAAAAGCGCTCCACAAAAATGGTGCAACGTTAAAAAAAACCTGTTAAAACTATTCCAGAGCAACTTTTCTTGGTTTTTGATTAAATTTCAAAGATGCAAACGGTCCTTATTTTCACTGTTTTCTCCATCAACTTCCATACTTTCAGCCGCCTTTTCCTCCTCCTTCTTCAATTCCTTCGCTTCCACTTCTTTCTGTTTAGATTTCTTCACCTCTGTTTCCTTCTCCTTCTTTGGCTTCGATTCGTTCTTTTTCGCGACTTCTTCTCTCTCCGGCTTTTTCTTTTGCTCTTTTGGCTTCGTCACGGGAGCTTTATTGCTCGACCTGACTAACAGCTGCCCTTTCTTCGTCTTGAGGCCTTTTTTCTTTCGCTGGGAAGATTGAGCAGGAGCAGCTTCCTCCTCATCAACTTCGGCTCCAGAATCGCGATCGGAAGTCTTTTCCCCGTCGTCGGACATTGTTTCGTAATCGTTTTCTAGTTCATTTTAGTGTTGAATACGAGTGATTTCTTACCATCTCCAGGAACAGTATCATTCTTGCCGGGCTTGGCCTTCTTTTCTGGAATATCATTCGACGTCTTTTTGAACTTGGCGATGAAGAAGCCGTCCATGTTGTTGATGTGCGGATAGTAACGCTTTGTCAGATTCATCGAAGGATGAAATCGCCATTGTCTAAAATAAATGATAAGCTCGAACCCCCTCAAGCCGATTTTACCTGTATTTCGTGAAACCTTCTTCGCCAAGATCGAGTCCGGTGTCGACCAACTTTACGTTTCGATTCTTGAGCCCGTAGTCGACCACCCATTCGTTCTCCTCGACCAACAGGGAGCAGGTACAGTAGATGATGTACCCACCGGTCTTGCTCTTTGCATCGACTGAATCTATCGCCGCCAGGAGGAGTTCTAGAGCCGAAATATTAAGCGACAAGAGATAATGCGCCGGTACCTTTTTGGATATGAACGATTCTTCGGACATCCTTGTCTTCTTTCGATAATTTCGCGCTTGGATCCTTAGCGATCACGCCTGTACCAGCACAAGGAGCATCTAAAAGGCAAATATCGGTAGTTGACGGCCCTGTTAAATCAACTTACCGCAAATAACCCGATCAAAACCGCCTTGAATCGTCGGGAAACTCCTTCCATCATAGTTGCAAGTGGCTACATTCGAACAACCAAGACGATGAGCATTCGCGACCAAGGCTTTCATTCGGAGTTTGTTCTTGTCGTTGGCGAGGACCATTCCTGTATTTTTCATCAGCTGGGAAATGTAAGTCGTTTTGCCTCCTGGCGCAGCGCACATGTCCAGTACTTTTTCGCCTTCTTGTGGGGCGAGGGCCATGACGGGGAGAAACGAAGATGCGGACTATAAACTTGAAGTGCTGATCTTAAAGTGGCGCTTACCTGTAACATGTAATGACCGGCGAGGTACTCGGGCGTCGCACCGATAGGAACGGCGGAGTCGTAGATGACGAGACCAACTTTTGACCACTTTCCAACAGGATCAAGGTTGACGCCTCGGTTGATCAGCGCCTGCGCTAACTCTCGACGGCGACATTTCAGCGTATTTGTTCTTTCAAAGGATGAAAACAAGCGAAACTTAGCCCTGAGTTCAGCGTATGTCCAGTATATACTATTTAAAAGACTAGTCAAAAACAGCAAAGTTTCCCTATCAGCAGCCCTACACCCCATAGAACGTTCTCTTCATCCCTTTCCTGATAGTTACAGGTCTGTGAACCTCATTCGCTTCGAAGAACGACACCAGCTGATCGAGCGGAATCAGCTCCGTAAATCGCTCGCACAAGTAGTCGTTGTATCCATAGTAGTACTTGATGTCACTTCTGAGAAGCTCCAAATACTCTCCTCGCGTTTTTCCATCTTCACGTTTTTCCTTGAAGTTCTTGAGCGCCGCAATGTTTTCTTCGATTCTGCTCTTGATGATGGCGACGTCTAGAGGAGCTGACTTTTCTTTTTCGATTTCTTGGCCGGACGGAAGAACGAACTACAAGTTGCCAGGATAAGTCAACGGCTGAACCCTAACTTTGTACCTTTTCGACTTCTTCCAAATTATTCTCCAGGTTCTCGTCGTCATCTTCTTCATCATCGTCTTTTGGATCATCATCGAGATCCTCGTCGGAATCATCCGATCCAACTCCGAAATCGTCTGGCATCTCCTCATCTCCAGAATCATCGTCGAAAAGCATCTTTTCGTCGGCTACGATTTCGTCTTCAGGAGTTTCTTCAATCTTTTGGGCGATTTCTTCATTTTTTGTTTCTTCTTCCAGCGCTTAATAGTAAAGTTAGGTCTTGTTCGTTTTTTCATTCTAATGGAGAAACCGTTTTTCAAATATTTTGACTCACCTAAAAGAGCTTTTTGCTTCTTCTTCTGTCTTCGAGACGAAACTGGGGTCGCCTTCTTGGAGATACCAAGATCTTGCTGTCTTTTCGCGGCTTTTCCGGGGCCTTTGACGATTGTGTCCGCTTTTCGATAATCTTTACGCCCCATATTTTGGGTTTTCTGAAATTTTAGAAATGTTTAGATTTATATTTCACAGTTTTATTAACAATTTATCAAGGATTACTCTTGTCGTTCTTAGAACATGGGAGCTTCTAACCATAGATAGTTCAGAATAACATTTTATAAGAAGAAAAATAACAGTTTTTAAGTATTTTTAACAGTCAACAGAGGGGACACTTAATTCTCCGGTCTAGAGACCTTCGTTTTCATTTTATTTCTTCATAGAATTCTCTCATTTTCTCCATTTTTCGTTTTTCCTCAAATTTTCACATTTTTCTCAAGCTTTTGAAAAACGCGCACTGATTGGCGGAGCGCGCCTTTCGATGAATCACTCCAGTGAGAATTTCAAGAAGAGAAGAAAGAAAAATGCTTTCAAGAAAAGATCTGTCAAAGAGAATTTGCAGAAGAATCAAGAATTCGCAGCTAGAACATTTAAATCAGCATTTGGCAAGATCAGCGATCAGAACAAATGTAAGTTTTAAATATTAATTTTTGAATGGTTTTTGGTTATTTGATGAGTAAATTCGTTTCAGATTCGTTTTCCTTATCGTAACGGAAAATGCTACTTCACCCCAAAACGGCTGGTTCAAAACGAAAAAGTGACGACTTCAATCACGGACGAAATCATTCTCGATTCTTTGCAGTCCGATCCAGCTTATATCGACTCTGTTCTGCAAAGCCACAATCTTCACAGACCCCAGGAAGTCGCCGAGAAAAAGAGGAGAAATTGGCTGGCCAAAAAATATAAACCACGTGAGTCAATCGGCCTCGGCAACCTGCTTAGAAAACCTGAGTCAGGGTCTGAAAGAGCTGAAATGAAAAGCCGCGCAGCGGCTTTTTAAAAACGAAAGCGCGGGTTTTCATTTCAGCTCTTTCAGACCCTGACACAGGTTTTCTACTCAGGCTGTCGAGGCAAGTGAGTCAAATTCGTTTACTTGAGTGGAAAAATATTTTGATTTCTAGTTTTATCTCGATATTGCGGCGTCCACATGGATTTCATCGTGACAGAAGAGTCAGAAGAAGAAATTGCCCGAGTCGTCGTCATCGACGGGCTCTTCAGAGTCATCATGGACGAATACATTCTTCCTCGCTCGCCGGTTTTAGACTTGAACGTGAAAAATACGGGAATGACGATTGAAACGCTGCTGGAACACGGGAGGCCGTATGAAGAAGTGAGAGAGATGTTTATTGAAAGTGTTGGAGAAAAGACGATTTGTGGCTATTTGCTGTCGTCGATGTTTTGTGGGCTCGAGTATACGCCGGCAAGATATGCTAATAATGATCTTATAGGTAAGGGTTCTGCGCGGCAATTCGAGTAGAAAACCTGTGTCCGGTTTTGAAGAGCTATAATGAAAAGCCGCGCAGCGGCTTTTGAAAAACGTAGCCGCGAATCGGCTTCGTCATTTTAAATGACTCATTTATGCCTTTCATACCCTGACTCAGGTTTTCTTCACAGGTTCGTGGGCACAGCTCTTCTGAGCCTACTTGAAATCAGCCAAGAAAACATTGATTCTCAACTAATATCATTTCTTTTTCAGATCTCGCTCATCACAACACCACGAATTTCCACGTAATGGTGCGCAACAACTTTCGCCACACTCTCTACCTCGATTTCGCCGCCATGTCCCGCACACTCCTCGAAACTGTTTACACAGATCCAAACGCGAAGAATGGGGCGATTACTTGCGTGAAAATCCTGCATTATATTTTGGAAGATTATTTAAAAAGAAGTGAGCAGATTGCTGACTTGAATTTGAATAGACACAAGAAAAAACATTTTGTTTCGAATTTGGTCGAGGCGATTTCGGATGTCAAAGTGACGGAATATGAAGGTAAGCTACTGACGCGTCTCTGTATAATGAATTTTTCATCCCGTGGCTTTGATTGGTCGAGGAGCGCGACGATTCTTTTTGAATTTCGCGCCCTGTGGTTGACCAATCAGAGCCCCTTGATGAAGAAATTGCTAGTAGAAGTCATCATTGTACAATTCATCTTACAGTCTCTTTCTAGGGCTAGAAGAAGTACAAAACATTCCCCTAGCAACTCGAAGGATAAAAGAAAAAGAACCAGAAAGAAGAATAGAAGAAAAAAGTAAACCATCATTTTCAAAAGCTGAACTTCTTGAAATGCAACTTCGTGCTACTAGTTTTGAGCTTGCCGAAGAATAAATTTTAAATCATCATTCTATTTAAAAAATGTATTAAAAATGCAAAATTATCAAAAAGTTTTTTACAGATATTTTTCAATGAAAAACGCCTTCGTTGAGGTAGAGCATGGCATTTTGCAGCTCCACTCTTTTTGGATCGTTTTTGATGAATTTCAGGAGAGTGGTTTTGAAGTCGTTTTCGTCTTCGCAAAATTTTGATCCGATGATGGACTTGATTTTGGGGTATTCAGTGTTGTTGTGATGGAACTCTTCTATGTCCCCGTTGGCCAATCTCATTGCAAATTCATCGCCGTTGTAGAGATTCTTGCAAATTGCCTTTTTCGTCCTTTTAATGATCGATTTCGAGGGTGATGTCACTGTGCTCGTGTTTATCAATTTGGTCAATTACAATCTAGATGGCTTTATAATTATAAACACCTTCATGGGCGGCGCACTTCTTTCTGGATTTCTGCCATCGCCCACTTGTTGATTCGGTTGATCATTACGATATTTTGTTTCGTCAATTTATCCGGGGTTGCTAAATTAATCAACTCCCCCGGGTCCGTTTTTAAATCATAGAGAGAGTAAGCTTTGATCAGATCTCTTCCCAAGGGCTCGTCAGATCTCACTGTTGAATTTAATAAGAGAGATTGGTAAAAACTTGGGTCGGGGTGAAATTTTTTGATATACTTATCAATATACGGGCTTTCAAATCCACCGGAGCATTCGTAAGTCCCGACACTTCGATGGACAATCGTGCTGAATTTGAAATTCCCGAATCTGGCCGTGTACTTCATTTCGTACTCTCCATCCTTGTTTCTTTCGTGAAAAACGGCGTAGATGAATTTCCTCCTCTTACTCGCCTGGTTTTCTTGGGAAAGAATGAGGTTTGACTGATCAACTCCATCTAGATTTTTCGGAAGAGGAGAAGTGTAGTTGGAAAGACTGAGAATTGTAGGGAGCCAGTCGACAACATGGAAGAATTGGCTTCGGCTTCTTTTCGGGAGCTTTCTTTTCGAAGAATAGACGAAAGTCGGTGTCAAAGTTCCTCCTAAAAAATGAGGGTCGGGGGAAATCGATTTTGGTTACCTTCGAAGATCGTATCTTTTGACCCACGAAATGGAAAGTTGCAGCTTCTTGGCTCTTCGGTCCCACTTTTCCAGGTGTATTTTCGAACTGCTCCGCCATTATCAGACTTTTTCAGGGTGTTCATCTGCCAGTGGAATGAAAATATTTGGAAAAAGAGCACCCTGGACTGGACGATGAAGATGGTCTCCCTTTCAAGCTTTCTTGATTGATGAAAAATTCTTGAAAGCCAGATATCCATGTGATGAACTGCAGCTAGATGCTCAACTCGAGACTCAGGAACTGTAGGATAAGCCCGTCTAATTATCCTTTTGATTGTTTCCGGGGCATCGGTGGGTTCATGCGGAGCATTGAAGGCAAGATAAATAAATTTGGCATTTTCGTCACTCTGATCAAGTAATTTTATCGTACGCTGGCCAAACAAATCCGTCGTCCATTTGCCTGTATCTTGTTTGAAAATTGGAGTGAAGCGTAAATAAAAACATCACTTGCGCGTCGACGGGCAAGATTTGTTGCTAAGGAAGCGACATCTTGAAAAAGATAATGCTGTGAAGCCGGACTTATTCAGCAAATAGAATTTAACCAGTCGAAGATATTTACAGTTGGGACTTCGAAGTAGAACTTCAAGAACCAATGGTTTTAGTCACCTAAATCCTCTGGGAATTCTACTCTGCGAAATTTTATGCACTCATTTTTCTGTTTGACATGTGTTTTTTTTCTTAGAAATTATCAAAAATGGCAAAAAATCTTAAGGTGGTAGAAACAGCTTTTTTTGAAAAAAGGCGGTTTTTGACTGGCGTTACAGATAAGGGAACTTTAGATTATCACATTTTCTCTACAGGTATCGATAGATCCATCTTAGATCTAAGAACATGTCCCTCGAAATTTGTTTTAGTCAACAGATTTTTGAGTTAGTTGGCTCAAAAGCGACTCATCTCGATTTTAGCCAATTTTCAACCTCGAATATATCGAGTCACGTGATAGCTAAAAAATTCCATTTACATTTTTATGAAGTTCAACCCCTATTCAAGGAGCATTTTTTAGGAAATTTCGCTATCATAAATAAATCTATGATTTTCTTAGATTTAGCGACAGTCGAAAATCGAGAAAGCTGTTTTTACCCCCTTAAATTAAAATATTTAAAAAATCAAAAATAAGGGCATTTTGACATAAATCCGTTTTAAATCTAAAAAATCATAATAAATTTTGATACAAAATCTAATATTGAACCCAATTTTTTCTAAATTTAGAATTTCGGGCATCATTTTTTTCGAAAAATTTTAATATTCCTTTCAAAATAATGCTTTAAAAATTTCTTGAATAAATTGCTTTATTATTTGAAATAATCAAAATTGAATACTATTCAACTTTACTTAGTAAAGTAACCCTATTTGAAATAGGCTATTTCCAGGAATTTGAGTACAGTAATCCTATGAATAGGATCGTATTTACTTTCAAACAGTCCTTGTGCCGCCAGTACCGGCTCGCGATTATCGAAAAAGTCAAGAGCTTTCGTTGTCAAGTGATCAGTATAGTTGACTTGTCCGTTCAGGCAGCCATAGAAACTGTCGAAGCCCCGCGATAGCGGGTGATACGCTTCCCTGCAGTATCCAAGATGCCATTTTCCGACTATGTGCGATGAGTAGCCGACTTCCTGCAAATATTGAGGCAGCAACTTTTCGCGTTCGTCGAGTCCAAAGTTGGAAGCCGTAGGAATTGGATCCATTCCCAGTCCGAAGCGGAAGGGATATCTTAGCAACAAACAAAATTAAAAGATCAACAAATGGTGCGAATCATAAAATTATGCAATTTTGATTTTGATACCTTCCAGTTAAAATTGCAGCGCGGGTTGGGGAGCAGCGATGGGTCGAATAAGACTTAAAATCGACCAATTTTTCATCATCAAAAAAGGAAAACCTACCTGAGTAAACTTGGTCCCCTGTCTGGCCATTTTGTCCATAAAAGGAGTCGTTGTTATCTTCAAATTATTAAACCCCAAATCAGCCCAACCAACATCATCAAAAAGCACAAACACGATATTTGGCTGTAACTTCTTATAGTCCTCTCCATTCTCGAATCTTAGTCTTTTACAAAAATCGGAAAAAATAAAAAAGGGAATATTCTCATTTGACTTTGTACAGAAACTGATATCCTGGAAGTTATACTGATCGAGTGGGAAGGGGATGATAAGCCACGAATAAAATTACCCATGACAAAGTTAGAGCATATTCCGATTTCACGCATGATTCGTCCACCTTGCCTCATTAAAGACGAAAACATTTGGTTATGAAGGCTGACGAAATATTCAACTAAAACCTTCTAGTGAGCGTTTTTTCGCGAAGAAGAATCATTGAGGAATTTTACCTCGAGTTGAGGACTTGGAATCCTTTAGAAAACCGACTAAGATGGTAGAATAAGATGCAATAAATGCAGTTGTATCAAAAGAAGATTTGCGTCAAAGGTCGAGTGGGACTAAAGAACTCGGAATGTTTGCACAAATATTCGACTGCTACAGCAGTCGCTTGCAACAACATCTTGGTTATTTATGGCGTTGCTAGTAGAGACAGAAATGCATAAAAACGATCGTCGGTGGCACAAGTCGCTCATTACTTTTTTTCGAAAGACACTAAATCGAGATGAGTTCTGTCCGCGAAGTTACTTCGTGGCAGGACGCTTACATTTTTTGTCTGCAGCCAAATTTTCAAGATGATTTGTGGCTTTTTATGATTTTTGCTGCAATCCAGGTCTCGATCGCTGGTCTCAAACTAACGAGCTTCTTCATCAACCGATGGGCTAGAGGTGCGAAAGTTGGAAGCGGAGACGAAGATGAAGAAAATGTCGGAGACGACGGAGCTAGCGGTGGAATTTCCATCATGGGTGTTTTGACTCTTATTGCTGGTAAGTTCGATTTCTTTTCTTCAGTTGCTTTTTGAAATTTTTGAAGGCCATCTTAAAACGGAATTTAAGGTGCCCTCATTCTTGCTGCTTACTGCGAAGACGAACCCGATGAACGAACTTTCAACGTTTTCAAGGCGGGTGTCTATTTGAACACATTCCTCTTTGCTGTTGCTTTGATCTTCATTTGTGGTCTTGTTATTGCTTTCGTTTTGGATATCATAACTCGACGACGTGGTCGATCAATCACTTTCCGAATGTTCCTCGGTGGAACTATCGTTCTCTCCATCGCTGCTGCTTTCTTTGGTGCTACTGGTATCATGGGTCTCAAATATGTCCAGAATGAATGCTTCGACGAAGTCAACCTGTTTTTTAAGCTGAGAGAACAACCTATGGCATACCTTCAATTGGAGAAGAATTATGCAGCAGAAGATCTTTTCGGAACCGATGAAAAGCCAACTGCTGAGAGCTTGTACGCTAGTTATGAGGATAGAATAATAGGCAAACCAGTTATATTTGAAGAGAAAGATGAAGACTTGGTTGATGGATCGTATTATGTTGTCTCGATTGTGCATAATACAACAACCTCACGGGGAGATATTCTGAATATGAAGATCAAAACAGCTAAATTCGTCGATGGAGAACTTGCTCTCAGTGAAACAAATGCGCGATGTTTCGAGACAGCTAAAGGTTTTACTGAAATTAATGGGCTCTTGACTTGCAAAATCCGATATTCACATGTTGAAGAAGAATTCACAAGATATGAAGAAGCAACTCAAAAAATTGTTGGTCGGACACAATGCTTGCACAAAGAAGAAGAAATTGAATGCAATGCTGAATCAGATTCTTACCCTCTTTGTTGCAATCAGTTCACACCTGATTATACTGATGGCAAATGGCATGATTGCCACTGTATCAATAATCCTTCTGATGCAAGCTGCCAATTTAACAAGGACAAAGATTGCTCTTACAAACGGAATACTCTTAATCTTGACAATGATGATCAAAGAGAGTATTATTGCGGAGCACAAACCACAGGCTGGTGCAGTAAGGATTCAAATGATAAATTCGACTACAAGGATACATGCAAAAATGCTGGAAATGATGATGAAACATTTGGTAATTCTTAAAATATCCTCTTTTATAATATCAAAAACTTTATAAATGTTTTTCTATTTATTCATCGATTATATTAGATTGTTGTATTGGACTTTATCAATCTCATGAATGGTATAAATGGGGAGAGGAGCAAAGTCTTGATATGACTCCAGTCAGGGGTCTGGATTTCGGCCAAAAATCAAAAGCGAAAGCGAAGCGAAAGCGAATTTTTTTTTTTAAAAAAAAGCGAAAGCGAAGCGAAGCGAATCAAAATTTCGTGAGCGAAAGCGAAGCGAAGCGAAAATTTTTCGAAAAAAGCGAAAAAAAGCGAAAATTTCTGAAGAAATTTTTAAAGTGAATAAAATTGAAATTTTCGTTTAAAAATAAGTGATCTTAAAACAAACAAACAACAGAGACATTTTTGCGCAAAAAGAAACGGCCGTTTTATCGTAAATCTTTTATTCTTTCAATTTTTCAGTGTGATAATTATGCGCAAACTAGTTTTTGTTTTGCTTCTTCTTGATTTCCTTGATTGCTTCTTCGAATGGGCCTGCGTTTGCTCGTTGATTTACCATTCCGGTGTGTTGAGCCTTCTGACTTGATCTTCCACTCTCCAAATCGTAACTCATGGTGGAGAAGTTTCGTTCTATTTCCGCGCTCGTAACGGGCATGTTAGCATACTTATTTATTTGTTAAATTTAAAAACAATTTCTCTACCTTTTGCGCAATGGCTGAGAGGATTGGCCATTTTGACTTCTGATCCCGCCAGAACAATTCGAACAACACCGACTCTGAATTGGGAGAGTCGACATTTTGCGCAGACAGCCAAGCTCGCCAGTGATCACCATCGTTGAAGTACTCGTTGATTTCTTTCTCAACTTTCTCCCAAAGAGACATCTCTGATCGCCTTGCTGGTTCAGTTTGCGCAACTGCATCTCGTGGATCGTAGACATCTAGATTGGCTACCGCTCTTGTCACTTGGCTTGCCGTCGCCGGCTCTTCTCCCAATTGCAATTTTTGCGCAAGTTGATGGATCTCGTTTCTCGCGATTATTTGCCAGTCGGTGACGGCTTCCTCCAGAATCAACTTGTTTTGGTAGAAAAAGTCTTCGTTGTCTCTTGTTTTAATCGCTTCACAGGCTCGGTAGAGGTCAACTCTTCGGTTTGGCCAGTAGAGGAAGAGCGACGTGATCTGAGGCTTCGAAATCCGCGGAGGCTCAGCTTGATGAAGCGTCTTTATTTCAGCTTCCACGAAGGTTTCCTTTCCGTCTTTAGAAATTTTCTTGTGGGCTGGTAGATAAGACTTCCCGAAGATGAGACGGAGAGTCTTCTGGAGCGCTGTCTTTGCCAACTTGTCGACGATTTCTGCGCGTTCTTGACCGTGATCGAGAGCAGCATTTTTGCGCCAACAAGGAAGATAATCAGCTTTTCGTATATCACCAGACTCTGCACAACCTATTTGAATTGTTAGTTTTGAAAGATCTGCGCAAAAATAATACCTTCGAATCATTCCTCTCAGTTTGCCGGAGCACAAACATCATTTCTTTGAGCAAAAAATGATTTGCTTCGATGAATTGAATTTCTGGGAGCGAGACTTGATGAAGAAGGTGAGAATATCCAAGCGGTGGATTCAGCTTCAAGCTAACAATTTGGCGCATGTTTGCCGAAAGAGTTGCGAATTTCTCAGCTTTTGCGCCAAAACGGATGCTGTGGTAATGGTCCTAAAAGAAGATGATGAGAATTTAATAAATAAATGCGCAGCCTTACTCTAAACTTCGGAAATTTTTTGACCGATGAATCTTCCTTGATTTCAGCGTCTGTCAGCTTCTTCTCAGGATATCGCATTCGTCCTTTCAGAATCTTTTTCTTGTCGATCGCGGGAACTCCTTGCTCCGAAAGTTTCTTCAGGTACGCGTTCACAGTTCGTGGACAATCTTCAGAGGAACTTTCAAGAGGCTTGCGCAACTTGGCGATCGCAGAAATGAAGTTGTCAACAGCTTTGAATCGTTCCTTGTAGATGCCAAAGATGTACGCCTTCTCTTCCATGGAGTCGACGATGCGATTGATGGTATGTAGGAGACAGACCACCATGAAGTCGGAGTCGTCTTCGAATTTGGCGAATTTTGAGTCTCCAACGAGGGCGACCATCTTGGATCTCCATAATGGCAACAAGCCATATTCCTTAATTTTTGTTTTAATTTTGCGCAAGACTGAACAGCATATTCTGCGCAAATTTTCCTAGAACTTTTGCGCAGAATTTGCTCAGAAACTTACGTCTAATATTTCTTCGAAATCGTTCTTTGTGGACTCATAGGATGTCGAATCAGTTGCGCGGAAGTCCAGAATCAATGATGAGAAGATTTCTTCGCAGCTCACGGTGACAAGAACTGCCATACCGTTCTTCTTATCCTCATGTGTCCGCGACTTGATGTATTTATGGTCGGCTTGTAATGCGCAGAAACCTAATAGAAGATTGCGCAAAATTATTTTGTGAACGACAAACCTTGTTCAAGCAATGTTGGCAACTCCTTTTTCAAAACAGTTCGGAGAATCTCTTGTTGCTTTTTCATGTCCTCTTTGATGTAGTGATAGCTAGAGGAGTGAAGCTGGTCAAGACACTGCGGGTCGACATTGACGGAACTCAAAAGTTGGGCCCTGTAAGCCTTCAGGGACTCCCTATTAATTGCGCAATTTGAAATCAAGGAAGAAAAAGAACTCTTACTTCGCGAAAAATGTCAATGGAAGATGTTCTTTGCAGATTATGGTCGCCTCCATCTCCGTCAGCTTTTCCTTGTCGCTTTTTTGATTTGAACCTGTCTTGGTTTCGCGAAACTTGTAATTGGGGCTTGATTCTGCAGGATGACATGGTTGTTTTCGCAATGAACTGTGACTAGAATAAAAATGCGCAAGTGTTTATAGAAGCTTAGCTTACTAGCATGTTTCTTCAAGTTAATTGGTTGGCGCGATTTGGTATCTTGGCAGATGAATTCCTTTTTTTTCGCTTTACACCGTGGATCAAGGCATCGCACATCGCCGGTGTACTTGCCATTGACGAATTTGCCTTCAATTCCCCCGTCGAAATGGAACTTCGTTTTGTCGAGATCTCTACGAGCTTTTTGGACAGCGTACTCATTTTCCAGACTCTTCCATGTTACCGAGTCTTTTTTCTCTGAAGTTCCGGGTTCATCCGGATTTTGCTCATTGTCTTCGTCGGAGCTAATCTCTTCTGGCTCAGCTCTCCGCTTTTTCCTTGGAGGAAAATTGATTTTCCCCCCTTTCAGCATTTTGAGATGAGTGAAAAAGGCAATCTGAGGCTGCGCAAAGCCTAAGAGTGGTTTTCCCTTTTCATCCTTATCGAGTATGAGTCGGCGCGCAATCCGGACCAGCGTTGCGCAATATGAATCATGAAAGAAATTCTTAGATTCTCGAAATAAGTGGGAGCATCAATATGGCAACAAACTCTGCGCAAAAAATGGAAATTTCTCATCCAATTCAAGAACTATGGAAGAATATTGAGCTTTCAGCCAATCAGGAGCCATTATTTTATAGAAGTAAACAATAAAGAAAATTTTGCGCAAAAAGTTATCTATTATAACTTATTTTCACCCGATTCTGGAAAATTGGGCTCTCAGCCAATCAGAAGCCAGTATTTTATAAAAATAAACATAATAGAAAATTTTGCGCAAAAAGTTATCTATAATAACTTATTTTCACCCGATTCTGGAAAATTGGGCTCTCAGCCAATCAGAAGCCAGTATTTTATAAAAATAAATATTATCGAAAATTTTGCGCAAAAAATAATCTATAATAACTTATTTTCACCCGATTCTGGAAAATTGGGCTCTCAGCCAATCAGAAGCCAGTATTTTATAAAAATGAACATTATCGAAAATTTTGCGCAAAAAATAATCTATAATAACTTATTTTCACCCGACTCTGGAAAATTGGGCTCTCAGCCAATCAGAAGACAGGATTTTATAAATATAAACATTATCGAAAATTTTGCGCAAAAAATAATCTATAATAACTTATTTTCACCCGACTCTGGAAAATTGGGCTCTCAGCCAATCAGAAGACAGGATTTTATAAATATAAACATTATCGAAAATTTTGCGCAAAAAATAATCTATAATAACTTATTTTCACCCGACTCTGGAAAATTGGGCTCTCAGCCAATCAGAAGACAGGATTTTATAAAAATAAACAGTTTGGAAAATTTTGCGCAAAAAGTTATCCATAATAACAAGTTGAAACCTAATGCTAGAATTTTGCCTCTAAGCCAATCAGGAACCAGTATTTTATGAAAATAGACAGTTAAAAAAAGTTCGCTTGAAAAGTTATTTATAATAACTAAACTTCAGCCGATTCTAGAAAATTTGACTCCCAGCCAATCAGGAGCCAGTATTTTATGAAAATAAACAGTTAAAAAAAACTTCGCTTGAAAAGTAATTAATAATAATTAAATAAGTGCCGATTCCAGAAAATTGGTCCCTAAGCCAATCAGAAGCCAGTATTTTATCGAATTAATCCTTTTTAAAAAGAAGAAATCATTAAAGTTTTTTGAGATTATAATTCTTTTATTCGAGAGGTTTTCGGAGAGTTACAAACTTGCCATTTGTTCGACAAAAAGGACAAGATGGGATAGAAGTGAAATTTGATGGGCAAGAGTTGCAGACAAAGTGAGCAATATTTGTGTGGCAGGCAGTGAGATTTGGAGTGATAAAGATAGCGAAGTTTTTTTCGTCGATTTCGTTGCAGCAGATTTGACATTCAGGATCGTCCTTGATGGCGGCTTTTGCTGAATTGACGCTTTGAAGAAGATTCGAAAGCTTGATCGCAGCTTTTTTCTCAGTTGATTTTTTCATAGAAATTTCTATCGCGTCGGAGATATTTTCGTGTAGAATGAAGTTCTGGAAAGGTTCGAAGGTTTTCTGGAAGGTTTCTTTGTCTTTGTTATCGCAGTCCCAGAACGTTCGAATTTGCAGCTCTCCGTTTTTTTCTCGGACACCTTTGAAATAGATGTCCATTTCGAAATCCTCCCAGTCGAGTTCTACGTGGTTCATAGCGTTGACTGTTTTATCCATAAAGTGGTCAGCGACAAGATGACGATGAAGACTGTTTCGGTTGCAAGTAAATTTGCAATGTTTGCATTTTACAATAAAAGTCATTTTTGTTGTTTGTTTTTTGGTTTGATGGTAAAGGAAATCATTCCGCCTTTTTATGAAACTTTGCAGCTGTAAAATCTGGAAGTAATTATCATCAATAACAATTATCTACGAGATGTAGATGTAAGCGGCGTAATTTTTGCTTTGAAAGAAGTAAAGCAGATGGAGATCTCTCCTTGATCATTTCAGGAAATGAAGTCTTTTGAGCGAATTTTGAGCGAAAATTTTTGGTAAAAAGCGAAAGCGAAGCGAAGCGAATTGAAATTAGAAAAAGCGAAAGCGAAGCGAAGCGAATTCGCTTCGCTTCGCTTCGCTTCGCTCATGAGCGAATTCGCTAAGCGAATCCAGACCCCTGCTCCAGTTGCTTGTCAAAAATTTTCAAAATGCAACAATAACGCCGATTTCTTCGGAGGATGCTGTGACACGAGCACAAATAAGGGTTGTTCTTATTGTAAATCAAAAACTGTTGACGTGGACGAACAGGCCGATCATGCTTCTGCATGCGGCTATAGCCATTGTTACAATAGCGGAAGTATTCATGAAAAACGAGAATGCTGTCTTAAAGCGAAAGAAACTTTCTCCCTTACTTTTAAGGAAGACACTTTATGCGACCAATGGTAAGTTTTCAAAATGATTTTCATCAAATCTTAATTTTTATTCAAGGATAAGATACGATCCATGCGAGGGCAGTACTGACAGTCTCGCCTGCAGAGACGTGACAAATGAATGTAATATTTCAAAAGATTGTTTTCCATCATGCTGCGGGGCTCTCAAATTTGACTTCGGTTCCGATGACGCCATTCATGCATCTGTCGACAGCGACTGTTTCCAACTTGCTTCAGAGCTGATCTCTGCAAAACACGATTCCGATAAATCTGAATTCAGTCTTGGACAGTATATTTATCATCAGACCGGGAAGAGAACAAGTGTTCCGAAGAGAGCGAAGTGCAACTCTGTCAGAGGAATCATCAATAAAGATTGCTGTAACTCAGAGTATGTATATCACGTTGACGATCCATGCTTTTGCCATGGCAAAGATAATTCTTCTCATGATAAAAATACAAAATGTAACACAGTCCATCACTCGGAATGTTTGCCAGGACAATCAGAATATCCACAATGCTGTTTCGATATTGGAGATTTCTTTGGGTATGACTAATGCTAAGAAAGCATAATAACTTTTATTCTAGCTCTGATCATTTCTGCACGTGTCGATTAAATCAACATTCGGATACTGGAGACAAAACTTGCAACGATGTAACAATTTCAGAAACATCATTCGATTTCATTGAAACTTGTCCTAATCCATGTGCCGATGGTGAAAAAGCACTCATTGATGATAAATCACTTATTTGCGAGAAGCCTGTCTTCGAGCTTTAAAAGAGACCACTAAAGATTCTATATTTTTATACTTTCCTTATCTTTACTGCATATTTGAACTGCAAGACAGTTCGCTTTATCTTTGTCTGCTTAACTGACTGAACAATCCTTATAAAAAGGATTGTGAGGGATGACGCTGAGAATTATTTTCAATAAAATAAAGACATCGGTATTTTCTTTTTGTTGTTAAAGAAAAATGTTCAAGCTAGCTTATTGCTCTTTGAAATCTGAGAAGTTCTTAAAACTAGCGTTTTAGTTCTTTGTTCGCCCTTGGCGGTTTACCGGCGCAGCAGAAAAATGTAGCGCTCCGCCGTGTCACATCAATGTCGACAAGCTGACATCCCAGATGGGACACCCTTATCGCCGGTTCCTTCTCAATTTCGTAGAGACTTGAAGATTGGCTTTAATAATTTCAAGAAATAAGAAGATAGAGAAAGTTTTATGGAGATTTTGAGCACCGTTAAGGGCATTTATGGACTGATTCTTGTTGGATTTTTAGGAAAAAGGTTGATTTTTGGAGGAGAATACCGAAAAATTGAAAGAAATTGCTGAAAACAAGCATGAGTTTATTCTTTGAATCAACCGAATAAAGGTTTTTTTGTTGCAAAAGAGTATGATTTGGAGTTCATCGCTGAACAGCTTTCAAAAACAGAGGAAAGTCTTGGTTATTACAAAGAATATGAGAAAAAGCAAATTGAGCAAAAGATAATTGACGATTACATTTACGAAGACGATGATGATGTAGATGATTATGAAAATGGCAATTCGACTGATTTTATGGAGGGAATCGAGCTCACTGGGACAAAAATTGATCATGATGAAGGTACGGCATTTTCTCCTTATGAATTCGCTATTTTGATTCTTAGCATGGAGAAAATTAGACGAAAAAATGAAGAATCGCGTCAAGTACCTTCGTCGAACCTGTCAAATGCGCCGAAAAATTCAAAACCTAATTGATGCAGACGACTTTGATGGATTGCTTAAATTACATGAGCAGATATATGATCTCAATAAAGGTTCTTTCTCAAGCCTATTTTCATCCCTTCATACATTCAGCTCTCCCGAAAGATGACGAGACGCCACTTCAATGCAATCCCCCAAGCTTTTCAAAAAAGAAGAACCAAGCTCGCTTCATCAAGGGTCGCCGGCAAAGCCACACGGATATTTTCCACGAACCAAATTTGAACCTGACGATTTGTCTTCCTCCAAAATGCGGAACGACCAATTGGCAAAATGCCCTCGCAAGTTTGACCGGAAAGCATGGAAGAGCTCAGATCCCAAGATTGCATCCGGATGATTATGCGGACAATAGCTTCGCAAAGAAAATTTCAAAATTGAAAGTTTTGAACACAAGAAATCCGTTTCAAAGACTGGTTTCTGCATGGAGAGACAAATTTCATGTCAAACATAATCCACGGTAAGACATTTTTTTTTCAAATTTAACTGAAAATAGTTTTATGAGAGCACAGTTCAAAATTTAGTTCACAAGACATCCAAAACCAAGCTGTTTTTTCTTCGGCTTAGGAGTTAACCCGGGGCACTTGTGCAAAAGGCTCGTTTTTCAAAAAACTTGCGTCAACTTAGAAACAAAATACAGACGGCGGAAATCGTTCCTAATTCATTTTTTCAGACGACAGGGCTATTTTCTTCCGTCCATCCGGGTCTTTGAAGGGCCTTATGAAAAGCCCGAGCAGTTTTCGTGCTCTTTCGAGGCTTTCGCGAGCTCCAGGGCGGCGAATCCAAGTGAATTTGTGAATAACAGGCATTGGAGAACGTAAGTTTAATTGAGTCATTATTAATTCTACGGAGAATTCTAGAGTTCACTGGGAATGCAGCCCGTGCCATTTCGAATACGACTTGATTCTGCACCTTGAAGATGTGGATCTAGAATATGACTATGCTTGGGAAAAGATCGCAGACATCAAACCAGTTCTTCGGCAACAATACGCAAACAGTCCAATGGCCAAGCATCATCCAAGCTGGTACTGGAGAAATGTCCCGAAAGACGTTGCCAAGAAGATTTATATGATTTATTTCATGGGTAAGGAGATAAGGAAAAATTGGTTTATTGGTTATTCTTTCAAGATTTGGCAGGACTCGGATATAGCCCGGAAGAATGCATGCGCTATGTCAACAGTGCTTCGGAAGCAGATGTGCTTAGTCTTGAAAATATTGTAAAAGCGCGAAGTAATCTAAACCACCCTGAGCTGTACATGAATCAATCGTACCTGCATGAAATTTGCTATTGATTTCTTCAAAAATAAAGATTCTTAATACTGATTGATCTCCCAATTTTCCATTCGAAACGCTATTTACGGAACTGACTACCGCCTAAGTGTGAAATTATGAAGACATAAAAAAGAGAAAGGGCAGATTCTGCAAAATTGAAAGAAATATTTTTTAAAAAATGAAGCTGTACCCCAACCACCAGTTGTTCCCCTCCGAAATTCTCTGAAAAATAAAAAAAATTCAATTCGAACAATGTTTTTCCCATTTTTAAGTTTATTTCAATTATGGAAAGATTTGTATTTGTTCGAAAAGCCTCTTACAGTCAGTCCAGCCATGTCATTATCCGTATCATTCGTCGTATGGAGATTGGAGTAAGTCGGAATTGACCCAGTTCCTTCTTGATGATGTTCCCCGAGTTTTTCTTCAAAAGCGATCAAAACCGCTGTTTTTTTCTGCACAAACCTGGATTAGCCGGAATCTCGAGAGCAGTAGCAGCTCGCGGCTTTGGTGAAATTGAAACGAGAGATGAAAGTCTTCGAGCTGGCCCACCCTGAAGATAAGAATTAAATAAGCAATCCGCTCTGATCTCAGCTTACGTAGCATTGTCTCTTCAGCCTGAAAAACATCATCACGAAAACCGCAAAGGACAAAACCGCCATGAGTCCCAAAGAAGCTTTCAGAAGTTCCGTATTTTCATGAATATCTTGCATATTTTGCATCAACGATTTGTGGTTTTCGTAGATTCCAGCTTCGATTTCGAGCTTTGATTGTTGATTTTGAGAAGCCATCATCGTCAAAATCTAAAATAATAAGTCAGAATCTCTTATTTTTGCCATCAAATACGTCTTTTATTTCCAAAGCATGTTCCTGAGCTGATTTTTTGAGGATTTCATCGCATTTTTCAGACCTCTCTTAAAAAATTGATTGAAAGATTTCAAGTAAAACTTACTCGGAGCCTTGCAATTGTCAATTGAATAATATGTGAAAGTTAGATGTCTTTGTGTAGTGAAAGAGTAGCCATAATATTTATCATAAATCCATTCCCTATAGCTGACTTCCTTTGTTTGCTCTTCGAATCCAGGTAAATCCTCAAGATCGTTTTCATCGCAGGGTTTTTTAGCGAGATAACAACCTCCTTTTGAATCGATATCGAATCCCGAGCACTAGAATAGGTTTAGGGTTAGGGTTAAGACAATTCTTTTCCATTTCATATGTTTTTAAAAAACTCTTACATTGTCTGCAGCAGCACACATATTATAGCAATCATCGATGGTCTTGACGATGATTCTTTTCGGCTTTTGCCGATTATTTCCTAAAAAAATTGGGTAAGCCTCATCTGCCCAGAGCCTCATTCTCCCAGGAGCCTTATCTGCCAAGCCTGGGAGAATGAGGCTTCTGGGAGAATGAGACTCTGCGCAGATGAGGCTTCTGGGCAGATGAGGCTTACCCAAAAAAATTGCCCGAAAAGCAGAAAAAAAATGAAAAAACCTGAACAAGAGCCTGACATCGGTTTCTCGCACATAACCACGCCGTGGCATTCCTCATCTTCCTCTATACACTCGTAATCATGATTCTCTTCGCCTTGGGAAATCTTCCTATAGCAGAATTCTCCATTTTTGCAAGGATTTTTAAAGCAAGGATGTTCTGAAGAAGAACTTTTTTTTTTCAGAAATCAAGGAAGAGATCTACCGATTGGTTTTCTGCACGGTACATTCAAACGATTCCAGTCGTCCGGGCAGCATTCGTACAAATGTTGTCCTTCGGGAACGCAGGTTTCTTCCTCATGGCAACGGTGCGATTTGTCGAAGCAAGGGCTTTCTTTGGCGCAAATATTATTAAAAAGAACATCTCTTTCAAACCTGAATACTCGTTGTCTTGGATCGTGTACCCGTCATCATAGTCCCACCACCAGCATGAAACTCCGGAAAGAAACAAAAACGAGAGCTTTTTCATGGCAGAGTCAACTGATTATGTGCGGAGAAATACTCTGAGAGCAAGACGTAAGTTTACGGAGGAGAACCATAACATATAATCCCTTTGCCATTTTCGTGTCGTGAGCATTGACATTTTATCTGAGATCGAAGAAAAGAAGAAGTGGCTTTTTGGCAATCTGAAAGTTCTAGAAGAATAACCGTAACTTTGACTCAAAGAGGCCTGAAATTAAGCTCGAATTAGATTGGAAAAGGAGAAAAATCCTTCCAAAAGATGGAAGATTTTCTTTCAGGAAGAAGAGGCCCTAGAAATGAAAGCCAGTATTCATGTCAATAATGAAACATAACACGCTGGAGTTAGTCAACAAAAAGTGCTACTTGTCACACCTTCTATCTTATTTATTGCACTTGGGCGTTTCACAAAGTTCAATTCAACGAAAAAAAATCAGTCAAAATGGTAGTCACAAGACTGATTGTAATAAATACGCTTTTTATTGCTTCAAATGCTGAGCCTTGTCCGTCAGACTGGATCGTCATCGGTGACAATTCTTACAAGACCTTTGAAGGTAATTTTTCAAGGGAGATTTTTGGTGATTTCTTTTTCAAGGGGGAATCGATGGAGTTCCGGAAAAGAGCTGGAATGCTGCTCAATCTCACTGTAACACTTTTGGCGCTGATCTTGTCGATTTTCACAGCGAAAACGAGATGCGCCTGATTTACGATACGCTGAAATGGAAAGACCGAGGATTCCGAAACTACTGGATTGGGCTCAATAATCTCAAACAGTTCAACACGCTAGAATGGGTCAACACCAACCAAAACGGAGATGTTACGAAACCGTATAATTACAAAAACTGGGCGCCGGGAATGGAAAATAACTCGGACCAGTCCAAGAGGTGTACTTTTGCACTTTTCACGGAAAACCTCCCTGATTTTCCAATGCCTTGGGATGGGGAAGGCCTTTGGGTCAAAAATGAATGTACCAAGACTGCCAGGTAAAATGATCTTTCCACGCTGTTTTCAACTCCTTTCTTCAGCTTCATCTGCAAAGCCAAAAGTACTCAATGCGTCGCCGACTGCCGTGGCGATAATTGGTTCAAAATGGACGTCGGAACCGGTGAACCATCCTGTATCATCTTTCCCAAGCCAACAACTCAGCGACAATTCGAACTCGGCCAGAGCTACTGTCAAGGAGGCCTCGGGAACAATTATTTCGGCGATTTGGTCACGATCAAAAACGAGCAAGAAAATAAGTTTATCGCTGAGAAACTCAAAGAAGCGATCAATTCTTGGGGCGATTCTGTGACTTACAAAGGCGCCTGGATCGGGTTGAACAATTTGAATGCCCCACAAAACCAGCCCGATCGTTTTTCCTGGATCTCCGGGGAGTATAGTTCTGGTTATCTCAACTGGGAATACGGCGCGCCAGATAGTCAGTTGGATCAAACACCTGCCGCGACTTGTGCTAGCTTTGAGCCGGGAGCTGAGGATACCAGTTCTGCTGTTTGGTCTGCTCGATGGTGTAATGAACCGAAATCAGTCATTTGCCAAAAACCAGTCGGTCAAACTTGCCCAGAAGGATGGACCTTTCAGAAGATAAAGGACAAAGGAGACAGTCATGTTGGAAATAAATGCTACAAATTCTTCCTCAATGGCAATTATCACCTTCCTTGGTATGAAGCGAAAAAATATTGCGAGAGCTTCGGAGCTCAACAGATCAGAATCGAAAGCCAAGCGGAAGCAGACATCTTCGCACAGTATCAACATGAGTGGGCGGAAGCAGGAGTCACGCGAATGTGGCTGGATCTGTCAAACATTCACGATGAAATGCCGCTGCAAGATCCAGTACGAGACTGTCGACTGCAATATTCAGATTTCAACTCCAACCCGAGCTTTACTTACTGGGCGGATGATCAGCCAAAATGCAATGTCAACTCTCACACCTGCGCGTATCTCGATGTCTTGAAAACTTCGGACAACTGGATGGCCGAAAGTTGCTCGACTACTGAAGCTTTTGGCTGTTTCATGGATGCTCCTGCTCAACTTCGACCGACGGAAGCTCCAACTTCAAATTTGACATGTATCAAATCCGACGATTGGCACATGACGACATTTTTGAACGAGCAAAATGGCATGTGCTACAGTTTTTCAAAGTACTACAACGGCAACACGACTTATTTGACAAAATACGAGGCGGCCGAGTTTTGCGAAAGTCTCGGATCAAGACTCGTTGAAATTTTCAACGACGAGGAAAATGCATTCATCGTCAAGCATCAACTCGCATCGAGCTGGCTTGGGCTGGGATTGCCATATGCAGGCGGCCAGCCCATTGATTGGGATTCCGGAACGAGCGTGAGCTACAAAAACTTTGCCGATGGAGAGCCAGAAAATAATCCGTACAAGTTTTGCGTCGAACTTGCTGCCGGCCTGGATAATCATGAAATGGCTGGGCTCTGGAGAGCATTCAACTGTGCTGAAAAACGATATCCGATCTGCATGCAGCCAGCAGTGCAAGTTTCGACGACTAAAAATCCAAATACTGTGCCAACAGCGCTGCCGCATGAAGAATGCGATTTCGGATGGACGTTTTTGGAAAGCTCGCAAAAGTGCATCATGAGTACTTCTGATCAGAAGGGTGAGCATTTTCTTAATGACCTTTCTCATGAAAAAATAAGGGTGGAAGGCAGCTCAATCATTTTGCGAAGGACAAGGAGCAAATTTGGTTTCGATCAATTCTCCAGATGAGCAGGACGACGTTTTCAGAATTGCTTCTCTTGATCCATCCGAATCAGGTAATTTTGATCAAATGAGTTTATTATTTTTTATGACGGCATTATAATAGTTTTGATAACAATAAAGTATAATATATTTTTCTTATTTATTGCGTCGTGTTTTTCTGCAGGGCACCATCGATGGACTTTCAAAGGCAGATTTCGAAGTAAGAAAATCGAGAGAGTTTTTTTGATGATAATCGTTTTTCAACGATCTTTGCTTATGAATTTCTCAAATTCGACGACATCGCCGTAATCTTCTACTTCGAATATTGGCACCCAGTTTTCTTTCAAGCTTCCATCTTCGCCTTCCTCATCGATTCGATAATGCACGACTTGATTTATTATCTCCCTTGCTTGGAGTTTCGGAGTTTTCTGTTCGATAGGCATCTTTTTATGAACATGTCTCAAATGTTTCTCAATGGAAGCTCTTTGGTTAGCTTTGTAGTCGCAAAGATCACACTAAATTATCATAATATTTAAAATGCTTGGGGAAGTGAATTTACACTGAATGGTTTTTCGCCTGTATGTATCATCTCGTGTCTCTTGAGATTGTTGGCATTGAGGAGTTTGCCGCATATTTTGCAAGCTTCCTTTAAAAAAACCTTCTTTTTCATTTTTCTCGCTAAATACAAAATTTTGAATCTCTGCTTTTCGATTTAGGGCCAACCATAAAACCAAAAAATCGATTAGAAACTCAAAAGTCAGTTCGTTCGTAATCGAACCATTCCGATTTTTGAGTTCTTTTGCCTGACCCATCTCTCGGGTCAAAATCAACCTGGAAGTTTTCAATAAATCATGTGATGAAAATAAACAAATGGGTATCGCTAAAAGCCGGCAGATACAGTTTAAGTTCCATTCTGAGTGAAAAAGTACTTGAAAATGAAGCTTGGTTTGTCATTTTTTGGCTTTGGCTTGGCGTGCATGCCGACTGATAACATGTAAGAAAATTTTCTTTGCGCATAAATTATGATGAGGGACGTCGAATTGATCGAAGAAAACAATTTCCAGCTTCCTGAAATCTCGATTGATGGCCCGCTGCCTCATGAATATCCTGAAATTATTAAGTAAAACATCATTTTTATGCATTTTTTAACAACTTAGCTCGCTGACCGAACAGATCGCGGAGCAAAAAGAGACGATTGACGCGTTAGTATTCGCGCTTATCGAAGCAAGAGAAGGAGATTTCGGAGCCTACAAAACGCTCATGGGCGGCTTGTTGCCGAGTGAAGGATCTGGAGCCGAACCATGGCCAGAAATGCCAGATGAAGAGGACTCCTTTACTTTTCATTTTATCAACAAGGTTTGAAATCGTCAAGTTTCCGATTGAAAAAACGGGGATTCTAGTACCTAAAATGGAATGATGCAGCTGAGTATTGCGAATCCTTCGGAATGTCTCTTGCTTATTTCGACTCGAGAGATGACTTCGAGAAATATCTGCAAATGTCTCGAGAAGTAACTCCAGGAGAAATCCAACAACGATGGGTCGACGGAACCAGCCAGGGTCGACGATCAAGAAACTACAAATTCCAGGTTTGCCGAAATCGACCGCCTCTTTTACTCTTTTCAAGGGAAAATTCGCCGCTCCGTGGGGCGATTACCAGCCAACTGGCTACTACGGCAGTGAAAAAGAAGAGTGTGTCGCGTTGTACACGACTTTTGGCTGGGAGAAAGAAGTGCTGAATGATATGAACTGCGAGCGAAAGCAGCCGTTTGCATGCCGACAAAATTTTGATTAAAAAAACTCGAATAAAATAATGATCTCTCATATTTTTTACTAGTCATATGATATGACTCATATCTGTCCAGTTGTCAAAATTGCAGGTCGGTACGTGATAGTGCTCTGCCCCGGAGAAGTATCGTATCAGACGTCTATAAAAAAAACAACGAAAATTCGCAAACAATCAGGACTTGAAGCGAGCAAATACAGTTTCAGCTCCATTTCCAGCAAAAAAAAATCGAGAAATGAAGCTTGCCACATCATTTTTTGGCCTGAGCTTGGGTTGTTTCAAAAGGTAGAATGTCAAACGGGCAATTTTTGAAAATTTTAGATCTACGGAACCAATTGAAGAAATCGAGCAAAATTTCACCTTTCATTTTGTGAATCAGGTTTGAAAATATAAAAAGGAAGAAAATCAGAAACATGTTAAGAATTTAAAATGGAATGACGCTGCTGAGTATTGCGATTCTGACGGAATGTCCCTTGCCTATTTTAATTCCCAAAAGGACTTTGAGAAATATCTGCAAATGTCTCGAGAAAAAACACCAGAGGAGATTCAACAACGATGGATTGACGGTACAAGCCAAGGTCGAGAATCAAAAGACTACAAATTCAAGGTCTGTTTTTCTCTTTTTGCCTTATTTTCATGATTTTCAGGGTGCGTTCATCCCTCCTTGGGGAAAATACGAGCCTTCAGGAAAATTCGTCAACGAAAAGGAAGAATGCGTCGCTTTGTACACGACTTTTGGCTGGGAGAAAGAAGTGCTCAATGATATGAATTGCGAACGACAGCAGCCATTTGCATGCCGACAAAATTTTGACTAGCACTTTACAATAAACAAAGATCACAAAAATATATCGTTGGAGTCATTTTTTCTCCGGGTCAAAAAATCACCAGTGCTTCGGCGCTGCGTCATACCGGCATGATTTCGCCTCACAACCGGTATTCCGAGTTTTTTCAATAATTTTCGAAGATGGGAAAGAAAAAAGCCGCAGATTCGGCACCAGAAAAGCAAAAAGAGGAAAAGCCAAAAGAAGTAAAAACGAATAAGAAAACAGATGAGGAAGTTGAAATCATTGAAAAATTCGACTATTGGGGCTTTTTTGGCTTGATAATTTTCAATATTGCGCTGTTTTACGGCGTGATGAGTTGTGCAAAAGAAGGGTTGACAAAAGCAAAGGTAGGTTTGCTCCTTTTTTCCCAAAAAAGAATGATTCTAGGATCAAATGGACGTCCTCGAAGATCACACCAATTTCATCTATTCTCACTGGAACGCTGAAAAAGCAGCATTTGCCGAGAAAATGCTCGAAACAACCACGCTTTGGTCCCAAGAACTAACAGGCAACCTAACCGGGCCAGAAGCACTCGAAATTCGCGAACAACTAAAAGAAGGGAAAAAATACGCACTGGAAGCGAAGGATTTGATGATCAGCGCTCTTGACGCGCTGCGAAATGACAAGCCGATTTTCAGCTTTGAAACGCAGTACGACGAGGAGGGGAATTTAATCAAGCAGCCGGGGAAGTACCAAGTCATCAAAGAAGACGGATCTCAAGCGGAAAATAATGATTTGGTTGATAAGGCGCTGAAGAAATTGTCAGAAACGAAGTCAAAATTCAGGCTTGGTTAAAAAAAAATTAACCTGTTTCAGTTCAAAAGCCATTATTTTGGACAATTTAACAAGTTGAGTTTTAAAAATTATAGACCAAAAAAAGCAATCTTCGTCATCAAATTCTTGAGCAAGACAAAGCTTTTGCTGCGATCAAATACGCCGGTGAAATGGCCAATGATGAGCAGCTCTTCAAAGTTGGAATGGAGCGAATTACAAAAGTCGCGGCGCAAGTGAAAAACTTCTGGTTTGATGGCGCACTCGACTATCATAAAGAAGAAATGCAGCGGGTAAATGGAACGGCAGAGGAGCTGAAAACCAGGGCCGAAGCAGTTTTCTATGGACTTCTTCGAGTCGAAAAAGCACAAGCTGGAGAGCCCCTGGACTTTGACTTGATCAAAGAGCAGCTTGATGAAATCGATGTCTACCTCAAGGAACTCAAGCCAAAAGTGGACGAAGTCGTCGATCTTGCTGAAAAGGCCGAGCTCATTTCTTCTGCGCCGCATACTTACAGTAAGTTGACACTAAACAATTTGGCAATTAACGTTTTTCTTCAGTGGAACGGGTGAAAAAGTTGATCGGCCCCCAACATTTCGCCGATTTGAGACTCCAGGCGGCGAAGATCGAGAAAGTGCTGAACTTGAAGGCTAGAAACGAGCTCAAGGATATCACAGGTAATTTTGTCAACTCAAATTCAAAGTGACAAAATTGTAATTCAAGCGAAAATCAACGACTACAAGCCCATCTGCATGGATTCCATGGACGATATCGACCTCGAGCAAGTAGAATCTCTCGAGAAAAACTACAAAGAACTCCAAGAAAAACTGGCTAAAGCTGATGAAAACTTTCCAAAGTATAAAGAATGGTTGGACGAATACCACAAGGAGACGAGAACTTGGATCAGAAAAATGGAGGGGGAAATTGCGGATATGGTTAAGAAGATCAAGGGACCAGTTGCGAAGTCGTCGCTTATTATGAGAAAAGCAAAGACTATCAAATCGCTGGAAAACAAGGTAAAGACGGACTTTGGGTCATTTTTTTCCAGACAAGCTCTAAAAAGAGGGTTTCTTCAATAAATTTATAGATGTACGAAGATCTCGAGGCCGGAAAAGCTCCTGAAGACTGCGAGGAATGCAAGGGCTTCAACGACATGCGATATCGCGACCAAATTGCTCTCGGTAAATCCCCCCTTTTCTATCCTCTTTTTACCTGGAACCTAGTCCGCCGACTGCTGGAAGAAGAAGACAACCGCCTCAAGTCGCTCGTTGAAATGCAAGACGGCCTGACCGAGGAGGAAATGGGAGTCGTCATGGAAGCGGCGGAACCAGAGGTAGAAACCAAGAGCAACTACAAATGGAAGAGCCACGCGGAGAAGAAAAAAGAAACTGAAGAACTTAAGGCCCAACTGGATTCGCTCTTTGATGAAATTTAATAAAACTGAAGAAATAAACCAATAAACTTCTTAATTCAATTCTGATTTTTTCTATATTTTGAATATTTTTTCAGAATAATAAAAAGCGGATCTTTGAAAGAAACACGCTCGTAAGAAACAGAAATATTCGAAAAAGAAACTTGGAAATCCTTCGCTTGGAGCGATTTTCCTCGTTGATTTTTTCGAAGTTCAATAAGCAAGGTCAAGAAGTTGAGAGAACAGTTCAACTTTAAGTTATTTTCAGTAATAGAAAGAGTGTTTTTTCACAAGAATTTATCCTTCGTTAGCTTTGTGGTCCACCTGAGTCTTGGGTCGATTTTAAAAAGATTTAAAAGATGTCGAAAAGCCCAGTAAGAACCTCTTAATACTTGGTTGTCAGAGTTTTTACGTAGTAAATCGACCCGGGCCTACAGTAAGCGGATTGTGAACGAAATGACTGCTAGTAGATCGACTAGGTTTTTGTTGAACAGGAGAAGATGATTCACCCTAAAATACTCTTCAAAAAGATGTCTCAAATGAAGCTCACCTTGAGCGCTCTTTCTTCTCGCTCCGCAGATCTGATCTGCTTCGCTATCACCGAGTCCAAGTTGGCGGCGATCATTCGCTTCGCCACCGTGGGATTCATCTCTGGCCTCACTAGATTTTTTTGTTAAAACGACAGCGAAGAAATGCTGGTTCAAACCGGCATTAGAAGATGCTTCCCATCGCTGCTCTTTAGCGACACTAGCGGCTTTTCTTCGAGAAACATCCGAAGATTTTGACAGTTCTCGGACACGGAACTCGCCGCTCCCGCCTCGAGCGAGAGCTTCTTCGCACTAGAATCGGGTGAAAAAGGAGATGAGAAAGATTTCTACCTGATTTTTAGATCTAAAGATCGCCAATGCATGAGTATCATCAATCCATCTAACGCTGAAGCCATCGTATGTCGTAGAAAATGCCTTGAAAATTAACGTTATCATGCAGTATGTAAAATGAAACGTACCGCAATAAGATCTCTTGTCCTCACTGATTTCGGAAAGTCGTATATTTCCAGCATATAATTCGGTATCACGATATCTAAATCAAAGTCAACGACCATCCTTTATGATCTACCGACCGTAAGAACGTTTCAAATTAAGCCCTAGAATAGAGATCTCCTCAAGAACGGAGTCCTCTATCTCATCATCTGCCCAGTCTCTATCCAAATCCTCGTCAGAAGTAAACTCGTAATCGTCGGCGAGTGTGAATGGCTTGGATGGAGGCGTTTCAGATCGAACTGGGGAGCGCTCGCGCGGCATATCCATCCTTGATTGGGGATTTTTCGTGAAGCTGAAATGAAGCGGAAGTAAAGGACCGACTAAGAGACGTCCTGACCTATTTCTTCTTGTCTTTCGATCCTGCTTGAAGCTACTGTAAGCAGGTCTTTCTTCTTCATTTTTCAACGCCATCGCTTTTTCTTTTCTCTCTCGATTCTAAAGAACGGGTTACTATTGGAAATTTTCCAGGTTCACAAATGTTAATATCCAAGTCGGTAGTAGGGGGCAGCCCGGGGCCTCCGGGAGCTCCCTAAGACGGAACAGAGGGGGCTTCGCCCCCCGGGAACCCCAAGTAACTACTACCTGTCTCCTTACCCTAGCCCCTAACCTAGAAAGGGTCCAACTGAACAGTCATTTTTCAAAAGAGAGGAAAATTACCTTTTGACGATCTTTTTCGTCCTCGGTTAGGTCACGCTTTTGGTCAGGTTTCGGTTGTTCAGGCTTAATAAAAAAGGGTAAAGGAAGTTGGGCATCTTGTTCGTTACCTTGCGATTTCTGAGATGCGGCGGTACATACGCAGGTCTCTGTACTTTAGGCTTGGAGTCGGTTTGTGAAGATGGAGATTGAACTTGAGAAGGTGGCGAGTAGGGCGCCTCATCAATGCTATCCGGCGGCGAGAAGCTCTCTTTTCGCTCCGAGAGTGGGACGAATTCTTTGAACGTACTCACGAATTGCGACAGGTCCGTGCTTCTAAAAGAGGTTTTTTTGCTTACTTCATTAGAACAAATCTGAAAAATACCGCGGAAAGTTTGCCTCACGCGGGTTTTCTCGAGGTTCATTCGAAAATACACGTCAAGCAAAATGTCAAGGTGACAATTTTCCATAAAAAAGCCACAAGAGTCAAATAAGAACTCCTAAAAATCAAGGTCGGGGGTAAACTTTGCATTATAAAAACAAGACGTGTTCCTTGAGACGTTTAAAAACCAATAAAATTGTACAAAAAATGCCGACTTCAAAAGATCTTCCTCGGAAAAAGGGCGCAGATAAGAAGAAAAGCCCAAAAGAAAAGCGAAAAAGAATACTTTCCTCGCCGAAAAACACGAGAAAAACAGCTTTTGATGATACTTTGGAAGCACTAGAGCGTTTTACCCAAAATCTTCACTACTACCACAACCCAAAAAACGTCATAAACAACGTGCAATTGAGCCCTAGAACTTCTCAAAGGATTGAGAAGGGATTCAAGATTGAAGAAGCGAATCAAAAACTCGCGATTCAACCGATTTGTAGAGGGATTAAAACTGAAAAAATTCAATTTGAAAAACATGTACGCTTTAATCTGCCACAAGAAGATTATCAAAAATTCGCGAACCATCAAAATGAGGCTCATGTTGAGGATCACGAACCTGTCTACGTGTAAATAGCTGCAGAGCTCTTTGTGTTTGACTGTAAATAAATTGTTTTACCTTTGAATCGGGACAGTTGGGCTTGAAGAGAGGGCGACGGGACTAGGCGCAGGAAGTGAATTTATCGTGTTGGGCAGCAGTTGACTGAGCAGCTCCGGCGGGAACGGCAGACGAGGAGTGAAAGAAGATGCCTGAAAATTTAATACCTATTTAAACGTTAGGAAGCTGTTACCTGTAGATTGAGAAGATTGTTTAGCTGTGGAACGGGCATTATGGGAACATGTGGGGAGCTGTTTGTGTTGGTGTTGAAAACCTGAAGAATTTAGCCTCAAAAGCAATCAACGGCGTCAAAAACTTACGGGAACAAAGGAAGGGGCGTGGGGATTGAGCTCGGGAACTCGCGAATACGCCGTAAGCAAGTTTTTCCGCGAAGTAAGCTGTGCTGCGAGCCGCTCGTCGACCGGCTTTTTTGCTTCAGCTCTTTGAATGAGTTTTTTGACTGGTCGAAAAAGCTAGAAAAACGGCGGTTTCAGGCGCAAAAGATCATTCAAAACTGTTCCTTGAACTCGGCGGTGCATAATTCGGCCTTCTTCTTGAGCTTGCCGAGTTGGAGTGTCCATTTTCTTGGCCGTTGTTCTTGAATTTCGCGGCGAAGCAGATCACAGGGCGTCTTCTAGCGCCCTCTCCGACCGAGAACGAGCATAATTTCGCGAAAAGCAGCACGGCCTTTGGAAGATGTAGAAATTGAAGCGGATGAGGAAGGTACCTGGTGGACGATGTATCGATGCCAGCCGCTAGAAGGCTCTAGAACGAGGGCATCTTCGGGGTGACTTTTATCGCGTTTTTCAAACTCGATTAGTTTCTCCAACTAGCTTTAGTAGGTCAAAAAAGGATCATGGAAGGATAATTTAAATATCATATTTAACGAAAACAATTTTGGACCGTGACAATTGATCAGCAAATGATAAGTCTTCCCCATAAAGCGTCGAGTCACTCATCCTTCCGACATCTAAAAACGAGAATTCATACCGTCATAAACGAAGTAGTTTTTCTATGAAAAACGGCCTCCCAAGTTGGGAGTCCCAACGATTCGGATATAAAGCTATTCAGAGTGGATTTTCGATAAACCTCCTTCGGTACCCTAACTTAGACTAATAATCAAAGCACTACAGTGGGTCCAGCTGATAACAAACATTCTCATCGAGATATTTGATTGGTTAACTCTTATTTCAACTATTTTGGCCAGGAAAAAGACCCCATACCACTAATTTTTGAAATTCAAATAATAAAAATGCTCCTTTGCGTTTGTAATTCAAATAAATGGGAAATTCTAGAGTACCTGTAGCAGGAATATCCCACCCCGATTTGGACCTTCTTCGACCTCCCCTTTTGCCCCTTGGTCTTCTACGGACTTTCTTTGTCCCGTTTTCTTTCTCTTTTGCCATTAAAATTAACAAAATTACCCATTTTAGCAGATAAAAATAAAGCAAATGTTCTAGAGATAGTCATAAAAATTCTGAACAGACAAATTTTTTTCTCTTGCAGAAAAAAAACTGTTGAATAAAATGGGATTACGCAATAGGGAGAAAAGGGTTGAAAACGGGTAGAATTGATTTTCGGAGAAAAAAGAAGAAATGAAGTGAAATTCGGCCAATCAGTGAGCGCGTTCGAGAACGAACCAATTTTATCGAAAATTGAAAAAAAAAAGTTGAAAAAGGGAAAGCTAAAAAAGGCTTTTGAGTACAGAGAAATTTTTTCAAAGAAAAACTGAGTTTTTAAACAGTTCTCTGATTGTGTAATTGCTTTCTAGAATCTTCGACCGAGAGAGAATTTTCTTTCTGAAAAATTACTTTTAACTTTTTTAGAAAGAAAAAATTGAGAAATCGGACGAAGAAAATGGTCGTTTGAGACAGAAGAAGAAAACAAAAGAGGCCTTGAATTCTTGTGAGAAATGAGATGAGACATCGGATGAGCTAACATTGGCGCGTTTTGGATAAATAAAGATTGTAATTATGGCTACCAGAAGAACCAGAAGAGAAAGGGCGAATAGGATGCCACAGGGCCATTATATTGGTCAGTTAGGTAGGAAGTCAAAGAATATTTAGTTTGAAAACAATATTATTAAACCCTAAGAAACCCCCAAGTTATCCTCATTACCCTCTTGATTCTAGCGCGCGCAGCCTGGTTCGCCTACCTGAGCCCAGACGATGTCGACGAGTTACTCTCCTGCGTTCGCGAGCATCGTACTCCTGACCCCTCTCGCTTTCCAGACGCCCGAGACGCAGCTTTGATTGATTTTCTGAAAATCATTCGAACTGCGCCGATTTATGTTCACTCGCCCATTGAAGACACGGATTGCTACCTGGTCGAGACGATCGACAATGAACTTTGGGTAAGCCCAGTTTTGCCCCGGTCTTTTTGAGCCGCTCTTCTTTAGATTCTCTGGCGGGGGACTCAAGCAACAACAGAAGATGGCTTCTCACTGCGCGATCTTTACAACGATCTTCGATTCCGACTAACTCGTTGCGATTTTCTTCCTGGAAACCGACTTCGTCTTCATGCTGGATTTCTTGGAAAATATTTAACTATGCGGCCGATTATTCTAAAAGGAATGGGTGTCTTTCTTTTTTCTTCATCTTTTTTGCCTTTTTTGAAGAAATAAGAAGCTGATGTTTTCTTTATCTAGAGTTTTATTGTTGAATGTCGTGTACGGTGCCTCGTAATTTTCGGTTGTTAGAGGAGCTCGAGGAGGGTCAAAAAGGAGGGGATGGAACTGTCAGGTACAGAGAAAGAAGCGTTCATCGTAACGGTATCTCTTCTTTAGCTGGGGCTTGGAAGATGATGATGATATGACCCTGACAAATTGGAACGGAACGATCCTTGGTCCAATGAAGACTCCCTTCGAAAATCGAATTTACGTAAGTAGTGAAGTTGAGGCTCTACCTCGTCTTAATATTGTCTCATTTTAGTGCTTGAAAATCCACTGCGGCCAGAACTACCCCTCGCAGCCTCCAGTCGTCACCTTTGTCAATCGAATCAACCTCCCTTGCGTCAATGATAAGAGTGGAAACATCGGTAATAACTACTCAAATCCTCTACCTTTCTTATTTTTGCTTTCAAGACATCAACAAAATCAGCTCCTTGCGGCCGTGGAACTCCAGCTACTCGATGAAAACGGTCCTCGGCGAGGTCCGGCGGCAAATGACAGATCGCACCGTCTTCAAACTGAAACAGCCGCCAGAGGGCTCTTCCTTCATGTAATCATAGTTCAAAAGATACCTCCTCTTAGGCTAAATTAAAACTGCTAAAAAGCACCTGTCGATCCTCATGCCTTCCGTTCCTAGAATGCATGATTATTTCGGATGCGCTCTACTCTCAATCCAATACGGTATTGGCAATACCATTCCTTTGACACCCATTGAAAGCCATTTCGAAGTACCTTTCTCAATCAGAAAACTCCTTGACCGTGCGATGTTGCGGCCATTCTCTTGGTGGAGCGATAGCGATGATAAACGCGGCCGACTTATGCATTCAAAACGAAATCCTTTGGAACGACAACCTTACTGTCGCTTGCTGTACCTTCGGCGCGCCAGCAGCGGGGAATAGGGCATTCGCAGATTTCTTCAATTTCTACGTGAAGAATTCGACAAGAGTGACGATTCAAGACGACCCGATTACCTATCTGCCATGTTTTCCTTGGTTTACGGTTAGACATTTACAGAATTTTCCTGATATAATCCTATTCTACAGCATGTTAAAGGCGATTTATGCGTCTTCGAGTCCGCAAGTGTCTTTCACTGGGTTTTGTCCTTCGCTTTCAAGGGGATCCTGAACCACCACATGGTCAAGTACATCCACGGCTCTGATTGTCACGATGGAAAACGACTGCCGCTTCCGTCAGAGACAACTACAGTCATGATGATTGAAGGAATCGTGAAAACTATCATCGTTTACGCTGTTATTCTTATAGGAAAGGGTTGAAAGTAGTTCAAGTTCTGAATCATTTACAGAATCGGCAGATCATGTCATTATTTGAGGGCGTATTTCTAGGTATTTGGTCCTTTTCAACCCTGTGGAAGTTGCAAATATGGACAGATTCTCTATCCTGCTCTACATTCTTTTCTTTGTTTTCGACATTTTCGACAACCATTTTGCCTCGTTGAAAAAATACCTCAGAAGTTATTTACGCGGTGCCTCCTATATTCCTTCAGGTACTTTCCCTCAATCCTCCCCTTCTTTACTCCTCTTTAAGATACCTATCTCGTCCGACAAGAACGGTCTTCTAGACTTATCCCTGTTTCATCCAGCCATCTTTGACCATCTCAACGCAACAGCTGTTTTTCAAAGATGCTTTTTCTTGCCTCACTATCTTCAACACTAGAATTTTGCTATTCTTATCAATCCTGGTTAAAGACATGTTTCAAACTGAATTCGTTCCAGTTCTAAGTTCAAGAAACAGGAACCAAATAAAACTAGAATTCAACATTTCAAACAGACACGCGTTTTTTACAAAAACAAGCATTGGAACTAAAATTTATTCAGTAAAGCAGGGTTAGGGCAATTTGATAATTTTTTATGAGGATTCCACGAACAATTTTGATATGATTTATAAATTATAATCCATTCGGAGTTCTAACTATTTAAAAACGATTTTTTTGATCATTTGATCATGTGCTCTTTTTAACTATATATTAACTTGATCATTTGACATAACGTCTTCGTCTTCTATCGGATCCGCTATTTGTTGCCGGTCATTTTCTACGCTCCCAGTTGCACTCGTTGCTGGATTATCATTCGGGTCTTGTTGAAATGGGAAAGCTTCTAACTGATGGAGCTTCAAGAGACCTCCTTAGAGTTAGCAAATCTTAAATTTAGGTAAAAATTTAAAGAGCAGAATTATCCAATCACTTTTCAAAGCAGTTATCTTGAAACTTCCCTGAACCGAACTTTCAGAAACCTCCATACCAGTGTCCTCTTCTATATCTTCGAGAACAGGTCCAGAGGGATTTTCAAGGACCCAACTCTCTGGGTCTGGGCTTGAGAAGCCGCTCTGGAATGTTGAACCTAAAGACGAAATGGGGCTACCAGTATTACGGCGAATTTGAGCCACTTCATTTTCGATGGATGTTATCCTTTGAGAAATATTTTGAATATTTTGCGTTGTTTCTTCTTTAAATTGTCGGTTTTCCTGACGCATTTCTTCTAAATTGTTAATGACGGCCTCTAACTGATTGGAATTCTCAGACATCCTGGTGTAGTATTTGAATATCTCTTTACATTGGCAAAAGGTTAACGGTTCTGTTTGACTGACGCACATCGTTAATTTTTTTACGAGAAGTTATCACACGAGCACGCGGGGCGAAAATTGCTCTCAAACGGTTTAACTCGTAATTAACTATTTTCAACGAACGCGTGAAATTTCTGACTCTGACCTGTTTTACTGAATAAATATCGAGGAAAATTTTTCGAGCCTTGACCCTATGATAAGATTGCCAAGCCTGCTTAGTTAAATCGCACGAGCAGTGATTCATCAATGGATTTTATTCAAAAGAAATATTCGTTATCTTGAAATAAGGTTGCAGTTATGAAGTATTAGTATCATTCCGATGAAGATCGCGTTCAAGAGCCGAGATCCTATCAGATAGATTATTTATATTGCTTCTTATTTCTCTTCGAAAGCTTAGGTTTTCTCCACGCATATCATCAATTCTATCCATTAAGTCTTGCCAATCAGGCATTTTGCTGTTTTCTTAAATTTCTTCACTTTGGCAAAAGCTTGAGGTTAACGGTCTTCTCTTCACTGATTCGCATCGTAAATATTTTTTATGACCATAGCACGAGGTTATCATTAAGGTCTACTCATTTCTGTTACTCGAATCGACCTACCTCTTGATGGTAGATGTCAATATTTCTTATCATAGTTCTTTTAATAATATCTCGGCTCAGAATCTTTTGAGGAAGTATTATATTTTTAACGCGTGAGCGCACGGCGCCCCGAACTCGGGGCAGAGCCCCTTATCCACAATTTTCTCCTACTTTTCGTGAACAATAATTTTCGAGACCCCGTCTTTATGGGGCTCAAATTTTGCGAGAAAAACGATTTTAAGGTCGAAAAAATTTTTCTGAACATTTTTGATTTTAGTATTGAGACGAAAAGTCAACATTGGGCAAAAACACACAATAATTCTAAGATTTTCTTATTTTCTTCATAAAAACTTGTCAAACTCTTATATTTACTAAAACCCGAATCTTTACCGGAGAAACAAAAGTTTAGATTTACAAAGAGTTTTTATATTTCTCAGTTTTTGCAACCATAAAACTCTTAGAATGGATACTTTAGTTATTATCGGATTCAAGTCGGCTTAACTTTTGATATTACTATTTTTCACTTTAAAAATTGTTTATAAGTTTCTAATAGTACTTGCTTAAGTGTTATTTTGATTTAAGAGTAGATTTATTTTGCGTAGTATGGAAAAATGTTTCGGTAAAAGCGACCGAAATATAAATCACTTTCGAGGGGTCAAATATGATAAATATTTCGGCAGGCAGCCGAAAGAATTATACAAATAAGACCCGTTTTTAGGAAAAATATTTCGGTACGAGCCGAAACAAAAATCAGAATTTGATGTCTTTTGAGCAATAAAATTTCGGTAGGTTTTTCCATTATCATCCTGATTTGCGCTGGTATGTGCATTCAATGAGTGTGCCTTATCAATTTTCACCTCAAAAATCTCGAGTTATTTTCTGTTCTCATATTCAGAAGATCATCTCTGGGTTCATTCTTTATTTCGCAAAAATGAAGTAAGCCGATGATAAAAAAACGTAATCTTGCTAAAATTTTGCTAAAATAAAGGTTAGGGTTAGGGGGCACCTGCAAAAATGACGGAACAAATTACCCGAGGGGGATAGGCTAGGGTTCGTTAGGGTTACTGAAAGTAACCCTAAGTAACCCTAGACTAGACCCCGGCATCTTAGGACCTAAGGGGCGAAGCCCCGTGGTCGGGGGAACTTAGATTCTTTGATTTCGGTAGCCTGCCGAAATATTTTTATGACAACAGTGGAAAAAAGTGAAAAAAGTTTCGGCTGTTACCGAAATATTAATCAGAAAATAAGCTCACCATATTTCGGCAGTTTTACCGAAACATTTTTCCATACTACCTTATTTTGCGCTAGAACAGTAAAAGGGGGTTGCCCCGAGTTCGGGCCGCCGTGCGCTCACCGGGAAAAAAATTTTGTGCGCTCGCGCGTTAAGTAAAGCCTTACTATCTTCAACACTAGAATTTTGCTATTCTTATCAATCCTCGTTCAAAACATGTTTCAAACTGAATTCGTTCCAGTTCTAAGTTCAAGAAACAGGAACCAAGTAAATAATTGAAACGAGAAAGATTTTTGTCACGAATGAGCAAATACTGTATTAAATTTTGTCCATTGAATTTTAGCAATAATTTATTGAAAAAAACAGATAAAAAATGACCATTTATAAAAATTATTTCGGTCTTCGGAATTTTCTTGATCCATGAGTTCGGATCTTCGCCGGAACTGTCCTCGTGGGTCGAAATTTGGATCTTCTTCGAACTCAAGAGCATCAAACCTAGCGCGATTTACCGACTGAACTTCTATGTTCTCAGGAATCATTTCAGGGACGGCGTCTGGAATATTTTGCGGACTGCTGAAATTTCGTTCGAATGTTGAAGAGCTCCACGGACTATCTCTGTCACGGCGAAGCTGAGCTATTTCTTCTCTGATACTTGCCTGAGCTTCCTCTACTCTATTGATTCTTTCGGATAGCTCTCGTGTCTCTTGCCTTATCAATTCGACATTTTGGCGGTTTTCTTCACGCATTTGTTGAACATTTTGCGCTGTTTGTTGGTTTTCTTGTCTTATTTGTCGCATAGTTCTCATAATTATTTCAAGAGGGTTTTCAGAAGAGTTATTCGGCATTTTTTGCTTTGTATGCGCTTTTAGAGCGAATTTCTTACGAGGCACTTTTACGACTCCGAATAACTTGATTCATTTTGTCAATACGGTTTGGAGTCCAAACTTTGGACAATACGTTATTTAATCGTTTACATAACTCTTGAAATCGAGATAGGCTGTTTCAAATAGCGAGAGATAAAAGAATAAATTTTATTGTAGAAAATCAAGGATCAGCTGCAAGACAGAGAATTTCAGGTTTTTCTCAAACAGTAAAGATTGGTTCTTTGCAAATTCCAGAACCGTCCGTCAAAAGGGCGTTATAACCTGCGCATGGGTTCGGACATTTTTCAATAAAGTCAAAGGGTTCAGAAGTTTGGACATCACTGCAAGTATGAAGACTTAATCGATCTTGATTTTGTCGGCAGGTGCAGAAGTGATCAGGGCTAGACAGGGTCAGTTAGAATAAGTAATAAAGAACTTACGCAAAGAATGCGCCGATTTCAAAACAGCATTGCGGGTAAGCAGAATTTCCAGGAAGACAATTAGCCGGATCAACTCTCGCGCATCTTGAACTTAACGGATTCCTTCCATGACAATAGCACGGATCTTCGACGTGATAGCTGAATCCGCTATTGCAGCAGCTCGGATCAATGATTCCTTTTACCGCGCTGCAAGACTCTCGCCCATAGAATTTTCCAGTGTGATGGTAAATGTAGTGCCCGAGAAATTCCTTGACATCGTTGGCGGATTCGATTCTTTCAGGAGCAAGTTGGAAACAGTCGGAATTCATTGAGTCAGAAATCGTGTCTTTGTTGGCAAAGTCGAACTTTAGCCCAGTGCAGCAGTCAGGGAAGCAGAAGTCTGTTGATTTGCAATAGTCTGTGATTCCTTTGCACGCTAGACTGTCTGTCTCATCGACGCAGGGGTCATAATTTATTCTTATCGGATAGTTAAAAAAAATAAATCGAAAAAATACTTACGCGATTCCGCACTCACTATCTTTTCGAAATTTGAATCCGAAAACTCTTTCAACTTCCAGACAGCAAGACTTCTTCTCTTCCACCGTTTTATCGTTAGTCAAACAATGAGAATATCCACAATCTCTCTTGTGATTTGAGCTTGATGTTTCATCTACGTCTTTGCAGTATTTACAATCAGAGTGTCCACCGGAGGAGCTGTCACAGCATCCACCAAAGAATTGATCTGCTGTTTTGCAGTTATTGAACTGCTTGCAAGTTGATGGTGTCATGTCAGTCTCTTGGTTTTCGTTGTATTTTCTCCATGTTCTTGTGAAAGAATAGGAACTTTCAAGATTTTTGCAACAGTCTAAAATGATGACTCAAACAAAAAAAAACAGCATTTACTTACTGTATTTCGCATCGAGATCTTTTTCATCTTTACAGGAAGCGTCCCAAACCAGCGCTCCGTTTTCTTTTTTACAGTATCCATTTCTGCTCTGCCCAAGGACATCACAATAGTAATTTTTTTGATCAGAAATTTCCAGATCAAGAGTATTCGCGCGATACTGGCACTGACTTGGTGGCAGATTTTTGTCAAAACCACAGCTGGCATCGTCAAATCTATTGATACACCAGCAATCTCCATCTTGACCGTCCGTGTATTTTGACTCAAATTGCTCGCAGCAAAGAGGAAAGGAAGCAGATTTCTTGTTGCAATAAATTTCCGATTCTTCATAAGCGCAGCTATTTATTTCAATGATTTCGTTTGTTGATTCTTCATATCTTGCAGTTTCGTTTTGAAAAGTCGAAAATCGAATCTTGCAAGCCAAAAGACCACCGACCAGAGTCAAGCCTGTTTCCAAGCATGTCGTATCAGTCGACTCAACCACCAGATCAATTTTTCCCGTCGATACTTCTCTGTAGCGAGCTATTTGAACAAGCATATTCATGATGTTCTTCCGCGAGTCGGTCGTATTAAATACCACTGAGGAAACGTAAAATGGCTCGTGGGAAATTTCAGTATCATCGACGACGAAAATATATGGCTCGCCAATCATCCTGTCTTGGTAATTCCAGTAAAGACTTTCCTTCGTCGGTTTGGTATAGCTGCCTTCGAGGGTTTCCGCGGCGAATTGCATTGATTGGTCAAGATAAATATCGGTAGAATTGCTTCGAAAATACAGCTCTACTTCTAGGGAGCACTCGTCTTGGACGTATTTGAGGCCAAGGAAACCAGTCGCGCCAAAAAAAGCAGCCGTAATCGACAAAATCAAAGTTCCACTGAGAAACATTCGAAAAGTGATTGCGCGCCCGCGGCGTCTCGTGCAAATATCAAGGATAAATGCGATAAGAAAGCCGCAGATGAAGACCAGGGTAATTGCGAAAAGGAAGAGGTTCATGTAGACGCCAGCTTTGAAGATGTTGAAGGTTTTCTCAGTTGGTTCATCTTCGCAGTAGACTGCGAGAATCAGGGAGCCTTAGATTTTTCCTTAGAGGAAGATTTCATCATCTGAGTTCGTTTACCTGCAATAAGCGATATTACACCCAAAATCGAGATCCCACCACTAGCAGGAGCATCACCGACGTTGTCCTTGTTTTCCTCCGAAAGTCTTCTGTTAATAAAAAAGGTAAGCAGCTTCACGCCAGCGAGCGAAACTTGAATCGCTGCAAAAATCATAAAAATCCACAAATCATCTTTGAAAGCCGGCTTTGCACAAAAAATAAAAGCATCGTGCCACGAGTTAATTTCGCGGACAGAGCTCATTTTTCTTGCTCTCAAAAAATGCTGACTCTGGGAAAATTTGCGCATTTATATACGGCTTCTAGCACTTCTCCTAGTAACAGAGTTAATATTTAATACACTCAAGCCGTAAAATTTATGTCACTTGCCAAATCTGGACCGATTATTAGTACATCCGTAAGTATCTTTTTGAGCATTTCGGCAAATATTTCGGCATACAGCAAACGATCAGAAATAAAAAAAAATAATCAGAGGCAATTTTAAAGCGTTCTAGAGTAAATTTATTCCCAAGAAAAACAGGAGACTTGAAAAAACAGAAATTATAATTGCAGAATTCTGAGGAATATTCGTCAAATCTTTCTGGCCAATTTGGCTTGCTCGTTGATTCCAGTTGTCCGGGTGATGATTTGTCATGTGATCTAAGAAACAATCAAAAACCATCAATAAAAATTTCAATTTACTCAAGTCGTCCAAGTCATGTTCTTTCCAGATGATCACTTTTTCGCGCTGCGTCTTTGCGTACTGAAAATCGTCAAAAAAAGTAGGAAAAAAAAGATAAAACAAACATGATAACCAGCTCTTGGGCCTGGCCAGTTCGACCAAGCGGCGTATTTTGGATCATCTTTTTGCTTCTGTACTTCAGCTTCGCCGTCGAAAATTTTGCCCCGCGCCGACATGACCCAGTACTCTTGATTCTTCTTGATTTCGATGCATTTGCTGCATCCTTCGGGGCGCTTGAGACTTCGACTCCAGCGGGGCTTGCCGTCGGGATGCGAAGATCCGGGCGTCCTTGTCCAGTGGCTCATCGCGTCATCGCTAAATACCGGTTTTAGATTATTTTCTTTTAGGATTTTTTTACTCGTAACTTGGACGGCCAATTTTTTCAATTCCGAAGTAGGTCCAAATTGATCCCAAATATTTTTCACCGGCATGTTTTGATCCTCCATCCCAAATCATAAGCTCAGCGTTCTGAAAAAAGCTCACTCAGGTTTCTACTCAGGTTTTCGAGATACCGTCATGGTCTTGGTGTGGTAGCTCTCGTCGTGAGTGTAATTATTCCATCCGATTCCAAGATAATACGGCATCGGGTCAAGATCCTCCAGGATAAAAGTAATTGTCCCTGCTTGTTCATCGATTTCGTACCCGAAGCCTTCTGATGAAGGAAACCAAGCATCGCGCCCGTCTAAATTCCCTAGTAAACCTTGCTTACAAAAGAAGAAAACTCACTCATCAGCGAGAAAACAGCATGAAAATGGATCAGGAACAAAATCATCTTTATCTCTTTGACTCGCTTTTGAGCTGGAAAAAAAGAGACGCCGGATTTCTTTTGAAATGGCAGAGGATTAGGATTTTAACGACGCTCAAAAAGAGGGAAATCTTTCTCACAGGAAAGGGTTAGGGTTAGGGTTAATATGAATATTTTGAGTCTCATAACAATTTTATTAAAAAAGAAAAGAAACAGTTTTTGATCAAATTTCTTGACAGCTCAATATCTGAGAATTCTTGAGCTAAAAAGAACGGAAAGAGGCAATCGCGTCTGTCGGAAATCTACAAAAAAGATGTTGAATTCGACTCTTTCAGTAAGCTATTTAGCATCTTTTGATTTCCTGCCTTTTGGACTAGCTCGGTTATAAGCGTTGTCGAAGCACTCGTTGGAAAGCTCCAGGTCGAAATTGGCGGCTCTGAGGCAGGAATACAGGTCGACGCCTAAAATGAGGTAAAGAGTCGGATGTTTGTTCTTGAACCTGTTTGAGCAAAAACAAGAGAGGAAGAAAGAACAATCATATTTTTAAAAAATCGCATTTTCAAAGAATTTCTTTTCCCTCTCCTTATTTTCACCAGCTTTATATACTCCCCTTTGTGTAATGAAACCTGCCACTGTACAGTAAATATTTATGAAAAAATAAGGCTACTGTTCATCAACATGTCTTCATCCCGATAGCTTCATAATAAGCAGCACTTGCGGATACAGTATTCATTTTTAATCACGAGCCAGGATGACTGGAGTACATTTGGATATGATGTATTTTTTTTCTCGATGATCAAAGTTCATGATTCTTCATTCAAGCCTGGATAGCTGTTTTTGCTTCTTGAATTCCTGAATTGCATAATTTTTGGGAAATAAGCAGATGAAGTCTTCTGAAAAAATGGGGCCATCGAAAATATATATCGAGTAAATATTTTGTTATTTCACGGTATAAAATGTGCGGAAATAGCGTTCACGAAAAATGAGGGCAGTTTTTGTAGAGAATCGTTTTCATGAGGTAAGATTTTAAGAGAAAATCAACAATGCTAATTTCGATAATTTTTTATCGGAGAGTTCAGCAAAAAAATTGGTCGATACTGAATATGTAACGAATGTAACGAATGTAACGAATGTAACGAGTTTGCTGACAATGTAACGAAAACGAAGACATGTTGTTTTTTATTAGCTGATTCTAGAAACTGTTTCTAAAGAGCGATCTTGGGGAATTTTACTAAATACAACAATTTAACATACCCAAAATAGCAAAAAAAAGCCAAAAAGGATACAGAATAGCATAAATATGGTAGATTCGTTTTCCATACCCGCTCTGAATGATTCAAAACGCCCGCTCCGCGGGTAAAAATATAGGAAACTCAAGGGGGTGAAATTAGAAAAACAAAAAATCTCTAGAATTTTACTGACAATGTAACGAGAAAAAGACATGTTTATGAGTTTTCGTTACATTCGTTACATTCGTTACATATTCAGTACCGTCGAAAAAATTTGTGGTCATTGACGATTGTTGAAGACTGTCTCCAACAGAACAAATAGTTCGTATTACAACGACCCTCCGCTAGAGTTCAATGGGTTCGGCAGACTGCTGCCCAGGACATTCTATTCTGTAGATTTCATCATAAGTTTGACCTCTTAGCGGATCGCACCATGAAAAAGCCCTGAGGCAAATATAGAGGGTATGAGATTTTTACGCCAACGATGACGTAACATTTCTCCGTTTTTACATTCGGGCTCACTTTTTTCAACATAAAATCTCTTCTCGAATCTTCGCTCAATTTTTAATCAGGCCTGGGCTATGCGGAGGGTTGCTCAGGACAGACGTAATGGACAGAGACGGAATAGTCCAGACCGACTTAGATTGAGCCGGTTTTGGCTATATAAAGAAAACTTGAAGAGATAGAAAGTTCACTTGAGAAAATCTTGAGACAGAAAATAACTTTTGAAAAAAAAAATTTCTTCAAAGTAAAATTTTTTTATATTAAAAATGGTGATTATCAACAGGTAAGCAAGAATTTTTGACTTCGACAAAAATCGTTTTTTTCGGGTCGACACCCTTAATTTTAAAAATATTTTTGCATTTTTAAAAATATTTTTAATTTTTTTCGGTTTTTTCAAAATATTTTTAAATTTTTTTGCGTTTTTTCAAAATTTTTTGCCTTTTTTCAAAATATTTTTAAATTTTGACTCTTATGAAAGATTTCGACGTGAAAATTCAACTATTTTTCAGCAACGAAAAACACATCGGCATCATCGGCGGCGGCGTCGGTGGCACCACCGCTGCGATCCGCCTCGCCGAGAAGGGCTTCAAAGTGTCGCTCTTTGAAAAGTCATCATCGTTGGTAAACGGCCCTCCCTTTTGCCACCTGCACGCGGGCGGCAACATGTACCGCGAGATCTCAGAAGACCAGTGCGTGCAACTCCTGCACGAGTGCATCCGAACGGTGCGAATGTACAAGCATGTGTTGAATCATAGACCGACTTGTATTGTGATTCCAAAGAGAGATCCTGGCCAACCGGAGACGATCCTAAAACGGTTGGAAATGCTTCAGACGCTTTACAACAGTAAGTTCGTTTTTCAAAGCCACCCTCTTATTTATCATATTTCTAGAGCTCGTAAACGTCGATCCCGAAAACATGGTCCTTGGAGACCCAAGCGACTACTACCAAGTTTTCACGAAAGCAGACTGCGAAGCTCTCAGATCCGAAGAAATACCAATTGAGCCCGCAAATCTCACAGATTGGCTCATTCCCGTCGTCAAAAATGTAGATCTCGGTAAGTCGATCAAATCCTGAAATCCTTGATAATCAATGTTTTAATTTAAGATCAGTTGAAGTTCCCTCTTGTCATGGTGAACGAGCTCGGCTGGAGCATTCCCCGCCAAGCTGCCAGTGCTACTTTGGCGCTGTCGAAGCTACCGTCCGCCCGGGTGTTCTGCTCGACCACCGTCGATGACGTCATCGCGCACGAAGATGGGACGTACACCATCTCCCATGGAGAGGAGGAAACTCACGTGGATTATTTGATCAACGCTTGCGGCTACAAAACCGGCAGCATCGACGATTTCTGTCAAGTCAAAACGGATCGCTTGGTCGAATTCAAAGCCGCCTATCTTTGCCAATGGAACCAGCCAGGATTGTGGCCGGAGATCGTTTTCCACGGCCCGAGAGGAACACCGATCGGCATGGCCCAGTACACGCCGTATGCAGATGGGGTGATTCAGATTCATGGAATGACGGAGAAAGTGACCTTGTTTAAAAACGGACTTGTAAAGTCGACGGAAGAATCGAGTCAACCGAAGTTGGATGAAAAGTTTGAAACGAAGATCAATTCTGGTTGGACCAAAGCGGATGTTTTTAAGGTAACTAGTCAATAATATAATATAATATAATATAATATAATATAATATAATATAATATAATATAATATAATATAATATAATATAATATAATATAATATAATATAATATAATATAAAAATCTTTCTAGAGAACACAACGGTCAATCGAACACATGCGAACATTCATCCCCTATTTCGACGCGAAACCTGTCGACTCTCAACCCCTTTTCGGCGCCCAACAGATTCCCGGAAAGAACGCCACCCTGCGAGCAGCTTCAGTCAGCTTCGAGCGACCAACTTACGCTAGAATCGAAATCGTCAAAGCTTCAAGTGCGATTTCTGCAGCAGATGCGATCGTCGATCACGTGAACGAGGCCTTTGAGGCTAAGACGGAACAAGAGTGTCAGCCAGTTGAAGAACTTTGTCCGGTAACAGGGGCGCTGAAGGAAGATGAAGTGCTGGAGAAAGCGCTCGAAATCTGCGAAATGAGAAGATTGCCAAATAGTCTAGCCAAATTTTACAACTCCCAAAGCTTTTAATTCATATTTAATAAATGTCTGTTGTCATCGTCTTCATCGTCTCTTTCTATTTTCAAATTTTAAATCAAGCTAAATTTTTTTTTTCAAATTTCGATTTTACTCCAAGAATTATCAAAATAACAGGTGAATTACAGTAACATATCAGAAACGTCTCGTGTGCTGAGAAAAAAGGTCCAGAGTCAATAAAAATGAACAAAAAAAAATATGAGAAAACAAAATTTTGGACCTAAAAACTTGAGCTAAAACGTTGCATTTCTCCGCTCAGGCCTGTGCTTCTCGCTGAAAAGGATTGTTATTTTCGTTCAAAAAAGCAGATAATATATTTTTTTGATTAGTTGTTTCTATTAACATTGTTTCTGAAGATGTTTTTCAACTCAAACTTTGGTTCACCTGTGCGGCTGTTTTTCCTCCTCGACCGAAGTTTTATGCGAATATGGACTGAAAGAATGACTGTCAGACTCTAGACAAGAATAACTTACAGCATTTGAATGAAAAAGTCTGTCGAGGTCCTCTTCTCATTTTTGGGTCTCGTTCTTCCAGCGCCTTGTCCATTTGAGCTTATTTTTGGGTCGAAAACTCTACCTACGCGAATACTTGTCTAGCAGACATGAAGGACCCATTCCTACCATGCACTGAGTTCTTCGGAGACAGCATCTAAAAACTCATCAACCTAGCGGAAAACAGCATAAAGTACCTTTGGCAAAAACAATATCTTTTCACAGCATGAACCATATTTTCTCTCTTTTTCGAAAATCTCGAGAAGCCCGATATCAAGAAACCAAAAAAATCTGATGAAAACCAACGCTTCAAAAATCACAAATTTCAACATCGAATTAAGGCGCGCGTGACATTAATTTATTCGAGTTGATGAAAAATTCGATAACTGGATTTGTAGCATAGACTCTGATCTTCCATACTGCCCATGAATTTGATGAAAACAAGCTTTCTACCCGGCTTGTATTTTAGCTTAAATGTCAAACAGGTTAGCGGGATATTGTGGCAGATAGAAAAAAGGAGAGGTCTTTCCGAATTTTTAGATATTTTTTCATTTAAAATGGAGAGAAAATCATTGCTAACCGGCAAGGTTTGGGGACTCAAGGGGGTTGACATCAAAAAACGCGATTTCTTAGATGATTTTTCTTACTTAAATTTCACTTACTTTCTTCTCTAAGAATCCCTCCGTCAAGTGATATTGACTTTTTTCAAACAAGAATATCGGATTGATCCCCTCAAGATTTTTGAAATATTTTTTGACCAGTTTGCAGCTCGATAGTTTGTGGAGGGCAACACAAGGAAAACACGCTCGTTCACCCCTTAAGGGTGTCGCGACGATATGTTAACGTGAAATCGAGATTCCGCTTCTGGGAAGCCTCGATCTTGATGTCTACCCCCTAAAGGAACTCGAAGAACAAGTGCGAGCAGAATGCCCAAGGGTTTACCTTTCCCTCTCGAATGAAAGATGGAAGCAAATTCAAAACGCTCAGAAAAGGAATAAAAGAAGATCGGAAACACCCATCGCTGGAAAACCAGACGATTGGATCGACGAAATAATTTTACGAGAAATGAACCTATTCGAAGAAAAAACTAAGTCGGAAACTGTCAAGACGAAGAAAACCAAAAGCTTCTTCAAAAAATTGTTCAGCAAAAGAATTGAATAAAACAACATTTATTATAAATTCTTTTCTAATTTTCATTTCTCATCGCTTCTTCTTCAGGTAGCCTTGTTTCATCATTATTGCAAATGGAGAATAGCCAGTTGCTAGAAGATATCTTACTAAAGCAATGAGCGAGGAAAGATCTTAAGGGAGACTCCCTTAGGGAGTAGACGTCGATAAAGCCAATTTTCCTAAAGCCTTTGTTTTTCTTGAGAATTAAGGGTGTCCCCTTAACAATTTTCTTGAAAATTTAGTTTATCGACGTCTACCGCCTTAAGAATTCTTACAGCTTGCTGAACTGTGCATATTTCTATCCATAATCTTGTCAAAATTATAAGATCTTGATAAACCGACATTAAAAAGTAAAAACTGTAAAAATCTCATTTTCTGCAGATCAAAAACTGTATGATCATTTATATCTTCGCCAGATTAATTATTCAATAATTTCTTATTCTGGGGCGCGCTTTTGTTAATATTGATAGTTGCTTTTCCAGATGCTTTTGTTCGAGGGTAAATGCACCTAGAGGCAATCTGACAGCCGAGCCAGACTGAATTATACAGTAGTTTCTATTATGGAACTATTTGTCTGGACTAGTTTAGAAAATTAAAATGGAAACTCATATCTGCCTGGGACTCTCATTTTTAATGACTCATTTGAATTCCTCTTATCTTATCTTTATTTTGCTGGACAGCCGGAAATGAGAAGTCTATCAGTATGAATATTCTTGACGAATGAAAACAGAGTGAACCCAAGAATCAAAACAATATTCACAATCGACGCAAATCTGAATTCGAATTCAAAATAAAAATCAGCAAACAAATATTGAATTACCGGAGAAAAGCTTCAAAAACGAGGAAAACACCAGGAAATGTCCATTGCCAAAGAAAATTATGGAGGGAAACAATGAATCCGCTTTGAACAGGCTCAGCCATCAGTTCTTCTTCACTCGCGAAACTGACTGTATCGTACATCTAACGAAAGTATTAGGATTTGGGTTTGGATTTGGGTTCGGGTCGGGTAATGATTTGGGTTTGGGTTTGGATTTGGGTTTGGATTTGGGTTTGGGTTTTGGTTTTGATTGGGTTTGGGTTCTGGTCGGGTAATGATTTGGGTTTGGGTTTGGATTTGGGTTTGGGTTTGGGTTTGGGTTTGGGTTTTGGTTTTGATTGGGTTTGGGTTTAGGTTTTGGGTTTCGGGTTTTGGGTTTTGGGTTTGGTTTGGTATGGGTTTGGTTTGGGTTTTTGTTTGGGTTCTGGTTTGGGTTCGGGCTGATGCTTTGGTTGAGGTTTGGCTTTGGCTTGATTTTGGTTTGGGTTCGGGATAGAAAATAAAGCGAATAATGAACCTGTGCAGTTGGATCTATTCTTCGAATCATACTCGTCCCACTTTCCTTAAAATTCCTCGTCCTTATTGAAACGCCAGAATTTTCGGATACTGATGATGAGTCCGTACTGCTTCTGGAGCGAGAGGGAGTGATCTTTGCATGAATTTTTCTGATGTAATAGTCCTTTGACTCGTAGTGTACCACGACAGCAAGAAGGAAAATCGACGAAGTAAGAATTCCAAAAAGCGTCTGAATAAATTATCGCCATGAAAAATGAGTAAGAATGGTACTTGGCCCTTGTTGCGCATATCCTCCTGTACAATCAGACCGTAAAACATCGTCGAAGCGGTGAAAATGAGACACAAACTATAGACAAGCGTAGTATTAAAAACCTTTCGAGGAGTCAACTTAATTATTCCCTCTTTTGTCTTGGTTTAGTTGTTTCCTTCCTTGTAAATTCTCCTGATGGTTTTGAACTCTCTTCGACAGGTTCTGTAAAACCGGCCGAATGTGAAATCGAGTGCGGTTCGGTGAATATCTCGTCTTCTGAATTCGACTGTTGAAAGTTGGTATTTAGAAGGAGTGCCAAAAAGGGAGACGTTTCGTATATAACCGAAAATGATAAACGCCCATAAAAATCCACCCCAAGTCCATTCTGAAATTTCCGTCCCGCCGATGGGCCCTTGTTGAGTGAGAAAATAAACTGGCGCCATGAGAGAGCCACCAACGAGGAAAAGAGATCCGAATCCTCGCTGCCACATGAAATAGCCAGCTGGCGCTGTCCACTGGAGTCCGCGAACTCCCATGCCCGCGTAGTCCAGAACAACTCGTCTGGAAAGAGTCCAGTTTTCTACATCTTGACGGCCGAGTAGCCAGTCGAACTCTGAAGCTCGGCCGCATGGGTGCGTGCTCTCGATCTACAGACATCCCATTTTAGTTTTCCTTGATGAACTTACGAAAAACCAGCATCCCCAGCCCGAGTAGCAGCCAAACCAGATTTGAAAAAGAAGAGCGATAGAAACTCTGTAGTCTAGATAAATAATTGAAATAAAACTCGCTCCAGCTCCGACCACAAATCGAGGAAGAATGTGGTTGAACCAGTAGTCTTCTGGCTTGTCATCGGGGCGATGGGGCCAGAGTCCTCCACGAAGGCGGTTTAAATAGCCGCCAAAAGCGCATAATCCAACGATCAAAGCAAGTGAGATTGAGCTCAAAAAACTCTAGAAAATGTTATTTTAAGGCACCATAAGACTGAGTTTTAATGTTATTTTAAATAATCATGCTGTCTTTTTAACTTGAATTGTTAGTCAAACGTACTGTTGGGAATACACTGTGACTGTCGGTCGAAGAGATTATTTTTAGATTACTAAGACATGCTTTTTTAAGGTTAACGAAGTTTTCCAGCCCACTTCTGCCATATAAATTATGATTACATGTATAAACCCCAGAACACCATACCTTTTCAGAATCAGAAGAAAATTTCAAGAACCCTTTAAAATTCCAGAAATCTTCACTTCCGGTCGATTCTTGAGCCGGAAGTTATCGAAATTTGGGAGTATGGGCAACTTGTGGCCTATCAAATTGATTCTCAGAAGATTCCCTATCATCTTAGAGAAGAATCAATCCCGGCCACGGTCAAATTAACCGCTTAAAACTGAAAAAAATATTAAATAAATCATAAATTATGCATTTTTTCGTAGTTTTGGCAATCGGTTTGACCGCGGTTGGATTTGTTTCTTTGAATGAATCTATACTGAGATGACTCAAAATCTTCTGAGCATCAATTTGATGGGTCACACTTTATACATATTCGAATAATACTTCGTTAACTTTAAAAAAAAGCACGTAATTAATTACTTATGTAATTCATTATTCTTGGCTGACCTTGATGAAAATCTTCTTCCAATTTATATTTATCCTCCTCATATTTTCTCTCTTTCATAATCTCATTACTCAGAAACGCCTTGATTGAATTGCAACTTGAGAAAAATAAATACTCTCAGAATACGTTTAATTTTTTGTTTATTATTCGAAATTAAGATGGTCGGAAAAAACAGAGAATGAGGGAAAATAAGAGTTTATTCTTTTTCTTGAGGGACTTGGTAGACTTCCATTTCCCAGTACTTTCCATCCTCGAAGTATTCTTCCAATTCGAGTTGTTCCCAAAGCGGGATGTTCATCAGCATTCCAGTGATGGTTCCGCCGACGAGGGAGATTCCAAGAGTGCAGGCGAGACCGGCAAGCTGGAAATTCGCCATTTCTGTTCCAGAAACAAAGTCGGTTGTGTGGTACCCAGCAGCGCAACGGATGACGGAGGCGATTGCGCCGAGGATGGCTGGCATACCGTGGAGGTTGTGGATGCCGCAAGTGTCGTGGAGGTTGATAGCGTTGGCCAAAGCGGGCTAGAAATGATGATATAGTCTTATTTTGATGGCTGTTTTTTACCTTGATGAAAGAATATCCACAAGTGGAAACAACACCAGCAACAGCGCCAATAATAATCGCTCCAAAAGGCGTGACAGGCATCGAAGCAGCAGAACCCATAGCAACTCCTCCAGCAAGCGTAGCGTTCTGAATATGCTCCATTGTGATTCGTTTGTGAGGAGTGGCCCAAATCGAAGTAGCGTAAGTCATCATGCAAGCGCCGCAGAGAGCAAGGTAAGTGTTCATGACGGCGAGGTATCGGCCGGGATCGTCTTCGCTTCCGGGCATGGAGTTGAAAGAAGGCCAGAACATCCAGAGGAAGACGGTGCCGACCAAGGAGAAAATATCCGAGTGGTACTCGCCACCCTCAGCTGGATTGTCAATGTGGCCGCGTTTGAAGAGGCATCGAGCGACAGCAAGACCGAAGTAGGCGCCAAAAGCGTGGATGACCATGGAACCACCAATATCTGTAACGTTGAAGATATCGAGCAAAATCCATGCGTTCAACTATAAAATGAGATTGAAGGAGGCAAAAAAAAAATATAAAAAATGATCAATTTCATATTTAAAAAAAAAATTTTTTTTTCTAGAATGTTACCTTGTAAAAGACCATTTCGAACAAGATCATCACAAGAACTTGAACCGGAGAAGCAACACCCAAAACAGCGCCGAAAGAAATCAAAATCGTGCCCGCCGAAAACTCCGCTTCCATCATCGAATGAATGTTGATCGAAATGCTCTTCAAGTTCGTCCAGTGGTTAGCAGTAGCGTCGACGGTATGAGAAGAAGTTTCAAAGAACCAGCCCTGGCAGAGAATTCCCCATTGGATGGCAAAGGCTGCGAAGAGGAAATTGAAGCCAAGGGAGCTCCAGGAATACCGCTTGAGAAAAGTCATGAGGAAGCCGAAACCGACGAAGATCATCACGTGGACGTCTTGGAACCAAGCGTAGTCGCGGACCAGGTGCTCGTCGGATTTCTTGAAGAACTCTTTCGCTTCGGCTTGTTCTGCTGGAGTTCCTTGAAGAAGCTTGATGTAGGTTTCATCGTTGTAGACGTGCGAATCGTAGTCGACGAAAATCGCGAAGAGGATGATGAAAATGATCTGGAAGAGAACCAGCGTCGTGCAGAATTGCCAGGAATTCTCCTTGAAGCGGCCGAGATAATCAGATGGCTGCAACCCGGCTTGTTGAAGAAAGTTGGTGCCAGAGAGTTGGATGTCGGAGTTTTTCTCTTGCGCCGGATTGGTTGCGTCGACGGTGACGACGGTTGATTGCTTCGGCTCTTGAGCTTTCTTTTCTTCGTTGAGGACGCTGGCGCCTTCGAGGCCCATTCCGGCTAAAGCGCGGATTCCTTGCACTTTTGTCATTTTTTTTTCGTTTTTCTTGTTCCGCTTTGTTCAAGTTTTTTTTGGCTTTTGGAAGTGTTTTTTTTGTTGGTTTTTGTTTTTTGATGATGACTGAGAATCACGTCTGCTTATATACCCTGCTCATCAAATCTGATTTCTAGCTCAGTTACTATTATTGACTGTTTCAAAGGATTTTATGATCGCAATCGGCAGAGAAGATATTGGACGTACAAGCGTAGATCACAAGGCAATGATATGGCTCACTAACTGCGAGGCTAATTGCTGATTGCTATCCAAAGGCTATTCTTCGGAATTTAAACAATTAAATCACGAGTTCAATTTTTTATTCAAGAAAATTTGTAAATTTCTTCGACAGTTCCTCGAATTCTTTCCCGAAAAATTTCAGTTTATTCTTCTGCTCATCATCTTTTTTCTGTTTTGCTCTGAGAGCGTCGATTTCTTGTCGAAGCTTACATATCTCATCATTTTGAGTTTTTTCATTCTTGGTAGATAACTCTTGGATGCGTTGATTGCTCTTTTTTGAGAACATCAATATCAGATCTTAGCCTTCTCACTTCGGTGCTCAAGGAAAGGTTTGTTGATTGTGCCTGAGTCTTCAGATTTTCATTCTTCTTGGACAGATCTTGTAAAATGTTATAATTTTTCGTGAGTGTCGCTAACTCAGATCGTTGCCTCGCGATTTCACTATTCAAAGAAATAATTTTTGATTCTGCTGCGTTTTTAGATCTGGTAACAGCTAAAAATTTAGCATTGACCTCTCCTCTTTTCATTCTTGCTGGGTATGTTGGATCTTCTACGTATTGAGATATAGAATCATCGTCCAAATAATTCCTGCAAGAATCACAATCCCATCCCAAAGCCTTTTTTTCTTGAAAACATGGATCGCAGAATTTAACGGAGCAAATGTCGTGTCTGCGGAACTCTTGGTAATATGATTCGATAAGATGTTCATGAAAATATCTTGGCATGTCACTTAAAATTGAAAGTTAAAAATTACCAAAAATGGTTTTCTACCCGCATTCTCTACAAGACTGGTAAATTTTTTCCGGATCAGCGAGTAACTCTTCCGCTGAATAGTCGGACTCTGAAGACGACATCGGCAATTTTCGGGAATCGCAAGAGACAACTGATTTTGATAGATTCAAAGCTTTTGTAAATTGAAAGTGCAAGAAACAAATATCATTTACCGGTATATTTGCACGGTTCATTCGTCAGAATGATCAACAATGAGATAACCTTGAGATTCTCAAGTTAAAAAGAAAATAATTTTGCCTCTTTTTATAAGTTTTTATTCAAGGACTGACAAATAATGACCAGCAACATGTGGAAAAAGAAACTGTTTGGAAATTGGCAGATTTTCGGTCGTAGTTGATATATGGCGAAATCGTGTAGTAATTTGCTGAAAAATCAAGGAAAAGCGGAAATAACGAAAAAGTCTTACGAGTAAAACCGATGGCGAATTCGCTCATGTGATTTTTCACCGAGCTTCCACACCAACTGATAGCAGAGTAGACTGTCGATTTTTCCCGGATTGTTTCGTAGTAGGAATTGAAAAACGGACTCGACTCACAACCTGGAAAACTGAAAATTTGTTCTTCAAAAGTTGCTTTACCTGGATCAACTCGGAGGCCATTTTCATCGGAAAAATGCTTGTCCGAAGATCTCATCTTCCACATAATATCTCTCCAGTCTGGCGAGGCCTCAGTTTTCTTCATTTCGACATCAATGACGAGAAATTCCTGGCTCTCATCAGGAGAAATTTGCCGAAAACACTTTCCGTCCGGATTCAAGCTGCAGTTTTTTGTCACCATTGCGTTGGCACCATCTTTTGTACTGAAAATTATTCGGAACAGTGGTCCCTTTTTGATCAAACCTGTAAGCAGCGATGAGAAAAACGCGGTCATTTGCGACATTTTTGAAGTAATTGAGGGCCCAGTCGACCATCTCTTGGTAAGTAACATTGTGAGAGAACATCCAATCAAGATAACTTATCAGCTTCTCAAAAACATCTGATGGTCGGCTTGTCAGTGAGCAGAAAACATCACCCCCTTGATTTTTTATTTAATGAAAAGGAAAGATTTTTCGACCTGAAATTCGGCCAATTGTGGGCTCCTGAAAATCGACACATCCGGACATAAATCTCGCATCGTTTTCGATAAAATCCGCTCCGTCGATGTAATTTCCTTCTTCGAACCCCTTTTCCGGGTCTTCTAGAATTTGTTCTTTGAAAAAGCACTGTCCAGTCTCCATCTCCCCAGTCTTCAAAAACGAGTAGCAAGAGCAGCTTGACGAAAGTCGACAAATTTCGAAGCACTTTCCGACTGAATCGACCGGAACAGCTATGTACTCTGCAAACAAATTTGAGTCGATCGCCGAAATTTCCTCGAATTTCGGAACGTCGCCTTCAGTGATGTAAGTGTTTTCCCAGACTCCGATCCAGCCGGGTTTGATTGGCCCATCTTCAGGACCGTTGTAGAAGCATTCTGAGTCGAAATGAGCATCTGCTTCTCTGCAAGTCAGCGTTTCTAAGATTTAAAATTAAAAAAAAATATTTAATAATTTATTATATAGAAAATCTTCTTTTTACGTCATCTTGTCTTACCAATACATCCATCAGTATAATCCGAGTTCTTGAAAATGCAATTTCCATAGGACTTCTCTAGCGAGTAGCAGTGGCAAATTTCTGACAAATCACACACCGCTCTACAATCATCAGTCGTTTTTATGCCCGGAACGAAATATCGAACGCAGTTCTGAGCGAAAATTGAACTCGCGAAAGATAAAAAAATCTTCATTTTAAATTATTCTGAAATGATCGCTTTTTGGAATCAAGGAGGACCATGTGTTCGTTTCTCACGAAGGAAAATCGAGTGAAAACATAAAATTACTGTTAATTATTTTGGTCGAAATAATAAGTATTTCAAGAGCTCTCGTAAAATGCTCAGCTCTATTGATGAAATTCATTGACCATGCAATTCATGCAGATTTCAGCCGCTCAATTTACGATTGAAAAGGAGCTGAAGTGGTCTTCAGAGGGGTATAAATTAAGCTTTTTGACAAAATTGTCAGTAGAGTAAAATGATGAGATCGACAAATTTCCTTTTTGCTGTTTCTTTAGGAAGGGCTAAAAATCGAAGAAAGTGTAGAGAAATTTTAGTATAGTTTTCTGTGACCACCTTATTTATTGTTGTCACTTTCAAGCCCAGCAAAGCTCAATTTCCTTCATCAGTCCTCCATGACGACATTTTCTTTCAACCCTGCCAAGCTAAATTTCTCGAGCTGAACGGATGGTCCATCCCTCCCGCGCTCAAAAGTGACGTCATCTGCGCTGATACTCCAGATTTTTGGCTCGGAAACCTGCTTAAAAACCTGACTCAGGGTCCTTCGCGGGCTCCTTCTGGACCCTGACTCAGATTTTCAAGCAGGTTGCCCAGCCAAATTCTAGATCATCTAAACATCCCTCTTTGGAATGACCATTGGGACGAAAAGTACAAAAAGTACATCGTTCCATTTTGTTTTTCGGAAAATTTCCACGAGACGGCGTACATCGACGAATATGAAAACATCTTTTTTGGCGACTCTGCTATCGCAGAAGTAAGAAAACAGGCGCAAGAATTCAAGGAGAACACCTGCATTGAATTCTTGGAAATCTCCGAATCCGAGTTGGAATCATTCCCAAACGCGTTCAAAATCGGCGAAAATTTGGAACCGGATTTTCCTTGCCTTGCTTTTTTGGGAAAACGAGGGAATCAGACGCTGCAAATGAGGCCAGATTGTCCAAAAATGAACAACGGAACTGGAGTTATTCATCTTTTCATGCACATTTTGGGCTTCACCCACGAATCAAGCCGATATCACAGAGATCTTCACATGGGCGTCACGGAGAAATTTGCGAAAACGACGGAGTTTTACAAATTTCCTCTTGATGAAAAGGAAATCTACGTCGATTATGATTTCCACTCAGTTCTTCATCACCCGGCGTATCTTGATAAGGGCTCAAAACGAATTTAAATTTAATCAATCAGAAAAAAATCCAATTTTTTTATACTAGAGAAACCATAAGATCATTCGATCACGATTAAAATGGAAATTTTACTTGAGGATAAAATCATGAAATAAAAGTCTCATCGATCATATGTAGTAGTAGCTCAGGGATATATAATATATATCATACCATAATATATATATATATATATTGAGCCTGAAATTTGACAGCGATGGTTTGCCAAACATCCACCACCCTTCCCGACCAAGTCAACTCGCTCCTGTTGATCTTCACAAGCCATTCTCCGCCGCCGATCTTGTCAAGATCAACTTCAAGTACCCGTGTCCATCGAAAAACGACTGCCTCCAAAACCCACCTCCCTGCGGCCATGGGTTGAACAAATGCGAAGAAACGATCGACGGATTCAACTGCATTTGCGCCGACGGTTTCGAACTCAGAGATTCGGCCTGTGTGGACGTCAACGAATGCGTCGATCCTGATTTGAATACTTGCTCGAACCCGGGAGACTGTATCAACACTGAAGGCGGATTTCGCTGCGAGCAGAAAAAGATCGACATTGTCTGGCTCATCGACGGAACTGGCTCCTACACGGGATATCAAAACGATGCAAAGAAAGCGTTCAAGGATCAAGTTCTATTTCTCAATAATCTTCAAAGAAACGACCCAAATACGCCGATTTTGAGTTTCGCATGGGTATGACATTCTTCGCCGACCGATTTTTTAATCAAAATGAGATGACATCGTCGACAAACAAGGTTTATCAGGCTGGACTGGCTTTGAAAGAAGTTGATAAGTACTCATTTGGAAGCTCTTTCGATTCAGCTTTTTCGAAGATAAACGATATGTATGGCGGCGGTGATGCTCCAGAAGGTTCCACATTTTTCTCAGAAAAATGTCTAATTATCATTTCTAGATCCGCTGCTCGGAATCATCTTCACCATGACAGATCCCGCCGTCAACTGGGACCCCGATTCAATCAAACAGGTCCACATTTTCACCGACATCGATTACCACCACGATTCCTTGTCTTCCCGACATCCTCCACTTCAAAAATGGACGTCACAGCCTTCTTCTCTTTATACTTTTTACGATCGAGATTTGGCAAATGACTTTACTTTCGGCTTCGTCAGAGATTTGGGGAAATCTTATGTGGATTTTATTCACAGGCCGGAAATTGCTATTGATCAGCTTTATTTCAACGTCGCTGGTAAGCGTTTTTATCCGTTTTTTTTTGCATCGTTTTAAGGATCTACCTCGGCAATCAGAGCCTACGACTACTTCACGAAGGGCATTTCCGGCACCCTCGAAGATTGGATGCCTGTTTATCCGACAAGATCAAACGAAGAAATGAAATTCAATCCAAATGCTTACAAAAGAAATATTTCGGAACACAATAACCAGAGTTTTTAAAAAATCAAGAATTTTGGCTAAATAAGTTTTTGATGCATCTTATCATGAAAACTCATGAAAGCATCGCGGATCAATTCGCCGAAATGGAGCAAATCATCATCGAAGCCGTCGAAGAATCCCTCGAAATCGACGACTTTGTCGACTTTTGCGCTATTAATCCCGACCAATGCCACCCTGATGCAAAGTGCCAAAACGGAGCAAGCTCGCTAAAATGCACTTGCAACGCGAATTTCGAAGGAGACGGATTCTCGTGCTCCGCGATTAATCGATGCAAAAATGATCCATGCAATCTTGCGACGGAAAAGTGCTTGTTTACTGGACCAGCCAGGTATTTTTTGAGAAATGAAAAAGGGGGGTGATGATGTTTTTAGTTATACCTGTGAATGTAAAGCTGGATTTAAAAAATCCGAAAGTGGACATTGCCAAGGACTGAGTTTTCTCCAAGGCAGGAACGAGCCAATTTAGATAAAAGAGAAAAACTCGTAAAAGACATCAACGAATGCGAAAACTCCAACCCTTGTCCTCTCGGAAACAGCTGCCAAAACACTGATGGAAGCTTCGAGTGCCACTGTGACCAGCCTGGTTGGTTTTTTGTCGAAGACATTTGCGTTCAAGGATCGATTTGTGATAGCTTCCCGAACATTTGCGGCGAAGACATGTTTTGTAAAAATGTGGTGATTGATGGGGAAATCCGCGATTACAAATGCACCGAGCGACGGTTTGAAATTCAGATGGAGACAACGACGAGTTCTCAAATCGGAACTGTGTTCAATTTTATGCTTCTTTTTATCCCATTTTTTATCTCACAATAGAATCTTCATGCATGTAGTCAAAAATAATGACTTTTACAATTTTTTTTATTTTAAAAATTTAGGTATAGCAGCGTTGATTCAGAAAAAAAGTGAAGTGATTTAGGCAGTTGCTTGCATAATTGTAAATAATTCTGTGTTAGTTATCAGCGATTTTTTTCTATATTCTTGATTGTCTTTTTCCTTGAATTTCGTTTTAAATTCCTTTCGAATCCGGGGAAAGAAGAGGCTGGCAGGCGTTTGAGTAAAGGATTGAATAGTGGTTTTCGCGTAGATGCCCCCAGAATTCTTCAGGAGAGGAGAGAATGATGGAACACTGTGGACAGCGAAGTATTTGAGCCGCTTGTTGGTCGATTGGAGGGCTCGTTTGTACCTGAAATCAAGAATAAAGAAAGAAGAAAGAATAAAGAAGACTTTCTTTTCCAAATCTTACCATTTGAGAATATGGCTGTCCGTATTTGAAGATTGGTCTTTGTTGTTCATCTCCGGAGTCGTCTGAAATCGTCTGGATCACTGTTGACGGTTGATCAGCTTGTAAGAGCGAATTTTTTCTTTTCTTGATTACTGGGCAGTGGGTCAGCGGAACTCCCAATTTTCGCTCATCATTTTCGTGGCTCTAGGAATTTTTTTGATAAGAAAGTTTTTGGCTTTTCTTTACGAATTGCGGAACCATTGTCGGTCTTGAAGAGCTTTCATGATAATCTTCCGTGATTGAAGCGACCATGTCTTCGTGCAAAATCTGCTCGGCAGTTTTGAAGTTTTGCTTGATTCTGGCGATGTGCGTTCTATTCACATTTTTTGCCCATTTCTTCGAAAAGATCTGAACAAAATCTAATCGCTGTTTGTTTTCAAAAATTTACCTGGCAGTTTCTTCAAGTGTTACAGAAGGATGACGAGCAAGAAAGTGCGCAATCGACTCGAAAAGTGCTCGGCGTAGGCTCGAACTGGAAGTTTTGGATTCGCGATGATGAATTTCGAGATGATGTGTTTCTCGCCAAAGGAAAGTCGGACAAAGGGCTTTCTCTGTTTCAAGGTTCTTTTCGATCCGAAAAAGAAGGAGGAAAGGAGAAGAACCAGTCCTTTTCCGGCGCAACTCGTTGAGGAACGATTCCGAGGATCGATTGTGCCGCTCTAGAAATCGAGCAAGCCAGTTTGAAGAGGCGTTGAAATCGCTCAAACCAAGATGGCTCGCTATTTTCATCGCTTGATTTCGGATGAATTGAGCTGTCAACTCCTCTAGAACATGAAATTCCAAATCGAAGAAAGGGGGAAAATTCTGAACCTTGAGAAGAGCCGTCGAAGATCTTTAAAATGTGCTCGTCCACGAGTTGAAAATCACAACTTGTTGTGCTATCTTCGTTGCTCACTAAAAATTTAATTTCTGGATGTTTTCGATTCGAAAATTACCAGTAGATCCGGCAGAGGAGTTGACTCGTTTGCACCAGTCTTGGTAGATGTCGTAGACCATGGAGTGAGTCACTGTTTTATGAAATCTGTTTTATGAAGTTTTGAGCCAAAAGAATATTTCTCATTAGAATAAAGGGCCAAGTCTTAAGCTCAAGTATGTGACGTAATTACGATTTTATCTCGTTGACGGTCAACTTGGCAAGAAAAAGTTCCGATCATCCGGTGTCTGAGCGCCAGTTCTACTCGAAAGAAGGCTTATCTATTGTAAATTGACTGACAGACTATCGTCAAGGTTAACTCATTATGCTCTACTAAAAGATAAGATCTAGGTCAAAACTTTCCTTACAGTAGGGTCGGCAAAAAAATTTGACCTCTTGTCCCATTGACGATTTATATCTCTTTAGAAAGAGCTCGACGAGCTGATTCTCATGGTATGCTTCGTTTTCTCTCCGATGTGGGAAACTATTTTAATGGTCATTTAAAAGTCAGCTTTGGGGGCCTGAAAACGTGGTTTCTGGACATATCGGAATTTGGAATGGGACAAGTTTGAAGGAGATATTTTGAACCAAAGGCAACTCTTTAATAAAATATAATGAGCATGTGACAAAATAAACCTACGGAATGGACGGTTAATTCTGATCAAATATATTCTCCTTTTTCTGATATATATTTTTGACCCTGTTCTTTCATATTTTGATATCAGATTGAGAATACAAGACTGTTTTCTAGTGAATTTGAATTTTTGAAGTGTCTTCCCCTGAAAAAGTCCCAATTTTTGAAAATTTCGACCTCACTGGCGACGATGATGTCGGATATGAGTAATTTTTGGCTGAGAGAGGTTTTTGACCATCGCGAATCAGATGGTGATACTTTCAGAGCGATTCGAGGGAAAAATATTTTTGCCGACCCTACCTTACAGAAAACTTTTTCGCTGTGGCGCCAAAATTTGCGCCAGGATTTTCAATCAGCGACTGGATAATTTCCGACGCTTCGATCGGGGTCAGCTGATCTTCTTGAATTCGTGATTCTTCGTCTTTTGAAAGTGTTAGAAAACCTCATTTTCAATTTCGCTGATTTTTAATATCGACCACAGAAAAATGTCACGCGAATTAGCACGGTATTACAAGTTTACTCGAGCTTCGAATTTTGAGTGAACAAATCTAACAATTTTCCTGAAACCGGCTCTGTTTTGGGGAAATGGGTTTCTTCTGGCTCAGTTTTCGCGATTTCTTGTTTTCGTTCCATAACTGTTCCTAAAAAAATATTATGGAACAAGCGTTTCCAAAGTTGAAAAATCGAATTTTTTTGGCCTTAAAATCGGACTAAATTGGACTAAAACAAAAAATTTAAATGTTTTTAGATAACCAATAAGATTGCTGTGTTTGGCTTGCCGGCCAATCAAAACCCTGATCAAGAAAATCATTTATTTTCGCTTCTGCCTCTTAAATTTTGACGAAGGCGTCCAAGAAAAAATTGAATAGAGGATCGTCCTTAAAATCTCCGGGAAAGATTACCTTGAAAAGCAGTGTTGGAAAACCCGCAACATTTCCCGCGGGCGCAGGCGGGCGCGGGGGCCGATTTAAAAATTTTCCGCGGTTGCGGGCGGGCGCGGGGGCCGATTCCTAAATTTCCTGCGGGTCCGGGCGGGCGCGGGGGCCAACTCAAAAATTTCGTGCGGGGCCGGGCGGGCGCGGGCGGGGGCCCCGCAGATTTTCGCGCCCGCGGGCGCCCGGGGGGTTGAGGGCGTCCGTAACCCTCGCGCCCGCAAGCCCCGCGGGTTCAGAAATCAGCAAATAAAAAAAATAATTTTTGATAAAAACCATAATAGAGTGATAAACTAAGATAATTTGAATTTTTCAAACGATGGGTGTGGGCGGGGTTGGGGACAAAACTGAGATTGATCAACTTAGAGTTCCCAGCCATTGTCAAGCCCCTTAAATTCAAAAATCATGGAACAGGGCTGAGACGGCCCGAAGGGCCGTCAAGCCCCTTAAATTCAAAATCATGGAACAGGGCTGAGACGGCCCGAAGGGCCGTCAAGCCCCTTAAATTCAAAATCATGGAACAGGGCTGAGACGGCCCGAAGGGCCGTCAAGCCCCTTAAATTCAAAATCATGGAACAGGGCTGAGACGGCCCGAAGGGCCGTCAAGCCCCTTAAATTCAAAATCATGGAACAGGGCTGAGACGGCCCGAAGGGCCGTCAAGCCCTTAAATTCAAAATCATGGAACAGGGCTGAGACGGCCCGAAGGGCCGTCAAGCCCCTTAAATTCAAAATCATGGAACAGGGCTGAGACGGCCCGAAGGGCCGTCAAGCCCCTTAAATTCAAAATCATGGAACAGGGCTGAGACGGCCCGAAGGGCCGTCAAGCCCTTAAATTCAAAATCATGGAACAGGGCTGAGACGGCCCGAAGGGCCGTCAAGCCCTTAAATTCAAAAATCATGGAACAGGGCTGAGACGGCCCGAAGGGCCGTCAAGCCCTTAAATTCAAAATCATGGAACAGGGCTGAGACGGCCCGAAGGGCCGTCAAGCCCCTTAAATTCAAAATCATGGAACAGGGCTGAGACGGCCCGAAGGGCCGTCAAGCCCCTTAAATTCAAAATCATGGAACAGGGCTGAGACGGCCCGAAGGGCCGTCAAGCCCTTAAATTCAAAATCATGGAACAGGGCTGAGACGGCCCGAAGGGCCGTCAAGCCCCTTAAATTCAAAATCATGGAACAGGGCTGAGACGGCCCGAAGGGCCGTCAAGCCCCTTAAATTCAAAATCATGGAACAGGGCTGAGACGGCCCGAAGGGCCGTCAAGCCCCTTAAATTCAAAATCATGGAACAGGGCTGAGACGGCCCGAAGGGCCGTCAAGCCCCTTAAATTCAAAATCATGGAACAGGGCTGAGACGGCCCGAAGGGCCGTCAAGCCCTTAAATTCAAAATCATGGAACAGGGCTGAGACGGCCCGAAGGGCCGTCAAGCCCCTTAAATTCAAAATCATGGAACAGGGCTGAGACGGCCCGAAGGGCCGTCAAGCCCCTTAAATTCAAAATCATGGAACAGGGCTGAGACGGCCCGAAGGGCCGTCAAGCCCCTTAAATTCAAAATCATGGAACAGGGCTGAGACGGCCCGAAGGGCCGTCAAGCCCTTAAATTCAAAATCATGGAACAGGGCTGAGACGGCCCGAAGGGCCGTCAAGCCCCTTAAATTCAAAATCATGGAACAGGGCTGAGACGGCCCGAAGGGCCGTCAAGCCCCTTAAATTCAAAATCATGGAACAGGGCTGAGACGGCCCGAAGGGCCGTCAAGCCCCTTAAATTCAAAATCATGGAACAGGGCTGAGACGGCCCGAAGGGCCGTCAAGCCCTTAAATTCAAAATCATGGAACAGGGCTGAGACGGCCCGAAGGGCCGTCAAGCCCCTTAAATTCAAAAATCATGGAACAGGGCTGAGACGGCCCGAAGGGCCGTCAAGCCCTTAAATTCAAAATCATGGAACAGGGCTGAGACGGCCCGAAGGGCCGTCAAGCCCCTTAAATTCAAAAATCATGGAACAGGGCTGAGACGGCCCGAAGGGCCGTCAAGCCCCTTAAATTCAAAAATCATGGAACAGGGCTGAGACGGCCCGAAGGGCCGTCAAGCCCCTTAAATTCAAAAATCATGGAACAGGGCTGAGACGGCCCGAAGGCACCAAATTTGGGCCGTCAAGCTCAATTCAAGGCGAGGGAAGGGAATTATAACAACGCCCGGGGGCCCCGGGCGGTTGAAAAAATTTTGTACGGGCGCGGGCGGGCGCGGGGGCCAAATCAGAAATTGTTTGCGGTCGCGGGCGGGCGCGGGGGCCAAATCCGAAATTTTTTGCGGGTTCGGGGGGCGCGGGCGCCCGCAGCCCCCGCCCGCCGCCCCCGCGGGGTTCGCGGGCGGGTTTTTTCCAACACTGTTGAAAAGGATCTTTGGATTTCTCTGTGAGTTGTTATTTGTAATTTGGTAATAATGGATGCGGCCAAGTGTTCAGGGCGCGTTTCTCTGTTTTATGGGACCTGCCGAGGCAAAAATTTATCTGTCAGACAGTGATTAACTTATTTCACTCAACACGAATGTTGACATTTTCCTCCGAACCAAAAATTAATAAATAGAAAAAGGAATTTCTTAAAAATTATTGAAAACTTTAGAATTTAGAGTCTGGAAAATAAGGGGATGAGTCTCTAAAATCGTTTTTTTTTTCAAAAGAAATATTTTTTTCTTTGGTGACACCCTTATTCAAAACTTTGAAAATTATGATAGTAATTTTATGAAAATTAATAAATAAAAAGAAACAAGAATAAGGGTGTCGCTTCAAAAATAAAAATTAGCACGAGCAAAAATAAATAAGGGTATCAAAATGATAAAAATAGCGAAAATATTGAGAAAAAGCTTCAAAAATAAAGATTGATGTGTTCATAAAAATTCTGTCTAAATCTAAAAGCGCCTGTCATAAAATCCGCCGGCAACAAAAAAAGAAGAAATACAAAGTGAGTCTTAGCGACCAGAGAAGTACAATAATAAAAACGATAATAATGGTCGGCCGAATCGCTACCTTGCGGAGAGACGCCCTGATGATGCTGCTTTTCGGGATCGTAAATGAAGAGTTTGCTCACTCGCAGGCCTTCCATTGGTGAACTAGAAATTCAATTAAATTCTACAAGCGTTCGAAAACAAAATTGATCCCATTCTACTTGAAAATAATAAAGATGTGCTTGGTCAAAACAACGAGACTGGATAATTGGAGCACCTCCATTTTTGGGAATCTAGAGCAAATAATGTCTAGATTTAACAAAGTCTAGACTCTAGATATTTGTCTAGAATCTAGACTTTGTTCTAGACTATCTAGACTCTAGAATCTAGACTCTAGATAGCAAGGCCGAGCTCAGTCTCCCATTTTTAATTTCCGTTGATGCGTTTGACGATGAATTTTCTAGAGATTACAATTATACAGTATGTTTCCAAATTTCCGGACTAATTTTGTCCCCAGATTTCCGAAAAATGTCCGGAAATTTGGCCTTCCTATGAAAAAATAATGTCCCACCAAGCATCCTTAAAATTTTTCGAAACATGGTCACTTACCCGTGTAGAAGTCGTCTAAGCGCAAAAAAGACGACGACAAAGTGGGTTTGATAGGAGAACTCAAGGATAAACACAAGAAAGTCGATGTATTAAACCTCTTGTACCTTATTTCGAAGAAAAAATATGAGCTACCGTCAATTTTTTTTCTTAAGGGGGTAGAAACAGCTTTTTTGAATGTAGGATTTACAAATTTTTCTTTGTCGATTCCGAAAGCTTAGCTCATGCACAACAAATCTTTTCATTATAATTTTTTTCGTTCGCCAATCAGAATCGAGAAAAAATCGACTTTAGTTAATGAAATTCATCAAATCCTGCGTTGCGTGTTGATGCATGCTATGATTTTTTGACTTTTTTCAAATGATTTGGACAGCAAAACAAGCTTTGAAATCTAAAGAACTAAGGAAAAGACTTTTTTTGTAGTAGATATATTCTAAAATAAGGAAAAAATAAGGAATTTTTCTTCCTTGATTTTCACGAATTCGCGATTTTCGACTTCCGATTTTCAAACGCTTTGATTGCATTATCAATTTTTATAAAAAGGCAATTTCCATCATAGATGCTCCTAGAAAAAGGGTTGAACTATCTAAAAATGAAATTTGAAATTCTCGGTTCATCACATGACTCGAGATAATTGTGCTTGAAAATGGGCAAAAATCGGGACTTTCGACGAGATGCGTCGATGTTTCGCTCTCTAGCGCTAAACTGGCGAAACAAAAAATAATTTTAAAACCAGATGCTCTTAGATCTAAGATAGATCTAACTAAAATCGAAGAGAGAATTTAAAAATCTAAGGTTGGCTGAGCTTGGGCGCTGTTCAAAAATCGGCTTTTTTCAAAAAAGCTGTTTCTACCACCTTAATTTGAAAAAAAAGTCCGGAAATTTGGGTCATCGTCAATTTGTTAGTGTCCCACTAAAACCCCTTAAAATCTGAAAAGTGTCCGGAAATTTGGACTCCGGAAATTTGGCAACAAACTGTAATCGCATCGGACACATGCGGTTTTTTTTATGTACTCAAGTTGTAAGTCAATGTCGTAATTTGTTATTACATAAAACATTAGAAACAAGTCAAGTCTATTTAATACTAAATGGACTTATCTTAGTCTATTCCATAATATGATATAATTTATATCCTAGATTGGCTATTTTGGAGATTATCTTACCAAAATACCTATCTATCAGTTCGCTCGACTCTATTGTCTCTTTACTTGAGAATCAAGCCTAATACAGGATGACTGTATGAGTGTCATTGATAAAGACCGGCTCTTGATAAGCATGTTTTATTCGAATGAATTTGAACAACTCTCAGGGAAACGAACTTAAGGGTACTACCTTCGATTGTCCAAATGACCAAGTTAAGCTGTGAAATTGAAGGTAGTACCCTTAAGACTCGCTCGGAAATGAAATTTTCGAGATCGTACTAAGGTTAAAAATTAAGCCAACTTACAGTTATCTCTCTCTTTTTTTGAGATTATTTTTCAAGAAGTTGTTGAAAACGATTCTTGACAGTTGGAAGCTGCTCTCTGGAATGACTCTGAAGTTCAGTGTCGAAGATAGAAAAGTCAACTAGTCAGGCTTCAGCGGGGAGAATAAGTTGGTATCTTGAGCGCCAATTGCAATTCCCCTGAACTAAGCAGTTAACAGTGGAGCAGACGGTGCCGGGGGGCTCGCGATTGATGCTGCTGTCGACTCTTTTGCCTAATCACCGAGCAAACCAGCTTCTTTAGAAACCGGCACAAGAATACTCGCTGAAAATTACGAATAAGTTAACCCTTATTTTTGCCTTTTTTTTCGCATCGCGCGGATAAAATTGATATTACAGGATGAAATTTGGATTAATTTAAGAATGTCTGCGAGACAACAAGCAAAATTTAAGGGTATAAGCATAAATGGAAGTGATTTTCTGGATCAGGGTTTTGATTGGCCGGGAAGCCAAATGCAGCAATCTTATTGGTTATCCGAAAATTCATTTTTATTTGGGTTTACGTCCAACAAAACAGTGAGTTACAGGTCTCTTTTTGTCCATAAAAAATACAATTTTATCTAAAACGACAAAAATTAAAAAAATAACTTACGAATAAAATGCGAAAAACGTAAAAAAAGCAGAAAGTTCTGACTAAAGAAGTTTACAGATGATTTCCTATTTATTGACGAAAATATGACGTCCGAAGAAATATATATTTATTATTGTATTAATTTCGTCTTTGAAAATTTACTTTGTACTCTGCGTCACAAACCGACTGGATGAACTCATGTCCCATTTCTTGAGAAATTAACGCGTGACGCGGCGGAGATAAGTCAAGGCGGCTAGATTTTGAATGCAGTCAACCTCAGTGTTTTTTGGCGCCGCGGGGCCACAATTCTAATCAATTCAACTTTTTCTTGCTGAGTTCATTTTTCCAAAAATCTATTTTTTTTTCAGCTTTTGCTTGGAGTTATTTTTAATTTTGACAAAATTGAAAAATATAAAACTTCTGTGGAAAAAAAAGTTTATTTCTTCTGAAAAATACAGTTGAAAACGGTAAGTTAAGGATATAGCCTATGAAATTGAGCTTTCATAGCGCCTAAATGCGACGTCGGATCATTTATTTTCAAAAGCAATCCTATCTAACAATGTGCGCAGAACTCGATTTTGGTACTTTTTTTAAAATTTTTATTCGAATTTTTCTCTGTAGAGCGTTTTGAAATCTTACGATCGCGTTTTCTCGAAATTTTTACATTAAATCGGTCGAGTTTTTTCGATAGAAAGGTACTCTAGACCCTTATCTACAAAATTGTGGGTTCGGTTTTCTCTTATCCCGACAAAAACCGATTTTAGAGCCATTTCCGTGAGGCTTCCTCGGCGCGTGAGTAATGTAAAAAGCGCTGCGCTGGGTGCTCAATCTCTCGACTCCTCTTTTCCGAGAGAAAGTGCGCGTTTTAAAGAGCGCTCTGATTGGTTGAACAAAAAAAAGCGCGCATGGAAGAAAAACAAGAGCAAGAAAGAGGAAAACACTAGAATGAAAATTTGGCCGAGTTTGAAAATTTTTCAGCCACAATGTTCTAGTTTTGCATTCTGTCAATACAGTCACTGGTTTGGTTTTAGCGATTTAATGTAAAAGTTTCGAGAAATCACGATCGTAAGATTTCAAAACGCTCTACAGAGAAAAATTGAAATTAAAATTTTTAAAAAAGTACCAGAATCGAGTTTTGCGCACATTTTTAGATAGAATTGCTTAAGAAATAAAATGATCCGACGTCGCATTTAGTCGCTATGAAAGTTCAATTTCATAGGCTATATCCTTAAAAAAAAGCTGAGTCCTCAATTTCAGTAATTCCCGCCGATGGCAGAATCTGTGGACGTGACTTGAAAACGATCAGGGGGTTCAATCAATTGCTGATAACTTTAGCCAGCTTATTCTTCCTGTTTTGCTGGATTCTGATGAGCCTTCTATTTAAGGTGGTAGATATCAAGAATCGCCATTTTCTGTCAGACTTTTCTCCCAAATTTAAAATAGTGACACCCTTATTTTACTTTGGAAACAAAAACTTTAGACCTTTATCTATTTCCTATGGAAACCGAAATTTCGAATTTCAAAAAAATTTTGTACAAATTTTTTCGTCAAAGATTGCTGACTTTCCTAGAATGGGCTTTTTGACGAGAATCGGAGGTGTCAAATTTGCATTGTAGCACCTCGAAAGCTCAAGAAATCCTAATTTTTGGCTTCCATAGGAAAGAGATTAATGTCTGAAATAAATTTTGAGCAGAAAAAATAAGGGGGTCACTATGTTAAAAATTTGAGAAAACACTGACAAGAAATCCGATTCTTGATATCTACCACCTTAAGGCTGTCAACATCAATAGGGTATGATTTGAAGCTCAAATTTTTTGATACTTTTAACAAATTATAGCATCAGTCAATTGTCAAATACTAAACTTTTTTGTGAGCAATATTGAAATTTTTCTTAGACACGTGAGTTTTGAGCCGTCATTTTTTTATTTTTTTACTCTATTTTTTTATTCTTATCTTGCTTAATAAAAGCAATTCAGGGTGGAAAATCGACCCATATTTTGCAATAATAAACGAAGTTCGATAGTTTCTTGACATAATTGGTGACACATAAACTCTTTGTCATTTATTCATCGTCTAATTAGACTCTAATTGATGACATATTGCCCTCAACAAAAAATGAGCTAGAAAGAGTGTGAATTATTTTTATCATAAACTGAATCAAATAGAATGCTCAATAAAATTGAAAACAAAACCTGTTTTGTTGGAAAGATTTGACACGAAAGTAACCCATCTAAGCGACTTTCATTTGTCTAGTTTTATTTGAACGAGGAGGAATAAGATTTGCATTGTTCGAGAAGGATTTCAGATTGCTTCTCTTCTTCTTTTCACACTCCAAAGAACCCTCCAAGCATCTAAAATACCTTCATCATCTATCTGACCATAATAAGGACGCACCTGGTAGTATTTGGTCGGATCAGACTGGCGAAGATCGTTTTCAGCCATCGAATCAATCAAACTTTCCTCGAAAGCCTTAAAAAATTCCCACTCCTTTTTTGAAAAATCTCTAGTTTTACCATTTCGTCGGAAGTTGGCGGCGGAAGAGGAAGATAATTTGCAGCGGCGAGTTGAAAAAGACATAAAAGTCCAAATAGTCTATTCATTTTTTATATTTCTTTTTCTGAAGACGACAAGATGCAAGTCCGTTTTTATACTGTCCTGAAAAATGGACAAGAGGGCGCTGGAGGTCGGGGAATAAACAACTGAGTTCAAGGAATGTTTCCATTTGAATTTACAGAATTTTGAAAATTTAGGAAACCACGTAAACGGGATTTTTTTCACGAAGAAATTGGGCTAAAGCAATTAATTGAGGTGCATTTTTGAATAGCCAATAAGATTGCTGTATTTGGCCTACCGGGCAATCAAAACCCGAATCCATAAAATAACTTCTTTAAATTGGTTTAACCCGAAAAATTGGACTAAATCGAAGTCCATTTTTAATAACCAATGAGATTGCTGTATTAGGCCTACCGGCCAATCAAAATCAAAAATGATTGAAACACTTTTTTCTTTTGAATAATGCTATTTTTTTTATTCAGAAGAATCAATTGTACCAGGCTTCAAGAACAAAGTCTTTTTTAAACGCAGTGGCGGATTCGTAATTAGCAGCAGTGTCCGAGCCACATCGCCATCCAGACGAGTAGGGAAAGTCTTTCAAAAATAAATCTCAAATGACAGATTAACTTTGCTTACTCATGTAAAGTGACATGCGGCTTTTCTCGAGCTGAGCGGGCGGACAATCCCATCGTCCGGCTTGAATTTGACAGTCTTAGCCGCGCGTTGCGAATAGTTTGAATAGCTAGCTTGATTAGTTGAAAGGAAAAGAGGGGGCAATAAGTTCGGAATCCAATAATCAGAGGCTTTCTAAATACATAGATTCTCAAGTTGATTTGAAGATTTTTGGATGTAGATTTTCGACAGATTCTTGAAGAATAAAGAGTTTTTTTAAAGAATTGTTACAGGACCAATTCTTCTATTATTTGGCTAGAATTGGTATGATACCCCTAACCCTAAAGCCTTACCAAGGGTGATACGCCCCCCCCCCCGGGAAGCCCCTTAAGGACCCCCCCCCCCGTCAGCTTTTTCCTTCGAAAAATGGAAATTTCTATAAACCCCATATTTTTTGTTCTTAATGCGTCCTAAGGTTAAACTCGCTAAGAAAAGCTGATAAGGAGAAGTTTTGACCAAGAAATTAAGGGGTACGCCTCTCGGGACCTCAAGTAGGTACTCCTTGCCCCCTAAGTTAGGGGCACTAACCCTTATCCCAAACTGAGAAAAGGTTTGGTATCATACCAATTCTAGCTTTATATTATAGAATAATTAATCCTGTACAAATTCCTTCCAAAAAATTCTAGAATCTCAACAGTCTATTTTTCTGGAAATCCGATCTTCTTGAAAAGTGACGGTCACTATTTTGAACTTGGATAGTCTGCAAGACCTTATCAGGGAGAATGTCATTAGATTCAAATTAAAGAATCGACCTTATTCGCAAAATTAATATCGACGAAAAATACGCTTATTCGCAACACGATCCGAAAAAGTCAAACGGTCCGAGATAAATGTCGGGCGAGGCGGCGAAACCAAAGGGCTCTCCGGGGATTTCATTGTTCGAGTAGTAACTGTAAAATCCGTTCGCGGGGATGGCTGTGGTCTGCTGCTGGTAAGGGAAGCTTCTGGCGAAGAAAAGGCTTTCGTCGCCAAAAACGCCAACCTGGTTTAAAGGCTCATTATTTTCGCAGAATAAAATATAACAAAGCATCAATCGAGCCGTCCCTGGAACTCAGCATTCCCCGATTTTTGGTTGAAACAACCGACGAAAATGTTCTGCGCGCCCGCTGGAATCTCCTTGAGTCCTTGACCGACACGTCCTGTCGAAAAATCAGCTGAGAAATACTTAACGTCAGAAATTAGCTTTTTGTCCCGTCTGTTTTACTGTGCCTTTTTGAAGCCGCGAGAAGAAAGTTCAGATTTCGGGAATTGTGTTTGGACGCCGGAGAGGATCAGGGGCACGCTTGTCGTTGTTGTTGTTGTTGTCGTTGTTGTCGCTGTGGAGGTTGTTGTGTGAATTTCAGTCTTGCAAGGGTTGAACACTTTTCAGGTAGATTTTCAAGTGGATTCTTAGTTGAACCCTAAACGTCGTCATTTCTTGCTGGCTGTCCATTCTGCCATACATGGCATCCATGTCAGTATAATAAGGATATCTTTAAAAAAGAGACTCAGGACGATCGTTCCACAAAACATGATCTTGAGCGACTTAATAATTCAAAAACTTCCTCGTATTTTTACTAGGACGTGATGAATTCGGAATAATCGATGAGCCGAAAATATGATTCTTCTCCGATCTTATCCGATCTGAGCCTCTTTCCTGGTGGTATAGGGAGGGGTGTAGTATGGCTTCCGAGTTGTGTAGGGCTTGTTGTTGTACCAGCCGTTGTTGTGGTTGTTGTTGTGCATGGGTCCGTTGTTGTGGACGGGGCGAGTTGTCCAGCCTTGCTGATCTTGCGGGTATTTTGACGGTCGAGTTGTTTTCGGGGGAGATGGGTAAGTTCGCGTCGGTCGGATCTGGAAAAGGGAAGGTTAGGTTTTGAAAAGAGAATTGACGATTCAAAGAATTAGGCACAATTGCGTCAATAAAATGTCGTTCCTTATGGCAGCCAAAAATAAAACATTATAAAGAAAAAAACATAACTGCATATTCTTGGGTCGAAAAAAGCTTAACTTACTGTTGGCGCATAAGTCGGCCTTGGCGGCTTAGGGTCGACGTGATGAGATGGATGCATTCCATCGCAGTTGCTCTCTGCTAGGACGTTCTTGAAGACGGCGAGACAGTTGTCATAACATCGATTGGAGCTGCTGTCAAATGGACAGTCCCGAAAGCAGTCATTTGCGATTACCATCATCGCATTTCGACATACTTTTTGAGAAGTAAACTGCTCTCGGGCTTTTTAATTATGTATGATTTCTTTCAAAATGAATTTGTTTGTCTCGTCTCTAATTATTTCATGCTCGAAAAAATGCAATTTAATTCTAGAGCCCGATTTCTTGACAAGTCCACTCCGGTCACCTCCTCCATGCAACGCTTCGACCAAACTTCCAAAAACTAATAAATTTAAATTCGATCCTCTCATTTTTGAAAAATAGAAATTAGCCAAATCATGTGAGAAATTGCGATTTAAATGCTCCCCCGAACCGCAAACTCATCTGGTCAGCTGGAAGCAGCTGAAGCGCGGATGCAAGATTTTAATTGAGTTCTCAAGTAAAAAAAATGCGTGAGAGTTTATTTTCGATTCGATTTTTTGGTCAGGAGTTGGATTTTTTCCTTGGTCGGTTGTTACTCGTTGAAGTCGATTGGGTCGATGTCAACGCCGAGAGCTAAAAAGTCATTTTAATTTTTATAGAATCTTTAATTTTCTTTGCGGTAAATGAATTCCTCTCCTCCTTTTTTTCTCCCGCGCGCCAAAATTTTCGACCAAGAGCGCTCAAATGTGGAGTAAGCCATCCATCACGGGAGGGTAAGACGACCGAATAGGTTTATCTGTTCTAGCTCGACTAGAATGCCTTGTGGGCCTAAAAAAAGTTGTGTTCGTTCATTCGAGCGTAAAACTTGTTTTTTTCCAACTCAAACCATTCAAAAGCTACCTCTTTTTTGGACGACTCTCTAGCAACTGATATGAGTTATTTTTTTGCATATTGACCCATTATAAAATGATCTTTTAGATTGAGAGGAAGGAAAAGATAAAATGGAGCGTCAAGAACTAAACTCGTAAAAGGGAAATTCACCGCAAAAAAATGTAAAGAATGAAGCTTTTTAATATTTTTAAAAATTATATGTATTATATAAATTATACAAAATAATCTAAAAAAAAAATTTTTTTCTGACTTCAAGAAATAATTATTTCCAAATTTCTGCCTTGATATTTTTACTCAAAACTAGAGTAGCATATAAAATACCAATTGCTTATCTGTTTTAGACTGCGGTATAAGAACGACATCAATGCCTGGAGGGAAGAAATTGTGACGAAATAATTTTGATGTTGGACTTGAAATATGATGACAATTTATGAAATGCACCAATATAATTACAGTTACCAATAAATGTGATAGTCCTGCTTTACTATTATTGTCATAAAATTAATAAAACAATTTTTATTGCATTTGAATGCCATCTTTAAAAAATGTAGCTCACCTTCAAGTTGATAGCCCAGTTCAATAACCAGCAACTCCAGCTCCCTGATTTCTCTTCTCTTGACTCTTCCTTTTCCCGGCTTGCCCTTTTCTCCCTTTCTTCCGATCGGGCCTTGTTTTCCTTGATGTCCTTCACGACCGACTTCTCCTTTGAAACCTTTTTCTCCGGGATCACCAGGCAATCCGGGAGCACCATCCCGGCCGATTGCTCCTTCGTCGCCCATCATTCCTTGGGTGCCTTTATGGCCTTTTTGATTGGTCAAAAGAAATTCAAAATTCATCTTTTTTGAGAAAATTTCGACAATTTCCTGCAGGGCCAGGAGGTCCTCGATCTCCTTTCTCCCCTTTTTGCCCTTTTTGATAATTTTGGCTCAAGGAAACACCGAAAAAATAAACAAAAAGCTAAAATAACTCTTTCATTTTGAAGATTTCATTTTCTGCTTACCTTGAAAAATCTCATCCTCTTTATAAATTTAACTCAATTTTGGAAATGAACTCTGACCCGAAGAATGAGTAATCAACAAATGCTTGTATTATTTTCTTTTATTTACAGAAGTAGAAAGAAATTTTTATTTTTCAGACTGTCGTTTCGGCAAATTTGAAGTCCAAAACCATCGCGTCGTATTGCCGAAAACATCCCAAGTCGTCCCAAAATCGTCCCAGTTGGGGATTCCGAGATTTTCTCCTGTTGTTTGAAAACATCTTGAGGCGTCTTTTTCTTGAACACATGGTCTTTTCACAGGATTATCAAGGTTTTTCGAAAGAATTATATTTTATCTTTAAATGTCTTAAAATGTCTGAAAATTTCTAGAAAATGTCTATAAATGTCTCAAAATGTCTCAAAATGTCTTGAGATGTCAGAAGATGTCTAAAATTGTCTGAAAATGTCAAAAAATTGTCTAAAAATGTCTAAAAAATGCCTGAAAATGTCGTAAATGTCTTTAAATGTCCAATTTGTCTCATAAATGTCGGCAAAATGTCAAAAATGTCTGAAAAATGTCGGTTTAATGTCAAAAAATGTCTAAAAAATGTCTAAAAATGTCTTTAATTCTGTTCCTAAAACACTGCCGACAAACTGACTCTCCAAAAACATCGCTCTCTTCCTGATGATTTTCCGGTTTGCACTGATTCCAAACCTTCGGCCCTCGGAAATTCTGATTCTTCAAATCGTTGCATGCATTAGCCAGCTTGCAGCCGGTGGTAAACCGACGAACAGAAGCAGATCTGATTCTTGCTTCGATGTAGCATTCTGCATCTTCAGCGCATGTTTCGATTTTTCCGTGAGTGGCGCAATCTGAACAGGATTTTGAAGCTCTAGAAATCGATAAAGAAGCGTTGGTTGGTTGCTCTCCAGAAGAAAAAAATGAAACTTTGTCATAAATTTAAAAATGGCTCGATTCAAAATTCTGACAGCTGATTCTGAAGCAAGTTACAGTGTCGACTTTGATGAAACAGAGACGCTAGAATCTGCAAAGAAAAAAGGTCAGTTGACAAAATCGCGATTTTTTGAACCTTCCAAAAGTCGGCGAAAAACTGCGAAAAGATGGAAAACTGTTGAATTTGATCTTTATGGGCCGATTTTTAACCAGCGACGAAAATGTCCACGAAGCGATTCGTTCAACCCTTTCCCGAGGACACAACGGAATTCTTCATGTTTCGGAACGAGCGGAACAAGCTTCGATTCTCTCGAATGTTGAGTCGGCTGCAATCGAGGGGAATATTTGCAAGAAGAAATTCATAAGTACTTTTAAAAAAAGCAATGATCTAGTTTTGCCCTCTTTTATTTTTAGTTGCTTGGACGCTTCAAAAAAGTGCGAGGATGATTTTAGAACAAGCTTTAGGTGGGATTATTCAAAGGGAAAAGGATAACACTGTATTTTAAGACCAAGGAACCCAGGACACCGGAAATGATGAGCTTGATACGAGCTCATTCCCAGACCCTGGGCTCGGCAACCTGTGTAGAAAGCCTGAGTCAGGGTGTGAAAGATCTATAATTGAAAGATCTTTCTGACCCTGACTCAGGTTTTCTACACAGGTTGCCGAGCCCAGCCCAGATCCGCTTGAAGTCGCGAGAGGCATCTCTTATGAAGTCAGGGATGATTTCGTCTACGACCTCGACCTTGCAAATCTACTCGACGAAATTGCAGATGATTATGGCGCACGCGGCTCTCAATAAAAACCCGTTCACGCTTAGAATTTCTCCAGAACCGTGATTTTAAGACGCATGCAAGATTTTTGCGAGCTGATCGATTCAATAGCAACTGCAAATGCTGAAATCCCAGCAGCGCGAAAACGAGCTCTCTTGACCAAGTTCGGCACCGTGAACGGATACATGGCGCATTTGGACCAGATCATTGCGCATTTCATTATTCCAGTAGCCCGACCGCCGCCGAGAAGACTTCATTGGAAACAAACTCTTACCCGGCGGCAACCAACTTCATCATAAAAATGCATGATTTTTTTGACAATAAAATTGGTAGAACCAAAAAATGGAAGTTATTTTCCTGATCAGGATTTTGATTGGCTGTGAGGCCAAGTACAGCAATCTTATTGGTAATCCAAAAGTGCATTTTCTCTCAAAAAAAATGAGAAAAATCGCCATTTTTTTTGAAAATTTTTCGGAAAAAAATTCAAAAATTGGCAACCCTTGTTGAACAAAAACATACCTTCGTATGAAGTCGCTTCTGTACATCTCCAACACTGGGCGATTCCCTGAAAACTTCCTGTTTCCGAGAGTTCTTGTTGTATCTCCAGCATTTCTACAGTTTCAACAAAGTTTTCAATCGCTAGTGGTTTGGTTGCTACGATTTTTGATGATTCACTCTTCTCTTCTATGTCTTCAGTCGTAAAATTCGGAGCCCATTGAATTTGTGCTTTTGAATTTTTGATAAAATTGAGGATCAAAATACTAAATTTTTTCATCTTTTTGTTTTTTTGCGAAAAAAAGGTTGTTGAGATGAATAAATAGAGAAAACGCCAGCTAGTGGACCAGTTAAAAGTTGGAATTTTGAATTAATAAGCGTGTCCAAGGAAATGTTTCAGATGATGTGGTGCTCATCTAATTCAATTTAGAAATGGAACTGGAGCTGGTATTTTGGATCGAGAGAGGGGCTGTTTCTCGAAAAAGCTCGAAAAATCGCGTCAATTGCCAAAAATAGAGATCTGCCGCGGCAATTGTGGATTTTCACAGCTGACGCACTATCACTACGACTCACTGTAGCTCAAAATAAAACGAACAAAAAACCAAAAGAAAGAAAAAAAATCAAAAGAAAAAAAAAGAAATGGGCCGAATTCGAGATAAAGTTACACCAACTTTGAGAAAAGCTCTTGAAGAAATTGGACTAAATGTCGGTCCACCGCCAAATCCAGAACATCCGAACTTTATGCCGAGATGGGATTTTTCTCAATCAACTGAAAAAATCACAGGTTTTTTTCAAGATTGCTTTTTTGAAAGAATTTTCGACTACAAAAATTCTGGAAGCTTTCTCTAGTTTAAATTCTAGTGACGATTTATGTCAAAACATGCGATCCAAATTTAACGTACGCCGAGAGTTCTGGCTCAGATTTGACGATATTTGCTTGTTTTGGATGGTTCAAGAGACTGGTCAGCTTGAAAATCGCAGACTTTCATGATGAAGTCAAAATCGAAACAGCACTTCTAACGATGTCTCCTAACAAGGCAAGATTTAAACAGTCCGTTCCCTTTCAAAATCATTTTTAGGTCGAAGTTTCGATGAAAAAACAAACCGCTGGGGAAATCACCTGGCCAAAGGTTCACGGCTCGAGTCCGCCAGAATTGAAGCACGAGGGCATTCTCAATCCAGAACCACCAAAGCCTGTCGATATTTCCGAACCAATCGTTGAAGAACCAGAAGATGGCGAAGATGATGAACCGCCAGAGATGGAGGAAGATTACAAGACATATCGAACTGGGGGTATTTGGCAACCAGACGCTCAGAAAAAGTAAGAGCGGGTTTTGTTTCGTTTTTCGATAAAATTTCAGGTCGAAAAAAGAATCAGCTCTAGAAAAACGCGCCCGATACGTAGAACAGCGAGCTCGAGGCCTTATTCCCGAAGCTGGAAAGAACACCGAACCAGACTACGATTCTGAAGAAGAGGAAGAAATCATCAAAGCCGAATTGGCGCGATTGCCGGCAGAAATGCGCGCTAGAATCAAGGTCTGCCTGAAGAGCAACGAGGACGGAGATGATGATGATTTGGATGGCGTCGAACAAAGTAAGCCCTTTTGAAAACCGACAGAATGAAATGGAAATTTTCAGTCGATTGGGTCGAGTCGAAAGATGCAAAAACTTTGATGAAAAACTCCAGCTACGTCGATGGCCAAAACAGCGATGTGTTAAACATTCAATAAAAATCAGCCAATCAGAAATAAGAAAGACATGTCGTTTCAATAATTTATTATTCTAACAAAAATATTTTTTTTTTCAATCGAAGCAGGATCTTTGTCCTCCCGCAGGGCCGTAGACTTCGCAACTTTCTGTCGAATTAATCAACACTCCATTGCAACTGACTCCGCAGCCGGAACCGAGTTCGTTGTCGACGAATTCGCATCCTCTTAGATTTTGGCTGCCCCAGAGAAAGGGATTCTCACCCTCTTGATAATGAAATGAGGTGTTTGACCTGAAGATCGAGCAAACCTGCGTAAAGAATCGAAGCGACACAAGCTCGTTCCATGCAACTGATCGTCGCGGTCAACAAAGCCAGCATTCCAAGCCTAAAATCACTACAACAACCTTTCATTTCCCCCCTCTTACTTGGACAGCATCCCCCTTCTTTGAGGCGCCATGCCAGAGAGACCACCAATGACGATACCAATACTGGCGAAATTGGCAAAACCCGAGAGCGCGTACGTCGTCAAGATTTCTGACCTTTCCGAGAGCCACATGACATTTCCTTCGCAATCGCACTTTGGGAGAAATTTTTCGCGGTTTTCGATGTTTTCTTGAAGAGTTGTGTAGGCGACGATTTCGGTGAAGAAAGTTTTTTGGCCAACCATCAGGGCAACTAAAATTTTCGTTACCATTAAGGGTGTTCACGTCGATTTCGTCAAAAAAAATGTTGACACCCTTAACGGGGTGGACATCACGAATCGGATTTCCTGTCAGTGTTTTCTCAAAATTTTAGTACAGTGACCCCCTTAATTTTTCTGCTCAAAATTTATTTCAGGCAATTATCTATTTCCTATGAAAGCCAAAAATTTAGATTTATTGAGTTTTTGAGAAGCTTCAATGCAAATCTGGCACTTCCGATTGTTGCAAAAATGACGATTTTGAGAAAATTAGCAATCTTTGACGAAAAATTTTGTTAAAAATTTTTTTGAAATCTGAAATTTCGGCTTTCATAAAAAATCGATAAAGGTCTAAAATTTTGGTTTTCAAAGAAAAATAAGGGTGTTACTATTTTAACTTTGGGAAAAAAGTCTGACGGAAAATGGCGATTCTTGATATCTACCACCTTAAGTTAGGCTTAGCAATGCTTCTTTCTTACCAGAGAAAACTTCCGACATTTCGAGCCCGAGAAGAATCGTGAAAGGGTAGAAAATGTAGCTGAGAAGAATGTCAAAGCTCCAGTTGTCGTATCCAACCGACTCTCCCATCCAATGAATTGCATCATTGAGCCAAAAGGTCAGCGACTGGAATCCAATAAGCATCGCGGCAATAGCAGCGACGAGTGGGATCGAGTCAATGATCCCGGCGGAAGCGGCTTCAAGGGCGTTGTTTGCTGTTTGCTCTTGCTTTTCATCGCTTTTGCTGTTTTTGCCGCGAAATTTCGATTTTTGAAGCTGAAAATTGTTGAGACGAAAATTTTTTTTCACGAATTTACTTCTGGATAAACCATCTTTGCGATAGCAAGCGAGCCTGGGGCTGACATAACGCAGGCTGTCAGCAGGGCGGTAGAGTCGATTCCCATGTTTACGAATAGGCCGAAGACTGATCCAGCAATCGAGGCTAAACACAGCTGAAACGGGGCGATACAGGCATGATTGAGTGGAAAAAGAACAAATTCTACAAGAGCCAAGAATCCGAAAATCTTGTTTTTGATTTTTATTTACCATTAAGTTTATTTTCTTTCCTACAGTCTGAGGACATTTCGGCTAGAACCATCAAAAGGAAGTGCATTTTCTGAAGACCAATGAGCTAGCTGTATTTGGGCAACCGACCAATCAAAACCCAGATCCCTGAAATCACTTCCTTCTCTTGGTTCTACCAGACATTTTGGGCGACATTGGGAAAGTCGCCTAATGTCGCCGAATGTCGCTGACTGTCGCCGAATGTCGCCGAATGTCCCCACTCAATTTTCTTTCAAAATGCCTGTTTTCAAAAAAAGTAGCGACATTCGGCGACATTCAGCGACATTTGGCGGCATTCGGCGACATTTTGCTACTTTCCCAGGGCGCCCCGAGATTTTTCTTATCTTACCTAGTCCAGAAACCATGACGACAAAAAGTTCCGATTGCGTTAAGTTCTTGATAAAGGGCTTGATCAGCAGCGGGGACTCTGTCTGCCCGACGAAAATATTGCCAACGCAAACAATCGCTTCCGGGCCGCTGACATCGCACGTGATTTCCATTATCCAGGAGATTTTTTTGATGAAATACGGCATGATTCCAGTGTAGTACAGGACCGCGATGACCATGGAAAAGTAAATTACTGTCGGAAGGGCGGAAAAGGCGAAAGAGGAAATATCGCCTTCCGAATTGCCGAAAACAGCGAGGGAGCCGCATTTCGAATAGTCGAGGAATTTTTGAATTTGACTCGAAAGCCACTGAAATTGATGAAAAATGAAGCAATGGAGAGAAACTTACGTCAAAGGCGATGAAACCAGCTGTAGTTCTCAAAACAAAGATGCCGAAAACGATTTGAATTCCAAAGGCCCAAATGACTGTTCGGAAATTGATCTTGTGCGGAGCTCGTGACATGAGAATGCATAAAAGAGAGTAGACGAGAATTCCAGCGCAGGCGACCAAGTTCTTCTCCTTGATTTTTTCCTCGGCGAAGAAAATGTCGTAAACAAGCTAAATCATTTACCGAATTTGCTAAAATATAACAGACATTGCCTTACCAAACCTAAAAGAACTCCACAAACAGCTAGGCCCGAAATAATCTTCAGAAGCCGCCAAAAAGTAGGCGAATTCTTCGTCGAAGTCGTGTACCAATCGCCGATCTTGTCCTCATATTTGAGCATAAACTTGTCCCAGCAAATAAAAAAGACTGCCAGACAGCCCAGAACGAGAGGAATCAATGCTTCTCCGAAATTTATCGAAAGGGCAAAGCCAGTGTAAATGATGAATCCAGCGATCAGGGTAAGGACGATTCCGATTTTGAAGAAACGAGCATGATTGCTGATGAAAATGGCGAGTTTCAAAAAAGGCATGACGAGGTAAAAGATGAGATTTTTGTCTTCTTTTTCGACATTTTGATAGTCCTGAAAAAGTATTTTAGGGTTAGGGTTAGAGCTTGGATACGGGTTAGGGTTAGATTTGGGGTTAGGGTTAGGGTTGAGAAAATTTTTAAAATTATTGAAAAAAAAAATTTTCATCGCCAAATTTTACCGTAATCAAATTGAACTCGAAAGCATCCATATCCTCCTCTTCCATCTTCTCTGTTTCACTTCCTGTTTGGCCCTCTCTTTCTCTGTCATCATTAATTTCGACATCATCAAAACTAGTGACGTAAGCGTCGTTTGTCTCTCCTTCCATTTCTTTAAAATTTCATAAAACAAAAAATCTGGGGTTCCTTTATTTGGGGCGGTAGTGAATATTTGTCGTGTACCAAGAAAGTTATGCTCGTAATGCAAACAACGAGCATTTCTTTCCGCTGCCGCGAGATTTTGAGGCTTTATTGACTTTTTCATAAAACTCGAAGTTCAACTCAGATGTCCTTGTTGTCTCCATCTGAAGCTCAAAATTCGCCGACTAATCTGCTCGTCGGGGTTTATCATTCGAGCGACCCCTAACCTAACCCAGGGGCCACGCCCCCGGGACCCTCAACCAGGGTCGCTGATTTGGTAGTCTGGGGGTTTGTCGGGGTTATCATTCGAGCTGCCACTAACCCTTACCAAGGGGGCTACGCCCCCTTGACCAACCCCCCACCCAAGGTAGAAAAACAGGAAAAATAGATAAACTTTGTATATTGAAAATAAAATTTTATAGTAAAAGAAAATACAGCTCCCCTCCATCATTTTCTTCTGCATTTTCATTCATTGGAAGAACAAGCGAATCTTCTTCATTTCCTATATACCAGCGATTGTTGGTTTGATGCAAATTTCGTCGGACTCGATCAACCTTTTTGAGTGATTGAAAATTTTTTCAAACGAACGAATCATCGTTTTTTCAATAATTTCCTTGAAAAAATCTTCATTTTCTTTTTTCTCTTTGACGTAAAAACTGTTTCCTAATCCAAAGAGAAGGAAAAATGCTTCACACTTCATCGGAGTTTTTTTGTACACTTTATCACCATGCCCTCTCCGAGAATATTTATACCGCAGTTTCTTTAGAGCGCCATCTTACTGTATGACTTCAATATGCAAAAAGATAACGATGATGGGGCGATTTTTCTTTTGAGCGACTGTGATGCGGATCAAACAAAGAATTGGATGGAATCATCTTTTATTCCTTGATACAGTAAGCTTACTGAGTAAGGGTTAAGGTTAGGCTAAAGATACTTGTTTTAAGAATTTTAAGGCATGTGGCACCAATCGGCAGAAAAACTCGATTGTGTTTCCCGAATTTTCGAAAAAATTCGAAAAATTTGAATTTCGTAAAATTTGGGTAGAACCAATTTTTGGAACAGATTTTTATGGAAAGGGTTTTGATTGGATGGTAGGCTTAATACAGCAATCTTATTGGCAATCCAAGAATTCACTTCCGAAAATTAGTTTAGTCCTAAAATTTTCGGTTTAACCAAAATATGAAACTGATTTCATGGATAAGGCTTTTTATTAGGGTAGGCAAAATACATTATCTTATTGGAAATCAAAAATTCACTTCCATTTATAGAATTAGACCGAAATTTTGTCGGCTCGACTCGTCATCTCCGAATAAACACTCAAATCGTTAATTAGCCATCTTTTTTTATCATCTCATTAATGAATTGTTAATAGTCTATCTGTCACCTTATTGCTCTGTTTGTATTCATGTGAGAGTTTATTTCTATACATTCTCAGCCATTCTACACAAGTAGTTCAAATGACTATCAAAATTGATCAAGATCAACAAGCAATTCTCCGTCCAAGAAAATCAATTATGAAGTCAATTCTGAAGAGAGACTCGTTCATTTCGCCTGGTTATCTTGATAGAACAAACTATCTAAAGATGAAAAAAGTGCCATCAAAAGCATCTTTCATAATCTCGGTCTTGGATTATCTTTTTCGGGCACACTTAAAAATAACTTCTATGTTGGCTTATGCGTAGTACCCGTTCGGGGAAAATAATAGCCAGATTCGGTAAACTCTGCGACAATAGCTTTCTACTACGTCTAAAAAAGAACACTTTGGTAAGGGTTAGGGTTAGGGTTAGGGTTAGTGCTAGGGTGAGGGTTAAATTTAAAAATAAAAAAAGGATTCAATAAAAATTTTTCTCTTATATTTGTCAAAATGAGTGATTATCTCCCCCATCAAAATCAATATTTTCATTCAAACCAAGCTCCAATCATCAAAGAAAACCGCAAAACTATCTGGAGAAGCTCATTTTCCGTCGAAAAGAAATATTGCGGCCGGCTTAATTTAAAGCCTTCACCGGAACTCTCATCTTTTTTTCATCATTTTGTATCATTAAAAATTCGTCAATCGAAGAATAACGGGAAGAGAGGATGACAACTGTAAGAAGAATTGAGCTAGGACGTATGAACTAAGTAAGCTGTCGACAAAGCGGATGCATTATTTGGACGCGCCCTAAATGGACCGAAGATAATACCAAAATTGTTCGTTTGAAACGAGCTAACCACGTTTTCTCGTAATTTTCCACTGATTTTTTCTTCAAAAAACCGAACTCTTTGCTTTTTTTCTGAACTCGAGAAACCCCAAAAATATTTAATTGAAAAGAGCAATATTTTTATGACGGCGTCTGAAGAGAGAGAAAATGTGTCCTGTTTATCCGCCTGAGTAGTTTCGGCAGCGCAGATCAAGTTTTAAAAATGCCAATTTCCTCGGAGAACGTCTTTTCCACTTGATCCCCTTGATCGGGCGCTGTCAAGACGCTAAATGCGCACAAACAACTGACGAGGGTAGGGGAAAGTCCAAACTTCCGAGATGCTCGTTTTTGTCCTTCTCCGTTATATGAGAAATACTAGAAAGCCAGCGTATTTCTCAGCACATGAGCACAAAAAGCACAAAAAACGTTGTGTGCGCTGATGTGGAATTTTAATCCTGTGAACATCGAAGTCCCTGGCATGGGAATTGAACCCAACTTTGATGATGTCACTGACTTAGGATTACCAAATCCAACAGCGTGCACTCCAATTGGAATCGGTACAGGACCAATTCTTTATAATATAGCTAGAATGGGTATTATACCAAACCTCTTCTCGGTTAGGGGATAGGGTTAGGGGTTGGGAGTAACTATTGGTGGTCCCGGGTGCGTAGCCCCCTGGATAAGGATCAAGGGTTAGGGTTATCATACCAATCTTGGCCAAATTTTAGAAGAATTGTTCCTGTACCAATTCTTATTGCATAATTCCGTCCCTAAGCTTAAGAATAACCCTCGTCATATGAAGGTGTCCGATCGACAGGCTCGCTACAACTTTCAGGGAACGATTTTTGCTCGAATTTTCAATAATAAAAGTCGTTTCCGGGAAAACCTAACCTTAACTCTTCTGTCTTAGCCACTACGAAAATTTAAAAAAATCTCTTAAGGGGGTAGAAATAGCTTCCTCGATTTTGGACTGCAGCTACATAAAAGAAAACATAAGATTTATTTATGTTCACGGAATTTCCTCATAAATGTTCCCAGAAAAAGGGTTGAGCTTCACAAAAATCTGAATGAAATTTGTTTAACTATCAGGGGACTCGAGATATACGTGTTTAAAAATTTGCGAAAATCGAGAATTTCGGAGAGATGAGCTGCTTCTGAGCCCGTTTACTCAAAAATTTGATGACTAAAGCAAATTTCGAGAGAGATGTTCCTAGAACTAAGATGTATCTATCTAAACCTGAAGAGATAATTTGAAAATGTAAGATTCTCTTGTCTGTAGCGCCGGTCAAAAATCGCCTTTTTCGGAAAAAGCTGTTCCTACCCCCTTAAATGCAAATTCAATAAAAAAATAAGAAATATGGCGGAAATTAAGATTGTACAGAGAAATCTTTCCAAAGGAAAGAAATGCTTTTTATTGATAAATATTAAGTTTGTGTATAAAAAAAGACATACAGGCAAATAATGAGTCACAACCTCTCTTCGTGAGGTTAACGATTTTCAAAAATGTCACAGGTCATTTCGGGGCATCCCGATCAAGAACATTTTCATTTTTTTAAATATTGAAATATGTACAGTTAATCGACAGTTGTATGAATGTACAGTTAATTTTTCTTTTGTGTTTTGAGTAATTTCTACTTCTTTAGTTTTAGCAGATTATTTTGTGATTCCGAAATCGCGGAGTTTTTGCTCATAAGTCGCTTTGATCAAATTGTAGAGATCGACCTGGTGGCGGAGTGGGCCCTTTTCGAGCTTTTCCCGGACTTCTGCGGAGACGGGCTCTTTTTTAGCAGTCGAAGTCTGAAGCGTGATTAAAATGAGAGAAGCAAAAGAGAGGTTTTCAAATTTTGAGAAGATTTTTGATTGGTTGCTACAAAAAATGTTTATTTTTTATTGGCTAGAAATATGTTCTCCAAAAATTATCAAAAAAAGGTGGGCGACACTGGCAAAGTCGCTAAATATCGCTGGATGTCGCTGAATAGCGCCGAATGTCGCTAAATGTCACCGAATGTCGCCAAATGTCGCTGAATGTCACCAAATGTCGCCGAATGACGCCACTTAGTTTTCAAATGTCTGTATTTTTATTAGAAAAAGGAAGATTTGGCGACATTTGGCGACATTCGATGACATTCAGCGAAATAAGGCGACATTAAACGACATTCGGCGACTTTCCAAGGGCGCCAAAAAAGGTTAAGGGCCTTCTTCTTTTATAAGCTTTTTCACAGTGATTTTCGCAAAAAAGAGGTTAAGTCACAGAAAACCAATTCTTTTAATTCGCGCTCTGGTCGCGCAAGAGAAGGGATTAAAAACGGGATGAACGTACCTGGTTCGTGATGGTCTCCCCGATTGCACGGTAAACCGCCGGTGCTCCATGAAAAACTGTTGGCACCATTCGCTCGAAGAGTCTAAAAGAAGTCAGGAAATGAGATTATACGGTGTTAAAAATGAGGAAACGGGAAACAGAGAGAAAAGAGAACGAAGAATGAAAAAATTCCGAAATGACTCAACATAAAGATTCCTGAGGGACAGCTGAAAATTCCTTGAACGCCTCAAGAATTTTGAAGCGTGATTATATAACCATAGAAAAATCTCTACCATTTTTTTTTTCAAATTAAATTTTTAATTTAAAAAAAAATTATTTCTCAATTTTTTTTTGGGAATAATAAAAATTCTCAAATTTTTTTAAAATAATTTACTATTTATTTATTATTATTTTTATTTAATAAAAATAAAAAAAAAATATTTCCTAATTTTTCTATTTTTCTTGAAATCCTTCAAAAATAAACAAAACTTGCTGTTTGATTATAAAATTTCATCTTTTTCGTGTAATACTCACGTGAGTGTGTTTTCAATATCTTCGAGGATTCCGATGGCGAGGTATTCGTTCAAAACGTGCTTCTTCGCTCTTTCTAAAGCACGCTCGCGCGACTTTGGCTAAAACAGGAATTAACGAATGGAACGGAGAAAATTATTTCACGACATCAATTTTGATCAACACGGTGGAAAAAAATTAGTTAAAAACACGTCGCAAATCTGTTTCTAAAATTCATTGAATTAAAAAAGGACTTGAATTGAAAAAGTGAAAAATTGCGTCAGAGCCAAATTTTCACATTATGTCATCACTTTTTCAAGAAAAAAATTTGAAAATTTGATGAAATAATTTGAATAAAAAGGTGACAATGAAATTTAACGGTGCGACGGAAAGTTGACGCGTTCAATCTAATCGAGTTTTTTCCACTGATTATCGATTCATTTCTTTTTCGCCTTATTCTGATTCTTCAGAGTGACACCCTTATTTTCACTGAAAAAGAGGTTTTTTATTTGATAAGAAAAGCTTTCTTTTGACGAAAAAAATCTGTAAAAGGGAGAAATATTCTTTCATATTTTCAAAGAAAAAATCGCGAAAATTGCGAAAATAAGGGTCTCACTATGATAATTTTCAAAGAAAATTTACGAGAGAAATTTGAGGTTAACGATTGATTTCTCTTCTGACTTCAGAAATAATCTTTAGCTTACGTTATAGAAGATTTTTTAAAGGCTTAGTTCTTAATCCAAAAATTTGAAAATTTTCTTGAATCTGGGGTCGACATCCTTAATCCACGCAAAGCTCACCAATGACGAGTAAAAAGGAATTAACGGATGATATTTTTTTTTATTTCTTATCAAATTTTCATTGATCGAGTTGATTTTTCAAGTACTGAGAAACCAGGTGATGAAAAAATGATTTGATGATGACGGATTTGATTTTTGAATATGCGAAAATATGACTCGCGCACGTTTTATTCTTGTGAAAAATTTTTTACATTTCTACTGTCGAAAATTGACTTAAAAATTTCCATGAAAATTTTGACTTACATTTGCAATATTTCCACATTCCGGCCAGAATTTGTCGCTTCCGCAGATGTATTCCAAAAAGGCTATTTCTGGTTCAAAATTGAATCTTCCCTATTAGGGAATCCCTAATTATGAGAGCAAGACTGAGTCACAAATTATAAACAAAACGTCTTCGTTCTCCTTGTTTTTGAAATTGGATTGTAAGCTTTTTTGAACCGGTCCTTGATTTGATCCTGCTTCGCTTTTTCGAGTTTTTTACTGATTTTTTTATTAAAAATTTTGAAAAAGATTTTGAGAAAATAATTTGATAAAAATCAAGAAGGAAAATTTCTTATAAAAATCTTTAAGAAAATTTTTTCAGAAATTCAAGAAAAAATCTAAATGAAATTTTTAAAAATATTTTTCGTAAAAAGGTTCAGTATTATGCCCGTTCCTGCACTCGTGCGCCTCGCTGAGAACGCATTCTTCAAGTCCCTAAAAATATATCATTTTTTTGAAAGAGAAAAAGCTTATCTCCGATAAATCCAGAATCACGAATCGCACCTGATGCTTATCTCCTTAGCTCGCTCAATTAGGCCAACTACGTACTCTCTTGGTGCAACATCAAAAATCAAAACTAATCACGTGGATTAAAAAGTTTAAAGACCAGCTAGACTTTTTAGAAGCTCCTTATCTTTCTCGAAAGATTCTAGCGCCTCTCTTTCTAGAGATCAGGTCGATAAAGTGATTCTGTAAGTTTTAAGAAGTCCGTTTTGACAGACGCAAAAGTGCTTATACAGCGAAAAAAATGACTTTTTAGTACAATTTTTCGAATCAAAAATGAAATTTTTTACATTTTTTTCGAGTCAAAAATAAAAATTTTTTTCATTTTTTTTCGAGTCGAAAATCGGATTTTTTTTTTCGAGTCGAAAATCAATTTTTTCATTTTTTTTCGAGTCGAAAATCTTGATCAACAAATTTTTCTTCTTACCATTTCTTGCTTCTTCCTTCCAATAAATTCTCGTCTGACCCCTTCGTTTCTGTTGAAGCCGAAGCGTCTGAAATAGAATGAACTGACAAACCTATTGACTGGATCCCGGGCGACATTGATCATCGTTGGTTGTTCCAAATCGTAAGCGGTGAAATTCGTGAAATGATGATGCTGAACAAGATATTTAACATGTTTTTTTTTGTGTCAAAAGACCAGTTTGGCGGTTTTTTTTCGGCCCCCGATTTTTAATTCGAATTATCAGATTTGTTTGAGAAAAAAAAATTTCTTGAATTATTAAAAAATCTTAAGGGTATCACCTCGAAATCACTATTTGAAAAATAATTCCTTTAGGATTGGGAGAGCCTTAAGTATCAAGAAGACAAGTCGATTCTCATCAAAAACGTCTTCAATAAATCAGCTGCGTCCATCTTTTTATAACCCAAAAATGTGGTATTTGAGCCTTTACCACGGTTCTGAGCGCGTCAATTTGACCAGAAATCTAAGTGCGCGGTTTTGAAAATGTTTGATTACGTTTTTTGAGGCGAGTTTTTTCTTTGCTGATGCAAATTCCAACGCCGAAAGTTTAAAAAAAAGAAGAATAAAAATCTCGAATCCCGCAAAGAAAAAACAACTGTTGCTCGTCTCTCAACTGGATAAGTCGTTAATGCCTACCTTGACCAGGACCAGTGGTCTTTCAGCTGAGGCTTCTTCAACTTCGGGCGCAAGCTCGTCCGCCAGGTAATCGCTGTTTTTCCGCCCGTCGAGTGCTTTGTCACAAGCTGAACAAAATCGTTATGATAAATGGGTGTTGATGGCGGTTTAAAACGGGGCCGATTTCACGTTGAATAAAAAAACGGGTCGGATGACAAAAAAGAGGATAAAAGGGGTTTTTAAGGATGGAACTTCTAATTTAATATAATCAAAACCAAAAAAAAAATTATTATATAATTAATTTAAAAAAAAATTTTTTTGATATTTATAATTTTGATATTTTATAATTTTTTTTTGAAAAAATAATGAAATAAATTATATTTCATAAAGAAATTTTTAAAAGCTTTTTTTGAAAAGTCATCAATTTTTTCTATGCTCTCCTATCTAGCCACTTTTGCAAACACCAATTCTCGTTGCCACCAAAAATTTTCTCCCGTTTCGTTTGAGGTCTTTAGATAAGGAATATACAACGTGGTCAGTCCGTAGTCAAACTCAATAAAAGACGAACTTGGTTTTAGAAAACACGAGTTTCCCGTTAGAAAACCGACCGTGTTTTTTCGCAAAACAAAGCACATGGCCAAACCCAGATTAAATTTGTTGTGTGTTAGGTCGCTCAAGTTTGCGATAATAATCAAGGACAGTTTGCTGAAAATAAAACAAAGTAACGAAAACGTATCAGAAGCAATGAACTCACGATGTCATCAATTATTAACTAAACATGAGAATTTTACGGTTATTTTATTTTTAACTCGAAATGTCATTTGATGTAATGATGTCTAAAAGGGCAAATGGATGTCCATTACGTATGTGGCTCATATGATTCATAGTCTATGACTCATATGACTCATTTATAATTTAAAATATAAAATGAGTCATATTATCATAGACTGTGACTCATATCATATGAGATGATTCATTTATGATAAGTCATATCATATGACTCATTATATGAGTCTTAGCCTATGACTCAAATCCTTATGAATAATAGCCTATGACCTTGAATGTCTTTAAATGTCTGTAAATGTCCCTAGAATTCGATACTTACGAGATTTGATACAGGGATGATAGTGAATGAGATTGAAATTGTTCGTCGTCTCCAAAGCTGCGAGAATATTCGCCATGGTGGTCGATCCGCACTTTGGAATTTTATTGTGGAAAATGAAACGCGGATTTGGAAGGGGATTTCGCGCTGCTGCTGCATATTCCAATCGCGCCGGAATGATTGAAGTCAAATCTGCTCCGTCAAGAATATTCTAAAGAAAACGAGAGATTAGATCAAGAATTTTTATTTAAAAATTTTAAAGAAAAATTTGCAACAAAATTTTTTTTCGAAAAACTTTTGTTTGATTTACCTTGTGGTGTGCGATACCGCCATCGGTCAATTTTGTGTTTGAAGTTCCAAAAAGAATCGGCAAAAGGCTTTTTTCGATGACAATTTGAAAAAAATCAAAAAAATGATGATCAGATTCCGAAATCAATTCCTCTACCACGTTGCATGACCCTTATTATTCCAACCCTCTTAGATCCCTTTTTCTGACTCGAAACAAAAATAACTCTGAAAAAGTCTTTTTTTCGAAATCCTGTTTTTCTTCCTTTTCCCTTTGCTCTTTGGAATTTTCTCGTCATTCGAAAACATTCAAAAAAAGAAGAGGTCGTTATGAATTTCCTATTTTTAAGTTCTAAGACCAAAGAAGTAGCAATTATCTCAGTCATGCGAGCCGATCTAACTCAGTCCTTATCTTATCACTTTTCATTTTTGCATCGCATTTTTTCGGTTTTCTGATACAAAATATCAATTTCTAGTCTAAACCAAAATATCGAGGTGAAAATAAAGAAAATACCATTTTTCAAATATAATCTTTGATCGCCAATAAGATTGCTGTATTTGGCCTTTCGGCGAATCGGAACCCAGATTCTGAGAGTTCGTTCTTCTTGTCGGATCTGCCCCGCAGTTTCAAATTTCTTGTGACTTTTCATCCTCTTTGTTTATCCGAACGCACGATCAATTGAATCATATTAAGGGTGGGACTTTATTAACAGGCGATTTTACAACACGCTCAAAATTCCGAACCAATTGTATTCCAATTTTTTTTATCAAAAACCTTCTATTTTTGCAACATTAATTTTGGGTACAGTCTCTTTCGTTTGTAAAATAGTTTTTCTATTAATAGTTTTGAATTTAGACAGCTAGGAAAATCATTTATTATGTTATCAAGAAAGGGGATAATCCCCTACTTAGTTTGTAATCAGCTTCATTCTCTTGTACCTCAGCATTCTATTCCCTTTGTTATCAACAATCACATAACTACCCGCTTATGGCTTATGCAACGTGGGACAGTGGATTTTTCGTTTTTCGCAAAATAAACTTTGAAGCCATTTAACCCCTAAAGAAGCAAAAAATGATAACGATTCCATGCGCCGGAAAGAACGGCGGATCAAGCCACGTGACGTAAAGACGCAAGGGGTTTTAGCGAGGGGCTCAATTTTGGGATGAAAGGATTTGAAAGACCCTCGAAAAAGGGGGCTGAAAAAATTGCGCATTGTAAAAAAGTCATCAGCACGTTCTAGCCAGAAATTTTGGGCAGATGTTTTGACGCATTATCTTTGTCATTAGAACAGCTATGGATGAAGCAAAGGCTGCGATTAAGGCATTTTTTCGGAAAAAGAACCAAACATTTAGATTTGAAAAGAATCGATCCTTTTGATGAAATTTCGAAAAAATGCCCCCCTCGATTTACCCGATTTTTAACTAAATTTTTCAACAAAATTTATTTTTATATATTTTGATGAATTTTTGAACCTTTTTCTTTTCACCCGAAAAATCGATTTTCTTTTATTCAATTAGGTTTTTCAGCTTTTTTAAGTTTCGAAAAATCCGAAAATTGATGACCCTTCTCTTAATGCTTTTCGAAATTTTCGAGAATTCTAGCTACCTCCCCTTATAACCGATAAATTTTTAGTCAAAAAACATGTCACCGATCCTTGAAATCTTCATTTTTGGTTCTTTTAAATCGTTAAGTCTCTCTCAAAAATTACAAAAAAATAAAAGTTTGTCTTCTGAGTATTTTTTCTCGCGCTCTTTCCGCTATATTCGACCGTTTTGCTTACCGACAAATTTTGCCCTCCGCCGCGCCGCCGCGCCCTAGAATCCGCAACGGACTAGGTGGCGCTGTCACGTTTTTTGTGAGTTCGAAAAGCGCGAGCGCGATGGTGACAGAGAGCAGGGTCGATTTCTGACCTAAGACCTCAAAATTAACGGGGTACTTTATGAGTTGGTTTATTTGTAGGCATGACATTTTCGGAACAGAAACTACATCATCAGACCCATTGAAGTTTTTCTGCTAAAAACTGAAATTTTAAAATATACATAAAAATATACCTCAGGTACCTGATTTAATGTAGCTTGAAGGGGTGGTGGAGGAGAAAAAGGGTTCATTTTGACCAAGATTGAGCAAAAACCACCTTTATACGAATATTTTTCTTTAGTTTTCGAAGAGATAAAGGTTGAGTCGATGCAATAGCGTGGAGTTTAGGTTATATTTTCCTTAAAAAATTCGAGAAAAAATCGCTCAAAGTTCCCCCAAAAAGTGAATTTTGCGGATTTTTGTCTCTACTTTTATATTCTTTTGTCAAAATTATGGTCTGAAACTGAGTGAGAGGCAATTTTTTTCGTTTCAACAGGCTTCACGAACAATTTTCTGAATCCTTTTTGAATTTTTTAGAAAAACCGGGTCTTATTCTCGACCACCACCCCCTTAATTGGGTACATCAACTAAAAAGCAACAGAACTCTTTTCTGATGAAAATTGATCTTTTAGAATTCCCTAAAATCGAAAATTGTTAAAATGGCTCTGCCAGGAACGAGCAAACCCGAGGGGTCAAACCCCGTTTTGACATGTTTATGGCAAAAATAAGGTTTATGTGTCACTCCGTGCTGCAGAACTACAATGAGAATAAAACAACAAACAGCCACTAAAAGAGTTTTATGCAGTGGCCTTAAAGATAGTGCAAGTGGTTTAGAATAATGACCCAAAACAAAAAGAACATTGCGCATTTCAAGAAAGGCAATATAATTTCTAAAATTTGAACTTTTCTGTTTGACTGACAATTCACAATGATTTTGTCAAAGATGAAACTTTTTCGTTCTCGCTAAAAGAGACGATTAAGGCTCAACAACCAGTCGCGTTGTTTTCAAATGGCCACTTTGGCTAGCGAGGACAAGCACCATGGTTTGAGAAACGTGTTCAAAACAAAGAATTCCGTCTCGCGCCAAAAGAGGATTTTGGTGTTCGTCGGGGTTTTGGAAATATTTTACGTCACGTTACAATAACGCACCATTATCAATAATGGTCAAGGTGGAAGTCAAAATTTCAAATTTTTTTTCAATTATTTTTTCGAAAAATTTAGAAGAAAATTTGTTTATTTTTTTTTTCTTCCGAAAAACGGCTTTTTTGAGAAAAAATTTTCTTCTTTGAAAAGATGAAGAACTTCTACCTGTCCCGTCTAGTCAAGCTAAGCAGAAAACCGCTTAGCTAATTAAAACTAATAATGAATTCAAAAAGTCAAAAATTTATTCGTCGCCGCGCACGTTCCCAGCAAAGCGCTCTCAATTCCCATTTCGAAGCCGATTCGGCGATTCCTGTTAGCGAGGAGCCACGTCGAACCCTTTTGATCCTCCAAACGTGAGGTAACTTTTGTAATTGCCTTACCGTATTGTTATTTTATTACGAATCTTATCTATAAGAACTTCTTTATTTTTTTAATTTTGGCTGCGCTAAAACTAACTTACACCCGGTTTTATCAGCCAAGTTCCTAGAAGAGGGCAATTTTCTCACGTAAACATAATAATTACATAATGTTCGCGACTTCTCACACGAAGAAAATTGCCTGGAGATAAGTTTTTTTGCAAAATGAAAGATTATGAGTTTCAAAAGCTAAAAAAAAGTTTAAAGTCATTAATAAGTTTTTTTCTCATTTATCCTAAAAATACAAGCCCTGTAGACTACCTCCTTTTCTTTGGATACTTTATACCTTATACTTTATTTTTTGGTACTATTTGGGGACCAGAGTTGCAAATTGCAGCTTGGTCAGCTCAAAAGACTGAGCTGAGCTGGCTGCTTTCGAAGAGCAATTGACCTGAGCTGACCCACGTCTCAAAATTGCTGAGCTGAGCTCACAAAATTTGCAACTCTGTTAGGGACCACTAATTGATGATTAGAAAACCCCGATGGCGCATTTTGCTGAAAAATTTATTTTCGGAGAATCATATAATGAGCTTGAATTATCTTTTGGTATCACAAGGTTATCTGTGTTTCTAATGTTGTGACAATACCTTTTTTTTTAAATCTTTGCCAAGGTGTCTAGAATTACCAAGAAGGTCAAATATATTTTAGGAAAAAAACATGTGACAAGACAAGTCAAGATAAAATTTTTCAAACATTCAATTTTTCGGCTCGAAAAATATTTTTTCTCGTTTGAGAATTTCTTCAGCACTGCAATATTTTAAATATCCACTTTCTTCTTTATTTTTCACCTGAAATCTAAGTTCCGTAATTTCTGTTTTTCTAAATTCGAACTCTCCAAAAAGTCCATCAGAAGGAAGTCTCCATCAAACTCAAAATTGCGGAAGTGATCAGATGCGCTCCAAAGAGGTCCATTTCAAACTTCGCAGAAATTGACAAAAAAAGTCAAAAAACCATAATTGCTCGGCCCAGAAAATGTTCTAACAAATGTCCTCTAAAAGAAGTTGTCTTCTAAAAAAATCCCTGTTATTAAGAAATTTCGAATTTGCAATTTTCTCGTGAAATTTCCTCAAAACAAAGATTGAAGAAGGGGTTTTCAAAGGTGAGAGTTATTTTTCGAAAATGCAGCTGGGAAAAACGTGGGATTATGATGAATTGCAGCGAATCGGAGCAAGTGATGACCGATTTACAAGTAACGGGGTGATCTAAAAGGGTTTGAATTACGAGTTGTTTTACGGAAATGCGGCGCTAAGTATGTTCTTGTGAATCAAGACTTGATTGATACGGAAATTCGCGGACAGAAATTTTCACTTGTGATTGGTATTAGAAAAATATGGGGTCTGATTGACTGTTATTGGCTAAAAACGGGGTAGCGGCAGGAATCGACGACTAATTACGACAAGTTTTGCGTGGGCGGCTCATCGGCTGCTGATTGGCTGGTGATCCGATTCAAAGCTTCTGATTGAATGAAAATTTCGATGCAAAATTTATTAGGATTTTTGTCGGTTCTTCACTCATCCCCCTTTTTTCATCTGATTTTTCGAGAATCTGATTGGTTCAAAACTAAAAAATCAACAAATTAATCTATGTCTTTTGCCTGTTCTTTTCAACCCTTATAATTTGTTTGGAGCTAAAGCTTCAAAGCCCTACTTGTAAGACTAACCCTAACCCCTGACATGAGTCGTAAACATCGCGACCTTTCCATTTTGTCGTCATAAAAAACATAACTTCCTGGATCCGCCAAGTCAAGTAACTTGTGCCGGAATGTTTTTGGGCAACACCCTTGTTTAAAAAATATTCTTGTCCCGTGTTTCTATTTTGACGAATACAAACATTGCCAAATCGTTAATCTTATTCATTTTGCCCATTTTTCCATCTGTATTTTGATGTGAAACTAACGGTTTATTATTCAAGGCTTCCATTACCAGTTTTTTCCGAGAAAGCACGCTTTTAAAAAAGCTCTGTCTCAGCCAAATTCTGGCGTAGCAAAGGCGCTTACTGTTACTTTCTCCTCGGCTGATATAAAAATTGGTGCTCAAGTCAAGAGGCGACAAATTGAAAGAAAATCGCACCGCGCCGCGTCAGTCTGAGGATGCGCACTAAGGCGACAAGGGTCTTATCAAAAAGAACCGCTTCGAATGTTGGAGCTGCTGGGTACGGTAGGGCTAATTGAACGTTGGATCGGGGGAAAACGCGTAAGATTTTGGGGAAGAAGGTTTTCAGGAAGCCGGAATTAAGGATGCTCCATCGGCTTGTCGCAATTTTAAAACAGCGTTTTCTCCCAGTATACCCTTAGGAACCAATAAGATTTTATTAACTTTATTTAGCGCATGAAAAGTTCTAGAGCTAAAATGAGTCATCTTGTTGATACCCTTAAGTTATCAAAAGCAAATCGTCAATTTTTGATTCAAAATATAATTATATGCAGATACCCTTAAAATTATGGAAATTTCCCCTAAAAATTTGGCCAACAAAATCTTTTAAAAGAAAAATTAACACTTGCACTTGTGCATGTCTCTTCTGAAAATCGATGTCGGCAAGTGAGGGGCTAAGATATGGAACTGCCCCTCATCCCGAAAAACATTATGAAGTTATCAAGTGCGGCGTAAGTTTTTCTCAAAATATTTCCAGATAATCGAACTCATTCCAGATCAGCCAAGGGGAGACATCAACAGTCTTTAGCTACAATCTTTAGCCCTCCCCAAAAAAGCTTAAAAATAATGTTTGGACCTCGAGAACAGATGAGCTAAAATATTTTTAGAAAAAAGGTAATTTTTGGATCGATGACAAACCATGGCCAGGATGATCTCAAGAAACAGACCAAAAGATGACCCCGTTTTCTTCAATATTTATGCCACGATGTCGCGTTATCGGATACACTAACCTTCTTTCCCGAGGAAATTGAAGTGTTTGGCCCGAGCTGACGAGTAATCGACAAACGAGCAATAATTTCACGCTTTTTTTAGAAATGCTGATTTTGACATTTTTTTCTTTTTCTCGTTTTTTTGACCTTTTTAAGAATTTTCAACCAATTTTTGCGATAAAAATCGGGAGGTGTCTGGAACCGACGAAAAATTTCGACAAATTTTGCGTGGAAATTTTCAACCAATCAGAAACCTTGATTCGGCAAACCGGCTTATCAGCAGCCGAGTTGCCGCCCACGCAAAATTTCTCGAAATTTTTTTTTGTCGGTTCCAGACAACCTCAAAAAAACAAAATATTTTTCGAAAACAAGTTTAAAAATAGAACTAAGA